CCTGCAGGTTCCTGTTCTATACCATCTTCTTTGCATGCATACCCAAGCCACATGTATAGATTAGGTTTTTTTTTTTTTTTTTTTTTTTTTTTTTTCTTTCTGAGTGTTTCTTTTCCTTTGTTTCACTCTTCTTCTGATGTTTCCATTATACGTGTATATGATACCTTGGATCTGGATTGAGCCGACAGGCGGCTCACAGATCTTATTCTTGTTCTATTCTCATGATGTATCTACCACCATTATTTATGAACAATCTTGATCATTTGGATCTTTTGTTGTTGGGATCGGGAGTAATACGGAGGACTCTGCCGCTTGTCAGACGGATGAATGTCGCCGCAGTGACGGTACAGTAAATCTCCGATGCGCTATCATGTGCAGTGGGCTCATTCTTTGTTGCTGGATATCCCGTTGGAGTTGGTTGCAACAAAGGAATCGGTCTCGTATCCTCGCTGACAGCGCATCGACCATTTCCCCACCATTTCATCGTCTTCACTTGGATCTGACATGCAAGAACGGGTTGTGAAGAGGTGTCTGTCACTGTGTTACTACTGATCTCTTGTTTTTAAGACTGTATGCTGGCACTGCAACTCCACCTCACTTCAACCTGCAACATCTACACCCACTCCGAAGCCTGCTCAAGCGAACAGGCTACGAATGAAGCATCATTTTCTGAAGAGAAGAACCACACAAAGACCTTGACAAATCACCAAGAAGGAAGAAACAAGGTAAGTGCATCAGTTCTCTCCCATTACCACCATCCAAGCACACACCCGCTCATCCTCACCCACCGACAGAACCATCAACCAGAAACACCATGACCGAATCATCCTTCGGAAATAACATTCCCCCCTACACCCCCATGAAATCCCTCGGCCATGAGCTCGGCACCTTGTTCGGCTTCCTGGCCGCGTGCTTTGTCGTGATGGGCGTGTATGTTTATGTCTGGAGGGGTGAGTTGCTTTTCTTGCACTTGATTTGACTTGGGTTGGTGGTTGCGTGAAGCCTTACCTTCACCTCAGCCTCCCCAAACCCTCATCCTCCCCCCCACATACAAACCCAACCAACTAACTGATAACTACAAAGCTGTGGAACACCGTGAAGCCCACCGCGAAAAACTCCGCCACCAAATGCTCGAATCCCGATGCGTGGACCCGCACATCCACGAACAACGCCTCCACCCGGACTACCAACCCATGGGCACCTCAACGACCATCACCGCGGGTTCGACAACAAGCGCCACGCCATTCGCGCCGGCTGGGAGCGGTAGCGTCCGTGGCTTTGGTCCCGGTAGTGTTGGTGGTAGCGTTCGCGGGTTTGGCAGCGGCGGCGGCAGCGGCGGCGGCGGTGGTGGTGGTGGTGGTGGTGGTGGTGGTGGTGGAAGCCGATACGGCGGCGATTATCGTGGCGGAACGTCTACGCCGACGACCGCTGCGTCGGGCTCGGGGATTGGGATTGAGAAGCGGGCGGAGGTGGATAGGTATCAGGCTCAGGGTCAGGGCCAGCGGGAGGATGGAGAGAAGGATAAGGGGCGGAAGATGGGGGGGAGTCGGGGGGGTGGTCTGGGGAGTTTTGGGAAGGTGAAGCGCAATGCGAGTTTGAGGTCGCATCCGGTTGATGCTACGGAGACTAGTAGGGATGTGGGTGGGAGTGGGAGTGGCAATGGGAAGGCGAGGAAGGGGGCTGAGAATGGCGAGGTCGGGGTTGAGATGGAGGTGATGGGGGGGAGGGCGAGGTGGGGTGGACAGTAGTTTCACTATTGATATGTATTCAATAGGGGTTCAACGTTGTAGGTTGTGCTCTGTCGTGCATAGAGATATACACTGCAACAGTGTACCACAGATAGTTTCTATCATATCCAAGACGATTCTTACTTACTTGATTGATTGATTGATACTAATTCTCCCTGCTTTGCAGTATTCCTGGACAACTCCGCATTCACCTAACTTATAACCCTTCCCCCCGAAGAGAAAGAATCACTTTCCAATGGCAACAAACAACCGATCCCCAATATCACCCAGCCCCGGCACGATCATCCCGCGCGCATCGCACTGCGCATCCACCGCCCCCGTCCATACCTCCACCCCCTCAGCCCAGGTCCCCGCCGCGCGCCGAATCCCCGCCTCGCTCCCCAGCACGCTCAGCATCACAACGCGCCGCACGCCCCACTCGCGCAGCAGCTGAATGGCCGCCTCGGCGGTGGCGCCCGTCGCGATGATCGGATCCAGCAGGATGGCCGTGTCGGCGGCGGCGGTGTTGGCCGTGGCCGAGCTCGTTGCGCCCGCCTCGCGGTGGAAGGGGAGGTTGTTGTAATATTCGACGGGTTGGAGGGTGAGGCGCTCGCGAAAAAGGCCGAGGTGATAGATCGGAATGGAGGTTGGGAGGAGGGAGTTAATCGCTGTGGATTCAGCGTGTTAGTGTGGTGGTTGTGGTTGAGGTGGGGGATGTCGAATACGGGGAGGGGAGAGGGGAGAGGGGAGAGGGGAGGGGAGATAAGATAAGGCTTGAGATAGGCGCTGGCTGGGTTGGCAGATTGTGCAGATAAGGGAGACAGTAGGATAAGGCAGCTAGATAGCTATGATTGAGCTGCCACAGAAACAGAGACATACCGTCGGTCATGCCTAACCCTGACCGCAGAATAGGGACCAGGGCGATGTTGGAGGGGTCGATTGTGGTGGTTGGGTATTCAATGCCGAGCGGGGTTGTGTCCTGCTTGAGTCAGTTTATGATTGTTTGTGGTGGTGGTGGTGGCGGGGAGGATAAAAGAAGGGTAAGAGGCGCACAGTTCCATCTTGCTTCGTCTTCCAGCCAGACGCAAAAGCTTCCACGCCCAGTATGGTGGCGATCTCGTGGACGAGATCGCGGGTCTGGCGGGTGGAGGTGGAGGAGGAGCGCAATTGCGAGAGCTTGGCTTGGAGGAGCGGGTGGGAGGAGACGTGGACGTTGGATGGGAGACTCATGGTGAGAATTGGGTCTGCTTGTGACGAAGGGTACGCTGACAGTTTGGTCTCGCAGCCCAATCTGATGAGGAGTAAGAGGAGGTTTTATAGCTCTCTGATCAGGGCAGAAATTGTGCGTTGTTAATGCATGGTTAGAGGCAGCGATGATGCCGTTTGGAATGAGGGGTAAACAAAACAGCCAAACAGGGCACCGTCACCTGACCCCTCTGGTCGCCTGATTTTTTGGCATTTTTGCGGTCTTCTGCCTGCTTGGGGATTCCGCGCTGTATCTGCGACTATCATCGTGATTATCATTCTTGTGGGGAGAATCTCCTCGCCATTGATTGTTATCATGATAAAGTCCACCGCTGCCATAGATCCTGCCCACTGCCCAGCAAACCAGAACCCACCGCGTGCTCCACCGACCCACACCATCTTCTCTCCGGACTTCTCTCCGCTCTCACCTCATCCGAATCGCAAACCCACCACCAGGTCGAACTGGCATCGCGACCACAACAATGACATCCGACACCAATGCCCTCACCGAGACTAGCGCGCCTCCACCCACAATCGACCATGCCGCACAACGTCAACCCTGGGGTTTGGGGGGCAGCAGCGACCAGCCCCACGCAAAGCCCGCCGCCGAAGATGACCTCGCGCCAGTACCGGCACCACTACCTCCAACTCAACCCTCAACCCACCTACCAACACTCTACACCCTCTCGCACCTCATCTTCTTCTCCATCCTCGGTACACTCGCGCGCCTTGGCCTTCAATCGCTAACCTTCTACCCCGGCGCGCCCATCATCACCGGCGTCCTATGGGCCAACCTCTCCGGCTCCCTGGTGATGGGCTTCCTCCTCGAAGATCGATTCCTCTTCGCCAGCCAAGAAAACCACAAAGCCGTCAAAAAGACCATCCCGTTGTACATCGGCCTCACCACCGGGTTCTGCGGCAGCTTTACCTCTTTCTCCTCCTTCATCCGCGACACCTTCCTCGCGCTGACCAACTCCCTCGCGGTGCCTGAGGACACGACCGACGCGCACCAGTCCCGAAATGGCGGGTACAGCTTTATGGCGACCGTCGCCGTGATTATCGTCACTGTGGCCGTCAGTCTCTCTGCGCTACTGTTTGGCTCGCATCTTGCGCTGGCGCTGAACCATACCATTCCCCCGCGAGTCGAGAAACCAACCTCCAACAGGACCCGTGGTAGCAGCGCAGCCCGCACCAATAATCTGATCAACATGCTCGCCCTGCTTCTAGGCTGGGGCAGCTGGATCGGCGCCGTCTTCCTCGCTCTCTTCCCACCGCACACATACTGGCGGGGCGACTGCGTCTTCGCCATCGTCTTCGCCCCGCTCGGCTGCCTGCTCCGCTACTATCTCTCGCGGTGGCTGAATGCGCGCCTCCCGGCCTTCCCGCTGGGGACCTTCGCGGTGAATCTGGTCGGGACTGTCGTGCTGGCCATGTGCTTCGATCTGCAGAGAGTGGAGGGGATTGCAGGCGCCGTGGTGAGCTGCCAGGTGCTGCAGGGGGTCATGGATGGGTTCTGCGGCGCCGCGACGACGATCAGCACCTGGGTCGCCGAGTTGAATGGCCTGCCCCGCCGAAGGGAGGCGTATTTGTACGGGGTGGCCAGTGTGGGCGTCGCGTTGGGGTTCTTCGTCGTCATCGCGGGCTCGTTGGCGTGGACTCGGGGTTTCGCGGAGCCGATCTGTTCGTGATTCTGGGACGGATTTGACTTGGCGGATGAGGTGTGGACAAAAACTCACCAGGTTTGGATAGACTAATTAAGAATACATAAATCTAGTGTATAATAGTGTACAGTTAATAATAGAAGAGCTAGACTTACGATTAGAACTGCTAACTGCAGATTCCCCGCCAAAGAGTTTTTATTTGGTGTGCAAATTACTTATTGTACATGATAACTACAAACCAACTAAGCATGTGCAGCAGTGCAGAAATCGACAATTCGGGCAAAGATTCAGAAAACACAAACAAACAGGCAGAACAGAGCGGAGAAACGAACAATAGGCGGGGACGCGTGAAAACACATGATCAGCAGCAGGCAAGCTCACATTAAGACGGCATCAACAGAGCGAATTGTGTATGTCAACGAAGGCAAACGAGGAGATTGAAAGATGAGATGGTAAAAATATATAACGAACAAAAGGTATCAAGAAGAAACAGCCCAAGACATGGTCTCAGGCCCAAGAAAGATAAGAACCAAAGACGCTCATGCGCAAGAATCGAACGGACGGTACTAAGGATTAATGGTGTAGACGTGCAAAAAATGAAAGAAGAAAAAAGAAGAAAAACAACAACTCCACCAAGTGCTAGGGAAGAACACACAGGACCAGCCGGGTGTCGAGATGTTGCCTGGGAAAAACTCAACCCATCGAAACAAGAAAAAGACCACACCGGACTCCCGTGAGCTCTTGCAAACCAAAAGAAAACGAACCATAACGCATGACACGAAAAAAACTCAATGATGGAAAAAGAGCCGGGGAACGCCAGCAAGGAATCATTATGCGGCGGTTGAGGTCATCACCGGAAATCACATCTTGCCGCCCAGACTTGCGCATCCGTTCCCGACCCTAACCCGGAATCCAGTGTCCCAAATATGATGTTGAATGAATGTAAAGAAGTGTATGTGCTGGTGGCAACTAAAGCCACCGCTATTGGCAATGTGCAGGATTAGTATGCTGTGCCCACACTGGCCAGGGTCTTCGCAGGCATTGCATGAATAGGCTGGTCTTTCGCAACGCGCAACGAATCTTCGTAGCCGATCAAAGCCTGGGAATGCAGTTTGAATGACTCGCCCATGAGCTTGGTGATACTGTTTGCCTAGTTAGTGACTGGACTGCCAACATACACAGAAGAAGCGACTTACCCCCAAACTACCACGCCGTCTAGGATATTACCCCATACACGGGCCACGGTAGAGCTGAGTTTACCAAAAGCATCGACGGCATCGTCATCAAACAGATTCCGCACCTTGTTGTAGATGGCAATCTCGGCCTCGGTCGCTGGCTCTTCGTCATGTTCCAGGCGATAGAGCCAAAGACTAAGGATCACCATCAAGTCCAAGCCACACAGGGGGTGCTCGACGCTCCAGTTCGTGGCAGACGTCTGTGCCACCCAGTTGATGCCTTGAACGGCAGCGATTTCAATGCACTCGAAACAGGACTGAATAACCTTGTTCATCTCTTGAGATCGCTTGACCTTCTCGCGGGCCACCGTCATGGCAGCCGCCACCTCGTACGAGGAGTGATAACGCAGTGCCTCTTGAATCGATTTGAGATCCACTTCCAAGCGAGCACGAGTGTTACGGTAGACCGCCATCGAGTTGAAGATCAATGGGTGGCCCTTCTGCGGGGTGCTGAGGGGCACCACGATCGTCTCAGGCTCACAGACTTCAAGAGAGCTTTCCCAGGTCTCCAATGCAAGACGGAGCTTGTACTCGGTGACCACATCCTGAAGAGCCTCGAAGCTGCGCTTGTGGTTCCAAACTTGGAGGAACAGAGCGTTGATGAGGACACGGGTGGCGAACGCACTGTACCGGGTCTGCTCGCCTTGGAAAAGACAATCGTGTGCCTCGCGAACAGTCAAGGTGGAAGCATTGGCCAGGTTTCGGCGCCAGACGTCCTCATCGGTCGCATCGAGGTTCCACAGCGACTCGGAAGAAGGTAGTTCAAGGTTGTCAAACTCGTCGAAGCTCATTGCTGGGGTGTGGTTGAAAGTCAATGTGAGCATGCCAAAGAAGATGTAGACCGCATAGTATGTACGGCGGCAAGACTCATCCTCGATCCATTCCTCCCTCGTGGGGAGACCCTCACGACTTTCAGTACGAAGCTTCAACTGATAGCGGTTTCCAGCAACCATCTATACTTCAGTCAGTACCAATGTCCAGGTTCGTGCATCCAAAAAAAAAAACTCACATTCGCTAGAAGACTCTTGATAGAGCAGGTCCACTCGAGTCCCTTCGGGTCACCACTCCAACTCTCGAAAATCATGTTCAGAAGGGTGCTCTGCATCGCCCACAGCGGACACTTCCTCGAGTCAAAGTTCTCCTTGTGCTGCAAGAATTGGTTGACCAACATCTTCGATCCCACGTGAAGCATGAACGCATCCTTCCGCTCGAAGGTATACAGGGCACCTATCGAGAGAACGGCGAGCAGCAGAGGCGCCGAGACATCGGCCGGCTGGAACGACTCCTGATGCAAGAAGGGCAAATGCGGATGATACAAGTTGAAATACGTCGACAAGTACTTGTTCAGAGCAGATGTAGGGGGCAGCTGGAACGAGTCAGGTAATACACCCAGCGAATCCGCGTTCTCTAGTCGTTCCACGATCATGTGGCGCTCAGCGTCGCTAGCGATTTGAGGTGCCTTGGGCAGCGTCAAAGCCTGGCTGGGACCAGGGGATCTACGGTAATTCACAGGGCTGACGGGGCCCGTCATTGAAGGGTACGGGGACAAGGCGTTCGGCGTCGAAGTGCCCGACATGGGTAGCGAGTTGACCAACGAGTGGAGCGAGGGAGCCAAACCATCGCCTACGGGCCCGTGCCGATCCATCACCGACGGAAGTGGATGCGAGTCGGGCCCACCCTCGTGGGACGCGAAAGGCGAACCCATCGAGTGTTTGGTGTCGGCGGGGGAGACGAGGGTATCCCAAGGCATCTGCGGTAGCGTTGCATTCCCTGACATATATCCCACCGAAGGCTCTAGTAGCGAAGCGCGTCCGGGGGAAAACGAGCGATCGGATTCAGCACGATCGTTGGTTTGACCCGTCGCGGCGGCTGCGGCCTTGTGTTGGAAATCCGTCATCAACATGGCTGCGGTTTCGAGATCGACCATACCATCACTGCTAGCCTCCATCTGTTCAAGGGAGGTGGGATCAATTGTAATCGAAGGCTTGCTGGCGGGCCCCGAGGCGGGGGAAGTCTTTCGCACACCTGCGCCACCGCCGCGTCGCCTGCCCTCAGACACCAGCGGAATGCCACCATCCTTGGCGTGCACCGTACGATCATGTCGAAGAAGCAGGTCTCGACGCACAAAGGTGCTCCGACATTTTAAGCATTTGAAAGGTCTCTCTTTAGTGTCTGTGGGTCAAGTGCCAGGTTAGCCTCACACCGCCTCCAGGATCCGCGCAGCCAGCTCGACAACAAGAAGAATTTTCACACAATCTCTGGAGTACTTACGCGATCGTTCGTGTCTGCTGCGATGTTCACTCCGACTGAAAGCACGATTGCAAAATTGGCATTTGTATTTCTTCTCGGGGACAGAGGTCTTTTTGGCGGGTGCGGTGGCCGCCGGGTTGGGTGCGCTGGGAGCCATGACTCGAGAGACGCGGACAGCGAAACCAAAAGCACGAGGCTTGTTTTCAATGGAACAAATTCGGCTGCGAAGATTGCGCTATCGTCCCTTTCGTAATTTCGAACCGATTCTGAAGACGGGTAGACGACAAGGATTCGGTTTGTTGTCTGGTCATTCCTTGTATGGGGGTATCTTGGGGGAGGAGAAGCGTAGGTTGAACTCGGAAGGGGGTTGAGGGGAAGGGTGTGAAATTATCCAGCCACAGGCGGATCAAGAGGGGAGAATCGTGAAAGTGGCGTGGAGGGCCAGGATGGCGGAATATCGGCAGTGGAACGAGGAAAGAGAAAGACCCAGAAGAAGAAGAAGAAGCGAGCAAGATGTTGAATAATGATCTAGTGGGAGGAGGGGGAGGGGAGGGGAGGGGGAAAGGGCAGGGTAAGAGGGGGAAGAAAGACGTTAAGAGAGAAAGAGGAGAAAGAAGAAAAGAGGGAGGAAGACAGAAGGAAGAAAAGAGGAAGAAAAAAGAGTAGGCAAGCAAAGTGTAGGTCAGAGAGAAGGGAGTGAGGGAGGAAGGGAGGGGAGGGGAGGGGGTGGTGGAAGTTGAATGGATGAGGAGAAAGTATGAGTGCGGTGCGAATTTGCGGGCGAGGGAGAGAAACAGAGACAGTAGAGAGTCTGGGTCGAAAGAAGGGAGAGAGAGGGAGGAGGGGGGCAGGCAGGCAGACCAGTGTGGGATTAGTGAGTGGGAGAGGGACAACAGATAGAAGTAAGTACACTATAGTTTACAACTTAACAGACAGACAGTGCGAGTAAACTCGCAAACAGGCAGGACGTGGGCACAAGCAAGATGGGGGGGAGAGAAGGAAAATTCGGGCGATCGCTGGATCGCGACAAGTGAGGCGGTCGTGACCAGCAAGACACCCCCCCCTCCCCGTTGGCAGTTTTTGATTTGGGCAACAACAACAGGGAACAGACAGTGGGAGGCGGAAAAGAGGGGCTTTCTTTCCCGGCGGAACTGACGGAGGGGGATGCCACTATAACCCCACGCACTTCTCTGACTTTATTGCCCCCCCTTCATTCCTGCCATTCTGACTAACCCGCGTCACTGCAACTATTCCCATTCCTGCTTAGGACACGTCCTTTTCTCACCCGTACTCCGCCGTACTTTGTAGACGGAGTGAGTTCCTCGACCCATATTTCCCTGGCTCTTTTTTATCTCCCCCAATTATCGAGCCCAGAGTCAACAGAGAAAAACCCACATGGACTCTGTTCAACCCGTCAACCCGGTTCAGCCGGGGGGTCCTGCTTGTCCTTCGTCTGGCTCAATCGACCGTTTGTTAGTTTTAGTCCGATGTGAGGGAGCATCGCATCAACATCCACTTTTCAATTTCCCTCTCCGCACTACACGCTACGCTACACACAGCCGGAGTGAAAATACTAAAAATTACAGAGTACATCCAAATCGAAATCCCAAAAAAAATCGTACATGTCAATCTCCGTCAAGGTATCCGCGGATCTCTTTTGTTGTTCTCTGCTGTTCTGGTATGGGAGGATTTGACTCCATATATGCATAACATTGGGCAGCATCTTACATGTTTCCCCCCTCGCGATCATCGATCCAGAATCTCGAGCCAGTGTTTATGATTCCTGGATGATCAGATTTGTAGTCTACAGAGTGAGTGAGTGACGGAATCCAACCAGTGGCAGTCATCAACCACGACCTAACCCTAGTGGGAGGTAGCCGTAGTCATGATGGTGGAAGCCTCGCAGCGACTGGGAGAGCTCTCTGGATCCTCTTTGCATTTCCCGACTGCAGTGGTTGGTTCTCCGTCTTCGACTGGGGGCCATCCCAGTTAGTGCCGATTATTTCATGATTGTGGGGTTGGGCTTGGTATGAGGGAGCAGCTTCATAGCGGTATGCCTATGGTATGTAACTCTGTTTGGGTGGATGCAAAGCGCAAAACTTCATACAGACTACTATGTAGTACGGAGTAGACAATTCGAGTTCGAGGTCGTTAAGTAAGGTTGGTAATCGAAGTCATCTCATCTCATCTCATCTCATCCCTATCTCTATCGCAGGCGAGCCCCTCCTTCCATCTCCCCCTCCCCCTATCGAACAGCCCACGGCCGCATGTTGGGTGGTACGCACTCCAGCCCGGTCGGTGACTGCGGGGCTGTTCATCAAAGAGTCAGACTGAAATCCATTATCTATTGCACTTGCACAGTACTTTGTATAATGCGCTCATTGATCATCTCGAATACAATTTAATTGATGTGTCTGTGTTTCTGTGATCATTGCGTGCGACCGGTCCACAGTGAGAGGGGAGGTGGAAGTGCAAAAATAATGCAGACTTCAAAACCAACAGGCTGAAGAAGGTTAGACCAGCCAGTGTCTGTCTGTCTTGTCTGTCTGTCTTGTGTGATAATCATCCATCAAATCACACGCGCCTCAAGCCCCTCTTCTCTTTTCTCTTTTTATTTTTTACTTGCTGAGTATTATTTCTTCTCTTTTTCTCTTTTTGGGGCTTATTTTCTTTTTTCCACTTTTCTTTTTATTTTATTTACTTATTTTTTTTTTTTAATTTTTCTTCTTCTCGCCCCTCGTCAGCCCCCCCTTGCCCCTCCAACAAGGATGCCACCGACGCTTGAATGCCACGGAGGAACAGTGCCGACATGATTCGTGTGTGCTCTCCCTTCATTTCCACCAGGGATTCTTTTCCCACACAGGCTAAGCGGACTGTTTGCGATGGCCAAACAGGTTCACAATCAATATATCGATCATCCTGGTTCCTGCTGCATTGTCATGCTTTTTCACTTTGTTTTTTTTTTCTGGGAGGTTCGATTCATCTCCTCCATCTTTCCATTCCCCCTCCTTTCTGAACAGCAGCAGGATGATGGAACCCGCCACTTTCAGTTACCCCTCCGGTCTGTCCCTCTCTTGGATTCACATCATCCACTCTTGCGTTCCCCTCTTGAGAGAAGTTCCCCTCCTGGATTCTGCTATTCTTTTCTTCTCACCCCTCCATGGAAATCCCTACTTTACCCCTCCTACACCAAATCAGTAATCCATCTACACTCCGCGGGTATCGGAGTTCTCCTGTAAGACACCCGTGTCGACTCTGTCGAGCCCGGGACATTCGCAACGGCATCTAAGATTTCTGAGTCTGCGAATTAGTTCCATAGGAGCACCAATTGGAAGTGACTCCTACCGAGTTGAACTAGTCGGGTGGAGCTTAGACTGGGCCGAGGAGTGACCGTTGTTCCAGGCCTTCCCCATCTCCATCACCATCACCATGACGAGGGATGCTGCTCCGCTATTGCTGCGGCTGTTGCTGCTACTGCTGCTGCTGCTGCTGCTCTTAGTTTCAACCGTGTTCTATAGATATCTGGACAGTCTTCACGAACCATGTAGGGATGAAGACAGATAGAAATTTTGTCGGGTCTTTGTGCCAAGTCATTCATTCATCCATTCATACCAAGCAGTTTCTTCGCCCAAAGCATGCTTGGCCTGGCTGGCTTTTCGAACTGCGGAAAATAAAATCCAAGAAGAGAAAAAAGTCATCCCACGACAGCCTCCCGTCACCACGCAGCAAGAGGAGAATATTGCTGACAATGTGATGCCTCTCAGCCTGACAGATCACCACCCGTTCGATCGGTTTGTCGTTTTTATCCACTTCTACTCATCTAGAATCAAATTCTGGAAGTGCATTTGACATATTCGATGTTGCCCGACTCCAAACCGGAAGCGCGTGGACTGTGCGAAAGGCTATTTAGCCCGCCTAACCACACCGTCCTCTGTCTATCTTCAGAAGATCTTTTGGATGAAATTTTTGCCTCTGCCCCGCCCACCCTCTCCCCATCTCAGCTTGAGGTCAGCTGGATCAACATGGCGCGCGGTGCCATCCGAGATGAAAGACTCAGGTACGCGACAGGACGACTCGGCTTTCTTCTTCTTACGGATAATTCATCGCTGTTTGCCACAATGATTGGTCTTGTTCATCCTTACGTAGTACTCGGTTTCAGATATGCCCAGTATGGCTGCCAAGTTACAGAATGTGTCGTGTGTGTGTGTGTGTGTGTGTGTGTGTGTGTGTGTGTTCGCGCATGGAAGGGACCACGACACCCCTCCCTCATTGTATAGTGTACCGGTAGGTAGTCGACGCGCTTCAGTTGGGATTTATCTGAAGCTGCAGGACTGCATCATCAGCATCATCAAAACACTATTGTTTCTGTTTTTGGGGTTTCTGCATCCAAGCCAAAGATGCATCAACCTAGCATCGCCCGCCGGGCCTAGTCTAGTCCTCATATGCTGCAGCAGAGGGGCATGGCCAGGGCGAACAGGGCCTTCCTTTTACGGGCTTCTACCGAGTGAGTTTAGTGGCTTTTAGTCTCGGACCGACAGTTCCATTTAGTGGCAGGGCAGTCATTATCATCATCATCATCATTATCCATGGCTGCCTATGACTACCCCCCCAAAGTCCGCGGACGCGCCTAACCAGCCTCACTCGGAGACGCGCCCTTATTCCGCGTCAGAGGGACAAGTCGGTCTAATCCACTTGGAGTAAAAGGAAATGTCAACTTTTCGTCACTGAAATTTGTAGTTACAGTACTCTGGAATACATCATCATCGATCAGGTCAGATGATGATTATAGGTGACTTCCCAGGTTCTGGCTCTCATCCTCCAATCTTATCAATGCCCAGTTCACCGTTCACGCTCGGTTTGGTGCTGCCTCTTCTTCCTGACGCTCATCCGCAGGTTGGATCATAGTACGATTTCTGCCATATCAGAAAGAGCCGTTCTCTGAAGATCCTCTCTCGCGCCAGCAGCAAGGACTGACTGTAGTGGTTGATCCCAGTCTTCATCTGAATTATTGTCACCACAACAAGAGATTCCCGTAAAATCCCGGTATGTGGGGCGTCTCTTATGGACCCCGATGCGGTTGGAGTTACTGGGGGAACAACACTTACACATGACCATCAAAAGTGGGACTCCAGTGGGGAGTACAAAAGTACCCCGCGAGGAATTAAACTAGACTCTATCCAAACGGCATTGTCTCTCTCTCTCTCTCTCTCTCTCTCGGCTCGGTTCAATTTATCCAGACACCACACACGGCACGCAGAAATCACTATGGACTGCTCAACTAACATGTGGATCATTCTCTGCTATCTCGGATTCGTATGGCCATTTATCAATCTGTCCATCTTCTCCGATAAGTGTCGACATGGATTGTGGTTTTGGTTCTGCCTGCACAATATCGCCGAACAGACGGGGAAGATCCTCGCTTTTTCTCCCCTAACTATGATGTTATTGCCCCCTCCTGTCGCTAAGCCGTGACCGACAGACAGCCCTACTTGAATGCAGGGCCCAGGACGGCCCAACTGATCCATCCTAATGCTTTAACTCAGCAACTAGAGTCGCTAACAGCAGGCAATTAATAGTGACTTGGACTAACTACGTGTACTGGCTTGACCGCTTTGTGTACTGCCAGGAGCTGGGCTGCAACTGCAGGTGTGACAAGAGCGGTGAATGACAGACTATGGAATCCATCGGGCCTCTAGCCTTCACGTACAGGACACCACTCGGCCAATTCTTACACGTCCAGCCGCCTGCATATCTGAGTGGACGGGCAGACAGAGAGAGTGCGTGTAAGAGTAGCGAGAGGAGGGAACTCCGAGGGAGGCCAAACCCTGACCAGCATCCCGTTTCTCCGATCCACTTTCTCGGCCCATGCAGCGGTCCGACCCAGTCAACTGTGAGTTGTGTTGTGTGTCTTGAGTGATGAGAGGTACGAGTAGTTACGGGTACTTTGTGGTGGTTGCTTTCATAAGCACTGAAGGTTCCATTTGAGATAGATAACATGTCAGAATCGCCTCAGATCTTCATTATCGAACTTTTCCCAAACTCCACTATGAAATACGGGGGGGCTCCGGCCCACGGTCCCGGCCTCCTGGATTGGCGCACGGGGTTGAGGATGGATTTTCTCGAAAGAAACTTCCGTACATACCGATCCTCTTTTTTTCTTTTTTCTCCTTCCATGACCCATCATATTTGCGATCCCTCAACGATTTCACGTTGAGTCTGAGTTTGGGAGGGTATTCTTTTTCTCCGAGAGGGGGAGCATGCTGCTTATCTATCATTCTTTGTTGACGAACTACCCACTTCCCACATCTTCCGGAAACTGTAAAAGGCTGAGAAGCATGGCCGGCATTCATCCCAACCACTGAGCTTTGAGTGCTCACGATTCGGCAGTAACGCAGTGAAGGATATGGTAGATTTGAAGAGGAGGGCCCAGGGGGGCAACGACTACCTAAGGTACCTACCTACCTTAGAGAAGAGACGCATCCAATATGCACAACAGCCAGCCAGGACCGCCGGCAACACTTTCCAGTCAACATGTTTGCTAATTTGGGCATTCTCCTGGTTGTTTGATGCTGCGAGTACCCGTGAAAATTGCTCTTTTTTTTTTCTCTTGGTGGTCGACGATGCAGGCTGGATCTACAAGAGGCGGTCGATCATGTAGACGATCCAGGAATGAATCAGTAGGGATGTACAGTACAGTAAACACTGCCGCAGCAACTTGTACAGTACTCTGTACTCTGTGCTCTGTGTCGGCTAGAATCTGCAAGTTGAGTACCTGCGCGTACCGTAGTATGTGAGTGTCGGGATAGCTTTTCATTTTCATGATTAGTTCGAACCACACGCCATGGATCGGAATCACAGCTCAGTGGGAACTACTGTGTACGACCTTGATGCCTCCCCACTAGGTACCATTGCAGGATGTTTCCGGGCCCCTCTCTCTACCGCCAGTCTGGACCGACACTAGTTAAAGCCATGGCAGCTTTTTGTGCATAACAAGCCAACGACTCGATCGATACGCCGCATAGTATCCTGCAGTTTCCGTACGGAGTACTTTGTTCTGCGAAGAGAACTCTCTCTCTATTCCTCCGTGGTGGTGGTAGAAAAAGGACGATTATAAGTTAGCCACCAACACAGACCGACCGACTTTCAGCAGCGCATCCCGTTCTGGAGAGAAATATATCTATGTCACTCACGTCTAGCACAAGCCGCATATCCCAGCAGAACCCCTCTGACAACCATCATCTCTCTTCTACACTATCGACAAACCTAATCCGACCAACCAACCAACCTCGATAGGTACAGTAACTGATCAAGCCAGCAGGAGCACCACACAGCACACAGGCATGATACCGGTAAGCCCTACACACACCCAATCTGCCCAACATAATCCTGCAACCTCAATTCCCGAAGTGGCAGTGTGTCGGTGAGAAAATCTCTGTCCGGGATATGTGCCGTACTCCGTACAGTACTGTACAACTAGATAGATAGTTAGTTAGTTGGTAGTCTACAGATCTGTCAACAAGTCAACACACCCGGCGGCCCGTTCTGTTTACCCTGTCCCGTCTCTTTATCTTTGTTCAGGCGGAGTTGCATACGGAGCACCGGGATTTTTTTGTACAGTAGTTACGGAGTACTAGTGATTGGTGGTATGCGAGGTTTAGGGCGGATGTTGACCGCTTTTACGGATGGATGGATGGATGGGGGTTACAGATATCGTTTCTTTTGGGCGTGAAGTTGTTGTTTATCTGTGGATGAAGGAGGAGGGCCCAGACTGGAGGGTACTTACGGAGTAGTTGGTTGCTATCCGGCGGGCTCTCTGATGATGTGGGTTCTTGGTGTACTGTAGACTGGATTCTGTTTCATGATGGTTGTGTTGAGGTATGTGTTCATTGTACGGAGTACGAAGTAAGTAGTTTACTGAGGGTCCTCTTTAACTACGTACCTACGGTATGTATTTCCTCGAGCTAGATACGTACACATAATAAATGAACAGCACAGGCAACTCGAGGACTACATACGTAGTATAGGTGTTCCAAAACCCTCATTGAAGTGTAACTACGGCGGTAGTGAACTATACCCCTAGGAGGGAGGCTACTTTACGGAGAATGGAACTCTACCCAGTAGATTCATACGTATAGTTTTGAGATTTGTGCGCTTCGCCTTCGCTTAAATACAGATAGACAGGGCTGAGAGGGAGTGGTTGACCTAGACTCTATTCTGGGAGTGATTGAAAAGCGCAGCCTTTTCGAGCTTCGTTGCTCTATTTTGGGGGATCGTTTGTTGTGACATGGCTGTGGAATAATTGGTAGAGAAGAATTGTGGAAGGGGCCCGGCAGTCGACGGAAGAGAAGTTCAATCTTCAATTGTGGGTAACTTAGGCTGTGTGGATACCCTTGTGTACTCCGTGTCCAGTTCCCACATGTATACGGAGTAAACTACTCTGGTTGAGGGTAGACCGAACCGAGCCAATATGATTATGATGCTATATATTCACCTTGGGCATTGAGCTTCGACGATACTGCGTCCTTATCTATATTTTCGTCCGCCAACCAAGGTCAAAGAGTCGTCTAGATGGTATCGTGTCCAACCATGCGGTTCATCTATACCCCTGCGTTCCGCACTTTATCTCCAGGAACCAGAAACTGTTCGCTCAATGACTGGGCATTGGAAGTGGCACCTCCCGTGGCTGCCACTGTACCATGGTTCGTTCCCGTGCTGGGGTGGTTTATGTATGTGGTTCGCGAGCGGCGTTTTAGCTCCTGTCTATCTTCCTCCTTGCGGATTGAGATGGTTATACTTCGTAGTGAGTGAACATATTGCTGAAAGGTTTTGATCATTTCCTTTTGCTTGAGCGACGGTTAAGTTAGGAATTTGCATTATCATAATGTTTTTTTTTTCTGGTGGTGTTGATGGTAATTAGTGGGGCTACGGTGGGAATGATGGCTCGAATGGATACATATATCTACTTCTCTTACAATAGAAGCGTAAGATTCTGTACGCGAAGTAGTACCTACAAAGTAGAATCCTGGATAATGGTATAATCCAGATATCCCATAAGCAAGTCAATATCTAAGCTCAGTACGGAGTCCATATCATACACACAGCCGAGCGAACCGCGTCCTAAACATCCAACAACCATCGCAACCAAATCAGTATGCCACTGCCCACAAGCCCTCGAACGCACACAAAGAGAAACCCCGCCGAGCTGGTTCGAGCCACACTAGACACGAAAGCCACTAGGAGACTCGGAGTAATCAACGCGAAACCGACCTAGAAAAGTCAAGAACAAGTTTTTTTACGCGTCTTTTCAGGGGTCCCGTCTCCCCGCTAGAGGGGAAGATCGAATCAGCCGTGAGTAATGGAGCCCGAGGGTGCGAGTGTTTCGAGTGCCGATGCCGTAGAAGAGTTCTCGAAGGCTGAATGGAGGGAGGGGAGGGGCTGTGGGATGGGGAAGTGTAGGGGGCGATCGAATCGTCCGAAGCTTAGAAGCTCAGGAGGTTAGAAGTTCAGAAGGTTAGCTAGAAGTTAGAAGGTTAACTTCCCACCCGCGAGAGTGAAACGAAATGAAGCTTGAAAATGGAGGGGGAAGTGGAATATGCAGTGGAAAAGGGGGTAAAACCCCAGGAACCGCCAGACTGTGTGCCAGACTGGCAGGAAGCACATCGTCATGCAATTCGTTGCGGGGAGAAATGGGTGTGAGGGTGACCGACGGTGACTTCTAGTACTATTGCTGAAATGGGAAAAGGAAGGGTAGACTGAGGTCACTCTAGCTTACACGCGGCAACGGCCGCTCGGGATGGCCGGCCTGGCCAGGCCAGGCACACAAACTACTACACTACTTCGTATCTGGAAGAGTGAGGGAAAGGATGATCGGGATCATCATCAGATGATTCAGCGCGGAGAGCCACTTTTTTTGCCTTTTCCTTTCTTAGTCGCTGCTCGGCAGGTGGGAGGGATGGCGCTGGACATTCTATTTGCTCAGCTTGCTATGGGACGAGTTTGAGGATCGATAACTCGAATTTGGGGCGCATCGGAGGAAATCTAGTCAACATACTACCTAGTAACCACTACCGATACATAGATGATAAAGACACCGAGCGTTCATAGACGTCATGGTCGCCGTCCGGACACAGTGGCCGACTTATCTCGAGTACCTGTGGTCTGCTTATAGTTGATTCGGATTATACTACGAAAATTACCTAGGCTCGACTGATCTTATGCCGGTTTAACTCTCAATGCTCACACAATTGCTAGAGGTCCGGGTGAATTCTATGTATTTGCCTGTGCATACTCTCATCTCGAATTGAACCTCTCTCAACATCATGTTCACATTGGTGCAGTGCAAGAGTACTCCCGTCCCAGAGTCAGTGAGGCGCTGGTCTGTTCCGAGTGGGCGAACCGACTGTGCGTTTAATAGCAACCAATGCTGTGAGGGATGCGCCCCTCCCGCCCATCCATTTCCTCCTTCTCCTGGTCCCTGTCCTCGATGCATCTTCCCCTTACAGCATTGCATATATCTATTCAGTTACCATGCAGGATCATGTGCCTTGCTATTGGTGGGTGGTTTGCGAGGCGAGACTGGGTCTTATTGGTGGAAAGCAAGACATCTTCCTGCTCGTGTCGAAAATTCCCCTTTAAGCTTATTGCTATATGCCGTACTACAGGGGGTGCACGAAGAGGGGTCCGGATTTCGTGGTTGGTGAGCCCTGCGCAGCATTGCTTTTGACTGAAAGGATGGCTGATTGGAAGAGAGTCGGGGGTGTGATGGTTGATTGGGCTTTTCTTCTTCGGTGTCTTACTCCGTAGTTGGGCCCTGTCGAGTCGGGATGTGTACTGAACGCGTAGTTAATGTAGACGCACGTTGAGGTGATGTTTCCCTATATTATGCAGTAATCTCGACACACCGGCGGTAAAGTCAAATCAATCGGTAGACTGATTCCAAGAGGACCAGGCCGGACTGTAGTCTCGAGCAGGACACTGGCGATGAGATAGTGATAAGGTCTTGCATGAATCGGCGATTAGACTTGATGAGGAGAAAATCGCAGATTATTCCACGCTACCATCCCCATCTGAACCCAAGCCCCTCCGACGAATGAGATAGACAGGTGAGTACGGAGTACATGAGATAATTCTCACATGTCAAGCATCAGCATTCATCCCATACTCTTTTACCTCGCTTGTAACTATCCCAGCTCCAGTCCACGTAATCCATCATCATCATCATCAGCTTCACCACCCCAACCCTGCAAGCTCACCTCGCTCCAACTCTGACTAAGATCAACCGCCCTCCGGGGTCTCCGGGCATCAGATTGAAGAAGCCAAGCCCACCAACAACTGGGAAGAGGGCCATCAACATGTTTATCTGAAACCCGCCACGCCCCTCTCGGTAGATTTTTATGCACCTCGTAGATTACCTCATGCTTCTGACACGGGGCACGTGGCGGAGCAAAGGGTGTGATATCAAGCCTCGCCTCCGGCAGAAGTTTCCATCTCTAGTCGCTCGTGCGGGAATCTGGGGGTCTTCCGGGTCAGACTAATTGTTGGCTGCCGCGAGGATCCTGCAGAAATAATGCCTTCGGTGACACGGGTTTAAGGCGAGCAACTGTTTTCGGAGGAAGTTCGGCGAGATTGTTCTGGTCCAGTCGGCCGTTCTCTGTATGCTGCACATGGAATTGCACGATTGAGTCAAGCATGGAGAGGATGGAATTGCGTATCGCTCAATCACTAAGTCAAGCCATGGTGCTCGAAGTCAGTTGTTCCCCGGTGAGACTTCCAGGTGGCGTGGTGATGAGCTGCTTCGAGGTGTAATTTGCTTTGACTTGAGCTTATTTGACATGACTAAGTATGGAAATTGCTGGCCGCGATCATAGGGCGGTTGGAGGGTAATATGCGTTGAGTAGGGCTGAAGGGTCATGGCTCGAGTTTCGCTTTCTACGACTGTTCGCTGGTCTGTAGGGATGTAATTTGATTCTTTTTGACAATAAGCCCATTCTTAGAACCTCAACTGTCGAATCGTATTGAGATGAATACCGAATCACACTATCCTTGTTCGATTGTGTGCTTGGAGGTGTTGTAACATGTCTTCCCTGTTTGGCAGATTGAGAGTGTCGCTGTACTGTGAAGGCTCAATATACCAAGGCAAAAGACTCAGCTCTGGCGTGTATGATTTCCGGAAAATTTGCTAGATGATAATAGAGCCGGTTGTCTCGTTCGTAGTAGACTATGCGTTCGCCAATGGCTCGTAGATAGAAACTCCTTGCACCAGAACCTGGTGCCTCGCGTGGACCGACCAACTCGGGTCTGAAATCCGACAACATTTGTCGGTCAGCTCATTCACAGACGGCAGTCTGACTAGAGTCAAAATACCAAGCGATTCTAAGCTGTATTGGGTGGTTGTGGAGCCAGCATACCTCGTATAATCGTGGTACATAGCCTCTGGAACAAGTCTCTTGTCTGGAGGACAAGCATTTTCGTTAGTTACTGTATTCAATTCACCCCGGCTGGGATTTATACCTAACCCTTCGTCGCTAGAGGAAGTAAACCATAAACAGAGTAGGTATACAAGCGTCAAATACCAGGACTCGATCATACACCAGGAAGACTTCATCAGCATAAAGACCCCGGAAATATGTAAGTATACCATGAACGCACGCTGTCACTCTTAGCGAGGGGAGAATGAGTGTGATTTATGCACGTTACAATGCAGCTCAAGTTTCGGGGAAGTGCTTGTCCTGATAGCCTGTCAGCTCCCCTATGTTGTCCCAAGCTGACGAAAAGAAGTGCACTGCATACGTCAACGGAGCATTCAGAGTTGACCGCCCTTTAAATCGAGTCTACCCAGGTGAGCCTGACTTAAAAACGGTGTCTCTACAGGATAGAAGCAGCTTCGTCACCGAATGCTGATAGCGCACCTCAGCACATAGTACTAGTTCATGAAACGGCTTGCCGCCGTTGAACATGCACTTGTCACACATTATCCTACCTAGTCAAGTTTCGAAAGGGGCAGATCCAATGGTATAACTAAGGGGGCTATTCTCGTAAAGAAAGTACCGTAGTTAGTTGATTGTATGTGGGCGTCTGTGTGGCAGGAAAGCGCCATATTGACGGCTGCGGCGTCACCTTTCACCTCTCTCGGACACCTACTCGCAGCACTGCACTCTAACCGGTCTCTGCGGCCGCTGATAGGCTAGATGTAATGCACAGTACCGGCCGTACCTTGGGATTGCCATAGGTATACGACGGTACCACAGAAAGAGAGCAATAAATATGCAATGTCGTCAGAGGTGTTCGAAAGACTGGACCGGGGCGGGTTAGATGCCAACAATCGGTAGTAAGTAAACCCCCTCTGCTCATCAGCAGCCGTGGTGGCTGATATGTTGTGTTCGTGCAAGGTTGGGGTTGGTCTTCCCCGTCGTTCCCCACCGGGGCAAGGGGCACAATCGTCGTATCCAAGGTCAAGATCTCCCAGAGTAGAAGGATTTACCCAATAGTATAGGTAGAGAGTAGCAAGATTCGGGACCAAGAATGAGTGAAAAGTAGGTTTAAATAGATGACGATGATGATGATGATAACGATGAACTATGTGACTAGCTTACTAGTTTGCCTACCTAACTACCTAGCTTAGTAGTTATGTTTGTTTAATAGTTCCCTCATTCAGTAAGATGGTTAACCAGCCCTGAGTGTCCAACTGCGAAAATCAATACGGTATTGCGCGTGGATCGGATATCGGGAAAAGGTTACCGACTAACTAACAGTAACAAACATTCATCGAAATCGGAGTCAGATCCGTCTGTTGAATTGAGTCAAGGAAGACCCCAAGGTCGGGACTCCCGGACCCAGTCCATCATCGAGGGTTCAATCAGAGTAATTCCTAACTGACCGGGCACCCCATTAACCAACCTGGATCTGCACAGAGAGAGAGAGAGAGAGAGAGAGAGATTCAATGAATACGAATTCTTCAAATCTTGCTTGCTCGCAACTCAGCCTCCCGACGTGGCTTGTCGATAACAGATACAGATAGATGCCCGACTCCACCGACAAGCCCCTTAAATCATCCCGGTCTTAGATGACAAGAAGTCTCGACTTTCTCTGCCCCATCGCCCACTCCAAATTGTCCCCATAATACGATTGACAAGGGACAAACCGGAAAGTCTCTCGCTAAATGGCTGTAGTCCACACATCTTTTGACTGGCCTACCGGTTCTGTTTCCCACCCCATTAGGGTCCGCAAGGCGCACGTACAGTACTTGACGCACTGCCAATGGCAGACATGGGCCTCGACGGAGGAGCCCCCCCCGTACGGTACTACGGAGTAGTAGGTAACGCCTGCGCCTCTACAACCTTTCTCTTCCAATAATACTTCGTGCTGGACCAGTCAGGCTGTCGGGATGGCTGCGCAGGGCTCGTGCAGTTTCTCTCACTGCGACAGATCTGGCGCTGCTCCCGATTCCATCCTGTCATCTACGAACTACAGAGGTACTCCGTACACTGTACAGTACTTCCGATGTACTCCCGTACTGATAGCTCCACCCAACGTTTATGATAGACCGAGTGGTCGTGACTAGAAGTAACTTTCTTTCCTTCGGATAGCAGCCGGAAAGTCCTCTGGGATAAGACTAACTCATTGGGAGTTTAGCGGACTGAAACTAGCTGAACAAGTCCCAACTCAGTTAGTCGTCCGTCTGGGCAAGGCAGTCAGTCAGTCAGTCAGTCAGTCAGTTACTATACTTAAACCTCTTGTTGGGTGGCAAGAAATGGCAGAAGAAAACAAGACAATGCGACGTAAGACAAATGGAATGAGGAAAATTTTGCAGTGAATTCTGGCGGCAATAGCTCGAAGTAGCGATATGATTTATTTTTAGGGGCAAATAGCTCTGATTGATTGTTCTCTATTCCAGGACAGTCCAGGGCAAGTTCAGAAGTACTTACTGACTGTACTAAGCTTATGTACAGTACCTCCCACCCAGCTGCAATGGACAAGAAGGAGGTAAGAAGGGGAAGAAATACGGAGCTCAGCTGTGTAGGAATAGGAATAATACTAGGTATTCCGTTGGAAATAAATAATAGCTAACTTCAGAGGAACGGGCCAGTACATACACCAGTAATTCTAACGCGGCTTTTTTCCAACCTGCTTCCTTCCGCTCGTGTGGATTCACTGGATTGATATTCGGTCTGGAAATCGGTGGTAACGAAGTGGGTAAAGATACGGGTGGTATTGTCACTCCACCACCATCTCCTCCTCCTCCTCCCTCCCATCAATCCATCTGCCCACCACATCAAACTAACACTAAACTACTACTAACTGATTGCTCCTCCCTTAATTCTTACTCTCTCCCTCCCTCTCTCTCCCTCTAAGCTTCTTTCTACCTTTCTAAACTTCCCCCCTCCCTCCCTCCCTCCGTCTTTGTTCCCCTTTTCTTCTCTTTCTTCCCAACTCTTTCCTAAAATCTGCCTCTTTTTCAGTTTCTTAGAGGGATCACCTAAGATTACTGGTTATTGACTGAGAATCTGTGACTGTCGTCACCTCCTCGTGATCTATTGGTCCCCCCCGACTTCCGACTCTTGGATCGATCTCATCAGCACAGGCTATCGCTGCCGCGGGTGATTCTGCAACCCCCCGCCTTTTGACCCCCCCCACCCCCCCCCCCCCCCATTTACCGCCCACCCTTCCCCTCCTTCTCACTCACTCCTCCCCCCCCCGTCTTATTCTTATCAGTCATTTTTACCACAACTCCTACACAGTCACCCAGTCATGAACACTATCTTCTTTTGAAGTGCGTTAGCCTTAACTTGCGGGGGCTCATTACGAGCCAAACTCTCGTTCTCCCACTTGCTCCGTCGTCCGAGCGTCAATTGCTGCGATACCCCGATGTTCGAGACCTTCGTGACCGAGCCATTGGCTGTTGATACCAGATCTTCTGTACTGCCGAGCAAGACCGATTCCTTTACCACTACTATCGAATACCCCGAAGAGCAAGCGACCACCCCTACCACAGGCCACCGGAGCCGGGGCAATAGTCTATCGTTCCCAACCCGCGACCTTGCCGCCGATCAGTTACCCAGCCGACAACCATCGCCCATGAAAATGACGACCGAAGGCCGCTATACCCCGAGCCCCGAACCGCCGCCGGCCCTGTTCGTGCGTGCCATGTACGACTATGACGCCGACGATCACACCAGTCTCAGCTTTAGACGAGGCGACGTAATTCAGGTGTTGAACCAACTCGAAACTGGCTGGTGGGACGGAGTGATCAATAACAGTGTGAGAGGCTGGTTTCCGAGCAACTATTGTACCGTGATCACCGACCTTAGCGAGATCGAGGAGGAGCAGGTTTCACAAGGTCGCGACGAAGAGGACGATGCTATTGTGGATTCAGGAGCTGGGGAGGACTACGGAGAGGAACAAGAGGCCGATGAAGTGGAATCGAGACGCAACTCGCGCGATTCGCAGCCGATCTTGCCGATCGAGGGCGCAACAGCGCCCAAGGAACAGGAAGAGGCCGCGTTCTGGATCCCGCAAGCCACTCCAGACGGCCGCTTGTTCTACTTCAACACCCTCACTGGCTATAGCACGATGGAATTGCCATTCGAGAACCCAACGGTCAACGAGACCGGCCCCTACGATAGAAATACCGTCATAGTGCCTGATCAGACTCGGCCTCCCCCGGAACTAATGGCTCGCGGGTTCGAACGCGATGAGGACGACTACGATGGTTCGGCATCCGAAGCGGAGGGTGAGTCTCTGATGTTGACTTCTCGTGATTCAATGTCTCGAAGGCGCCAGTCATATCTCGATGGAGTCTCGCCCGCAACATCCATGGACTCTTTGCACCCGCCGTCCGCTACGAAATCCATCAGTGATGATAAGCTTTCATATCAAGCGATGCGGTGCGCGCAAAACTTCTACGGAGGCGCCCCGCCAAGTAGCAACAATTCCATTTCCGATAATATCCACCGTCCTTCGGTCTCTTCGGAAGTCCCCTCGCATTTCGTTGATGACGGTGCTTCGACTGTCCTGACCTGGCCCTTGCTTGTTGAAAACATGCGACAGGCAGTGGAAACCTACCGGCAGACGCTGTTGAATGGCGACCGATCGGAGTATGTGCGAAAGGCAGAAGACATCTCTGACCATCTTCGTATGTTGCTGGCAGCTGGCTCGGACACGACCGACAATCATTCTGGCAATCCGTCGATCATATCCACCAACAAAACTCTCTATCCCCATTTCCGAGATATGATGTCCAAATTCTCCAAGTTGGTGCTCTCGTCGCACATTGCGGCAGCGGATTGGCCAGGTCCAGATTCTGTCAACAAGTGCCTGCAGGAGGCGGATGGCGTGATGCAAGGAGTTTATGGATTTGCCGAAGTTGCAAGGCAGCAGCGCGGTGATTCCATAAATCGCATCGTGCCAGGCTTCGTGGGTGGGAGTCATTCGGGTGGCTACTGGCAGAACAACGGTGTCCTTCTTAGTGAGCCGAGCCCGACTTCATTCTTGGATCAGGACGGAAGCGACCTGCGAGCAGAGCCGTCCGTGCCCCTTGACGCGGCCCTGCTAGACAAAATTGATATCCTCAGGAGAAACTTTGTTGGCAGCATCCGTCGCCTGGAAGAACGTTTGACACTTAATCAGAAGAAGATTGTGACCATTGTGGAACACGAGAATATTGGCAATCTGGTTTCGGCTGCTGCTATCAAGGTTGTTGACCAGTACCGCCCGTGGATTTCCGCTGTCGAATCGATCAACTTGGCGCCTCTCGGAACCGGCTTTCAGAACCCCCAACTCGTCGACTTCAGTTTGCAGAAGCAAAGGGTTTACGATGCAATTGCCGATTTCGTTGTAAGCTGCCAAGCAGTCACAGCACCCCTCGGAGATGAGTGGGCTGAACTACGCGGCGATTCCTTGGAAGATCGGTTGAATGCGGTTCGCAGCGTCGCGAGGCAGCTAGAGAACTTCGTTTCACAAATCGGATTTTCGCTATCACTCCTTCTCGAACAGGTTCCTGAGCCCACATCAGTCTTCCGCAGCGAGAGTCGCTTAGGCGGAGATGGTGAAAAATCGAAAGGCATCCATAGTCGCGCAGCGTCTCAAACCAGGATAGCGACGGAATCCATCGGTATCCCGTCCTCCTACTCCATTGAAAACTCGACTGAGAAGGTACGACGCAACATGGACAAGGCGCAGAGATTCTTTGGGCAAGCGCCACCAGCTGCGATTCCACGAGAATCCGTACGTGAGCCAGTTCGCGAGCCAGAAGAGACACCTTGGTTCTTGAAGATGGATCATGAAGGCGAGGTATTCTTCGATACGAAGAATGACAACCCCACCCTCAAATGTGGCACTCTAGCAGGTCTCGTGGAACAATTGACGCGCCATGACAAGCTTGACGCTTCCTTCAACAATACTTTCCTTCTCACCTACCGTTCTTTTACTACAGCCAAAGAGCTCTTTGAGCTGATTACCCAAAGGTTCAACATCCAGCCCCCATTCGGCCTGAACCCAGACGAGATGCAGATGTGGGTCGATCGGAAACAGAAGCCCATCCGCTTCCGCGTTGTCAACATCTTGAAGAGTTGGTTCGAGAATTTCTGGATGGAACCCAATGATGCGGCGCATATGGCTTTACTGGAGCATGTTCACTCGTTTACCAAGGACTCGATTGCAACCACTAAGACGCCAGGGTCACCACAGCTCCTGGCAGTGATTGAGCAAAGACTCAAGGGTCAAGACACGACTGTCAAGCGCTTGGTTCCCACACAGGCAACCGCAGCCCCGACACCAATAATACCTAAGAACATGAAGAAGATGAAGTTCCTGGACATCGATCCGACTGAGTTTGCTCGACAGCTCACTATCATTGAATCACGTCTTTATTCGAAAATTCGGCCTACGGAATGTTTGAATAAGACCTGGCAGAAGAAGGTGGGGCCAGAAGAGGCCGAACCGGCTGCTAATGTCAAAGCCCTCATTCTCCATTCCAACCAGTTAACGAACTGGGTCGCTGAAATGATCCTTACTCACTCCGATGTCAAGAAACGGGTGGTTGTGATTAAGCACTTCGTCAATATCGCGGATGTATGCATTCCTCTTCACGACCATCTCAGTTGACACACTAACCACTTTCCTAGAAATGTCGCGCCCTCAACAATTACTCCACCTTGACTTCCATCATCTCCGCTTTAGGAACGGCGCCGATTCATCGTCTAGGACGCACATGGTCTCAAGTTAGCGGACGCACATCTACGGTACTAGAGCAAATGCGTCGCCTCATGGCGAGCACAAAGAATTTCGGCGAATACCGGGAGACCTTGCATCTGGCTAACCCACCTTGCATTCCATTCTTTGGTAAGTAGACTCGGAATAAGACTTATGACTTCTCCACCCGAGTCCGGGTGCACAATGGCTGATATTATACCAGGGGTCTATCTCACCGACCTGACATTCATTGAAGATGGTATCCCATCATTGACACCATCGGAGCTGATCAATTTCAACAAGCGCGCGAAAACGGCAGAAGTGATTCGTGATATCCAACAATATCAAAACGTCCCGTACCTTCTACAACCGGTTCCCGAGTTGCAAGATTACATCCTTAGTAACCTGCAAGCGGCAGGCGACGTGCATAATATGTACGACCGAAGTCTGGAGGTGGAGCCAAGAGAGAGGGAAGACGAGAAGATCGCGAGGTATGCTGCTAATAACACCCCCATTGTTCCCAACACTGCAAGCGCCAGTCCTACCACAGGAAGCGGCACGAACAGCATCAACACCACCAGCATGCGTACCTTGACCTTTGCGAGCTTGGTCGTGTTAACACGATGATCTTTGGTCACTCTGTTTTCTGGCATTTTTTTTCGTCCCAGCATCGGCCACGCTACCCGTGGGGCGTGACTTCTCACACGGGCAGTCTACGCATGTTGAGAAAGGACTGTTGTGCATTTGAAACAATTTCTGATTGAATGGTCGAGGACTAACATTTGTGGCTTCTAACACGTAGACTCCTGTCTGAATCGGGCTTCCTGTAAATCGCCGCTTACCGCTCTTCCATCGTGGCGTCTTATCGGGCCAGGTATGGTGCAAGGCCAATCCTTGTCGGTGTCACATTGACTACATGCGCTTGGACATGATCGCTCCTTCACCAGTCAAACTCTGAATCGAACTGTCAACAGCGGAGAGCCTATCAGATGCGCTCAGTCGACCCCCTGATGGCGTGATAAGCAAGGGTCGGAGCTGCATACACATGCATCCATCCCAGCCGCGCCGCACAACCTTATCTCACTCCGCCGAGCCTATCAACGCGTTTCTACGTCCGCCAGTACTTATCACAAACAAGGTGGCAATTTCGCCTACACTCTATTTTGACGCTACCATTCTACGCTACTTCATACCACGACCACCCTGACGTCTATTGGCTGTTGTGGCGGAACCGCTCGATTGAGCTGGGAAAACTGACAGGCCTCTCACCATTTTACACGCTGCTGCTCAATTGACATAGTGGGCCTAGTCCTACGACTCATACAGGCTTGCGGCTACTTGCAGCATGGAGGTTGGCTGGTCTACCTTGTCACCGCTGAGCTTCCGAATGCATTAGATTTCGGCAAGTCAGTGCTACGGTTTGCTTGCCACTCTGCCTATTATCGAAACCAAAAGAAAAATAATCATCATCAAAACCCGAAATACGAATGAAATGACGAGGCAGAGTATTACGCCAGGATGCCTGTATTATCCAACGAGGGTGTCATGACTGGCGTCGACGACCCTCAATTACGACATAAAATTTATTCATTGCCAGGTTTCAGTCGCTGTCATATTTTATAGACCTTTGACTAGGTGTCTCGTTCCTTTCCCAACCAACTTCAATTCGACATGACCTTTCGATTTCTTTTGTTCCTTCGCCGTCACACATCAACGGACCAGCAACCAACTCTGCATCTTTTCTTCTCTGAAAATACCTGCCTCGCATTTCGATCCTCTCTTACTTCTATATACTTGCTTTGTACAGTGACCTATCCCCCTTCGTTCCTTGTACACATTCATGATTGTGTGGTTTTCCCCCTGTGTTCACTGTATGGCCCTGCCTACTACCTGGGTAATGAAATGACCTGCTATGACACATCTTATCGAAGCATGTGGTCTTTGTTTGAAACATGGTTCTCACCGCCTGTCAATTTCCATTAACACATGTACTTACCTGTTTTATTACTGAGGATATGCCTCATTTCTAGTGTATAGATTTACATTGACGGCGCTCACCCGCCCCAGGCCGCAGGAACCAAATACCTTTGTAGGACAGACATGCAAAGAGTCCAGATGTCAAATCCGTTCCCGTAGCTCTGCAAGGTAAAAATCGATGCCAATCAAAGCGAGCCAAGTCGTGACGAGGATGGCTCTATAGAGAGACCGGCACAAATACATCATAGTCCAGAGATTGAGAGGAGCTAAGGTAAAGTCATTTCACCGCATAACTGACTTTATAGCTTGGTCTAGCTCAAATAGGCTTTGTGCCTAAGTCTGTCACACTTTCCTGCCCGATGCCCTGAAATAGCTTCCTCTTCACCTCGGCCGCGAGGAGTCCCTTTACCTCCTCCGATACGATGCGCTGTCCGTCCCGAGCGACGCGGTCCAGCTGGTGATCCCTCATCTGCATTGCATTGCCTCTCGAAGCATTGCTCTCGACTCCGCGCGTGGCCCGGCGGACCTTCTGACTGAGATCCATCATCTGCTTGCTACCATAGTCGCGCGTGGCGAAGAGCGGGCTTTGGCTGAGCGTGGCAACCCAGTACTTATTCCAGAGCAGGTCGAGAATGGCAGAGTCCAGGGAACTCTTGAAGATGGAGACCTCGAGGGAGTAGTAATGCGAAGCGTGGGCCCCGAAATCCTCAGCCTTGCTCAGCGGCACCGTCTGATACCCGTCACCGCCAGCACTAGTCCCCTCTGCACCACCATCCTCCTGATCCTCCTTGGGCGGCACATAATCCTTGGGGAAAGTGCGAAACGCCCCGATATCGACCTTCCCGGCGGAGATGGTGCGCTCGGGATCAATGACCACCGCGACAAACGGCCCGCCCAACTGCTGCATATCCTGCGTGGTGACATCGATGCCGGACAGCCAGCACCCGTAGCCGGGGTGGCTGTGGTACCAGCCCACGGCGTTCTCCATGCGCCCCGCATCTCGGCACGACTGCAGATACGAGACCATGTATTCGTTGGCCTCCTCTTGCGCGTTCACCCGCGTTTCCGTTCCCTCCACCGGCAGCCGGTATGCGTCCGTCACCACAAACGTCTCCGGCAGGATGTAACCTTGCATCAGGCCCATGACCTCTAGCGACCCACCGGAGCGCGCGTGCATGACCATCTTGAGCAGTGCGAGGGCGGAAATCCGGATCGTCTTGAAGTAGTGCGGGTCCTTGGCCCATGGCCGTTGCGCGGATAGCGTCTTGTGGGTTTCTTCGTCATAGTTGTAGAGGGTGTCACGCTGCGGGTCGATTAGAGTGACGGCATTTTCGAGCTCTGTTTTTTTGTTTTGAGGGTTTTGTTAGGAGGTTGGTTGGTTGATTTGGAGGATTATGAGGGGATGCGTCGGGGGGGGGGAAGGGGGGGTAAAGATGGGACGGTGACTGAGACTGAGGGTGAGGTAAGGTGGAGCGGTCCGGACTGCGGAGATACTCACCCCAGGATTGCTGTGCTACTTGTTGCATGGTGAGCTGATGGGATTAGAAGGGAGAAGGTGAATTCGAAAGAGAAGATGACTTAGAGATTCAATTCTGAGATGCTGTTGACGAGAACGTGAGATCAACTAAGTAGGATGGGTGGGGACTATTTTATAGATTTGGATGATGTGTTGTGATAACTAGTAACATGTAGTTCAGTTAAGTTACTAAGTTATTGTCGATGGCAAGTGCGTGGATAGCGGAAGTGGGGGCGGCAACAGCAAGCAAGGCGGCCAGGAAGGCGGTGGGAAGAATGGTCTGGCAGATCGCTGGCAGATCACTAGGCGGTCAGTCAGCCATTGTTTGTTTGTTGCTGCGGAAACCAGGGCGGGAAGGTTCAAGCCGTCAAACAAGGCGGCGAAGGCAAATGGAAGCTGGGCGGGTCGGGAATCTCCAGGGCGGGAAAGTCAGTCCAGTCCAGCCTGTGCTCGATTCGGCGATTGTTGTCTCTCTTCCAAGTTCCCTCCCCTTCCTCTCCTCCACTTCGCGCCCTCCACCCTCCCCCCCCCTCAATCTATCTATCGATCTGTCTATCCTCCTTCTCTATTCACACACACACACACACACACAAATCACACGACTCACCCTCCCACCCCCTCCCTCCGTCACTCCGTCACCCTTGCATCTGCTTGCAGCCGTGATTCCCATAATCAACTCAACTGGGTTGCGCCTGGGTCTTGCAGATGCCATACTATCTGTGACGCTTTTCTTTTTCCTTTTCGTTTCGTCCGCCCTGCAGTCTCTGTTGTGGTCTTCTTCCGCGGCAGTTTGACAGGTGAAGGCGCATTGTCGCCCGCAGATCTTATATGACGGTGTGGACCGCGTTCGCTCCAAGGCGATCGGCTCGTCCAAGTGGGTTGCGCGTGCAATCGCATTCCCTCTAAAGCAAACTTCATACCCGGCGCTTGCACATCCCCCGATCCACCTGGGCTGAGGCGGACCTCGAATCCACCACGATGGCGGTCGATACCAGCTACTTGACCACCCAGGTCAACACCATCGTCTCCGAACTACATGGCATCTTTGATGACATTGGTGTTCCAAGTCACGAGCGCGACGCGCGTGAAGCAGAGGTTTGTTTACATCCCCACCCCCCAATGGCGCCCGCATCTACTACCTCCTCCAGTCAAAAATTGTTCGCATACTGACGCTTCTTGGTTTTTCTTCTCATGTAGCTCTTCAGTGCGTTGTCCGAAACGCTCAGCAACCATCTCAAACTCGTGGACACGTAAGTTATACACACTGCGCCATTGGAAGGAAAATCATTTGTGAACCCCGAAAAGACATCTGGTGCCAAGAATGGGCGGCTAAATCTTCTTTGCTACAAACATCAGTGAGAAGAAGGAGATGGAAGAAGAGGCGCAGCGACTGATCACCGCGATTCAACATATGGAACATTCGCTGGTGGACGAGAAAGCCAATGGACAGTATCAGCTCGATCACAATGCCTTGCGCATCAGCTACCCGCTCAACCGTTGTTTGGCTTTCTTGCGCGAGGAACACGGCGCGTTGAGTAAATTGCATAATGAGCGCTTCGAGCAGGTCAGAAGTAAGTTTTTGTCGCTCTGGCTCTTGGATGTTGGATTGCGCGCAAACAGTGAAAGAAAGCTGACGGACTGGGGTACAAAGAGCTGGTGGAGGCCCTCGAATCCTACGCGTCGCATCTTGAAGAAACATTCGTCACCATCGAACTGCCGCCGACGGCCCCTGGCACCACGATCTCGCCTAGTTTCGATCTGTCCCCGTCATATGTTACCGCTTTGGACGACGAATTTACGAGAGTCTACGAAGAATACCATCGCCGCCTCGGATTTGTCAAGACCACGTGCGAGGAAATCATCAAGTTGTGGGCCGAGCTTGGCACCCCCCAGGTACAAACGGACACAAACATTGTCAAGTTCTATCGGGAGGCACCTGAGCAGCTAGGTCTTCATGAGTCCGATCTGAACAACCTGAAAGCAAAGCGCGAAAAGCTGCTGGAAGAGAAGAGAGGTCGGGAGCGTAAGCTGAAGGACCTCAGGACCGCGGTGGAAGCGCTCTGGGTACGATTCGGGATTGATGAGAGCGATAGAAAGGAGTTTCTGGCCGCAAACCGTGGCTGTGGACTTCGGACGATCAACGAGTTCGAAGAAGAACTAGGTCGTCTGAACGAACTCAAAAGCCAAAACCTGCATCTCTTCGTTGAGGATGCCCGAGTCCGGTTGCAGGAGCTGTGGGATGCACTATACTTCTCGGAAGAAGAGATGATCGACTTCACTCCAGCTTTCTCCGACGTGTTCAGTGATGCCCTGCTTGAAGCCCACGAAGGCGAGATTGCACGACTGGAAACCCTGAAGGCACAGCGCGCGCCAGCTCTGGCGCTCATTGACAAGCATCGCGAGCTCTTGGCCGAACGGGAGGCTTTGGCTATATCTAGTCAAGACGCCTCCCGTCTCATGGCGCGTGGGGCGAAGGGTGAAAGGCGCGACCCAGGCAAGTTACTAAGAGAAGAGAAGATGAGAAAGAGAATTGCGAAAGAACTGCCCAAGGTTGAGGTGGATCTCAGGAAAGAGCTGGAGAGATGGGAAGAAGAATACGGCCGGCCATTCCTCATCCACGGCGAAAGATACTTGGAGAAGCTCACCCCAGTCGTCACCAGACCTCCCACACGGTCCAAGACTCCCTGCGCTGCCCCCGCTAGTGCCACCAAGCGAAGCACTGGCCAGATGCAGCCACCATCGCGCCCGGCCAGTGTCATGAGGGGGGCCCCACCCCCGCGCTCTGCAAGCAAGACGCCCACCGGCAATCATCCTCCAACCAAGTATAACACCATCGGTCCGTCGAGAGCGCCTTCTAGAGCGGGCAACAAGTCTCCCTCTAAAATCCCGGCCCGAGTGCCACTCAGTAATATGCCCCATGCCAACAATTCCCCCCAACGGCGCGCGGTTCCTGGGGCGTATTCTTCGAGCACAATCAATGGCAAAATCCCAGCGCCGCGTCCACCTCCACCTCGAATGCGGGCATTGACTGGTGGTGAATCACGAGAGGAGCGGATGTCTTACCTCTTTGACCCTCCGCGGAGCGCCAGCGCATTGTCGAATTCATTGGTGCGACCCGTGAGCCCTGAAGACGTGTATGATGACCGTCACCAGCGCTCTTTTGTCAGCTCGTCTGCGTTCTCTCATCGATCTACCGGGTTTTCAAAGTCATCTCTTTCATCAGTCTCATCGTTATCCTCTTCCATGCAGGCGTTTCCCAAACCCAATCCCTATCTGCAGCGCGCAGCTCCACCTCCGGCTCCGGCACCCAGACAAGTCTCTAATACGTCAACCGTCATCTCGGCAAACACCGAGTCGGAAAACTGGGAGACGTTCGATTCTGGCACTGACTCGGAAGCTGATGCTAGCGATATCTATTACGCTAAACTTCGGGCGGCTCACGGGAAACGCCTGTTGGCTCCCGAGGAGCCCTCCGTTCTTTCTCTGGGAGGGAAAAAAGCCAAGGGCATTCGGAGTGTCAGTCCTGACGAGCCCGCCGACATGCAGCACGGACAGATGATGCATGCAGGGGAATGTGATGATGAGTGGACGGACAACCTGGAGCCCTATTGAAGCATCTGAGGGTGCTTTACTTACTCTACTTCCGACTCCCAGTTTTCTGGGCCTAGAGCACGGTGATCAGCTCTCTCTGATAACCGCCTGTTCCCTGCCGATCCATGCCGGCAGTGTCCTGCTTGAGCTTCCATGCCCTTTCCAGAGGCAACGTAATCAAGCGTTGCTCAACGCTTCTATTCTTCTATGTTGAAATTGTCAAGATTATACCACGCTGTTATGCCATTGTCGTCATTGCTTGCTTCAGCTTGTTTATTCGTGGCGTCCAGACCATCTGCGACGCCAATCAACCGACCTACCTCACTACGTGATCTAGGTCCCAGTCCCTACCGGTTCGAGACTTCGAAAAACGAAAAAGCTAAAAACCACGAACGACATGACTTGGATGCGTTACATGTTGCAACCTCAAAATACGCTTATCATCACCCGAGCAAGCGGCTCGACTTCATGTACTATGGTCTCGTTTACTTTTGTCTGAAAACTCCAGCGGCAACCTTCGCTTACAGAGTGCAGTCGAGGCTGGGAATCTGTCTTCTTTTGTGACACTAACACGACTTCCCAGTGACTTCCTCGAATTCGACTCAAGAAGTCTCAACGACGTTCTGGTGCTCCTATACATCGCGAGTCCAGCCTCTTTGTCTCTCTCTCCTTCCTTGCCCATTTCTCTTCTTTTCCATAATCTTCTTGGTGTGGCTGTCTTGCTTGTTTAATGTGATATCGTGTACACGACATTTGACATGCACTCTGTTTTCTCTTCCTGCTGCTTGAATTGGTTGTGATATCAGCGTTTAATTGATCTCGTGTCGTCTCAGCCTTGAGTACATTTATACATGAATTTATCTCGACATTCAATTCTTCCTTGTAAATGCAATATGCAGGTATAGTCACGTCGTGCACATGAGACAAGAGAAAACGAGGATATTATTACACCAGAGACATGTCTATCGTACACGATTCCCCCTTTTTTTTTACTCAAAAGCAGCCAAAGCAGCGAAAGCAGCGAAAGCAGCCAGCCCCATCTCAAGCCCTCTTCGGCGCAAGCGACCCCATCCACGAAATATCTTTCGACTTCTCTGCAGCTGCCGCACTCTCCTGCGGGCCCTTATACCGCTTCACGCCCCGGTTAGGCACCATCTCCAGCGTCAACGCCTTGGCATCCTGCAACCGGCGCACCGTCTGCTCCCGGCCCAGAATGACCATCGTCTCCGGGATCCCGGGCCCGGGGGCCCCGCCCGACAGCGCCCAGCGCAGGTAATGGTAAAGTTCCTTCTTGAAGAGCTTATCGGCCGCCTTGCGAGCGGCTTCGAGCTCTGCGGGTGATTGCTGCCCCTCCTGCTCCAATGGTCGTCCTCCAGCTGAGGCTGAGGCTGAGGGAGATTCAAGGACAGCGGAGGCGCCGTCGTAAGCGGCGATGTTGGCGCGGTGGGTGTCTAGCGTCCAGTGGCTTGGGGGCACGAGGGTGAGGGCTGTGGCGGCGGTGTGGAGGCTGGAGAGCGGGACGGCTGCGGTGGTGGTCGGTGGGTTCGTAGCGGATGGGGAGGAGGGAGGGGAAGAGGCGGGCGTGTATGCGGGGCGGGTCAGGGTTGCGGCTGTTTGAAAGAAGGTCTGGTTCCGAGAGAGGAAGTCCTCTGGTGTGGTGTAGGACTTGGCGTCGGCTTGGAGGAGCGGGGTGATGTAGGATGGGAGGGTGCGGGTGTTGAGGATTTGGGCGCTGCAAATTTGTTAGTTTGTGTGAATAAAAAACGGTGGTTTGGAAGGGGGTGCGTCTGGGATTGGGGGCGCTCTGAACATACAGTTGCTCCTTGGAGTAGGTGGCTTCGACGGTGGTGGTGAGTTTGTGCACCATGTCCTGGAGTTCGGGACTTTCTGGAGCAGAGGCGAAGCGCTGCGCGTGCGCTTTCTGGAGGAACCATAGCTTCTCGAAGGCGACGACGGTGTTGCCGCGGGTGATTTTGAGGTTGAACTGGTAGGGTTTGAGAGGTTAGTTCGTTGTATGTATGTATGGGTATGGGTGTGGGGGTGTGTGTGTGTGTGTGTGTGTGTGTGTGTGTGTTGATGGGAATGGGGGGACGTTTACGAGTTGTTCCAGTTCCTCGAGGTTGAAAACGTCTGACTTCTGGGTGTGTGACCAGCCGAGAAGGGCGGCAAAGTTCACCAGCGTCGCAGCGAAGATGCTCTGTGTGTCTTTGAAGAAAGTGAGGTCGATATCGGCGTTGCGCTTGCTGAGCTTCTGCCCGGATTTGTCGACGAGGAGAGGCACATGTCCGAATTGAGGCGGTGTCCACTTGAAGGCGTTGTAGAGCGCGACGTGCAGCGGGGTAGAGGCCATCCATTCCTTGTTTGTCTCGCTGTTAGATTCTGGTGTAAGGCATGGCGTGGCGGCCAGGGTAGCTTACCGTGCCACGGATGACATGCGTGATTTCCATGAGATGATCATCCACCACGTTTGCCAGGTGATATGTCGGATGCCCATCCGACTTGAGCAGAATTGGATCGTCATAGACGCGCTCAATGAGATCCAGCTTGGTGTTCGGCCGGTTCTGGCCCGTCTTGCCGTAGACAATGTCATAAAACATGGGATATCCTTCCACCTTCAACCGAACAACATGCGCCTCGCCCTTGTGTGCCCTCTCTGCAGATTCTGCGGCGGAAATCTCGGCGCATCTGCGATCGTAACCGGGCGCAAGTCCAGCTTCGCTGCGGTGTCTCGCGTGTGCGTCCAGTCGCTCTGCGGAACAGAAGCAGCGATACGCGTGGCCGTTGTCGATGAGTTCGTGGGTGTGCTTGCGATAGGTCTCTGTGCGTTCAGACTGCCACAGACATGAGACACCATTCCAAGGACACGACCAGAGAGTAACTCACCTGCCTATAAGGGCCATACGGACCCCCCACGATCGGACCTATTGTTTTCCGTCTGCCGTCAGTACGCATCGCATGACAGCGAGACCTACAGGGCACGAGTGCTGACCTTCGTCCCATTGTAACCCAGCCCAGCGAAGGTCATCATACAGCCTCTGTTCGGCTCCCGGAATCGTGCGTTTCTAGATTGCATCCGCCGTTCAGCCCACAGCGCTTATGATAGACGGATGGATCGAGCTTCGAACCTGGTCGGTATCTTCAATGCGGAGCAGGAACTGGCCGCCGGTACGTTTCGCCAACAAGTAATTAAACAGTGCGGTCCGAAGGGATCCCAGATGGAGATAGCCGGTGGGCGAAGGCGCAAAACGAGTTCTAGCAGGGCCGTCGGGCAGATTGGTCTTCCTGTTGTGATTGCCCATGCGGAGCTTGGAGCCGGGTGCGGCGACGGAGGAGTAACCAGCGCGGCATTGCGTGCAGATCCACGTTTGTCGAGCGCGGAGGTTGGGGATAGGTCGTCTCATCATTCTAAAGGAGAAATTCCTATTCCCCGGAAAGCGAGCGGAATACGCAAGGAGACAGGATAGAGGCAATGACTACACAGACAGGAGTGTGAGTGAAATGCGAAAGCAACAGCAAACGATCGGGCGGAGGTAAAATTAATTCCGACAGCGCGAAAAAGGCGGAGACGTAAATGCCGGGCATGTGATTGGCCCCCCTCAGCGGCAATTGGAAATTATTATCACAAGCCCAGCTACCAGTCGTTGTTTTTCCACCCCGTCGTCTTTGGCTGTCTTTCATCCCAAAGACGAGATCTCCTCTGCCACGGCTCATCTTTTTCTGCTCGGGGCTGTGTTCAAATCAACTTCGCTTGTCGTGTTTTGTGTCTCTCCTTTCTTCGATTGATACCCTTTACTTTTTGTTCTTCTGTTCTGTTCAGTAGTCGGGATTACCCGTCACCGCCTGCCAGTATGTTTCCCAGGAAATTTTCGTTGCTGCTTGAAGAACGCGATACTGACATCCTGCAGTGTCTTCAAAAGTCGAGATCGATCTCTATGGTAAGAGTCACTGAAATTGCATTGCGCTGCGGCGAGAATCGTCGACTAGCGACCGAAGTTTCTCTAACGTGGTTCTGCAGAGGTCCTCGAAATTTCCAGCAGTGCCAGCAAGGAAGAGATTCGCAAGGCTTATCGCAAGGTGGGAAAATGCCTTAATACTTCACTTTTCTTGACCAACTCTGATCGTTGTTTCTCCAACAAATAGGCCGCACTCGCCAGCCACCCGGACAAGGTCCCTGAAGCCGAGCGAGAAGCCGCAGAAATCCGGTTCAAGGCTGTCCAGGAAGCCTACGATATCCTCTACGATGAAGAGAAGCGCCATATCTACGACACTCATGGCATGAGTGCGTTCAACGGTTCCGGTGAGCCGGGAATGGGGGCGGGCCCGGACCTCGATGATATCCTCGCGCAGATGTTCGGCGGCATGGGCGGCATGGGTGGCATGGGTGGCATGGGCGGCATGCCTGGCGGACCTCAGGCGCGCAAGCCCCGCAAGAGCCCGAACGAGGAGCAGAAGTATGAAGTCAGCTTGGAAGATCTCTACAAGGGCAAGACAGTCAAGTTCTCTAGCACCAAGAACGTCATCTGTTCTCACTGCCGGGGTAAGGGCGGCAAGGAGAGGGCTACGGCCAAGAAATGCGCCACTTGCGACGGACACGGTATGCATGCCCGTGGTCAAAAAAAAACTCACGAAATGGTTATGAGCTAATAGCTGTGGTGTTCAGGTGTCAAGCAGATTTTGCGACCCATGGGTCAATTCCTGTCCCCAACTATGGTGACCTGCTCTACGTGTAAGGGTCAGGGTGAGTTCTTCAGCGACAAGGACAAATGCAAGAAGTGCAAGGGGCAGAAGACGACCGAAGCGAAGAAGTTGTTGGAGATCTACATCCCTCGCGGGGCGAGGTAAGTGCATGTAGCCCTAAATATCTCGGGATGAGGGCTAACGTTCGCGTCAGGGAGGGAGATAAGATTATCTTGGAGGGTGAGGCCGATGAGGTGCCAGGTCAGGAACCGGGAGACATTATCTTCCACTTGGTCGAAGAGGAACACCCGGTTTTCAAGAGAGCTGGTCCTGATTTGACCGCGGAGATTGATGTCACGCTGGCGGAGGCCTTGACTGGTTTCTCACGCGTAGTGATCAAGCATCTCGACGGCCGCGGGATTGAACTGAAGCACCCCAAGGCTCCTGGCCAAGTGCTGTCCCCTAACCAGGTTTTGAAGGTGCCTGGGGAAGGAATGCCGGTCAAGCGTGGTGACGCTCGTGGTGACCTGTACCTGATTGTCAACATCAAGTTCCCCGATGAAACGTGGAAGCCCACGCCGGCGGTTCTGGAGCAGATTAGGCAGATGTTGCCCAAGCCGGATGCTCCTATTCCCGCCGACACGGTGGATGAGGTCGAGTATGACCCCAAGGGAAATATTGAAGATTTCGGAGCCCAGGACCCGGAGGGAGGAAACGCCTGGGAAGACGATGATGATGAGGGGGGAGAAACCGCTCAATGCACGACCCAGTAATTGCTGCCATTTGACCGGGATATGGATGCATTTTCCGCCTTTCATTTTTTTTTTTTGACAAAATTATCTTTATTACATTTGGTTGAACCTCGATACCTATTTGTTGGGTTCATTATATGAATGATGGCGATAGACTTTGCTGGCTATGATGTTTTAGACCCAGCTCTTCTCTGGCATCATGGGCGTTTTAGGAATGACCTCCCATGATGTATACATGAATGAAAAGAACCATTTGATGATTTTTCGGTTAGACGAGTTGTGCTCTATGAGATAGCGTCATAGCTTAGTTTCAAGGTATCACTCCACGGGGTAAACGTGGGATGCCACCATCACTGACTGGTATTTAGTCACTGTCAACTAAAAGACTCGTCCGAGTCGACAAGAAAAACCCCCACTCTCCGATCCGCCCAGAATCCGGGATAGCGTGGGGTAAAAATCCCAGAAGTCAATGACGGCAAACCACGCGATCGCATTTCCCCAAATCCACCCCGTACCTCTCGTCCCTTTATTCCGACACTTCGTTTGTGGTTCTGCCCAAGTCGTGTCTCATTTTGAATAGTATTGGTTTAAATAGCATCCCTTCCCTCTTCCCGGGATGATTCTGCTTTTCAATTCTTCCTTTCCCGAAATCCAGCCGAAGCTCATCCCCGCACGCGGGCTTATCTACCACTTTGTCTAAAGTTAGTACTACCTCTCTGTCGCTTTTACAAGCCGGCGAATCTGGCCCGAGGCCATTCGGCAACTGTGTACTTCGGGGACTCTCCGACTGAAATCACGGGTAAGTCTCGGCTGGGCTTTTCATCTATCCCGTGTCTACATCTATAAGTATGATATGTCGATATATTGTATAGCATTAACTCGTCAAAGAAATCCAATCTACTACACCTTTCTCTTCACAATCCACAACGATGCCGTGTGGGTCCCAATCGACCTGTGAAGGCTGCTCCTGCAGCGCCCAAAATGGCACACCCCCACCCCCCGTCAACATCGAAGACTGCGAATCCGAGCTGCTGGCGCTCCGCAAGCGGACTATGGAGCTGGAGAAGACGTTAGCCACGATGGCTAAGAGCAGCGGTGCATCTGGCCCCAAGCGGGGTCGGCGACTGCGCTCCGCGGACTGGTTCCGATGCGAAGAGGACCCGGGCATGATGGCGCTGTACATCGAGCGATATCTCAACTACGGGATGACCCGGGAAGAACTGATGTCCGGCAAGCCCATCATTGGAATCGCGCAGACAGGGTCGGACCTGGCCCCCTGCAATCGACATCATCTGGAACTCGCAAAGCGGGTTCGGGAGGGGATCAGATCGGCGGGCGGCATCGCGTTTGAGTTCCCTACTCATCCCATTCAGGAGACGAGTCGACGGCCAACGGCGTGTATTGATCGCAACTTGTCGTATCTGAGTCTGGTGGAGGTTCTGCACGGGTACTTTTTGGACGGAGTGGTCATGCTCACGGGATGTGACAAGACAACCCCGGCTTGCTTGATGGCGGCTGCTACTGTGGTACGTCAGCACGTGGAGCACCCTTGGAGAGGAATTACAGTTTGCTGACTCGTTGATGAAGAATATTCCAGCTATCTGTATGAATGTTGGCCCAATGCTCAACGGCTATGTTAAGAACGAGCTGGCGGGTTCTGGGATGGTGGTCTGGAAGGGCAGGGAGAAGTATGCCGCTGGCGAGATAAACACGGAAGAATTTGTGGACTATATCTCTCGAGGGTATGTACTAGCATCTTAGGCAAGAAAAAGTCTTCTCACCAATGAGCAACAGGACTCCGTCAGCAGGACACTGCAATACAATGGGCACAGCGTCAACAATGAATGCGCTGGCTGAAGCCTTGGGTATGGCGCTGCCCGGCTCGGCCGCCATTCCTGCTCCATATCGCGAACGAAGTCAGTGTGCATATGAGACGGGTGTACGGATCGTGGAGATGGTTCACTCCGATCGGAAACCGAGTGACATCATGACGCGAGAAGCTTTTGAGAATGTAATCGTGGTCAACACAGCTATCGGTGGTAGCACCAATGCCCCAATCCACATCAATGCCATAGCAAAGCACATCGGAGTCGATCTTTCCCTTGATGACTGGGATAATCTGGGGTTCCATATTCCCCTCCTTCTGAACATGCAACCTGCGGGGGAGCTCCTGGGCGAAGAATACTACCGCGCAGGTGGACTGCCTGCGATCATGGCAGAACTGCTCGACGCAGGGAAGCTGAATGCAGGGGCTGTCACATGCAATGGTCATACAGTAGCAGAGAATGTGCGGGGGAAACACACCTGGGACCGTCGGACGATCCGGGCTTTTGACAAACCTATCCTTCAAGATGCCGGGTTCCTTCACCTACGGGGCACGTTGTTTGAGTCTGCCATCATGAAGACATGTGTGATCTCGGACCAGTTCCGGCAAAGCTTCTTGGAGAATCCCGATGATCGTAATGCATTCGAAGGGGCGGTGGTGGTTTTTGACGGACCTGAAGATTACCACCATCGGCTTGAGGATCCTGCAACCCCGATTACCGACAAGAGTATTCTGGTAATGCGCGGGGCTGGACCGCTCGGTTATCCAGGTGCAGCAGAAGTGGTGAACATGCATCCTCCGGGGAACCTTTTGAGACAAGGAGTCAAGTCGCTCCCTTGCATTGGCGATGGGCGACAATCGGGTACCTCCGGATCTCCATCGATCCTGAACGCAAGCCCCGAGGCAGCTGCAGGAGGGAATCTGGCCATTTTGAAGGATGGCGATCGCCTGCGTGTCGACCTCAACACACGCCGAGTCGATATCCTCGTTTCCGCGGAGGAACTGCAAAGACGGCGCGACGAACTCGAGGCCAAAGGAGGGTATGGAGTGCCGGAAAGCCAGACCCCATGGCAGGAGTTATTTCGCAAAGAAACAGGACAGCTGAACGAAGGAATGGTTCTTCGTGAGGCTGTCAAGTTTCAACGGTTGGCTCAACGTTATGGGGCACCGAGACATAACCATTGATGAAATGACGCCATTCACTTACAGCAAATTGAAATAATAATCTCTCAAGAATAACTCTTGGCTCATGGCCCAGTCCTACTTGTCTGGAATGTGCGTACTGGCTTTTGGTCAAGTGATGTAGACCTCAGTCTTGGCCCGTGATTCCTCTCTTGGAGGATAATGCATCGCACTGGAAGTGTAGGCAGTCGCATATGCAGCCTTAACAAAAAAAAGAAAAAGAAAGAAGGAAAAGAAAAACAATAAGTTAGGGCTGACTGGCTGGCTGTGTAAATTAGAAGGGACTGGAACCTCGATCCCTCAGAGTATTAATCACAAGGAGCCTCCTTGCTTCACTTACTCTGCATCAAACGTGGGATTTCCCACTTCACACTTTACACTGCCCCTCCTTCCTTCTTGCCTGTCTTTCTCATCTTACCTTTGCTCCTCTTGCTCCTCGTGTCAGGATCTGAGGCTGATGACAGCATCGCCTGTTCTGATCCGTGCAACCTGCACCTCTTGGCCAGAGCGCCGAAGAGCCAAAGAGGCTCTTTGTGCTTCCCCTCCCTTGAGTCTCTCATTCGACTCGCTCGCATTTTCCACCGAAACCCACGAACTAAGTTCTGACACCCCCTTCACTGCAGTCAAGGGAGTAAAACTAGGAAAAGACTGAGAAGGCCTGAGCCAACTCCGCAAATCCCGGTTATCATCGCTCTGTTGTCAACTGCAGATGCCAGTTCGTTCACCACCACCACCAGCTCTTCCCACCCATGACTGTGCCCGGACCTAATCGAGATAACCGGGGCCGCTGTGATTGATGCGACATGACAGCATAGCCGCCGCCCTCTCGTCTTCCCGAGTGGTTATTGCCTACATGGCTCATGCGGTGACCGTTGTCGCTTCTCCCGATATGCTATACGGTTTTCTCCGAGATTGGCCGATTGACAGAAAGACTCGCATGGCACCCACGCACAAATATGCTCGGGTGCTTGTGATTCACCCTCCCCTTGGCCGACCAGGCGGACAGTTGTCCAATGCACGAAAAATGCTCCAAAGTGTAATAACTTAGGCCAAGGGAAGTGTGTGAGGTAGGGGGTGGGGAGCGAGGCCTTCCGCCAAAGAATGAGGGCCAGAGGTTCCTTGACCCTAGGGCCTGTGATGTCTTGTCGCAAACGCTAAAATCAAGTGTATTCACTACGGGTTACTCCGGGGGACCATAGGATGACGCTGATAGAGGAGCGCTCTGATCATTGATGATGAATTGAGTCATTGCCATCATGGACTGTCATTTCACTTCTTCGTTCTCGTTTGGATGAGATGACATTTACTAATCCCACGGCCGAGTAACCAACCAGTACAGCCATCAGATGACAGATGAGAATGGATGGGATGGGTTGACACCATCATGAGTCCTATACGAAGATATCCACCCACTGGGTCGGTTTTCTCAGCTCCACCGCACAGAGACACTCTTCACACCACCCAACATCAATCACCACCACCACGTCGTGAAATCAAACCTGACTTGTTCTATCTCACATCGGGACAATATCCCCGGGTCTTAAGTATGAATAGAGAATATCAAACACACACCAGAACCACCAACGAAGGTGCAGCAGAAAACTTTAATCACTCAAAGCGGCCCAGCATCAGTTCTTGTGGGCCTGGTGGGTCTCGGGAGTCTCCCGCGTCGTTTTCTCTCAGTGGGCAAAATTTGCTGTTGCCCTGGAAGGTTCCCTGACCTGACGATGTTCTCGCCCCGGTGTCTTCGAAGAGTTTTTCCTTGGGTTTCGATGCTTAGTGTCCAATCCCCACTTGGCAAATTCTTGAATTCAGAAAGAATTAACAATACCAAACAATTGCAGAGTGGGTGGGATTTGGGGCTGACCTCAGACCGCCCCCCAGGCATCCACTCATAGTCTCACACCATCACATCTCGTTCAATTTGGGGGGGAAAAAAAAAGCCACACTTCTCGGCGTACTCGCCATTTTCTTTTTTCATTTCTTATTATTCTTTATATTCCTCACCCTTCCCTTCTTGCATAGGAACAACCTGCATCCTTCCGGCAAGCGAATCTCGCTGTTTCCGTCCACTCAGATGCAAGATTGCTAGCATGCGCTTCTAAGAAGCACTAGCCATACTCAGTATTCAGCTGGGCATCCGCCATACATCAGTCGATCGCTGCATCACTCTGCGCGTCTGCTCTAAGGTCATTTCACGGCCCCTCTTGCTGGGCTTGTCCTGTCGATCCCGTTTCATTGCCAATAAAAGCCGCCCCCCAAACCCGATTCAAGACCGAGTCTGGTTTCCTGCGACTGTTTCTGAGGAATAAAAGAAAAAAGCAATCCATCTTGTCCTACACACGTCAGGTCTAGATCCTTCACAGGCACCCGTGCATTCATCTCTACTATCGCACACCGCATCCTTACAGCGTGTCGACAATCAAACCAGTCGACGAATCCGACCCCTTTCCTGAGGCACTCGAGAGCTTTGGCAATCTTCATCGATTGCTGCCCACTTTCTTCTCCCCCTTGGGATCCCTTCATCTTCAGATTCTCCTGTTTCTGTCTCTTTATATCACAATGCACCTCTCTCAATAACCCGGCGTTGCTCCTCGCAACTTTTCTCGTCTTTTCACTTGAGTTCCTTCGCCAGCAAGCGAGCGCGCTTCATTGTTTTCAATACCACTTATCATTATCATCTGTGATCATCGCATTCCACTTTCAGTCGCGACTCTAGCCCTTCAGACGTCACAATGGCGCCCAACCTCTTCATCTGTCTTCGCAAAGCATTCTGTCCCGTGTACTGGTTCCAGCGTGGAGAACGCATCCATGGGTCTATTCACAAAGAGGAACACTGGGAGAGTCCTGTTCCTGGTATCTACAAGTACATTCCTGGTCGGGGATGGCATCTCATTCTCAAGGATGGCAATGAGCACGAGGAGAAGCTACCAGTGCCCCTCGTCTACTGCCGCATTCTCCACCGTTACATCTTCGAACATGAGATGGAAGAGCGCTGTCGCTGGCACTCGGTGACCATCCATGAAGGAGCTAAACCTGAACGGCTCCTTTTCTTCCTCCTGGATGACGGGTACACCTGGGTTGCCGGCTGGGACGCTAAGGGCAAATTCATCCCGGGCCCTTATCAGAAATGGCACTACGACTCGGAGGCGCGCACCATGCGTCGCGAACTGTTTCCAGAGAGCTCGAACGTTTCCCGGGCCAGCATCGTGCCGAACAAGTTGACCTGAGGTCCGTTATCGACTGTTTGTCATGAATGTTCGACCATCGCATTCTGGGTCGCGTCTGCAGCTGGTCTCTGCAGCGCGCGCGTTGGCCGTACACGACCGATTCAGAACGATTCTTGCTATTTTGAGCTAGCGTTCTAGCGTCTCGATTTTCTCTGTTGTCGGATCGTGGTTTTTCTTTCTGCTTTTTCTTTTCATGTGTCACGCATAACTCGCTTACGAACTTGTTGGGACGGCTCTACTACAGCTTGGTTTGGGTAGAGACACTCTTTAGTCAGCGACGAAGGCGTTTGGGTTCAGGTTATAGACAACCGGATAGATACTGTTTTATTCGTTTGCTATCGATTCTGTGTTTCTTTCTTTTTTTTTTTCTTCTTTTTAAATGGAGAGTCTCGGAGTTAACTTCCTAAGAACTGTGCGATGGGCAGAATTCAACCGGGGGTGAAAACGATTAAACGAATATCTTTGTGGCGCATGGCTCGGAGTATGGATCCGAAGTAAAATAAAGAAAGCTGTAGCGAGGATCTGCATGACGGACGCATGAGACATGTCATAGAGGATCAGCGGTGACCCCAAGCATGTGATACTAATACAAGTAGTATTCCTGCCGTCGACGCTCGGACTTTTGCTCTTTCACTCTTTCGCAAGTGATGATGCAGTCCATGCTGCCTGCTCACGTCCAATTGTGTATCAAACCCTGCCCATGTGCTCTTCTCGCCTAGTATGATGCTGAGGCATGAAGCCTGAAGCAAGATTTGAGCTTTGACCCACGGGGGATTACAGTATCTGGGTTCACACCGCTTGCTTAGTACTTAGCCAGCCTCGCCATATTGCTTCTCCCAACCTAACCGACAGTGAATACACCGGTCAGTGATAGTACCAACCCAACCTACTTTTCATTCTACACTGCAATGTGAACAGAACAAGCACACATGATGAATCTGGAGATGGACATGAACGCTAGAAACAACCGTCAACGAAGAAGATACTATACGATAGGTACCTAGAGATCTATCTTTACAGCCTCGCCTTCTCCCGGGCCCCAACCCGGTGTTCATTTATGGTTCCCGTCCTCCCTTTCCCCTTTCCATCCCTGGTTGAATCCGCCTCCTCCTTCTCCTCCTCAGCGCCCTCCTTATCCCCCTGGACAAGCAATCGCTCCAGTCCCCTCCGCACCGCCGCATCCATCCCCTCGGCCGTCGGCCGCATCGTCTCCCGCGCCACAAACACATGCGTATACCCACCTACCACCTTTACGGCCTCCTCGCCCTGTCGGAACACCCCGACCTCGTAGGTCACGCTTGAGTGGCCCAGTTTGTTGACTCGGAGACCGAGGTCGAGGGTATCGGGGAAGGAGACGCTGGCGAAGTAGTCGCAGTGGGAGGAGATGATGAGGCCGATTTGGGGGGTGGAGGGGGTTGTCGAGGGGGTTGTCGAGGGGGTAGTGGTGACTTCCCGATCCTGTTCGGAGGGGTTATTGGCGCTGAAGGGGTTCATGCCGCAGTGAGTGATTAGGTATGTGTTGATGATGGAGTCGAAAAGTACGGTGTAGATTGTGTTGTTGAGGTGGGCGTACATGTCGTTGTCGTGCCTGTGTGGGTTTCACCCAGGGAGATGGTTGTTAGTATTGTCGTGTGAAAGAGAGGTAGCTTGGAGATTGGGGGTTGCGTAGTGTTTGGTGATTGGTTCGTTATTATAATTACCATCTTGTTTGGTGCGTTTGGTGGAAGATGTAGTCGCTGCGCGTGCGGCGCTTTTTAGTTGCCGTGGTTGTTGTAGGAGACATTTCGGAGGGAGTGTTGGAAGTAGATTTGCGAGATGGGTGGCTTAGGTGATGGGATGGATGTCGCTGGTTATTTGGCTGCTCAGGAGAGGCTTGAGAGGCCTGTTCAGGTCAAGTTGCCTGAGGATCGAGGTATGGAGGTATGGAGGTATGGAGTAGAGTCAAGAATGCGGAGAGCGGAGGTGTTTTGGGTTTGTGATTCTATTGGGATGTGGGGCGATAAATGTGGTTTTCAGGGGACCTCGGCTGAGGGTGTCAGTCGCCAACTGCTTGAATCGCGGTCCGTCGCTCTATGGTTCGGACATCTGCTTGGTAGAGTGTAAGTTTCGGAATACGCTGGTAGGTCTCTCTGCAAGATTTCTCCCATTCATGATGCCAATGCTGTACCTCGCGATGACTTTTGGGAGATAACAGCTAGAACAACTAGGTAGTTATACCGAGGTTCGAAGCGAGGCTTGACCCAAATTGGTATAGCTCATCCTTCCATGCTCGTAACTGACACCTAATCTATCAGGTGTCTAATATACTTCAATTATATGCCTCATGGTCTTGCTCTTTCCTCTTCACATCCACCATCTGCACCTTCTTTCAAACACTACTTAAATACTAGCGTCAGAGCCCAATATGGCTCGAAACACTTCATGTCTTTACCAGCAATTTCATGATTACAAGGTCGATTTTCTCGTCCAGGTTTATGAATCTTCCGATTCAGGCTGGCCAAAAGGAGACGACCATTCACATTCCTGAGTATATCTGATACCCTTTGTCTTTTTATATTTGCTTTTGCTCAGCCTCCAGCATGTGGTCTTCGTATTGGAAAGCCTGCATACTAGGCCTTCTATGTACAATTTTGACACGAAACCTCGTCGCTGCGATCGGATTGGCAAACATTACCGCCGAACTCGAACCTCGACTCTCCCCGGGTGCAAGAATCATTCTTCCAAACAACACAGACTTCGAGTTGGCCACCTATCGGTGGTCTACTTTTGCTCAGCCTCGTTTCACCGTTGTTGTTGAGGTCGCTACGGAAAGAGACGTCGAGGAAACAGTATGCTCCACCTCCGCCACCAATAACACTAAAGCTGAGGAAGTGCCAGGTCAAATATGCCAACGATCAGAAATTACCCTTCCTAGCTGTATCCGGTGCTCATGCATTTACAGCCTCTTTGGCCAATTTTCATTATGGTATCGAGATCTGGCTCCATAGACTCGACTGGACCTTTGTCTCAGAGGACGGTGATACTGCTACCATAGGTGGCGGTATCCTGACTGGCCATCTCATAGAGGCCTTGTGGAGAAAGGCGAAGTATGCAGGTATGTGCTCTACTGTGTGCAGAGGTACGTACTATCAGACTGACGGATTGTTATAGTAACCGGCTTGTGTGAATGCACTAGTTTTGTGGGTCCGGTCCTCGGAGCAGGTCACTCTGTTCTACAGGGGAAGTACGGCTTTGCCACTGATCAACTAATTTCAATGCACCTTGTGACCGCAGAAGGAGAGATCCTCGACGTCTCGGCCTCCGAGCCTGATCCTGACCTCTTTTGGGCCATACAGGGCGCAGGTCATAACTTTGGGATTGTCACTTCAGCCACTGTAAAGATATATGATATTCCCGATCGAGGTCTCTGGGCTCACGAAGACTACACCTACGGCCGTGAGAGTGTGGAAAGTCTTTTTGAGACATGGAATCGATTCCTTCCACATCAACCTCCTACCGTTGTCCTTGTGGGCTTTATTTTGCGAAACGCCAGCATAGATGCTGTGAACGTAAGTTGTGATGTCAGCAAGCACAGGCCGTTGCATGCTGATCGATTCATAGCCCGTGGTACAGCTCTCTATCATGCAGGAGAATGTGACATATGTTGATCCCAGTATTACCGATGCTTTTCGCAGTATCAATCCTATCTCTATCCGCTCCGGCCTCGGAACATACAGGGATCTTGCAAGGTGGACCCGGTTCGATTTCAACAATCCTGTGTATTGTACCGCAAGGAATTGGTCCGCGACCCATTTTCCAACTGGACTCCTCCAATGGAATGCGACGGCGCAGCGCATGGCGTACGATGTCTTTTCAAGGATCACGGCGAAAAATTCGCCATTCAATACTTCTGAGTTCTTGCTTGAGGGCTTTCCGATGCAGGGCGTCCAAGCCGTCCCGGAAGATTCCACAGCATACCCTAACAGGGAGGACAATATAGTCGCCTATCCCCTTATCGGGTACCGTACAAACGCGAGCTTGGATCACATGGCTGTTGAGGCCGGCGAAGCACTTAGGCGAATAATGGTCGAGAGCAGCGGTCGGGAGGAACTGCACGCATACGTTAACTATGCTCTTGGCGATGAATCACCTGAGCAGGTTTATGGCTATGAGGAATGGCGCTTGGAAAAGCTGAAGGAGCTGAAGAAGACATATGATCCTGAGAGGCGTTTCAGTTACTTTGAACCTATTCCGATCTGACCATTCTCCTGGAGCCTCGCTCGTGTGTGGTGACCTGTATATTATCCTAAGAGATCATCATGACTGAGATATCAATAAGTTATTCATAATCAACCTCGATATCATTGAATGAGCGACTGTCCACATCCAAGTGTCATTTTGTACTACACACTTGTGTAACTTTGGTTTGCTAGCGAGTCTGGTACCTAAACTAAGTCAAGACTCGATATCGACGGACCGGGTGGCTGGCGTTTGTGGCACAGAAGCCGCAAGGAGAGCAGGAGAATATATTATCGACCCACCGGCCTCTTTGTTACTACCAGATCCCATCATCGCACAACATCTCAGGCTTGAGGCTAATCTGACCCCAGCAAGGAGAGGAGGTCTGGATTGTTCTCTGCACCAACTTGAAGCTTTCTGTCAAGGGCCGCATAGCTGATGCCACCCTGGCAGAATGTATTAATCCAAGGTCAGACAGAAGAAAGCAATGGCGTCACTTTGCCTTGGAGCCACCCCTGGTATGAATGGCTGGAGTAGACTGCGACTACCACTGCATCATCTTGATCAACGCAGGTCACTTGCAAGAGCCTCATCCAGACTCGGGGTAGTTAAATACTTACTAGTCTGTTTCTAACTTCGAATGCTCATTGAACCGATCACCAGGGGGCCTGATCGGGGCAAAAGAATGGAGTGACTGGTCACACTAACCAGCGGAGACTAACCCGACTAAATTACCCTTGATCCACACGTGTCGTTTTTAAAGTGTTGATCGTTGGCCATAACTCGAAAAATGGAATTAAGCAGACAGGGAAGACAAATACTGTCGACCCATGACATGAAGAATGATGACAAAGGCATATCATTCTTTGATATTCGGGAGTGACAATTGATTCGATCCAACTTATCCAAGAGTCCCTGCATACAACAGATCTGACTATTGACATTCGAATATCCACCTGCAGCCAGCGGTTCTCTTTCTCCCCCCATCCCCCCCCACCGCCTGCTATTGTTGTTATTCTTAGTTCTCCTCGTTTCTTGCTCCTCCGACCTCTCTTTTCTCCCCTTACCAACTGAGTTTCCCCCAGCCAAGTCACTCCTTTAATCCCCTCTTTGGTTGGCCCTTTTTCTGCTTGGCATCTTTCTATTTCTTTCTTCCTTCTGTCCATCATTTATAATCGCCTGCTGTGTTCCATTTACCCCTACCGCTAGGTTTCATCAACGTCGACTCTCAAGTCTCAACTTCCGCCTCCTGCGACACGGTCCGGCCTCCTTCATTTCCGCAACTCAGTTTCACGATTCTCTCCCCTGAGATTGCTGTTCATATTTCGTTCTTTATCGGCCTTTCGATCTCATGCTTCACGAATTATGTCGACTACGACGACCACGGCTCTGGCGTCCACTTTGCTGGTCGGTACCCTGCCCACGATGACAAACGCCGTCGGGATGATTTCAGACAAATCCTGTCCGACCTGTGGATCTGACCGATTTTCCGCGCAAGGCACACCAGCCGGTCAAGCACAATCTCGCGTCAAGGAATTAGAGGGGCAGCTTGAATTTCTCAACGTCCAAGCGACACAGATGGGTAAGGACTATCGATCGGACCGCAGCGGCTTCCAGTACTGTCATGGCTAACGAGGCCTGCGTCCCAACCACCAGCCGAGAGGATGGCCGAATATGAAGAAGAGATACGTCGACTCCGCGCTCAATCCACCACTCAGAGTTCACGAAATGGCTCCTCCGTCTCGTCTACCTCGTCGATTCAACTCAATAGAATAACCGATTTATCAATGTCGCCTCCATCGTTGCAGACCTCCCCAAAGTCACAGGGCCAACATAGCGGGCGCTTATCCACGCTGACCTCTCTCCTACCCTCCCGCCGACCTGGCGCCCCGAGCACGACCCAAGCCCAGCCAGTTATCTCACCGCCACCGATTCCCAGCTACGAGGAAACATTAGCTTTACAGAATGCGCTCAATCGGGAACAGAGCTTGCGCAAAGCCGCGGAGACACAATTGTCACAGGCGAGCACCGAACTGGAGGAACTCACAGCGCAACTATTCAGTCAGGCGAATGAGATGGTCGCGCAGGAGCGCAAGGCAAGAGCAAGACTGGAGGAGCGGGTGGCAGTCCTGGAGCGCCGGGACGTCGAGAAGAGGACCCGTCTGGAACGACTGGAGAAAGCGATGGAACGAGTTGAAAGGATTCGAGCGATGGTGGGCTAGCGATGTGATGGATCCAGGCGCACGGATTGTGGACACCCCGGACTATACCCCTTTCTGTGCCTCTCTTATACTGGTTCTCTGTCTGTGGTTTCAGTTGACTTCCCAGTCTTATACCCCATTACTCCTGTTGGTTTTCTTGGCGCTTGGTCACTTGGCTCAACTTTGCGAGTTTGACATGCGATATGACCTGGTGGATGAATGGGTCACCCTGATTAATGAGTGATGATTTTGCATCGTGTTACGGCGATGGGCGTTCTATCTGACACACTGGTACTTCTTGCATAAGTTGTAGAAGGCGATTGCATTAATGTCTATATATATTCCTTATTGGCTTCCTCTACGGTTAACGCGTAATCATTATTTATCCCTGTTGTGTGACTCTCGAATGGCATCATCGTTTGAGTCTATTTGAGGAACCCCGCGGCGGCGTGCCAGGAAATACTATAGTTCGGATGCAGACCCACTTCAGGGCCCCTCTCATTCCACCTAACTTACTGTACCTACTGCTCCCCCATTCTGCTCTGCCATCGCCATACCTTCCAACGTTCGTATACTCAGTTTTCAGGAAGCTCTCGTTCAATATGTCTATTGGAGTCGCTATTATTGGTAGTGGTAGGTGGTATTCTGCCCGAAGCTTGAGCTTTCGCATCCACTGACAGAGCACACAGGCATCTTTGCTAAGGAAGAGCACTTGGTACGATCCCGCAGCTGTCCCTCCCGTGCAGATTTTCGACTTTGCAGCTAACGCATCGATCTGCAGCCTGTAGCTCGTGCATCGCCTGACTTGACGCTCAAGGCAATCTTCTCCCGCTCCCTCCAGTCAGCACAGAGTCTTGCCACGGGAGTGGATGGTGTAGATCTATACTCGGAGGATGCAGGGACCGGCAAAAGCTACATGGATCTTCTGGCTCGAGATGACATTCAAGCTGTCATCATAGCGTGAGTGACTGCTTTTCTGAGTAACTAAGCATTGGAAACTAAGAGGTCGGCGCAGTCTACCGATTCTCGCCCAGCCTGAGTACATCAAGCAGGCTCTTTCCGCGGGGAAACATGTGCTGTCTGAGAAGCCTATCGCAAAGGACCTGGCCACCGCTCAGGAGCTGCTGCAGTGGTATGAAGCTAATGTGGACACCACCAAGACTCTGTGGGCCGTTGCGGAGAATTATCGGTACCTGGCCAAGTTCATTCGGACGGCCGAAGAGGTGCGCAAGTTGGGCGGAGTGAAGAACTTCCGAGTGAGCGTGCGCAGTCTGATCAAGACCGATTTCAAGTACTACAGTAAGGAATTTCCTGCCTCCAAGGTCCAGGATGAAGGTTACGAGTAGCAAAGAACTGCCGGCAAGCTGACTATGACAAAAACAGAGACGGAATGGCGTCGCACACCAGCCCACCAGGGCGGATTTGTGCTTGACGGCGGCATTCACCTCGTTGCGGGCTTGCGGCTGATCCTCGGACAGCACGATGGTCTGGCCGCGGTGTCCGCGCAGTCGTGTCTCTTGCAGGAGTATCTGGCCCCTATGGACACGGTGGACGCGGTAGTGCAGACCAAGTCGGGTGCATCTGGGGCAATTACGATGTCATATGGGTCGGCGTTCAATGATTTCCTGTTTGAGTTTGACTGTGCTCAAGGTACGGTGACGTTGAATTTCGACCAGGTCACGGTCAATGGAGAGCACTTCGACGTGCCGTTTGACGGCCGGGGAGTCAACCACGAGGTTGCTGGGTTTGCTGCCTCGATCCGGGACGGTGCGGTACAAGCGCTGTTGCGACCAGAACAGGCGCTGGCAGACCTGGAAGTGATGGAAGGGATCTTCACAAGCAACGGATCGCGGGTTGATCTGCGACTGCAGTAAATAATGAGCTTCGGTGTACTCCGTAAAATTCTATGCATAAAACAGAGACAATTAGTCATTCACATGGATAACTAACTAATTGCTCCAAAGCAGACGGGCGCTAACCCGATACAGCGGCATCCGACAAGGGCACGCGGGGCGAGCCCTAACACACGGAATGGGTTAGTCTCGCTAAGCGAAGCCACTAGGGCGAGTCTTGCTCGGGCGGCCAAACCTGAGCGCGAAATCTCGAGACCGAATTTCGACCCCTACGACAACTCCCAGCGCCAGCCCGCGAGAAGACGACAAGGTATGTGTTGGGTGCTTGCCGTTGGTCTGCTCTGTTACTGATTCGAATCCGCGTCAAGATGGTCCTCGCAAAGAAGCACGTCCCCATCGTCAAGAAGCGTACGTTGATACCTTGTCCTTGAATCCTCATGCTTGCCCACCACGTCCTGCCGGGAGTCGGAGCCAGTCGAGTCAGTCTTTTTTGGTAGTCAATCGGCGGTTTCTTTTTCTCAGCAGTCTAGCACGAGTGAACGATCTGATACCGACCATCACGAGGAGGACAATTTGATTGCGAACAATAGTTTTGAATTCGGCGGAGGAATCTGTTTTCATGACCATATGAGCGATCGGACGGGAGAATCTCGACTTCAGTCTACCATTCACCAAGAATACATGCGACAATCTGAGCAAAATACGAGACTTCGACGCAAGCCCTTACTGGCCGCCGATTGACTGACCATCCGAACCAAAAAAAAAAACTCGAACTGAGCTACATTCCCCATCGCGGCGAACACACCGGACCACATCAATCACACCACGAGAGGACATTATCATTGACAAACTTGCGTCTCTACAGGCACCAAGCGTTTCTTCCGCCACCAGTCCGACCGCTTCAAGTGCGTGCCGGAGTCATGGCGCAAGCCCAAGGGTATCGACAACCGCGTCCGTAGACGCTTCAAGGGCAACATCCCCATGCCCTCGGTACGTTGCGCGTCCTAGAGGAAATCACAGCTGTGAGGATACCATGAACCGCCGACTAATTCGACTTAAATGTATAGATCGGTTACGGTAGCAACAAGAAGACCAAGCACATGATGCCCTCCGGCCACAAGGCCTTCCTTGTCCACAACCCCAAGGACGTTGAGCTTCTTCTCATGCACAACCGCACCTACGCTGCTGAGTACGCATTTTCCTCCATGAACGAATACCCTTTCGTCGAACACAGATTCTAATCTATTGCAAATAGGATCGCCTCCGCCGTCTCTTCCCGCAAGCGTGTCGACATCATTGCCAAGGCCAAGGCTCTCGGCGTCAAGGTCACCAACCCCAAGGGCCGTGTCACCACTGAGGCTTAAATGGATTTTCTTATCTTAAAATACAAAAAAGAAAGACCTATTTATGGAATGATAATGTAAAGAAAGCTTTTTCCCTAACCTCCGCTTCCGCCCTCCCCTTTTTTTTCTCTCTTGATATCCTACGTCATTTAAAAAATCCAAAACATTTCACTTACACGAACTTTCTTCTCTTGAAGGGAAAAAAATTATCAATGATCCATGAATATACTCTTTTTCTGGTTCCACAAAGAAAAAAGAAAATCCACAAAACGTCTTGTTCTCGGGCTCACCGGTATCATTTGGGGAACTTTTCAATCAAGTGATGATATCGGTGGTATTTCTCCTTTGTTTTCCCCTAATGTCTCGATGGATGGAGAACTTGCTGTGCTTGTTCCTTCGTCTGGGGTTCCTATGGGGGAAAGAGGGGGGTGTGTCATGGCGCGGGGCTTTTTGTTACGGAGCGAGAGAGAGATAACCTTGCTAGGCTGGGGTTAACTTTAGTTGTTCGAGAAATTATCAATGCGATGCGCGCGTGGCTTGGCTGGTGCTGCTGGTCTGGGAATCTTTTTTTTTCCTTTCTTTGTAGATGCCTTGATGACTGATGGTTAGGTAGTATTTGTTGGGTCGTTGGTGATTTTGTAAGCTCCGAAGATAGATCGTAGAGTGTAGGAAACGTTACTTCAGGATGTAAGTAGGGGTTGGTTGGAGGTAGGTTTCATTCCTTCCTCCATGCAGTGACTTTAGCCGGGGCTGTCTATGATGATCTAGTCTTGTAAGTCTTGTAGTGTGTGGGAACCGTCTATTTGCGTGTCTACGAGAACTGCTGAAAGATTATGTATGTACTACCAACTCGTTCCATGTCGGAGTCCAATGCAAAACGTCATACCAATCAATACCCATGCCCCCCCAAAAAAAAATCAAGCTGTTGCTTCCGCGCCAACTCTTGTCTCTGTAGGGAGAACTTCGGCGGCAGCAGCAGCAGCAGCAGCAGTAGCAGCTTCGTGTGCCTGCCTCTCCGCCGAAATATCCACCAAACCGACACCCTGGACCAAGGCAGGGATGCTCCTCTCCTTGTCCTCGCCCTCACCATCCCCGCCAATCTCCGGCACCGTGCCGTAGCCGATGACAATCTCCTCATCCTCCGGGACATCGACCCAGTCGGGCATCTCGCGGGGCCCGTCCATGCCCTTGGGCGGCAGGCCCCAGCTGGGCATCTTGCTGGTGTACTTCCAGCCATCGGCGCCCTTGTCGGCATACGCGGCGGCATGCAGGAAGATACCCAGCTCCTCGGGGCTGGGGTCCGTGTACAGCTCCGTGTCGCAGACGGGGCAGCGCTCGCCGGACAGCCGCTCGCCCTTGCGCTTGTGGTACCGCTCGACGGCGGCCTCGTGCTCGCGCGACATGATCTCCTCGACGACGGACGAGTCCGTGCCGGGCGGCACCAGCGGCGCGGCGGTCAGGTGCGTGCGGTAGCTCGTGGCCTCTGTCGTAGTGGTGGTGGTGGTGCTGTCGGCGGCGGTTTCGGTCTTGCCCATATTCGACAAGCGGGCGATCAGCTCCTGGTCGCGGTCGGCCGAGGTGTCATTCTTGCCGAGCTCCGGGCCGAAGACCTTGCGGTTGGAGTAGATGGGGTCGTTGGAGATGGGGTGGCCCAGGAACTGCAGGTGCACGCGGATCTGATGCGTGCGGCCTGTCAGCGGCAGGCAGTGCACGATACTGTAGCCTTCTTCTTCATTGGCGTAGATGGGCGGCGGCGTCGCCACCCGTCTCTGCCTCTCATCATCCTCCTCCTCCTCCCTCGAAGAAGAGGAGGGTTCGTCACTTCCCCGGGCGGCCGAAGGGGGAAAGTACGCCAACCGCCGAAACTTCGTCTTCGCCTCCTTGCCCGTGGCCCGGACGCGATTCAACCCGACCTTGGGACTGACCGACATGATGGGCTGATCGCACACGACCACCCCGTCGGGGAACCGGCCCTTGACGCGCGCGACGTACTCCTTCTGCAGGGTGCGCGCCTTGAGCTTCTCGCACATCACCTCCGCCGCCTTGGCGTGCTTCCCCAGGAACATCACCCCGGAGGTTAGTCGGTCGAGTCGGTTGCACGGCCGCGGCACCCACTCCGGGTGCCGTTGCGAGCGCAGGATCTCCAGCACCGAGTTGTAGTGGTACCGCCCCGCCGAGTGCACCGGCACCCCCGCCGGCTTGTCGATCACGATCAGATCCTCGTCCTCGTGGATGATCCCGATCTCCTTGCCCGTCACCGGCGGCTCGTGTCGGTGCAGCGTGTGCGAGATGATCTCGCCGTTCTTCACGATCGTGTGCGGCGTTCCGGGTTTACCGTTGACGCAGACGAGGCCGGTTTCCAGGGCTTTTTTCTATCGTCACCGGAGAAAATTAGTCGGGGTGGTAGAGTTTACGGGAAAGAGAGGCGCGCGCGCATACATAATACTCAGCTGGTCGGTCGCGGAATTCCGATAGGAAGATGTCCAGCAGTTCCCGTCCGCGCCACCGTTCCTTGCAGTAAGTGTTGTACGTGTAGTGGTAGGGCTTCACGCGGCGCAGCCCCCCCTCGAAGTAATACGGCGCTGGCCAGGGGTCGCAGGGCGTCACGGCCACCGCGGGGGGTGCCTCCGGTGGAGGGTCCCGAGGGGGCACTTGGAGGGTCGTGTCAACGGGGACGATGGCCATACTGGACGATGGGATCAGGCCTCGTCGCAGCAGGAATGCAAAGACGCGCGGTGAGGGAGCCAGTTAAGCAGGCAAGGAAAGCCGACAAGGACACAGGAAGAGTTGTATGTTGCGAGGGGATCAGTTGGGCTGGTGGGCGGCGAAGTTTGGCAAATGAAGAAAAATTAGTTCCGCGGGCTAAATTTTTGGTGGTGCGGGGAAGTAAGTTTATCGATCAGACAAACAGTTACGAAGTACTTACTGTACACTGACTGGCTAACAACAACGGGGATATCACTGGATATGTTGGACGGTCCTAATAATGGCTCTTGATTTGTAGAAGATGGGCTCTGAAGAAAACCTTGTGCAGCGCTTCATTCACATGCATCATGTCTCGTCATACTCTCTCAACCCAAGGCTAGTATATATCACTGCACAGACCAATCCGCAGTGACACAACACAACACTCTCAATCACTGGCAATATGGCAGCGTCCCTGAATAAGTAGGACATCGCATTCTGACATGACGATGGCCCTAATCCACTAATAAACCAATATGTATGTCTGATCGAACCTCCTCCTCAGCTTTTGCTCTCTCCCACCACCCCTTCCATCACCTTCCGGTTCGACAGCGCAATCACCACCGCAATTCCTCCACTCATAACTCCAAACGTCGACACCATAGTCGCCCAGCCAGCCTGGTCAACCAAAAGACCCGCCATCAGAGGCCCGAGCACCTGGCCCCCAGACCACGCGACATTGAATAATCCATATGCCCGCGCAGTCCCTCCCTGCTGGCCGAATATGCCCGGATAGTCCTGCTCATATCGCTCTGTGACCCGGCCCACCTCCACCATCAGCGCGACCATCTGTAGGGTTGATGCGGCTCCAGCCAGCAGAAGAAAGACCACCAACAGAAATTGGTGCTGGACTGTGTTCTCCGTCACGAACTGGAAAAGCAGGAAGGTAGGACAGTCGAGCAAGAAGCCGAAAAAGGCGACCTGTAGGGCCCCGAGGCGGTCGACGGCGTCGCCTATGGTTCTCAAGGTTAGCTCGACCTGGAATGCTGGGGAATCACGACAAGCAGAGTGAGACATACCGATCCAAGGAGAAGCGAAGGATGGCGCGAACAGCGGTAGGAAGCATAAGCCTATTCCCATCGGGCCCCAGTCGAATGTCTTCATGACGTAGAGTGGAAGCACCTGGATCATTGTCAATGGCTGCACGAAGCGGGAGGCGATACAATGACTCGAACCCCACGTACCGTGTCGAAAGAAGAGTACAAGATGGCATCGACAACAGTCGCCACCAGGACGACCATCAACTTGCCCGAACATATCAAGCGAACAATCCCGGGCACTGACGACGCTTTGCCGCACGAGTCCGGCTCACTGCCATCTTCAGCCGACGACTCGAGGAGCATGTCACCCGGGGGTGCTAGCGAGCTTGTACTGCCGTCGTGCTCAATGAGCGCGCCGTACCCAGTGCTCTCACCCAGCAGTCCACGCGACTCCTCCTCCGCCGCCGCCGTGGATGGAAGCCACTTCACGGCGGTCTTTTGCTCGATCATGACCAGTCGGAGCACGATGTCTACCGCGATCAGAGCAATTGCCAACAGGAATACCGAATGGTACCCGAGCCGGGAGAGCCTGCGTGGAAAAGATAATTAGCCACCACCCCAGACCCTCTCCCCAGTAGTATGAATGCGAATGCGGCAACGTACATGACACCACCAATAAACGGCCCGAATACAGTCCCAACCGTCAAAGCCATAGAGACATATCCCATCGCCGCCCCGACCTGATCCTTGCCCACCGTGTCCACAACAAGCGCCATGCCGACGGTCCACACCACAGCAGCAGACAACCCCTGCAAAGCCCGCGCGATCACCAGCGATGCCACCGAGCTGGCGAACCAGAACACTACGGTTGTTCCACCGAGAGCGAATAAGCCGATCATAAAGGGTAGTTGGCGCGATGAACTTCTGTCTGCGAAGTACCCGAAGATAGCTAATGGGGAGTGATGTGGTTAGATCTCAGGTTGACCTCCCCCCCAGCATAGTCTACCACGAGTGGGATGCTGTGAACTCACGAGACCCAAAGAATATACCACCCCCAAAAGCAGCAAGCATGATTGACATCCATTGCTGTACTGTGTGACAGAGTGTGTCAGAAAGGTATTGCTCCCACCGCAGCCACAAAGAAAGAGAAAGAGAAAGTCAATTGAACGTACGGCTCTCATCCGGCACAGACACCCGCGTCTTCAAGACAATAGGCAAGATGGGAACGATCTAGCAGGTCAATCCTTTCCATCAGATTTTTGTGATTTGATTCTAATCGCCAGCGATTGACACTGTAAGATAATCGCACCATGCCATAAATGAAAACATCCTGGCGCGGTAGAAACATAGGAAGCCAATTAGCCGTTGGTTTGGAAAGAGGTATCAAGCAATAGCACAGCACACACACACACACAGCTTGCCCACCCATCGTCTGTCTCACTCACTCACCGTAAAACAAGCAACAGCGACCACCCACGTCACAAATTTCTTAGAGGAGCGAAAAGTGAGCTTCCATGGTTGAGGGCTGTGACTGATCGCCAACATCTTGATTGTTTCCACCGGTGGGATCGCGGCAGAGGCAGGTCAGGTCAGAAGTCAGGTAGGAAGTGCGAGTCGCCCATTATGACCGGCCAAAGTGGTTAAGGGAAAGTTAAATAGCTTCATTAGCTCCGCGACATTCGGGGAGGGGAGGGGAAGAATTGGAGGGGGTTGCGAAAGAAGCAAGGAGAGGGTGGGCTGAGCTGACAAGTTCACTGCAGTTCAATTCAGCTTACGCTGTTTGGTGCTAAACTCGACTAGGTAAAATATCGCAGAGCTGCGCTGTCAGTGCAGGTGATTGGCATAGCAGGAGATTAAGTACCTAGTAGGGAATAAATTAGTAGTCCCTATCAACACAGTCGTATCTTATCTCTATCTCATTGCTTCTATCTCCTTCAAACCCACCCTCGATGACTACCTCCGTCCAATAGATTTGGAATAGGCCATTCTATTATTGCACTAATCTCAAGTAAAATCACATGGGCCCTAATCTGAACATGGCAAAGACATACGTGGACAATGCACTGGCATAACGGGTCATTGATGCAGGGTGGTGGCTGAGGTACTAGACGATGTTGCCGGGTCATTCAGGAGATCCCCCCCCCCAGCTTGCATGTCAGCCATCAGATCTCTAAATGCCATCGGTTCACATTTTCAAGAATTCCGTTGCTGGTACACGCTCCAGCTCAATCAAGCACAAGAGCAGGACCTCAAGCGCCGCTCGTGGATCCCGAATGGGGTCGACAATAAAGGGCGATATGGCAGCACGATGCAGGAGAGGAGAGGGCATAATTCAGAAACAGTTAACGTATACATTTCTTCCTTCACATCAGCCATCATGATCATTGGTGTATAACAGTTCATCCACGTACATGGGAATAGCTAGCTCAGAGGAAACCGAAGAAACTAGGAAAAGGGGAAAAGGAAACTTTTCGACATGCTTGACTGAGAATAATAACCAGGCTTTGGTCGAAGACCGAGCCGGAACAGACAATCGGAAGAACAAGGAAGGGAGAATGGTCAAAGACGTGAGGACAACGGGTCATCAAAACAAATTAGCCACCGACATAACCAAAACGAATCCGGCTATTTGAAGAGAGTGAGCGCATGGAGAGATGTCGGATCCAACCTACGGCCAGGAGCCAATGCCGCAGGCCGGGATGCTCCGGCGGTAGTAGCGCGATATTTTGGTCAGGTGATGAATAGCTCTGGGGTATCGATGAATCTATGCGAACGTACGGCCACCACGGCGGTTGTTGCGCTGTCTCCCCGAGCCAACCGTGCTCCAGCCTTCCTCATCAGCTCCAGCCGGGGCCTCAGCGGGAGCGCTCCGCCAGCTACCGTTGGTCTTGCTGGCAGCCGCATCGGTGGCAGTCTCGGCGCTCTTAGCAGCCGCATCCTCGCCCTGATCCTGTTCAGCCTTCTCGCCACTCTCTTCCTCACCGGCCTGCCGGAGGATATCAAAGTTCTTGCCACCCTGAGGAGTATCGGCAACATCTCTTCCGTTAGGGTCAGCCGTGGACACCGGCTTGTCGCCCTTGCCCTGCTCCTTGGAGACGCGCTGCTTGTCGCCCTTCTCAGCCTTAGCCTTCTCTTCAGCCTCCTTCTTCTGGCGGATCGCAAGTTGGCGACGCTCCTCAACCTCCTTCTCACGAGCAGCGGTATCAATGGGACGAGCTCCACCGAAAATGCTGGCCTTGGATTCGCCGCCGGCAGCGGGGCTTGACGAGGACTCAGTCACAGTGCGTTTCTGAAGGTTCAACTTGGGCCGGCTGGGAGCGGCAGGCGCGGCAGGGGCAGCAGCAGGCGAAGGGGGGTTGCTCGGCTCCTTGGCCTGATCGGGGCGCATCCTGGATCGCCAGGAGTTGTCGAGCTCGGCAGCCGTGGGCGTGCGTTCTTGGCGTTCCTGGAATTCGCGGCGGGGAGGGCGAGAGCCGTCCTGAGAACGTCCCTCATGGGAGGGCCCCTCGTGGGCGCGTCCCTCACCCCAGGCGGGGGAGCTGCGTCTGAAACCGGGTCCTCCTTCGTTGCTGCGAGGACGACCTTCTCTCACGTTGGCGGGAGGAGAAAGAGGGCCCTTGCGCTCCCAGTTGTTGAAATCGCGGAACTTGCCGTCGCTTTCAAAGTTGCTGCGGCGGTTGCTACCACCACGTTCACTGCCTGCATCGGACATGTTATCCATGTTGCGCCCGAAGTTGGAGCGGTCGAAGTTGGAGCGCTCGGGGACACGGCGCTGGGGGGCTTCCGGAAGAGGGCCCTTGCGAGTCCAGTCAAACTCCTTGACATCGCGTTCCTTGGCTAGGGGGCATTGTCAGCCAGCATGTACTAACATCCAAGAGTAGCGACACCTACGGGGCTCAGCAACGCTGACACGGATCGCTCTTCCCTGAAGAGTACTGCCAGAAAGGTCGAGAGCCTTCTTCAGGCCATCGACAGTCTCGAACTCAACGTAACCGAAACCTTTAGGGGTCTTGTTCAATTTGTCCTCCACAACACGGACGTTGGTCACGCCGCAGTCGGCAAAGAGGTCGGAGATGTCGGCGGAAGTCGCATCGAAGGACAGGTTGCCGACGTGAGCGGTATACGGGGGCTGAGTCGGAAGAGGGAGGGGCTCTCTCACGGCGTAACCGCCACGCTCGCGTTCTTTCATCAAACCACGTCAGACAGGATATCCCTCCATGTTATCTTGCAGCCAAGGAACCATACCACCAAATCCATTACCGAAGCCGGCAGAAGAAGAAAGCCCAGCAGGGCGACGGTCGCCTCCGAAGCTGGTCGAGGCAGGGGCTGGAAGGTCATTAGAAGGAACGGCATCTTAATGAGACTGAGGGGCTAACTCCGACCACGTACCGGCTATCAATCATCGTCAGGTTAGCAAGTAGCGAGAGATATCACATTCAAACGACGAGCACTTACCAGGCAAAGGCATGTCGTCCATCTCATCGGCCCAAGAGCCAAGGGCTATATTCATCAGTCAAAAGGCCATCCCCGTGGGGGGAACGGGCTATCGATGAGGACTTACACTCATCAGCCAAGAAGTTGCCTAGCGACATCTTCTGGGCTTTCTGCTTTCCGGGCGCTGCATAAATAAAATAGCCATCAGTACCAGTGACACATCTGAGGGGTAGGAAGAAGTGGGTTGCGACAGTGCGCAGGGCCACAGAGAGGGGTTGCAAACGAACCCATGATTGCGGTTGTTCGAAATCGGGGAAACGCGCCAAGGGAAGTTCCTGTGCGCGTCTCGGGGTTAAGGGTGAGTAATTAGATAGAAAAGAAGACTTCCGAAGTAGAAGTCTTACGAGGATGCGGAGGATGACGTTCAAGGGAGGTTTTGGTGATGGGATGTGGGTTGGGGATGCAAGAAGCTCCGCAGTTTGGAAGAACAGAGGGGGAAAGTAGGTTTATCCGTGAGGATAATTTTTAGTGATGACACTAAAAAAAGTCAGCCTCCCAAAAGTGTTGGTGCGGCTTTTGGGCCTGCCGCTGCTCTCGACCCAACCAAGTAAAGTCCCGAGGGCTTTTTTCCCCTTCCTGTCTGTTCCTCCACTTCATCTCCCCTCCTCCGCATAAAGAAAGACTCGGGAGAGGAGAGCTTTAGTAGTATGTATTCTCTGGACTGAATTTGTCCTGGTTCTTTTATTATTTACTCTGAATTCTTCCTTTTCAGATATCTGATGAAAAAAGAACACTTTCCTCAGCGGATTCCAATTCGTCAAGTCAATTGCTGTGGAAGTCTTTGTTTCCTCCCCCCCCCCTCCCCCTTTAGTGCTTTTTCTTCTCCACACATTCTCATATGAGCCAGTCATACGGAGTACATACATTTCAATGTTTCTTGTAGTTAAGCCGGCATTCTCCATCACGAGGACTTGAAAAATCATCTGCAGTGCATCTGAGGGTTACTATCTTGGAGCAATTCTTTTGGTGTCAAGTTGTAGTTCTTGGCGGAATCATCTGCAACACTACTGCATGGAGACTTCTATCAGACTATTCAGCTTGCGCAAATAAGGAAAGAAATCAGGTAAAACTCCCGCATTCTTGTCATTTTCCATAGCCCTCTGTCACAGCTTCTAGCTCCCTACTTGCTCTGAGCTCGTCGCGGAGAAGCAAGGTTCCCTACCCGCGGTGAAACAAAGAGAAGGAAAAGAAAATCCCGGATGACCTGCAGCCACTCGAGGTACTGCTCTAGCGCCCGTCAGTACAATAGGACAAAAAGTATGAACCATCGTAGGTTCCTTCGCAAGTCTGCATGATCAAATTGCTTGTATATGGTCAGCCAACTCAGTACATGAGAAGAGTAAAGCAAGACCATTGCTTTTATTGCTTCGCTAGCATGACTACCGCGTAGTGGGTCACATCTGGCATCACAGGTTGCTGAGACATTACGCTGTACCCCGCGCAAGTAGGGCAAGCGAAAGTTTGTGGTCTTTGCGCAGTCGTTATCCTGAACCATATACCCTTTCACCCACTTGTCCGAGCGTGGCAATATAGTCGCCGTAAACATCTGCCCCCAGGACGCGCCGCTCGCCCTGAGGTTATCAAAGTACTAATGTCTTGCGTCCAGATGCAGGTCATGCTTGAGATGGCTGCAGCATATGGACGATCCGGCCGTGACCGATTGGCCTCATTTAACCAGTTGTGATCTGCTTTCATGAACTCGGTGCAGATAGTGCAACCAATACCTGCCAAGCGACTGGGTGCGCATAGTGTTTGTGGTAGGGCAATCTCAGGCTTGAACAATCGATTGCATGAAACCGCTGCGATTCCGCTGATGCGAAATGTGGATGGCTCACGCGTACGCAAATCACTTCGTCTGAATAGAAGCAAATCAACTCAGAAAAATGCCTATTAACATACGCATGATATTAGCCACAATGCCAGTGTAAAAGACTAGATCTCAGGATCGAGCAACCGAGTCCCATGCGCGAGGAGTCAAACAGTCTATAGCTCAAGGTCTTGGATTAGTTCGTGGCATGATTGGGAAGCAATTCCCAACGTCGTGATAGAATTAGACTAGCCATGCAAAGTGAAATCGTTTAGGAGGGGTTGACTTGGAATATTCACATGGTAAGCCAGACAGTTGTTCGGCACTCTTTCTTGTCATCCTCCGCACACGGAGGATCAGGACCGCAGAGGTAAGCATGGCTTCAGCCAAGTGACCTTATTGAGCCAAGCCTGCTATGTGCGTCGCTATCAGCATATATCGAACCATACCATAGCGCTTGCCATTGAAGAGAGAGGAAAGAAGTCAAGTTCAGTCCTTGAGGTCGACGACTGGACCCGCTTGAATTGCGGGCAGATCGAGACCCGCTGCAGTGACATCATCCGCCGTCCGCATTGGGCCCCTTTCCGGATGGTTTTGTGCTGTTTGTCTTAGATCGATAGGATTTGGATCTCATTAATTGAGGCGAGAGCAGTTGCGAGTACTATCACAAGGGGAATGAACATCACCCTCTATTGACATGACCAGGAGAAGCTCTTCCTGGAATATATTGGATGCATAAATTATGCACGGATTAGTATGACAAAGCAGCATCCGTAACTTACGGCGGATGTCACGTGCATACCTGTGGCTTCTCAGACGATAACCAATTACTCCGTCAAATCGCCAGGCCAGTAAAATTTCTACTTACGAAGTGTATCTAGAGGAATCATATTTGAACGATGTCGACAGCCCGCAGCATGAGTGACAAGGGCCAAAGCAATTCTTTGTTTCCCATCGTGAAGGCGGGAGCTCTGAGCGGTTAGTCCCATCATAGCCCATGAAGCCTCTACGGTTATACATAATTTTTCTACATCAATTCATCAAGCACGCATGTCCCTGGGCAGCATGGCGAAACTACAAATGGCTCACTGACATACCACAACAGGCTCTCTTGGACTTGTGTATGGAGGTGTTGCAGGCGTCATCCGGTCTCCTAATCCGGTGATCCATTCTCTCTCTTATGGTGTTCAGTGGGCTGCAACTGGGAGTTTCTTCTGGTGTAAGTGTTCCCTCTTGGCTCCGTGTCGCGTTACAAGAAGCAGAGAGCTGAATCCTCTCACAGTCCTGAGAGACAATATATTGAAGCTTCATTTTGAAAACAAGGCCGATTCAAAGCAACTTGCTTATGTCAGCGCTCTGTCAGGGGGTGTTTCTGGCGGCACTGTTACTCGATTACTAGGTATGTCGATGGATACATCCCTCCTGTTGTCATTGCTGGGGAACACTGCATGAAGGTACTAATGCGGGGCGTCAGGGGGTCGACTAATTCCAGGAGTGGTGTTCTTTTCGGCACTAGGCTATTTGGGTCAAAGTACTTATAATGCGATCGACGCATGGCAATTAGAAAAGGCCAACACGCCATCGAAGCCGATCCTCCAGCGGATCGCCGATTCGAAATGGATTCCGCTCAAGTCGCTCTCAGATGACGACTACAGGGGGATTCTGCGTGAGAAGCTCCTCAGCATTGAGGCTGAGATTGCCCTTTTGGACGAAAAAATCGAAGGGCTTGAGAAGCTCAAATCGCAAGGGTTGGACTTGCCCTCGTCCGACTCTGAAACCAAATGACTAGAGAACTGAGTCTGTCGTTTGCTACCACGAACGGCCTCGCCGTGTTCGAATGGTATGGGATAACAATCCTCTCTTAGCTCTTGGACCAGCTAAAGGTTGCTTGTTGCAGTCCTCAAATGGAGCCGTGCGGATCACACGGCCATTCTGTCAGTGGTGACTGTTCTACAGGAGCTCACCCTGTGGGATGAGCTCCCCTAGAACTCAATGTGATCGCAGCATCCGCGTCGCCCCAATTGCCCACAACAGGGCAGTGAACATCACTGTGTATCATATGCCCCTATCGGCTTCATGTGTATATTACTCGACTAGGCATATTCCACTGAAATTCGCTATTGAAATGTCACAGCTTGGTCTTGGCCCTATCTTGAGGCCATGTGCTGGTATCTGAAGGCCATGAGACTCGATACAGAGGAATTGAGAAACTACATTACTCCGTAGGTTCATCGGATCAGGGACCGCAACTCTTGTAAGGGATGCAGCATGTGGTGCGGTGTAATGGTTGTACTGTACCTCCATGCAAGAAAGACGCCAGATGACACGAGTGGCTGATACAGGGGGCATGGTCAGTGTGAGTACCTGGTAACCCAATGGACCATGCAGCTCTTGTGTGGGAATACAGCTTTGAAATCTCCGCCTTTCGACGGATGTAAACAATCTGCCAGAAGATCTTCTAACGAACTGCTCCTTAATGACGGACAAACCCACCGTACCAATCTAGGTACTACTTACAGTACACAAGACAGTACGAATGGATACACAGGATGGAAACTGCCGAGCCAGCCGGACGGTCCGGCCACTGGGCAAAGTGGGTGGCTTTCCGCTTCCAGTTCTGCCCGCCTCGGGTTCGACCTTTCCCGCCCTGACAGCTGGTTGTATTATCCTTATTCTTCCCCCAGTGTTCCTTACTAGTTGTGATTGTGCCCTTTTGACATCACTATTTCCCCTCCCCCATTCATGATTTGGAACGCCTCCTCTTAACAACAACAAAGACGAAGAGAAGCATGACTGACTTAAGACTGCACCGTCTCTGTCGCAACTCTTCTCCGGCTGGTCGGCACGTCTCGTATTAACGGAGACCTGTCCTTCGCCGGTTCCGCAGACCGAAACCCCCCTCCCTCCCTCGAACATAGGAGAGGATCGCGGGCTCGATTCCGGGCTGTCCGTGTAATCGGAATCGGCCATCTATCGTGGCATTCGATAGTCTTCTCTAACTATACACTCCTATACAGATACCGAACGACGTCCCAGCATCTCCATGATTTTGGCCGACGACTCCCCGTCCTGTGCAACCGGTCACTACCGCTGATCGCGAAATACGATGACGCTCTTCAGTCCGACCACGATTCTCGTGGGCCTCCTTCTCCTATACCTCCTATCCTTCCTCATCTTCGCCATCGTCCGAATAGCGACAGGAGTCTCCATTCAGCGAATAGGATATTTTTCTCTCCGTCGAATTACCTACGTCCCGAAAGATGGCGTGCAAATCGAACTCCGTGGCCTCGGGCTGTCCTTACATCCCCCGTCGTTTGCGCAACCTACATGGCTCAGCCTCAAACTTACCGAACTTAAGGTGACGCTGGACCCGTCAGCCCTAGCGAAGGGTCGCAATGCAGAAAATCGAGTGGATGCCTTAGAGCTGCAGAGCCCTTCGGAGGATGATGAGTCGAGCAAGGACACCACGGAAAAGGAAGGGCGCAACCTCAAGCAGCGGAGCAAGACGTGGAAAAGTTTGACACGCATGAAGGAGCAAGTGAAACAATTACACCGGAAGATTCACTGGCTGAAATTGGTGGATGTTGTGGCCGTCAATACCACCATCAATGTGGTTGAAGCTGGCCAGATTCAAGTGGGATCGCTGTCCTTAGGCGTGGATACCAGGCGCAAGATGGTCGACCGGGGGAAATTATTTCGAATGAGGAAAACTGACACCGGGGAACAGAAGCCCGTCGAATGGATCATGAATGTGCAGAATGTGCTTCTCGCCGTCGATGGAGGCGAATCAACCGAAGTGCTGGACAATGTTCGGGTGCATATACATGGTCTCCTCCACAAAGAGCTGGATGGTCTCAGGGATGCGTCGATAGCGTTCAAGGTCGGAAGGATGCATATTCCCTTTGATGACTTGATGACATTCATGCAGCGTGTCAAAAAGTCAAAACAGTTGCCAAAGGGACCTGTGGACAACAACAACAACAACAACAACAACAACAACAACAACAACAACACGGACGACGAGATGTCATTTGCCGATTTCGTCGAGGAGCTTGATCAGCCCGGCAGTAGAGATGATGCGATCATGCAGACAGTCGCGGATTCGAAAGAGTTTGCCGGGTCTATACTTCGTGGAATCCAAGGCATTCAGGTAGCGCTCAGCTTTTTCCGCCTGTCTCGGGCTTTTCAACCCACATCTGAAAAACAAGGTCCCCTGTTTCTCAATGTCGTGTCCCACGAGATAGGCATTGATCTACACCGAATGGATCAACAAAGTCCTGCCCACCGGATGTATTTCCAGCGCAAGGACGTAGCACATCAGGCCCTTCTTGCGGCCATCTCCCTCTCAGTCAGCTTGGACGATGGCTCGGGTGAAAGCGATAACATACTATATATCCCCATGGCCACGACGACGATTAAGACTACTCTACCTTCCAAGACCATCAGCTCATTCGATGATTACAACCCGGAGGAGCGCAACACCAATATTCTTTTCGCCAATTTGGTGGTTACCTCACCATCCCTGGACCTAGAACCAAGACAGGTTTCTAGACTCCTTGAGTTGTCTCAGACTCGGAGGCCGTCACCCAGAGGCAAAAAGAGAGACAACCATCGTTTGATATCGCGCTTGCTGCCCAAAGCTAGCATCAAAATGTCCATCCACGAGCCCGTGGTTAGATTTGTCTTGCCGATTTCAAAGCCTGCCGATACTTCCGACGATGACTATAATCTCCTCATCTGCTCAATATCTGCTATCTCGCTTGACATTGAATCTTCGCACTCGTCGGAGGGTGGGGTACATTATTCATTGTCTTCAATTTATCGAGTGGCCTCACACAAACTCTACTACCAGACTCCATCTGGTATCAAGCATAACCTCCTTACGACTGAATCACTGGAGTTCAAGGTGCTATTGAGTGCTTCTCCCGAGGTACGCGTTATTGCATCAGGCAACTTGAACACTGCCTCTGCGCACATGGTCAATGACGAGGTGAATCGCGGGATTCACGAGGTCATTGAGCAATTTCAAGCTCAGACAAGGCACAGAAGAACGGCTTCTGTGTCCATTGAAGAACGAAAGCCCAGTCTTTTGAGGCGCGTTCCCTCCTGGTTGCTCAGGTTTCAGTTTGAGGCGACCGGTCTCAGCGTGGAAATCGCCGGCGTTGATGCAAGCGTCTCATCATTATCTCGTGGTGTCTCGTTCCAGCTGCAATCATGGACTGCAGATTATAAAGCCCAAAAGTCCGAGCCGATCGCGGTCAGCTTCTCGAGACGACGTACGCCTAGTCATTCCACGATAGGTGATGAATCGTCTTTCAGATTTCCCACATCACCTCCGAGACAGAAGCTTGGTGTTGCTGCAGACGGTCGTCGACTTGCCATTCATGTCCGAGGGTTCGAAGGCTTTGTTATCGAATCGGAGGATTTCCTGGAGGCTGAACCTTTCTTCTCCCTCCCGCGGTTCGAGGTCGCTTTGAGCACCATGAGCGATCGTCTTGGACCGATTTTCAACATCAACTCCGTTTTCAAAGGTGTTTACATGCAATACTCGCTTTACAGGTATTATTGCCTTGGAGTCGCAGTTTCTGTAATCAAAAACGCTTTCATGCGAAGACCATCCCCAGGTGCCGACCAAGAAGCATACCAAGGTCTGAACGATTTCTCTTCGCCCCCGTCGCCACGAACTTCGTCAAGAGGAGAGCTTGTCACCGTGGATGTCAGAGCAACAGTTATCCAAGTCAAGTCTTTTCTTCCTGCAGATCCCCCCATGTTGCTGCAGATCTATGGGTTAACAGCGGGATCTCATCGGCTCTCTACTCCTTTTGTCCGAGCTCATCTGGTACGGCTGCATGCTGAAGCCCCCAAACTCAAAGGAATTTGGGCAAGAATCATAAGCATGAACAATGTCCGGCTTGATCTGCGCAAGATGAAACTAAAGCAGGGTACGAGTATGGTTGAGCAGAAGTCCGTCGACATTTGGGCGGATTTCATCCGTCTGGGTGTCCCACATCATATGGTCATGCATCGTATCTTTGACAATTTCATCAATACGTCCAAGGCACTCAAACAGCTTCATCACAGGTTCAAGGGTCATTCGGCTGAATTCGGATCAGCAAGAGGCCCAGAAGACCCCAAGAAAGTGCCTAGAATCTCCTTGCGCAGCAAAGCCTTGCTATTTGAGATGGAAGATGATGCGTTCGAATGGAAACTCGGATGTATCTACCGAACCGGTCTGCTGGAGCAACGCCAGCGCTTGGCTCGGGAAGAGGCATTCGAACTGAAGCTCCAGAAGATCAAGGAGACAGATCAGCGGCGCACTTCGTCCAGGCTTCGTACCAGGTCAAGCCACCGCACTCTTCGCAGTGAACGTCACAGCGAGGAGAGAAGGAGAAGTAAAAGTGCGGATGCTAAGCCGCGGCGGAGCTTAAACGAGGATAAGCGGGGACGAGACAGGAAATTCCGATACGACACTGAAGGTGCTGCTTGTCTGTCGTGCGAATCCAAGATCTCTGCCGGGAACGCGTGGTATCGGCTTCAAGAGCACAATGCCCGTTCTTGGAAATCCAAGATCGACTCCGCGCTGCGTTTTCAGGGCACGTCTATTCGGGAGGTGCGGAGCCTCTTTTCTGGTGCTGATGAACCCCCAGACGATGTACAAGAGACAGAGACTGTGTTGTCGATACCCAACCGACCTGCCCTTCTGTCCGCCTTGATAAGTGACGTCAATCTTGTGGTAGACAAGCCGTTCTTCCCTCTGGAAGACTATCCTAAATTCCTCCATAGCATCGGAAAGGGCATGCCGATGTCAACGAAGTATGCTTTGCTTGTTCCGATGAGTATCCAGTTGGATATGGGCGAAGCTCGGGTGAACCTCAGAGACTATCCTCTAGACCTTCTTCACATACCAGCTCTTCGACCCGGCCAATCCCCGAGATTATCGAGCTGGTCGCTACGAACAAACTTCGTCATTGCCGAGGAATACCGCGATCACAAATCTGCTAGACAGGTCAAATTAGAATTAGTCCCTTCGACCGAACTATCAGACGGTTCGATAAGTCCGCCTTTCGCGATCGAAGTCTGGCGATCTGTCTCACCTGTGAAGACATACTCAGACCCTACCTTCGAAATTAATACCAGTCTCCCCACGAGCATCTCCTGGGGCATGTCTTACCAACCGGTCATACAGGACATGATGAAGATTATTGAAGGCTTTACGAAGACCGAGATCGACCCATCCGATAGGGTTGGCTTCTGGGATAAGATCCGGCTGAGTTTCCACTCGAGAATTCGGGTGGTTTGGAAGGAAGACGGAGACGTCCATCTCCGTCTCAAGGGGTCACGCGACCCATATGTTGTCACTGGGTTTGGAGGCGGTTTTGTAATGTGTTGGCGGAAAGATGTCAAATGGGAGATCCACACTAGCGACGATCCAATGGAGTTCATGAGCGTTACAAGTGGGGAATACGTGCTGGCAATTCCCGACTACAGCCATGAAGCACGGTATATGGCCGAGGCCACAGCCCAGGATCTCGAAACGACTTCGGCTTCCAGTGATTTGAAAAATGCAGCCCACTTCAAAAAGGTCGTCATGAAACTGTCAGGTGATGTTCGCCTAGTTGCTGGTTTGGTGTTTGAGCGCAACGTCAACGAGAATGAACGGTCATTCGAATTCCGACCTCACTACGATGTTGTGCTTCAAAATCCATTGCTCATCGATCCAGCGCATAAAGAAGTAAGCTAGAAGTTCATGAGTGCGAAACAATTCCAGCTAACCTATCACCAGAACTATGATGCCTACCGCGGCTTCCGCAGTAACCACATTCATCTCTCGATCTCTGTTATTGCACCAGTCAGCCGGAACTGGTCGGTTGACTCCGTTCAACCCTCTGCAAGCTACAATACCGTGCACTTGAGTCCGCGCTTCTTCACGCATTTTTTCAATTGGTGGTCTCTCTTCTCAGGTGTCATGTCACTTCCGGTACGACAGGGACCGCTGTGGCCGGGCATCACGAAAACGAGCAAGAAGTTCAACCGTCATCTGGCAACTGTCAAGTACAAGCTGCTACTTGCCCCACTCTTTGTTGCTCATATTTATAAGCACAAGGATCGCGAGGATTACGCGGAAGATGTAGTGACAGCGACTGGTATCAAAGTCCGGCTAGACTGTTTGAAGCTCGATATTCACCAAAGAAGAGAACAAGTCAAGACTCAAGCTAAGGGCCGTCTAAAGCAGACCAAGGCGAGCGCAATGCGAATCAACCAGGGGCAATTAGACCTGCAGGCGGCAGACTTTCGTGCTGTCTCTGCCAGCATTGAAGGCACAAACCTGGATGACATTGAGAAGAATAGAGATGATATCCTATCATCCTTCCAACAACCCGTCGCCTCTGTGGATTTATCTCGATTCACAATTCCTGACCAGAATCTTGACTGGATAGACATGGATGATTTTGTGGAATTGGATTGGATCCTGCCTCAAGAGTCGAACCCTCGAACTCAGATCTTACCCCTGGCATTTACACCACGTTTCACCTACTTCCGTCAGACAGACCATGGCCAGACAGTTCCAGATGAAACAGGCTATAGCAGATTCGGAGACGAACCAACTCACATTTGTGTCATGTCTGAGAATAACGAACCTCGCCGTGTACAAATGGAGTTGATTAGAGATCGCCTGGTTTCCGTTGAGGCCCAGATGCGCGATTGCCACCGGTCTATTGGTGAGCAGGAACTTCGCATGGCGAGGGAGGTCGACCATGATCCCGAGTTGCGGAAGCAGCATGCCGATTATTTGAGACAAGCAGAAACGTTGACGCGGAGACGAGCTTTCCTGACAGCTGGTTTGCAGCGCCTTGAAAGACAGATAGCCCGTGAGGAGAAACAGCCAGTAGACAAAAGCCCTGAAGCTTTTGCGAACGACAGCGCTTCAAAGATGGGTGCTGACTCAGATTCAACGAGTGATGCCCGGGACGCCGACATGGACGGACTTTTCTCGGGCCCTGATGATGAGTTAGCAAGCGATTTCAACAATCGATTCATCATCCACAATGTCCAGCTGAAGTGGAACAATTCCCTTAGGAATATTATGCTTCGTTACATTCACCAAGTCAGTCAGCGACGTGGTTTTGTGTACTACATGTCTCGGCGGGCAGTGAAGTTCATTCTTGACATCGTCGAGGAGCAGAACAAGAACAAGCAGAAGCACTCAAAACTGTTCCGCTCAGCGTCGAGACGCCCCTCAGATGTTCGGGGTCTCGTGGATAGCGATGATGATGACACCGTCGAGGATCGCATTGAGCAATTGTTGAATGATGCAAAACGCTTTGTGAGTGCGGAAGAGCAAGAAAACCAGGAGCAGCAGAAGCCAAGCACTCCTGCGTCAGATGGCTCTAGCGAGAACATCGCGCCAGAATTCACGCCCCAGAACAGTTATCATTTGCGACTCATTGCCCCACAAATCCAACTGCAGAGCGAGAAGAACCAGAAGTCCGTTTTGCTGGTTGCGGCGAAGGGGATGCAACTGCAGGTTATCTCTATCATGGACAAGGAGCGAGTGTCTGATGATGTCAGCGGTCTGGTACAGCGTCGCTTCTCGCTTTGCATGGATGGAGCCCAGTTCTTCGTGGCAACACAGAAAAACCTGATGAACCACCTTCAGTTCTATGCAGGCAACAAATACGGCAATTCCCCAGGCTCAGCGTGGCCACCATGGTTGACCTTGGAAGCAGTGTTCGACTTTGAGTTAAATCCCTTTGGATTCTCTAGAATTATTCAGAAGACTTCGGCGAGCTTACGATATGATAAGTACAACAACCTCCGTCTGAAGTACAACGAGGAAGTGGCCAAGGGCCAGCCCGGGCAACCGCTTGACATCGAGGACCAGGAACCGAGGATGGACTACATCAGTGTCGACTTCCCTCATTTCCGGGCCATCTGTGACTCGGCCGAGTATTACTCCATGTATATCATTGTCTTGGATCTTTTGCTCTACAGTGAACCGCTGGAAAAGGTTCGCAATGAGCGTTTGGAGAAGATTATGCTCACTTCCGATTTCAGTGACTTGAGGGGCGCCCCGGAAATGGTCTTCAAGCTCCAGGCCCGCATACGACACCTCGAGGAGATCAAGGAACATTTCCAAATTCACGCCAAGTATCTGGACAAGCAGGGCTGGGAGGATCGTCTAGTCCTTGAGAAAGACCTTACCCAATGCGAGGATGAGCTGTTCTTCTTGATGAAGGCTATCACTAGTTCCCAAAGAAAGATCGATCCGACCATGTCAAAAGCGCATGGAATTCTCCGCTGGAACATTTCTGCTAGTGAGGTCGTGTGGCATCTCATGAAGGATCAAAATGAACCACTCGTTGAGTTTCAATTGCGGAATGCTGCATATGATCGCACGGACAACAGCGACGGATCGAATCACAACGAAGTTGCTGTCGAGCGACTGTATGGCTTGAACCTCCTCCCAGATGCCATCTATCCACAGATCATTGTTCCCTATCTTGACCAGGCTCGCAACCTCAATGGCCCTGATGACTATATGATCAAGGTCAAGTGGCACATGCTAGAGGCAGTTGCCGGTATACCAGTTGTGGATGACTTCGAGGTGTCGCTCTTCCCTATGAAGGTCCAACTGGAGCAGGTGCTCGGCCAAAAGGTTTTCGAGTACATGTTTCCTAATGTTGGGTCGACCGCTTTCGAAAATGGCGGTTTTTCGCCCTTCATGATCAAAAACATGAAGCCCATCGATGGTTCGTCCGACTCTGAGGAGGAAGACCGACCAAAGACATCCCCTGGGCTAGAGCAGAGCGATATGTCGACTGACGATCTGTCCTTGAAGGGAACTGGCGCCATTGAGTTGAGGCTTCAACCCACACTTTCTCTGGTGGAGGAAGGCAGGCCTCGGTCCCAGCATCGCCATCTCAAGGGCCTTGCACTGACACCCATTCACAAAGATAAAGACCCAAACCTGTTGATGCGTCCGTCGACGAGTGGAGCGTTGAGCAAGAAGAGATCGGTCGACAGTCTACGGATGTTGTCAAGACAGTCCACGGAGAAATCTCTGGCTAACACCACCGGAACGAATTCTACCGGTGACGAAAAGTCCAAAAAGTTTGCTCTTGGGAGGGCCACCAAAGGCAAGAACAAGGAAGCGCCTGACGACCTGGCGCAGATGATGTCACGTGCGTCGAACTATATGACGTTGGCTCATGTCAAGGTGCACGACGTGGTGCTCTGCCTGAGCTACAAAGGCAAGGGAGACCACAATCTGGAGGATCTCCACGACTTTGTCTTCCGACTACCGGTGCTTGAGTACCAGAATAAGACGTGGTCGAATCTGGATTTGGCTTTGCGCCTCAAGAAGGACGTGATCAAGGCTCTGATCTCGCATGCTCCCGCGATCTTAGGCAACAAGTTCTCTCACCACCGACCTTCTAAGCAGCAACAGCAGCAGCAAAAGCGGTATCGTGAACTTATGAGCTCATCTCAGCTTCTACACAACTCGGATAGTGTGGCGCAAGCAACGTCTGATAAAGCCAGCAGTCTGACAAGTGTCGACTCCAACAGTGAATACTCAGAATCACAACGCTCTGGACATTCAGGGACACTGCCGCTTGCGCGGTCAAATTCTCTCGGGTCTAGCATGCTCAGCATCAACGAACCAAGTGGAGTCCTATCGGATTCGCGTTCGGCGAGCGAAGTCGATGTTGATGCCCGATGGGAGGTACATTCATTCCGTTCACAAGTAATGGTAAACTCCGCTGACTGGTCATATAGCAATCCCGTCGACTAGTCAATCCTCCCAGCCGCCCAATGACTTCGGGTCAAGCACTTCCTCGATCTCAGACCACCAAGCTCTGGGATGGACCAGAAGAAGGGTAAGCTCATATGGACTTCGTGCACCGTGGTCCTTAGAAGGGAAACTAACTTCGCGGTAGTTCTAGCCACAAGACGACATCAATTCGCAACTTTGGCCGCAAACTCATGCCTTCTCGAAAATAACCTCCCAATTCGATTCAAGTGGAAGACATCCATCAGATGTCGCCCGCCCCCTAAGTCATTTGCCCATTATCCTTCTATCCTGACTTTCAGGACCTTACTTGTTGCACATCGTTGCCCTTGCATTTGCCATGTGATACCCCAATGCAGTGGGTCGTATATAGGCGTCAGCACATCGGTATGCTGTTCTTGCCATGGAGTCGGTCGGTCTTATCCGGTGTTTGCCTGAGGATTGTGATTCTTGTTTCCTGCAAACTGACTCTTTCATCCAACCTTATGATTCCCTTTCCCCTGCACAATATCATAAATAACCTAATTTCTATTCTTCGATTTCAAACTTCTATGTTCGTGTTTCCATTACAACCTCTATTTGTTTTTGATCTTCCGACGCTAGGTCGCTTGTTTACATCCTTTGCATGGATAGGATGACGGCCGTCTGAAAAGGAGCTGCGTTCCCGGGTAATGCGCGATGAGCGCATTAAACATATGGTGTCTTTGGTATGGTTTGTGGGTATATATAGGGATAGACGGTGCAATAAAAGATGCTCTAGGTTTTAAGAAGCTTCGGCTTTCGTGATAACTGTTTGGAAGATTAGATCTCAAGTCATTGCATAATGTGCTGAACGATGACTCGCTCTCGCATAGCAGCAAGTCAGCCTTCACGTCCACTCATACAAGCTGATTTGTTCCAGGTTGGAGTATGCGCGTACTATGTGAGTCTAACAAGATACATATCTCAGAATGTATGACCCCAAATACCCTGGACCGTTTGAATAAATCACCACACCACCTCACCTCCAGCTACCCATCCACCACGCTAGCACTAGCAATCGCCTCCAAACCCCCTTCACACAACGCCTTCACCTGCCTCCACCTCTCCACCAACATCTCATACCTCCCCCGCTCCCACTCGGAAATCGCCACCTTTCCCAACATCCCATCAATCCGCTCAATCATCACAGTACATTCCTGGCGATACACCTCGATCCACCCCCGGATCACTTTCGTGGTTTCTTGTAAAGAGAACCCCCGCTGCGAGCGCCCGGTGATCCATAGTTTCCAGTCGCGGCGGTTCATGGTCTTTAAAGCGGCTGCCGCTTGAAGTTTTGTTGGAGTTGGTGTTGGTGTTGTAGAGGATGATGATGATGATGATGATGGGAGGAGGGGAGGGGTGAGGGTGAGGTCGAAGTTCCTGTTTTGTTTTTGGCGGGTTAGATTTAGATCTTTTTTTGCGGATGGGTCTGGGGGTTCCTGGGTGTCTAGGGTGTCTCGATTGGATGATTTGGGATGGCTGTGATATAGAGTGGATTGGGACGGATTGATTTATTATTGTCGGACATATCTTACCCGAAAAGATCCTGAGCTGCCAGATCTTTCTTCTGATCGATCGTGAGGTCTTGGAAGATGATATCATCGAGGTAGATAGTGTCAGAGGGGTTGGTGGGGAGGTAGAATCCATCTGATTTTTTTTTTCGATTTTGCGGCGAGGTGGTTGTTAGTTAGGGCTTCGAGTGGATTGGATTGGATTGGTTTTGAGTTGGGTTTAGGGGGGAGAAGGGGAAAGCGCTTACATTCGACGAAGAGGAAGTCGTTGGAGTGGGCGCCGTAGCTCATGTAGATCTCTTCACCTTGTTCTGTTTTTTGTGGCTTAGTTGGTTCTGAGGTTGAGGTGTAGTTCTGAATAGGGTGGAGAATTGTGGTTTCAAAAGGATGAATTTACCGTATTGGCGGGTTGCTTTGAAGAGGTAGTTCTCGCCGGTCCAGATGACTTCGCATTCCTGTTTGAGACACCAAGAGATATTAGTGGAGTGAGTGACACTGGGCGGGAAAGAGAGCTCACGTCGTCGTCGGCGTGGTTGAAGTAGTCCGCGAACGGAACCATGGCTATAGCGTCATTCCAGTCCTCCGGCTCGTCTTTGCCCGGTGAAACATAATAGAAGCTCCGCGAGTTGATGATGCACCAGTAGTAGGCGAAGGTGCGCCAGTCGGTCTCGGGGTACACGGTCCGAACATGCGTCCATGCGCTTTGGAGACGTTGCTCTTGCTGGCTGAGGAGGTTTTGATATCGGGTTTCGTAGTCCACGCCGACGGGCTCCTTTTTGAAGGTGTTCCAGAGCCCAGAGATTGAGGGAGGCAGGAGGCTTGATACTGGTGATGACGAAGGCGTGCTGCTGCTGCTACTGCTACTGCTGCTGCTGTCGTCGTCGTTGGGCGTACTTTGGACGGCGGCATTAGACTGTCGGAGATGCTTTGGCCAGAGCACGGGCATGGTCTCCTCGAATTCACAGAATTCCGGCCATACCTTGCGCCATGGGTCGAGCTTCTGAAGCCAAGCAGCATCTCCGTGCGCCAGAAATGCAGATAAGATGCAGTGGATGGAAGTGCCTGCCGGGAACTGCTCCACAAATGATGATGGGATGGAGTCGATGGTTAGCATTGCTGATACGGGCACTCGCAGCATGACCTCATTTTCCTGGAATCATGTTAGAGAGTACTATAGTCATTTGCTCTAGACTCCACGGGCTCCCAGACATACTTCTATCCTCCGAGTCGCTTTCATCCCCAAGCGTCGGCCGGGGAATCGCGCTGGTGAGATGCCATTGATCTCCACACCTTGGGATTTGGCCCATTGCTTGAACGCAGCATGTTCCTCGCCGGGTGTATCGTCTACTGCCATCTTCAGCTGCCTCTTTGAGCACGATTCCCGTCACTCTTTGCTGAAAAAGAATGCAAAACGAAACCAAGAACATTGCGTGGATTGCTGTAGTTCTTCGCGGCGCGATTAGGTAAGCGGATCTCCCACTCATTCCGTTTCCTTGCCTGAGGCCATGAAAAGGGAACTCAACAAGATGCATCACAAAAAGCCTTGCGCCGCGACAATTTTTCTTTTTTCTTGACCAAGTGTGCGGTTGACCGTCGCAGAATTGGCCCCCCTGTTCTTCCTTCTTTTTTTCTTACCATATCTATCCCCAAACATCTCTTTCAAAATGTCAGAGATAGCACCCTCCCCGGCCACCAACCGGCCCTCCACGCCCCCCGACGCAAAGATCGACCACGCCGCCTCCCTCCGCTACTGGAACAGCGTGCCCGCCAACGCGCACGTCATGCTCGGCATGCTAGGCCAATACCCCTGGTACACACGGATCGACCTCCGAGGCTCGAAAACATTCCTCAACAAAGTGCGCCGGCTGATCCCGGACTGCCCGACGGAGGGTAAACTGGGCCGGGGGGTCGACTGCGGCGCGGGCGTCGGCCGCGTCACCGAGGGTCTGCTCAGCCAGGTCTGCACGACCGTCGACGCCGTCGAGCCCGTCGAGAAATTCACGCAGGTCATGCGCGACTCAGTACTGAAGCGCGACGGCGTGGTGGGCGAGATCTACACTATGGGCTTGGAGGACTGGACACCTGAGCGGCAGTATGATCTGATCTGGACGCAGTTCTGCGTGGGCCATTTGACGGACCGCCAGTTGGTGGAGTACTTTGTACGGTGTCGTGAGGCGCTGACGGCTACGGGTGTCTTGGTCGTCAAGGAGAATCAGTCGACGGATCCCAAGGGCGAGGATATGTATGATGATGAGGATAGTAGTGTGACGCGCACGGATGAGAAGTTCCGCAACCTGTTTAAGGAGAGTGGGTTGAGCGTGTTGGCGTCGGAGTTGCAGTTGGGGTTTCCGAAGAATTTTCGGTTGTTGCCTGTGCGGTTTTATGCTTTGAGGCCGGTCTGAGGAGCTCCTTTATCCCCCAAGGTTGGAGGTCAGGGAAATGTTGAGAATTAATCGGTGGTGAGAGCTATGAGAGGCTCTCGGCATGCTGGATACCTGGCTAATGGTCAGGAAGCATCAGCCGTAGCCGAGCCGGTCCTGGTGACCAAGGGAGATGATATGGGCCTTTAGCCAGCTTGCTAGACCTGTGGTTCTATCGACTACGCCGGCACGTCAAGCGCTACTGGCACGCAAGCGTGCTGCGTTGGTACATCTCCAAGTGTCGCAGGTACGCGCTCTAGAGCAAACGCGATGAGGCGTACCAAATCAATGGGAGTTAATGTGGGATGGATCCCTCGGCCAGTGGAAGTGTACAGTAATGAATTATGATGATGTCATTATACTCAAGGAATATCCCCAGCAAAACAATAAGTCTGAGAAACAAACACACGGTGCAACTATCAGCAAGTCGCTCGAAGCCAAAGGTCTGGGTATCTATATGTACAGTATGGGATCGGCACAGCCGTCGTGAACTCGTCGTAAACGTATTTCGTGATCTTCGGGTGAGGTATGATTGTTGTTGGTTATGGGTAGGCTTCGACAGTCCTGCGTTCAGCTCGCCTTTAATGACATCATGTTGTCGAGAGCAACATGGCTTGACATCGTCGAGTAGGACGAAGCTATGTGTGCTCAGACTGACCAGCTGCACTGAGCCCTGTCTCAAATTCAGGAGTGAGCAGATGGAGTGGATGGTGCGGACTGCTTTTCCCCACGGCCCCACGGGAAGATGTTTGGCAAACGGTCATGGACACTCTCGAGTCGCGTCCGGGCAGACGGCGCATTCGGGTCATCGGTATACGCAATGCCTCCCTCCCCATGGCAAGTGCCCCAGGACTGTCTTTCGCGTCGGAGATCGCTCTGCACCCAGGGTATGGTAATCAAAGTCCAGACTACAGCCCAAGCGAATGGAAGGGTCCAGCCCAGCTAGAAGAGATTGTTAGACTAAAGAGCCATAATAAAGTCAGGTGGGTTGACTTACAGTATAGGCGACCGACTCCTTGACAGTGAAGATGATCGCAGTGATCGCAGCGGCGCATACAACGGAGCCACCGGCCCAGAAGCAGTTCATTTGGAACAACATCCGACGGAAGTATGGGCTGGAAAGGTACCGCGTGCGGAGAGCATATCGATAGATCTGTCCGCCTCCTCCATCGACTGCGACCACATCCTCGATAAGCACGTATAAGGCGGTAGGCATCGTCGAGCCTTTCGGAGTGGAGGAGATTCGGAAGGGTGCTTTCACTCCGCAGACGCGCAAAATATCAAGAGTGAGGTAAACACCACCAAAGTAGAACATAACGGTTGGGAGAACCATGGCCACGAGACGCACTATTATTCCTTTTTGTTAGCTATCTCGAGCCAGAGTCATGACCAGTCGTAATCAGCTTACCATATGGCTCTTGTGGCACAGTTCCACTAGCAGATGTTAGCTCAGGTCCGATGTCCGCGTTGGTCCGCGTTGGTCCGCGTTGGATGCCACTTACATAATTAATTCGATCGCGAGGATCAACCATACAATGGTGAAGTTGATGTGGAAAAAGTCTAGCTACATCCGAGTCAGTATAGCCCTCTCCAGGTCCAGCAGGCAGGAAAACATACCCATCCTTTCTGTGCATTAAGCGGCCGGGCGCGGGAATCTTTGCGGAAGAGGTTATATAATCGATAGAAGTATTCAAACACAGAGACACCTCCCAAGGAGGCAGTCACAATACTAAAGACTGGCTCGTGCAATTAATCAGTACATTTGCGGGGAGTGTTAGGATGGCGCCGAAGAGCGAGAGACTGATACATACCTACGTTATGAGACAGGTCGGTAAGATACCACAGACACCAATATAGGATGAGCGGCTGGGCCATGGTATCAATAACAAAAATGGTCCAGAAGAAGGCAATCGACTTTTTCCTGGTGCGCAACGAGTAAGGGAGCTGAGGCGGCTCCGAGGGGGCCGCACCGACGGTTGCTTCTGGATCCATGAAGAGGGGCGATAGGCGTGGGCAATTTGGTGTCAATCAGTCGGTTATGTGAGGTGACAATGTGACGATGTGATGGTTCAGATTGATAAGGTGATTCTGGGGACAACGCAAGGCATGGCGGGGTGCCAGGTGGGAAAATGGGAGAGTGCGATCAGTCCAGTGTCCAGTGGTCAAGGCTGTATGGAGTGTATGTGTATTCGAGAAAAATTCAATGGGAATTAGAGTAAAAGGACTAGACTATATGGAGATTGACAAGGAGGCAGTGTAAAGGCAAAAAGGGTCAATTATTGATGAACAAATGAACAAATGGCGGCGGGGCGGAAACAACGGCATTAGGGATTTTGTTTTTCTCCTTCGCTGTCTCGCTCTTCTTGACAATTCCGCGAACCGAGTGGTGGTGGTTTTTGGCAAGCCGTGATGCCTGACGTAACCCCCAATGCGGTGATGTCATCCGCCCCGTTCCGGCCGGCATTGATTCCTTTTCCGCACGCATTACTCAAACATTGAAGCATTAGAAAACAACATTTACATCAACAACAACACTGCATATCTTTTCTGCAGCAGCTGATGGTATAAGTGCCCCTGTTGTCTCATCCCTATTGTCATTCTGTCTGTCTACTAAGATGCTGGGGAATCAGGTTCCATCCACAACTTCATCCCCAGCGGTTCCTCTGCTGGTCTGATCCGCCCACCGCAGATATGAATACGAGATTTGCCACTGCTGGCGATAACGCATCCACTGTGACTTCCGTCAATGCGTGCACAACTCATGTCTCATATAGCCCCATACTTCATTTTATGCTCTACTTAATAGTTAATGCTTGAACGGTCTACCACAGGATTAGGTATGTCTTCGATCATTGCCAGCTCCACTTGGACCCTGGCCCGACCGGATGATCAGCAATTGATCGTCAGCATGCATGAAGTCATGCACAATTCGGCCGGGCTGAGTAATTATGCACATTGTGTCTTATCACAAGTAACAAGCAATGGTATTGTTTTCGACCATGGGACGTAGAATGGAGTATACAATTTAGCTATGCTGACAGATTATGGCGTTTGAGCGTTTGGTGTACTTAGATATAGTAGGACATTCAATATGACCTGAGATGTGGAAAAGACTGTGTAACACTTTCTAGTCTCGACAAATGCAGAGAACATGCCTAACCAATGCCTCAATTCCAGCAAGTTACGTGAAGGAACAAAGAACGATGAGGGATAGCTGGACGTGTTCATATTCCAGTGTTACACCCGCATTTGATCCTCCTCTAACACACACAGTGTTCTATAAGACTTATGATCGATAATCTCACTTGCACGCCGCTTCTCACAACTGAATTCCCCAGTCCTTCTTCATTTCACATCCACATCCCACAGGGAGCTGAAGAAGTTCAAAGCATCAGGAATTGAACCCTCAAAGGTCCTTCAACTAAGTCAGAGCTCTTCTAGCTAAAGCTTCACTCGAGGCCGTTACAGAAAGCAAAGGGTTGGCTAACAAAAGCTCGGGATTTTAGACCGCAGGAATGTCTACATCGGAGGAAGAAGGGTTCGAGGCCTGCACTCACACTACCTCACCCTCCGCCTGTGCTGAGTCGATCGATTCTACCTTGCACACAAGCATCAAATCACTCATGAATCCCTCATGCCCATGTGCCGGGGGCAAATACCTCATCCGCGACATGCAGTCCAAACTTTTCATCGCGCTGAACAATGGAGTCCTGGGCTTGCATACTCTACCAACCGACCACCCCGCTAATTATGACTTGGGCCCTTACTGGAACTGCGTTGAAAAGAACAACATGTGGTTCGGTCTGAAGAATACTGTGTCCGGGGGCTTCATAACCTCTAACAACTTCGGCGGATGCGACGCGATGGATTTGAACCACGAAGCAAAACAGTCCTTTTGCCCTCGCCACCAGCCCGATGGGGGCTATGTACTTCTGTTCCGAAGTGGTGAGCGTCTCTCGCCGCTTTCAGTGGTTGGAATGGACAAGAAAAAATTGGAGTTCAAGCATGGAGACAAGGGAGCGAGCTGGGAATTCATCCGTGTTGACTCTCTCTGAGTTAACTCAGCTATGCCATTGTCTCAAAAACAGAACGCAGAGAAAAAGGACCAGAGTAATCGAAAGGATGCCGGGATCGTCTTAGCAAGCCGCTCAGTTTACTAGGTGGAAGGTGGACAGTGTTGCAAGCATTTTATTTGTGTACAATACTTTCCAGCCGTATGCATGATACTTCTGAGTCCTCCTACAATCAATGCCACCAGAACTTGATGATGGTACCAGCCAATGAACGAACCGCTTGCCAACGATGTAGCCACCCTCTCACGTGATAAGAGCAGTCTAATCACGTGGGAAGAGATCCCCAGCTGTTTGGCCTCAACTTTTCCCACCTTTCCTTCATGACGCTGGTTCGATTCGCGCCTCGGTCTCTGCCATTTTTTGTGTCCATTAAAAAAAGAAAACTCCGTTGTCCAGGCAATGGTTTGAGGACGATATCCGCTGCAGGGGATTTTTCCAAATCGAGATTGAAGCAGTGCAAGGCAGTGATTATGGGGATAAGATGGCCCCAAGTCTCCGGGACCTGATTGATTTTCTGCTTGCAGAGATTGCTCTCTGTGGCGACCAAGGTCGGTTTTCTCGTCTTCTTTTCTCGCAGTTTGCTTCAGATGATGCTCCACAACCACCACTAAAACTCAATGCATTGCCCCTGCATCTGACATGCATGTGATTGGATCTACCTTCTTCTACTTGGTATATACAACTCCAATTCGTGTCCATGAATCTCACCTGCCGATTTGACCCGGAAATATCTCCCAACAATGATTGTACTAATAATGCCTTCCAGGTGCATCGCCATCGGATATACTGAAATTCATTGACACATTTTACGCCAGGTTCGCCCAGGATGGCCCTGAGCGCAATCACAGTGTAGACAAACGCTTCAAGGACAAAGTCTGGACTTGGCTAACCAAAAATCCGGAAATCTCTGTGGGGAACAACAGAGAAGGAAACCATCTCCGTCTACAAGACGTTGTGGGGGTTTCAGACGATGGATCTTCCACTAAGGCAGAAGTTCCCACTATGCCATCTGGACCTGTTCGCGTATTTGTCTCAAAGGAGCGGACCTGGTTAGCAATCACCGGTCACGAGCCAGATGAAACCAAAGTCCTGCCAACCGAATTCGCTCTGCTCTCGATCATCGCTTCTCGCAAGCATAATGGTATCGTGCAGACTGACCTGGTCAAGGTCAGTGGCCAAGATAAACGGTCGGTGCCCAAGCGTACAGACGCCCTGCATCAAAAAGGCTACATCGAGAAGCGCGCCATCCAAATCAAGGCTGCGCGGACAAGTCTCTGCACCCTTCGCCGGTTCTTGACAGCAGAGAATGCCATTCAAACCAACGACGATAATGAATTGGCTAATGCGAAGAGGAGAATGATCGACTTCAATGAATTCACGGGAAAACTTTTTGACATCCTTAGAGAATACAAGCTCATTTCTCGCAATGATCTTAAAGCAAAGCTCGGGTTCGCAGACCACTGGCACTGGAGAATTCTGTCTCGGGCGCTACGCAAATTCGAGCGCATTGGGGTCTTGAAGCGAGTGAAGGCGTTGTCTCAGTATGCGCATACGCTGAAAAAATTCCATCCATGTGTCATGCTCATTCGGGAGCCAACGGAGAAAGACATACAGATGTTCCATGAGTTCAGTCGAGGCATCTTGGCCAATCTCGACCAGGAAGACAACGTAGAATTGGATGACGAGCTGGAACAGGAAGATTCAACTCAGGCCTCGCAAGAAGCCGCTCCGAATACCACTTTGATGAAACGGGAGCAACAGGTGGAAGACGCCGGCCGAATTCTGCCCTGTTGGAGTCCAGACCGTAACATCCACAATCTTATTTACGAAACGATAGATAAGGCGGGAACTGCGGGCCTGACCAACCAGGTAAGTCACGGATGGAAAAGCAGTTCGTGGAGATTCACTAAGCCTCGAACAGGGAATTATTAGTAACGGCTTCGGGTACTACTACCGCAGACCACTGGAGAACGCAATTAGTCGTCTTACAGATTGCTGGCAACTCTCCCAGCCTCTGCACCTGCGCCACCTCGCTATAGTGCGAGACACAGCGCTTGAACGGACCATCACGCATTACGTCCATTACACTGCCCTGAGTTTTCAAGAATTAGTCAACGCAGGGGATGCGCTGTGGGAGGCAGTTGAATTCCGTCCTAAAGATGCCAAGGATGATAAGATTCGACCGCCGCCGGTAGATGCTATGCCCCAGTTGGATCAATATGCTTTACCCCTTGAACGCCCTGGAAAGGAAGTGCTCAAGCGCGGCCAAGCTACTCTCCTGGAATGCATCCTCGTGGCCCAGCCGCCGGACTACAATTGCTCAAGCCGTGACCCTGTGGCAGTGAAGCAGGACGATGGATCATATGCAATTCAGCAAAAGCTTAAGGGCTCTGCTGGTGTTGGGATGAGTCCACTGCGCCACAAGCCTACGCCAAGAATCAAAGAAGAATGCCTTGAGGTCTCCGATGAGGAGACACTCGAGGTGAAGCCTGTTAATGGTCGTCGCAAGAAGAATGATCCGGACCGATTCAAAGGCATGTCTGAGAAGGAAAGAATGGAGGCAATGGGGTACGACGAGACCTGGACCGATTACAGCGTATTGCTCATAGAACGACCGGAGCCGGGCGTATACGTGACTCCACGTGGTCGGCGGAGGGCGGCGGGCAATCGACAAGGACGCCCTCGAGTTAGTCGGCTCGCCGTGTTCAAATCTCCAAAGTTGTCATCTTTCCCGTGGTTCCAGTCGGAAAGTGTCGATCCGGACGCTGACACAGCCATCCGTCCCCGTTCGACGCCGCAAACACCGCGCCTGGCCGAGACTCCCACGCCTATGGAAGCAGATGAGGACACGCCACTCGGCTCTCCAGGACCTGCTGCAAGCAAGAAGACGCAGGGAGGTAAGCGAAGCCGACAGAAACGTGATTCGGACGCCGACTCAAGCATTCGTGGCGCACGGAAGCAAAGACGAGTCAACGAGAAACCCTCAGAAGAGGTAGCGTCATCTGTCGATGCAAACAGCAATCCTTCGGTCCAAAGTGAAGAAGGAGACTCGGGCATACGAACAAGTTCCGTGATACTAGAGCAACGCACGGCCACAAAACGGAAGCGAGCGGTGTCTCCCAAAGGAGACCAGCCGGTGCCTGAGGTGGCCGAGCCAAGCAACCCTGATACCGTCGCAACAAGCCGCTCTCCACGAAACAAATCTTTTAGAACGCCTACAAGCGAAGTCAGCCCTTCACCGAAGAAACTTCGCGCAACCAATACCCTACGGAAATGGCTGGCAACATCGCAGACGCCCAAACGTGCAAGTGAGAACCACACCAATGCTGGGCTGGCGGCCGACTCTCCTACTGCCTCTAATGGGGTCGACAATACTCAAAGTATTGAAAGGGCCGTCTCTACGGAGTCTGAAAGGATAGATATCGAGAGCACAGATGCCCAACCAGCTCCAGATCAAGTCGACGTTCCGTCACCTACGATGTCTCAACTTTCACCAGAGAAAGAGAAGGTGAACAGTCCATCACAGCACAACAACGACACGCGCAGAATCAGAGCAGGGAAAGGGGGCTCCGTGGCTGTACTTCGCCGGCAGATTGTTCTGGAGATCATTGACCGGGCTGGAGGAGCCTACCCAATGGGTACAGAGCTTTGGTATCCATTTATGACTGCATGGGCAAAAACCCGCTACAAGGAAATCCCTGATCTCCGCACGGTCAGAACAGTCGTGAAGGGATTGGTTGATTCTGGCAGAGTGAGGCAGTTGACATTCAGTGGACGTGACAACAAAGGCGTTATGGTGACGAAGAACATTGTCTACCAAGCGGAGATGCAGGCCGACGATCCTCTGATCGAGGATCTGCAGAAAAAGATGTTGGCGGCGGACCGATATTACTTCCCGCCAAATGTGGAGATTGACCCCGAGATCAAGAAGAATGGCAGCAAACGCAAGAAAATTGCAGGAAATGAGGGGCGACACCACACGGAATTCCCCGTTCTCCCTGATGCACTCACTGTGCAACTACATAAAAAGCCTGCGTCGGTGGTTGCGATTGAGAAAAGGCGAGACGTGGCCATGCGGAAGGAATTGCTTGAACAGCTGGCTATGGAGGAAGACTTTGATCAATTCAGTGGCTCTGAGATTGTTCGACTCATGACATTCCGACGCCGGGCAGGGAAGAACGGGGCCCAAGGATTAACATCTATCAGCAGACCTCATTCGATGAGCAAGGAAGACAGACAGTCGCGCAGACGCCATGCACTGGCGGGACTGGCTTCTATCCGCAAAATGCGGCGCCTCTGGTCTTCGTTGGCTCCATACTCGATGCTAATGAATACGAGATCAACTTTCCTCTCTACCACTGGGACATTCTCGACGGAAGCTGGTATTCCTGCACTTCAAGCAGCGAAAGACCGTGCCAAGGCAGCAGCAAGAAAGCAAGTACTCATCCCTGCCACTGAAATGCCGCACTCGTTAGAGGACATACTCAAGACAAGGAGGAACACTTTTGACTACTCCACGAGCGATGATCCGCGCGCACGACAGTTCTTTCATGAAACGAACACCATCTCTCGGTGGGAGCTCGAAAACGAGGATCTGCTTGCGCGCAGGAGCTCTGATATCACCTTCATCAATCAAACAGTCCAGAACATGGAAAGCTCTGGCATTGAAAGCGGCATTCGATTCGATTTCGATGAGAGCTTTGGCCATTTCATGGCACCGCGACTGTCAGTGACGACTCGTCAGCGACGCCGACGGTCAGAGGCCGCCTCGGTGGCACCCCCCAATCGCCGTCTAGCCAAATGGGATGAATCCATGGCGGGCGACAACACCAAAGTGATTCTGTCAAGTCAAGATATCAACAACAATCGTAATACATCCTCCAAGAGGAACCGATCTCAAATGCCTCCTGAGATGGTCCGAAGAATCATGGTTGCATTCGCCGTCGTTCGAAGTCTGGCAGGAGGGTCTGATGCACGTAATGTTGACTGGAGCCTGATGTGCCATTGCTTTCCTGACATGGAACAAAGTGTCGTTGTTGAAAGAGGTCGACTCATTCTTAATAAATACAGGTTACAGATCACGAAGATGCAAAGTGACTTTCACGAGCGGTTTCTTGAAGCCTATGCCAAGGATGAAGTGCCTCCCATCAACTACGACGATCTATATAATTACGACTGGGAGGGAGTAGTCGACTGGGCGAGCCATCATCTTGACTTACCCAAGTCTGAGAAGGTTCCTGACTTACCGGCCACGAGGGAGCAGCTTGATAGCATGTTCGATGTCAGGGAGGAGCCGCCAAATGCTGTGGACGAACTGTACCATCTCAGTCAGTCGATCACTCTGAGCCGCAAACGCGCCTTGGCCGCTGGTGTTCCATTTGCCATGCCCCTGAGCCATAAGGCGGGCCGTTGCCAGCTTCGGAAGGCCGAACTGGCGCGTCTGGAGGTGGCCAAGACATGGGTGCGGGCGAACGTCGTGACGCCGGAAGAGACGTACCGCCCGATGGAGGCACGGCAGAGTCTGGAACGACTAGGCGAGCCCATGGTCCACCAGGCGCTGCAGTCGCTGGTTACAGAACGCGCTCTCAACATGAGCAACCGTGGCCGCATCACTCCGGGACGCAACTACGATGTTACCGAATACTTCATGCTTGCTATCAGCAAGCGACGGGCCATTGAGAGTACGCAATTGCGCCGTGCCCATCGATTCAAAACGGAGATCTTGGATCCTGTTCTTCGAGACCAGGGCTATGTGGAGATCGACTGGAATGCGGAAGATGGTGACATCTTGGTGATTATGAACATGCTCTGGGCTGGACGGGTGCTTCTCAAACCGCGCGATCCTCCTCGCGACAAGTACGGATTGACAGAGGGTGGGTATCTGACTCGACAGTTAGACAAGACCAAGCTTCGGTTCACGGTTGACGTCTGGCCGACTGACACGTATGTGTTTGGGAACCCCATCCAGGAAAAGACCAGTGCACTGAAGCCCCCTCGTTTGGCTGAGGAGGTTGATTCAGTGACGTCGTTACCCGCGAAGATTCCGCTGTGGTATGATATCCATGGGGACTTTGTGCGCGTGCTGTGGGATCTGACGGTTGCAGCCGTGGTGGGCTGTGTAGCGACGAGGCCTGGAATCAGCGCCCATGATATTGCAGGGATGGTGAAGCCGACGATGGGAGGATGGGAGGTGCAGTTGTTGTTGGAATGGATGAAGGAGGTGGGAGTTGTGAAGCTGGACTGGACGGGCAGGGCAGAACATGATGAGAATGAGCCAGGCTGGCGAGTGGATGAGTGGTGGTACATGGTGCTGGGATGATCTGCGAGTGAGATGATCTACGAGCTGTAACTATATTGGCGTTGGTCTTGGATGAGGTAGTAGTTTTAGCTGAGGTGTTACTTGCATAGTGTTTGGTTGTATGTATGTAAAATATTGCACTTTGTTACTACAGCAGTACCTGTCTGTTTCGATTAGTTCGAGGGTATTGCACTGAATTCAATTCTCAACTTGGTCTGAAATTCTACTGACGTACTCATTCACTCAGTATCGAAGGCAGCCCTTGACGCCATGACGGGTCTTCCTCTTCTTTTCTCCTCTTCAACTCCCTCGTTTACCTCACTCCCATTAGCATCTCCAAGCTCACCCTCACTCTCCTCATCCTCGTTCTCATCTTCATCATCGTCTCATCCGCGTGCTCACCGCGTGCTCACCGCGTGCTCATCCTCATCCTCATCCTCGTTACACTATCCCACCTCTTCCTCCACTTCACTTCACCCGCATCCACGCAAACGCAAACGCAAACACACATTCCCACAACTTCAATTCTCAACTTCAACTCCAATCTCAACCTCAAACTCGACCTCGACCTCACTCAGTGATTCTCAGTCACAAACCAGCCTCAGCAAATCAAATCAATTCAGAATCAAAGTGGACAACAGAGTCAGGATCAGAGCCAGGACCACCCACATCCCCATCAAATCCAAATCTGCAATCACAACCATACTTCACCGCAATGACCCGCAAGAAGAAAAACCGCCGAACCGGTACCTCGAGCGCCGCGGGCCCCGGCAAACAGCGTCCTGGACCTAGACCCGGGCCCATCCCTTCTATAGAGATCGGAAGCACGGTTTCTGGTAGGGTGAGGCCGTTGGGGAGGACTGTCGAGTTGCCGTATAGGATGGCGGGTGAGGTTTCGGGGTGGAGGGGGCAATCCGGTAGTCGAGCTGGTCAGCAACACCTAGCTAGTCTGGATACCTTTACTCGTGGTGGTCAATTGAGTCAGAATTGGGCTCCAGCTGCTCAGATTGGTCAATTCGGTCAGGGTGGTCAATCCGGTCATCTCAGTCAGAGTATCCACAACCCAGCTGGCCAGCTTGGTCTGATCGACCACAGCGCTCAAAGCAACCAAGCTGCGCAAGCTCATACTCCGCACAACCGCGCTGCAGAGCACAATGCGAACTCCACGAACCCGGTCCGGACCACGCACCACCCCGCAGGGAACGGACACGCTTACCGCGCAGTGATGCATCCGTTGAGCACCGCAACGCACAACGTGTGGGAGTGCCAGTACGTGTGCAGCGACCCGGAGCAATGCGTCTGCTGTAGCGCAGCGCCAGTCCGGTGTGCTGCGGAGCATGACAAGGTCAACCCCATCCCAGCTTACGCCATCGGGTCTCAGCCAGGACGCAGTCCAGCATACACCAACGGCTCCCAGCCAGGACACAGTCTATCTTACGACCCAGCCAACCCCGCGGAGCACAGCCCGGCTAACACCACCACCACACTTAACACCACAAGACCCCCGGCAGGCCGCATTGTCGCAACTCATCCCCAACCCCTAAACGAAGGACCAGGGCCGTGGCCTACGCAAACTGATTTCCAGGGCTCACTTCACGAAGTCACCGCTGGAAGCACGACCCCCGATACGACTCGGGATTGTGTCTTTTGCGGGGGTAATGGGCATTCAACTGCAGAGTGTCCGGAGAGGTGGGGGAATACGGGTTCGCGAATACCGACTGTGAGTGCATCTGGCTTGGTTCTGGTTTGGGGGTGGGATGAACACTGTTGTTGTATGGATGCTAAAACCCAGCTACAGATATGTTGTCCGCGGAGGGAACGAACGAGGCGGAAGCGGGCTGTTGTCAAAGGTATACGGAAGGACTTACGACGGCAGAGGGAGACGCAGAGGCAGGTGGAGGAGGAGCGGGAGAGGCTTGAGAAACTGTTGCTCGAGGATAAGGCTCCGGACTGTGTTGTTTCTCAACCTGCTCAAGAACAGCCAGTGGATCTGGAGGGTGTTCTGCAGCAAATCATTATGGATATGACTTGATCTGCTGAGTACTGTAGATCCTTGGGGGGCTGGCTGGATTTGTTGCGTGGCAGACCGGAACTGAAGTAAATGTTCTTAAGATTGAATGCAGCATTCTAGTAGACATCAAATTGTCATGCCCGCGAAGATACAAATATACGCCTGATAGATATACCGTAACGGCCACCGGATCATGTTCCCTGAGTGGTCACTCGTCTCTGGCGATGCGCCGGAGGATCATGGCCACTAGGGCGATGACGACGCCGATGATGGCGCGGTCGAGCCAGGGGGTATCGGGGGACAACTGTGGTTGTGGTTGTTGCTGGAGGAGTTGCGGTTGAGACGGAGTCTGAACCGGCTGCGGGGCGGTTTCTGGTTGTGACTGAGTTGGTGGCGAGCTGTGTATAATAGTTGGAGGGTGTGTCTCCGCCGTGTCTGTCGAGAGGGCCGTCTGTGCCTCATGTTCATCTTCCACTTTCCTCGTGTCTTCACCCTGTTCAGTACCAGACTCTCTCGCTTCTTCCTCTTTCACCGTACCCCCAGTACCCTCACCCTCACCCTCAGAACCAGAAGAAACCTCCACCCCCCGAGAACGACAATACGCCCACCACCTCTCCATAACCTCCTCATTCGTCCTCCCCTCCCCCTCATTATCACCACCACCACCACCCTCCCCCTCATCATCATCATCATCCTCCCCCACAACCCGCCCTTTACACAAATCACACCTCCACCCCCTCGACCCCCGCGCATACCCCCTCCGAACGTCCTCCCCGACATCCAACCCCCCGACCTGCCCCCTCGCATCTCCATCCATAAACGTCCGCAACGCAATCAACGCCGTGCGAATCCCCCACGCCGGCTGCCATGTCTCCTCATGATGGCCCGAGATACTCAGACAGATCTCCCGGTTGACTTCAAACCGGCCCGAGGGCGTCAGGAACCGGAACGAGGGGGGCCGCAGCGGGTAGGTCGGCGGCAGCACGATGCGGCCGTGGTAGAGGCCCCCGCTGTAGGGGGAGGGGGCGGGCGGGCCCTGGAGGGTGAAGTGCCAGTCGTAGAGGTTGGAGGGGTCGATCGGGGTGGCGTGGAAGGTTGGGTCGGGGTTTTTGAGGAGGTCGACTTGTTCGCGGGTGAGGCGACGGAGGGAGGGGTTCATTTCGCACCACTTTCTTTGCTTTGGAGGTTGTTGTAGGTAATGGTGGATGGGGTTAGGTTGGTTGGCGCATTGGAGTAGGTTGTGATAAGATGTATGTATTGTACTGATGTACAGTATAGCCTGTACTCTGTAACTGAACGGGGGTCTGATGGAGTTCTTCCTTTGTTCGGTTGGTCGTCTTGGTTGTATGCTGTGTTTGGTATGATCAGAACACTTGGAGTAAATGGAAATAGTTGCGGAGTAATGATGGTGAGGGGAAGGAATGAGGTGGGGATATAGTATTAGTTGAATCCGGAGGCACTGAGGAGAGGCCAACTGGCCTGAGGTGTCTGCGGAATGTGGGTCCCAGGAACCATTGCGTAATCTCATAACCAGCCAAATAACTACGGAGTATAGTAACTACGGAGTACTTAGTTATTACTCGGTAGTCTTTAGACTCAGGTACTAAGGAGTAGGTAGTCATCATGTATAATCATCATCCTATCCAGTCTAATATACATCAATCCCAATTCCTCCATTCATACTCTCCCCTGCCCCCCTCATCACTCGCCTCATCATCGCCTCGCCGTGGCGACACCGGTCGCAGCGTCTTCATTGACACCCCCGTACCCGGTCTCTCAGGGTCTCTCACCACATCCAACGGCTGGTGCGGTGTCCACGCAGCAGCACTATTCGCAGCTGTCGCGTCCGCCCCCATCCAGCTCTGGCTGTTGTTCATATTCCGCGCGTACAAGTCCCGGTAATACTGCTGCTGACTGGCCGCCTCCTGCTCCCGTCGCGCCCGCACCCCGTCGCGCGCCTCCAGAAACTTGGCGCTGGGCTCCCAGTGCCACCCGTCGCCCGTCGTGGTACACACGGGGACCGGCCACAGCAGCGGCCGGCGCCCGAACAGATGCAGCAGGTTGCGCTTCCACCCCAGGTCAAACGCATGGGGCATCTTCTCGCTGTCCTGCTCCTCCAGGTAGCTCTGGTAGCGATCGTGCTCGCGCTGACGTTCCATGTCCGCATACGACCGCGTCAATGCCTGCTGCGCCGGACTCAACCCGTCCTGCCCCGACGAGAACTGTCTTGCGGCGCCCGGCGGAGGAGGGCTAGCCTCGTCCTCCCCTTCCTCCGCCCTCGTCACCCCGGGAATCGCATTGGCATGCGCCTCCAGGATCTGGCCCCCGTACTCCTGCAACCGATGTCCCAAACCCCCACCCCCGCTGTTGCCTCCATCCGCGTCGTGCCCCGCAAGTCCCTCATAGCGATGGCGATCCAGCGCCTTCCGCAACGGCGAGACATACCGCGTCTTCTCCAGACACTCAATCGTAGTAACTCCGCGCACAGCCAGACTGATATGCCAGGCGGTGAACCCCGACAGCACTAACCCAATAATCCCGCCCAGCACCGCCAGCAACACCACATTGATGGGCAGCATCTTGTCGAAGTCCACGTACTTGCTGTCGTCGAGCATCTCGTTCCAGATCCACGTCGACGCCACCAGGAAATCCACCCAGCAGAACACCGAGGTGTAGATCAGAAACAACAAAAAGGCTTTGTAGTTGTACAGCCCCACGCAGGTCGCCAGCCAGGGACAGTGGTGGTCCATCTTCAGCACGCACCGCTTGCAGGTCGAGCAGTGGTGCGCGCGGTCGGGCTTGGGACACTGGCACTTCTTGCAGAACCGCGACCCGCCCGTCGAGTTGACCGTGTATGCCGTGTACTGGGGCAGCTCTGTCACCGGGAGCGCGCTGTACTCGTGCTGGCTGCTGCTGCTGCTGCTGCTGGAGGGCTTGAGCGGCGAGCCTGGGTCGGTGAAGACGGCGACCGTGTAGCAGGTGTTGAGGCAGATATACAGGAAGATTCCGAGGAGCGAGCTGGGGATGCCTGTGATGACACAAAACAAAGAAAGAAAAGGAGTGGTCAGAGAATTTGTAGGCTTGTAAAGAACTTCCCCGAGAGCGATCTCTCACCTATCCAGCTGCTCTGCACCGGCTTGAAGCCGACACTGGCTTCCACCCACACGGCCCACGTCGTCAGCCCATACACAAATGCGAGAGGGAAAAATGATGCTGCGGTGCAGCAGTAGCGTTCAATGCGCAGCGCCCACGCCCGTGGCCGCCGCTTCGGCCACGACGGCGATGACGGCGGTGATGCTGCTAAGGTTGCCATGGTTCAGAAAGTGGCCGGGTCGAGCTGCCGATCGATTGGTCTAGAGTGTTTGTATCATGGCAGCCCCAGGGAGAAATAGAAGCAGATTGTACGAAGTGAGATCAGTGAAAAGCAGGAGAAGTAATGAACAAGAACGGGTATATGTCTGCGAGAAGTAAGACAAGAAACGCTGAGAAGGCAGACACGGATGACGGATCATCCATTGGCGGTGATTACGACGCTGTGCGGATGGTTACGGTACCATACCAAGCACTGCACTGCCTGCTTTTTGCCAAACCGAATCCCGCTCCGTCACCGCCACATCCGGCGGTACTTGTAGATCACATGCCGACTATTATTGTCAGTTAGTGTGCCAGTCAACCACACTGTCATCACTCATCGTCACTTCTTCATGATGCATTTGCTAGTCTACCAGAGATACAATATGAACATGGGCTGCTGCATCCAGACAAAGTCAGCCTGCGTCTTCTCCGCCAACGCCGTTATATAATGTATCGGGAAGGTGGAGCCTAATATAGATTGGCAACCAAATCGCACAGGATAATGCAGATAACGCAAAAAGATGTGCCCCAACCGGAAATGCTATATACCAAACACTCTACGTGGAATCCTCCTCTGTCGTGATATTACCCTGCTCGCACCAGTCTTTGACCGGCTAGATAGCTGTTAGTAAGTGATGATTGGGACAGAGGGAAAGAAACTCACCAGGCAACTGAGTCGATAGCACCAAGAGCAGTTCGACTTAGGGTATTTGTAGAAATCAATGATGAGAAGAATGAACCCAACCAGCACGGCGACCAACGCTCCCACTCGCACCAGCCACCAAGCCCACCACAGCGGCTTCCGGCCGCGGAAGAAATTCATGGGACTCGATTTCCCGTCGGATGCCTTAAGGCTGCGTTTGCCCTTGATGAAGTCGATGAGACTCGGGGCCGGCACCACCTTCTGACCCTCCTCTGGGGTAGCTGTGCCCACGCCGCCACTCATGGCCACGTACGGGTTCCGCGCGAGACCAATGCGTTCTCGCAGTGCGTTGGGCGATCTCAGGAGGCAGAGTCCCAGAGCAAGCCCCATGGTGAAGCCGCCAATATGCGAGAAGTTATCCAGCCCTGGCAGAAGTCCCAGCACGAAAGACACACCGATGCCCAGAAGCATGATAACCAACTCAACCCACGGCGACTGGCGTTCTTGCCAACTGTATAGCAGATCCAACAGATCGAGGGCGAGAATGCCAAAGAGCGCCCCGGAGCAGCCGCATGAGGCCTGACCTTGAGCAGCATAATTGCCTCCGAGCACAAACCCCCAAATTCCACTCGCCAAATATACAAGAGCATACCGCCACCACCCGATCATTTTCTCCATCGCAACACCGATTGTCATCTGCGCGAGAAGATTGAAGCCGATGTGAACGAAACCGCTGTGAATGAACATGGGAATGATGAAACGGAACCACTGGTTGGGCTCAGGCTTGTCGTCGAGCGATCCGCCAGCCGTGGGATTCGGCACACCGTTGAAGCCACACAGCTCGGACAAAGTACAATGGGCCTCGGTCGTCGTCGCGTTGGGGCAGGGAAAGAGAACCGTCTCGTTGGTATTCTGAATGCCTGGCGTGTTCTTCATACAGGGGGTGTACCGAGAGCCCATATAAATCTGAAGGTAAGCAGAAGGACCGATCATGACGTTGAACGACGGTTTAGTTTCGATGGGACTTCCCGTAAATTGAGCTGCGCGGGTCAGCGTCGTCCCCTTAACTGTAATGACGGTTTCGTGCGCCTACCAGATTTCACCAACTCCACGATGAAGACAATGATTTGGATCAAAGTGAGCGTATAGGTGACCCAAGCGATCTTCCTCCCAAAGAAACCCTTCTTCTGTGTTCGTCGAGCATTAGGGCGCATAGTCGGCTCGATCTCCTCGGGCGACGGTGGATAATGCGTTTGTTGATGCATCCAGTTCACCGGCGGTGGAGGAGCGTTCGGATATTGGTTGTTGGCCTTCAAAGGAATGTTCTCGGCATATTGTTCACCCTCATTCAGTCTGGCGCCGGCGGCATAGGCTCCTGGATCGGAGCCCAGTGATTGTTGACTATAGTGGAGCTGAGGATCGGAGGCGGTGGGCTGGTAAGGGTGTGTTTCAAAGCCTGGATGGCCAGTTGCTGGGTATTGAGTAGCTAAGTGTGGATTGACTTGTTCGTAGGTTGGCGGATTGCTGCTGTAGCTACTCTGATAGTAGCTGTTGGCCGCCATGTCGAATGGTCCGCCGACTGGCAAAGGGCGCAAGGGGCGGAGGGGCGGAGGGGCAGAGTTGTTGATATCTGACAATCGCGACTGGTAGAGCTAATCCCAGGAGATTTTCCTTTTTTTGTTTTTGTATTCAGATTTATACCCTTGAATGGATGTAAGATCTGCAACAGAAAGAAAGTGGTTGGAATGACCGGGGTAGAGGCAAGCAAGACACAACACAGGCAGGCGGGCAGAAATCACGGGCACGTTTGGCGGCCGAACAAAAAGAACAGGGCTGAAACCGATCAACAATTAAGTGGTGGTCGAGTCCAAAAAACACCCCTGATCCCGACAAGCAAAGCGGTGGATCGCCCCCAACACACGTCGTTGGTTTGTTTGGCTGTGTCAACAATCCTTCCGCACAGTTTTGGGGGATGGTGGAATCAATAAACCACCTGCAACAAACAGTGGGGAAGAGAGATGAAAACAGCAGCAGAGACAAGCTGCAGGTGTGAGTGTTTGTGGTACGGAGTAAAAGGAAGTAAGTAGTTTTAGGGAGAGGCGTCTCTTCTCCGAATGGGCGGGTGCGCCTATTTTTGGGCGGTGATCGCCAAATTCTCATTCGAGCCCGTCATCGTCGTCAGCCATCATGCTAATTCCCGTATGCTACCAGATTCAGCCATTCCCTCAATCAATGCAATCCATCCTCTTCTAAATTACACACACGCCAGCCACCGCTGACTGCGGGCCACGCACACTGCTGGGGCCGGGGACAGTCAGCCTCTGGCTAGGCACGCTGTGGCGGAGTCTTCCTCGTTCTCCTCTCCGATTCTCATTCGTCTACTCGTGCTACAAGACACTGGTACGGCCGATAAAACGTCGTGTCCTTGGCTTGGCGTTCGAGATATTATGGTGGCTGATGCTCCGCTCGAGCTTCCCTTCAACTCCTTCAATGAAGCGGTGACGCTGCACGTAGTCAAGGGGCTCGTGCGTGCCTGATCCCCAGCAGCATTCTGCACAGTCATTGCATCCCACAAGTCATATATGGGATCGTTCCATTCATATTCAATATTTCATATTTCACATTAAGCATTACTCGACATCTGAACGATACCCAATTGGTCTAATCCACATGATAGTCGCCGATACATCAGATGTATGGTGGGGGGTTGAGACCATCCCCTTGACCTTGGACCCAAGAAGCCAAATAAACCCCCAAGATTATAATCGCAGTGACAGATAAATTCCGCAGAGGACCAGAATGGAGGCCCAATATTTCTCCGACGAATTCCGCCTGGGCGATTGTCCTGCACGCCCTGACATGCGTGCGCGCATTATTAGACTCGATGTCTTCCGTTCCAAATCATTAAAGTAGGAAGGGCGCAAACGCGTCGCTACCGATTGTATTTATCATATAGTTCCCAAAACGCCGGTTTGAACTCCGAGTATGAAGCAAATGTGGCACTCGAGAATCTGTCCAAGTTGTTAGTCGACCTTGTCGTGGAATCGCGCAACCACAGTACGCGAGATTTCACTCACCATGCTGGTCGATCCTCGATATCCTTATACCAACATAGCAGTGCAGACGCAAATTATACAAAATAGGCGACAAAGCGAAAAATCAGGAATTGATCTCCTGGGCGGCTCAAGCGCAGACGATACACTTTCAGCTCAAAGCGGCAGACATGGAGTTGACGTGCGAATCGATGATGCCCAGAGCAGCTCCCATTTCTTCTCCATTCTCGCCTGTCAATAGCCAAATGAGCCGGCTGGCCTTCTGGTACAAAAGCGCAGGGAAATAGACGAGCAGGGCCCAGAACAGCAGGGACAGCACAACAATCACAAAAGTATTGGCTACCAGTTTCTCGCCCGGCGTCATGACATACAGCCCGAAAGTAACCTCATAGCGGTAGTACGCCAGGCGAATGCGGTCAGTGATCCGCTGCAGAACGTTTCGGTGGGCTTTCTTCATGGAAAGGTGGCTAACAGTGGAGGTGGAGGTCGACATCGTGGAGGAGTACTTGTTGATTAGCTCATCCACTGCCGCCGGAGCATGGGAGGAGATGTGTGTGGAGGTGGAAGGGGTATAAAACGTCTGCATTTCGGTTGCCATTGTTGCGCGGCTGCTGATATATACGTTGGGAATGTCTAACTCAGGGGGTGTCGAGGCTTCCTGAAGGGCAGCTTCCGATCCTTGCAATTGTCTAGTCCGTAGCCTTGCCGATTGCGCTCCCTTCCGTGACCAACCGAGAAGGCGGGTAAACCTGCGTCAGAAAATTGGTGGTGCTGATATTGGATTTACGTGGGAGAAGCGTGCCACTGTTGTTTTTATGACTGTAGATGACTAGATACTTCTCCGTATGCTATTCAGCACAATTGACGGTGAAGCTCAGAAGTAGCAGTGTGGTCGAGCGAAGTTGGGTTGCGAGACCGTCACCCGATCGTGAAAGTGCACTGATGCAGATCAATAGGATGAGGATCCCACACCCAGGCACAGCAATGAGCTGGTGGTGACAGCAACGAGGCCTCAGGGCACAACTCAAGGAGGCAAGGAGCAGATTCTGAGTCTGAAGAGCTGGAGAGGAAAGCAGGGCAGAAATTAAAGTTGAGAAGAGCGCGAGCAAGAGAGAGAGAGAGAGAGAGAGAGAGGAAGAGTAGAGCGAGTAATTGAAGGAACCGAGTTCGGTAGGGCGCGGATCAAGAAAAGCGGCCCGGAGTTAATGATTGGAAGGACGAACGATTCATCAGGCAATAGTCAGAATTTCTACAAAACTTAACTCGACTCTTTGGTTCTCGTTAGACAGAAACCGAATCTGAGGCTGCTGCTAAGTGCTAAGACCAGCCAAGAGGCATTAATCAAATTCGTGGTCAGCTGTGAAGGATCGCATTTTCAAGGAACGATACTCGGATCAGTTGGTTGCTGAGAAATTAAACCTGCAGTGGGCGCCGCGATGTGCTTGAGGCTTCATGCTGATTGGCCGCAAACGGCTCGCCAGCGTCATCGGTTGGTCTCAAGTGGGAATTCAAGGGAATTCCCGCCCGGGCTTTGGCTCTTTTTTCTCTTCTTTGTCTTGGTTCAGTTTCACTGCAGAATTTACCTGAACTGCTTTGAGAGTCAAGTTAATTCGTGAAGACTTTTCTTTTTGTTTCTCTTTTCTGTTTTCCTGGAAAGGAGAAGTATAGGTTGAGTAGTGGTGCTACATGGAGCTTGTGACTGGAGTTTGCTCAGCTCATGTTTGTCTGAGATGCGGACGAGAAGGGCAGCGAGAAGAGCATCTTAGGAAGAAGAAAGTCACTGATAATTCATGCCTTCTTCAAATCAAGTAATATGGCCCGATCTCAAGCCCTCAGGCAGCACATTCTTTTCGGAAAATCGGCAAGCGGGTGCGGTATCCGATTGCTCGACTGCTCGACTCGTACGCTCCGGAGTAATAATTTTCATTATGGAGTGGACCGGGCTCCGCTTCTGTCGATGGTCTCGATGAATCACAATGGATCTATCCAGCCTTCCAATCGATGCTTCGCGCATGGCATAAATGATGAGTCAGCCACAACGCGAGTCAAGGGGTTGCAACGCTCCAGTTCCAGCCTTGGTTGATGATCGGTGTGAAATTTAACTGCTGTTAAGGCTTTAGCACGAGGATGAAGACGGGAGATCAATCTGGATATGCTTAACGCGATTCTCACTGTCTCTTGATGCTCGTGATGCTCGACAGGAAAACTATGAAGTGTGGCCTGGGCCCTTTATCACTTGGCAACAAATGGGTGTCAGTGGATCCATGACCATGATTGTGAACCTGACGGAGCAGGAATTGTTGAACTTACCTGCACTATAGGTCAACCGGTCAATAGGTGACAGTGAGACCGCGTTTGCAAGTCTACTCTTCATTGTCAGCTTGTGTCACCTACAATGCTAATCGTGATAGTTCTACCTTATCTAGAACGATCGATTCCTCCATCTGCATCTGTTTCACAGTATGGCTGGCCCGGGTGATGTCATCCCCACCCGTTGTCTCAACCGTCCCGCCTTTGACAACCTCCTTCCCCTCCTTTGCTGTCAACATGGGACTTGCATGATCCATCACCAGCAGCACCACCCTCCCCCCATATCCTTCTTATCGCCATGACCGATTCTGACGACCCTCTCGTTCAAGCGTTGCCTCCTGCGACCGACTATTTAACTTACCTGACGTTGCTCGAATACCAATTAACCCCCGCCCGTCTGCCCACGCTGCATAAACTCCTCCAAGATGAGGTGCTGACGACCAACATTGGCTGGGATCTCGTCCAGTTGCTCATACCCATGCTGCCCGAGTCTCTGGATTGTCTACATGATATTGCTCGCTTGGGGAATCCTAGAGAGGTGATCCTCCGGGTTTCAGATGCCTTGATGCAATTGCAACCCGCCGATGACGATAACGATGAGGACCAGCACGGGGAGTCATCACAAGATGTGACCAACGAATCGGAGCCCAAGTCGGATGATGAAGACAAACCCCTCCCTCGCCATATTCTGCAGTTCAATACACTCGTTTCGATGTTGTCGGTGTTGCACTCTCGCATTCAGACCAAGTCACCCAGTCGATTCCTGGCCACGTCTCTGCAAGCCTTGCTCGAAGCGTACACTCTGATGCCCACGAGTGAAACCACAATCGCCTTGTTGGAATTTTTTCGGGATGTATCACCGTCGAAACGTCCGGCCCCACCGCCCAGGGCGGCCAGTGAATCCAGCGTGGTCCGTCTCTCTGAAGCCTCTGCGCCGGACCCGGAAGCCGAAGTTCAGTCGCCGTCCTCTGCTAGTGACAATGAGGCAGTCTTGGTCCAAAGATTCCTGCAGTTTGGCCTGCTCGAAGTCCTTAAGTCTTACCTTCTAAGCCTTGGGGGTCCCTTGGATCCAGGAATGTCGTGGACGATCCGGCTGCAAGAGAAGCTTCATCCTGGATTGCGAATCGCCAGTCAACAGACGCAGACAGACGTATTTGCTCACAATAAGCGCCTAAGGGAGAGAGACTTAATCATTGCCAAGATTACGGTACGTCCCGAGATGGATCCCTGGGCATCACGATCCGCTAACATATTTAGGCACTATCTCGCGATTTTGGTCTGAGTGACAAGCAGCTACTGGAAATCGCCTTGCAATCGCCCGACGACCATCCTCCGCCGCTGGATTTTGATGAGCCACCTCGTAAGGCAGACGAGATTCCCCTTGAGAGACATGGTTCTCTGTTGCTCTTGGCAGCCCGGGCAGCCTCGGCGGAATTATTCTCATCAGGTCAAGTTACTTCGACCGCAGTCTTCCCGGACCTAGCGCGTATTTTCCACAACTTTGTTGGAGGATATAACTCGCCTGATGAAGTGGCTTTTGGGCAACCGCAAGTGTTGCTGGATTCACTACTTGCAATGACGGTCTTTTCAATGCAGCAACCTATTCAGCCACCCGCCACAGAAAAGGAGTTTATCGATTTCGTACTGTCGCTGACAGCATGTACCGCCCGGCAGAATTACAGCTCAGTTCGACGTATCCCGAGCACAATTGTCCAAAGCAATTCCTCGCAGGTTGCCCGGTTTAAACTGATTCGCACGGTTTTGGAAGACGACAGGTTCCAGACTGTCAAGGATAGCGCCGTTGCCTGGCTCAAAGACGGGATCTTGGAAGCATCCAAAGCTTCTGAGACCGACGGCCCATCCGAGCCAAGCCTATTCCTTAATCCGCATTATTTCTCAGTCTTGTTTCCCTCGCTCTTCAATTCGTCCGCTTTGCTCATGAATGTGTCATCTGACCTTGTGGCCTCGTGGATCAAGTTTTCGCAAACCTTGACTCCATCAATTCACGCGGCGCTTAGTTTGTATTACCTTCTTGTCTCGGCACCGAACTTGCGCCGGCAACTGCAACTTGAGAAGACCTACATCTACTTTCGCAACCGCTTCCTGGAGCCGCTGAAGTCATTGTGTCATGCCTTCGAGGCGGACCTCACACAGAACGGTGGCGACGGCAAGATCGAAGCCGCGGTGGGCGAGAGCCTAACACAGATTGGGATGGCACGGTCGGTGGGACTGGTTTCCCATGCGTTGGAGCAGGTAGAGGAGGCGGTCGGAGATGCCTTTGTGCTGAAGAACTCGGAACTCTCCGAACCCAGTGCTGATGATATCGCTCGGGTGGATACAATCCGAAAGGAAACCTCACCCTAGTCCTTCATTAGTGTACATAAACAGTATCACATACGGCGGAGTATATGTCCCCGTGTTCATCATGTACATGAGCATTTTCTGCTTCGTGGTTTCCTGCTTGGTGCTTTCGGGTTGGGATTTTAGTGTGTAGATGGACTGTAACACCTGCATAGGCATATGAGGTTGTTCTTGAGAGGATTGGATTGACGAAATGCGGAGTAGTTCGCAAAAGTCTCGGAATCAAGGATTCAGCTGGAGTGCGCATCCAGCCAGCCACGTCCAAAAATATGTGCGCTGAGGACCTTGGACCGAGCTGGCGCCACTCACGAGACAATAGGTGCTATATTGCAAGCCTGTCCTTGTCGGAGCATTGACGAAATGGGTAGCTCGGTCCTCAAGCCTGCGCTGGTGGTGCGTTGCAGCACAGCCCACCAGACCATCTTGTTACTCAAGATGAGTTCTCCAGTGGGATTCCGTGCTTGGCTTGAATTCGACGATAACCGTAGTTATTCTTAGTTTGGCACGAGTCTGGTAATTTTCTTCTGGTCTGCTGGCTGCTCCAATTGTCTAGCTATGGCGTCTTGCGCGCCAGGGATGCTGGGCTGGATATGACGGGAGATGCAGAACAATGAGACTGGTTGGAGGAGAGAAATGAAGACAACTGAAGACAAACAGCGGAGGAGAGGTGGTTGTCCATCTTGATTGGTCAGCGGCAGTCATGTAGATTAATACCTCATTTCCGCTTAGTTTGACTCCCTTTCGCTCTCCCGCTCCATCTCCCCCCACCCCACCACCTGCAAGGTAAGCGATGGCCATTGTGTCTCCTCTCCCCGCTCCCCACTCGGATTTCTGAATTCTTCACCAGTATCAAGGAATCGAGACTGACGGACTGTCATCTAGCGTCGCGCTAGTGTGCTCTTACCGCGTCTCCCGTGATGAATCCTCCACCTTGACCCCTTGATGACCTGAACTCCCCGAGAAGGAAAGCCGTCACCGAGCCAGGGGCGGCGATTCTGCGGGGAAATTGGTGCCTCCTCGTTGGTTGAGACGGACTTGGTTCCCCAGATTTGACCTCATCGGAGGTGCTGGGCTGCTGCTCACAATGTGCAGAACGCCCTGCGCAGGAGTTTATGCAGGTCACACCTCGCCTAGCAGGCACAAGACAGATGCCGACAAAGCGATTGGGTGGCTGTGACCAAGGAATGTCCCTGTCCGCTTCACATGCAGTCGAGTCATTCTCCCCCTCGTCCGGTGCTTGCCATCTGCCTCATGCGCGCTCTATAAAGAGCGTCGCTTTCCCCTTGTCTGAAGGTCTCTTTTCTTGAATTCAAGCCCATTCCACTTCGTTCCGAGCAACTCCTCACTGTCTTCACCTTGCTCTGCAATGATTCGAGGCATCTCTTATGCGCTTTGTGCGCTGGCTCTTAGCCCCTGGGCTAGAGCTGCCCCGCAGCTGAATGCGCGAGCTACAGGCAGCGTGGATACCTGGCTTGCGTCTGAAACCACTGTCGCCCTCGATGGTATCCTTGCCAACATCGGCGCGGACGGAGAGTTCTCCAAGAGTGCGAAGTCCGGTATCGTCATTGCCAGTCCTAGCACTAGTAACCCGGACTGTACGTGACTCTTACTTCCCAGGCATATGCTTGTCAAACTAATGGCGTTACGCAGATTACTACACCTGGACTCGAGACTCGGCTCTGACGATGAAGGTTCTGGTTGATCTTTTCGTCAATGGTGAAACCAGTCTTCAGACGGTCATTGAGGAGTACATCAGTTCTCAGGCCTACCTGCAGACAGTCTCCAGTCCATCTGGGTCTCTTTCTGACGGAACTGGTCTTGGAGAACCCAAGTTCAATGTTGACGAGACGGCGTTCACTGGTAGCTGGGGTCGTCCCCAGCGTGACGGACCCGCGCTGCGAGCGACCGCTTTGATTAACTTTGGCAATTGGCTGATTGTGAGTGCTGTCAAGGCTTTTCATTTGCCTTTCATTGCCCTGGTTGACACCTTTAGAACAATGGCTACTCCACCTACGCCACAAACATCGTCTGGCCCATCGTCCGCAATGATCTATCGTACGTTGCTCAGTACTGGAATCAGACTGGTTACGGTTGGTCATACTAAAGCCTCATATATAATCTTCAATGACTGACATAGCTGGAAACAGATCTATGGGAGGAAGTCAGTGGATCTTCGTACTTCACTGTTGCCGTCCAACACCGAGCACTCGTGGAAGGTAGCACCTTCGCTAAGAGCGTCGGCTCGTCCTGCAGCTGGTGTGATTCTCAAGCCCCTCAGATCTTGTGCTTCATGCAAAGCTTCTGGACCGGTTCCTACATGCTTGCCAACACCAACAGCGGCCGCTCTGGCAAGGATGCAAACACCGTGCTCGCCAGCATTCATACTTTTGATCCCGCCGCTGGCTGTGACGACACAACATTCCAGCCTTGCTCGCCACGTGCGCTAGCCAACCACAAGGTCTACACAGACTCTTTCCGTTCGGTTTACTCGCTCAATTCCGGGATTGCTGAGGGCACTGCGGTTGCAGTTGGTCGCTACCCCGAAGATTCGTACTACAATGGCAACCCCTGGTTTTTGACCACTCTTGCGGCCGCGGAGCAGTTGTACGATGCCATTTACCAGTGGAACCGCATCGGATCGATCACCATCACCAGCACTTCCCTGGCGTTCTTCCAGGATCTCTACAGCTCTGCAGCTGTTGGAACTTACTCTTCTTCCAGCTCCACTTTCAGCTCTATCATCAGCGCCGTCAAGACTTATGCTGATGGATACGTGAGCGTTGTTGTGAGTTCATTTTCCTCCCACCGTAGATAATTTCGCTGATGCCTTCCAGGAAGCTCACGCGATGACCAACGGCTCCCTCTCGGAGCAATTCGACAAGTCGTCTGGTAGCGAGCTCTCTGCCCGAGACCTGACCTGGTCCTATGCTGCCGTCTTGACGGCTAACATGCGCCGTAACTCGGTCGTGCCTCCATCTTGGGGCGAGACTACTGCAAGCAGTGTCCCTTCTGTGTGCTCTGCAACGTCTGCCACCGGTACCTACAGTACCGCCACGAACACTGCTTGGCCAAGCACCTTGACCAGCGGCAGCGCTGGGACCGAAACCACCACCACCACTACTACCACTACGGCGAGCGGCACTACTACTACCACTACCACTTCCAAGACCTCCACGACAACCTCCACTTGTTCAACACCCACAAGTGTCGCCGTGACTTTTGATGTGATTGCCACGACTACTTATGGAGAGAATGTGTACATCTCCGGGTCCATCTCTCAATTGGGCAGTTGGGATACCAGCAGCGCAGTCGCATTGAGCGCCAGCCAGTACACTTCTAGCAACCACCTGTGGTATGTCACGGTCAGCCTTCCTGCTGGCACTACCTTTGAGTACAAGTACATCCGCAAGGAGACAGATGGATCCATTGTCTGGGAGAGCGACCCTAACCGGTCATACACTGTTCCCTCTAGCTGTGGCGTCAGCAGTGCTACTGAGAGCGATACATGGAGGTAGTCAGCTGCGGAGGGGTATAAAACCACTTGTGAGGATGACCAAATTTGTCAATGTATATAGCTTTGATGCCGGAGACCAAATGATCACATTCGAGATTCTCAATCTTGACGAACATAATGGTTTAATCCCGAGCCTCTCTCATAATGCAGCATCTTGAACCTTGGCTTTGTTTGAGCCTACTGGCATTATAATAGGCGTAGTAGCGTCAAGCATGAGGTTTCTACTGACTTTTGAAAGGGCTGAGAGGAGTAAGATGGGATGATCACAGAGAAAAGGTGAGACCCTTGAAGGCAACCCCTCAATTTCGGACACATCCAGCCTGGATATTCTTAGCATGAAACAGATACTTTCCAACCGGCCGAGGATACAGCTTGAGCCAAATCATGGCGATTGCTCGGATGAGATGGCAAAAGCACCGTGACTCGCCACTCCACAAACCGAATTGCCCCAGCGATTCCATGCAAGATACGAGGGTTGGTTTTTTGAAGCGGTATGCATGAGGTGATATGTATGCAATCCCGGCTGCAGGGAGCAAGGCACCGCTACGAATCTGATCTATCCCATGGGACTATGATCCCGGGTTACCATTCTGGAACAATGATTGCACTCATCTCATAGCCATGCATTTATACACCGACTGTCCAGGCGTTGCATGGGGAAGAGATGTGGCAAGGGTCCATTTGAGGTGGATCAGTGAGACACAGCATGATATAAATGCAGCCATCCCAACCACTGAAGATCCCAGATCTACTTACGCTCCAACACCGTTCAGCTTTGTCTTTCTTGTATCTTTTTCTTTTCCTCCTCTTCTTCTTCTTCTAAGTATCTTGGTTTCTTGATCCTTTTCCTGTGCATATTGCAGTTTCTTATCTACAATGGATAACTATCGCTCCTGCCCCTCGACGATCAACGAATGCGAAGCGCGTAAAGCTGGCGCCTTCACTTCCCTTCCCATTCGCATGAACCGCTACAGCGAGATCGCCAACAAGGCTGTCCAGGACTTTGTCTGCAAATGGAACTGCCACTTCGATGCCGGACCCAATTATCCCGGCTCATCTGCGTCTCGTTTTGGATCAAGAGAGAACCCACTTGTCATGCTCATTCCCGAGGCACTGCCGGACAGACTGGCGACGGCAGCGTGTTTGGCTGAGATGGCACGATTGCTGGATGGTAAGCTTGGTTTGATCAGGTTCTCGGGTGATGAGTATTGATGTGCAAGTAGATCTCTGCCACCGGTTCGGCTCTCACAATCGACACGAGGTCTTCGAGCTGTTGAGCCGGTGCATCGAGCAATTCTCTGATTCTGCTTCGTGTTCGTGCTCGGGACCGTGTGGTAAAGGTTCGGGAGGCAGTCGTCACTCTCATCACGCTCGTCACCATCATCTGCAGAAGATCATTTCTGAGGTGTTCTCGAACGTCTTCCGGGTTGACTGCGAGAACGGTGTGCACTTGCTCGAGGTGTATCGGAAGGCGATTGTTCGGGCCCCGACACCGCTGGATAGCAAGAAGAAGTTCGCGTTTGAGTAAGTTACGATTTTCGCATGGACAATTGGTGCCTGCTGTTGACGTCTGCGCAGAGCTTTCTGGCCGATCCTGGAATTTGCGATTGGGGTCCACCTCTCGCACGTCGATCATATGCTTCTTCACGAAATTAAGGACGTGGCCGATGAGTGTCTCGCCCTGAATGATGAGTACTGGAGCTGGACTGCTGGGTGCACAGAACCCAAGGCAGGACGAAACATCATCGATTGCTTCATCCGTGTCGAGGGGCTGTCGGTGGAAGTAGCACAGGAGAGGGTCAGAAGGAAGATTCTCGAGCTCGAGAGCCGATTTCTCTCCCTGAAGGACAGCTTCTCTTGGCAACATCCGACTGAATCAATGCGTCTGAACCGCTGGATTGAGGCCGTTGGGGCTGCAATGGCTAGCTACAACTACTGGCGCGCCAGCCTCTCGTCTGGATGCTTTGGCAGCAACAGCAACAGCAGTTGCTGCGGCAAGTCCGACTGGACCAGCACTTCATCCTGCTCTCCTACTCTGATCGATCGTCCACTATCCCCCCAGCTGAGCTACAGAATCCGCCACAACCTCGAGAGTAAGACCAAGGACACAACGGCGTTGACCGCCCCGACAAACTACATCAACTCCATCGCCGCTACCCCGACCACCGCCATTCTGAATATGCTCCCGGCTGCGCTGAACAGCTGGACGCGCGCTCCCGAGTTCTCCCTGCAGCACATCCACACTATCTTCACCAACCTCCACAATGCCACTCTGATCCTTTGGGACGTTTTCACTGGGTGCAGCACCCGCCATAGCAGTCCCGCGACGCACCTCGTCTTCGGCACCGCCCAAGCCACCAACAGCGCCTACTACGCCTTCACGCATGCTCTGCACTCCGTGCAGCACCACCCGAACCTGCTTCCCAACTCAGTGCAGGCTACCTCCATCTTGACTGAGGGCCTCACCAGACTTTTCACAGGGCAAAGCTGGGCTCTGAATTGGCAATTCACCCACCACACCCCGACCGAATCTGAGTATCTGGGCTTGATTGACGACACTACGGGGGCTCTTTTCTCGATCCTAGTGAAGCTGCTCCAGTCGCAGGCCCGCTATGCTTGTTCACCATCTCCCTGCCAGCCCAACGGGAGCCACGAGTCCAAATTTTTGAGTCGTGCTGAACCCCTCCTCCACCTCACCAACCTGCTTGCGCGCTTCATCCGCATCCGGGATGAATACATCTTTTTCACCACTGAGGTGTCTACCAGTCCTAATCTGACTACGCCTACCTCCAAGAATTCCACTGAAGGCCAGATCGGCGCATACGGCTACTCCTATCCGGTGATTCGTCTGCTGAACACGCGCCCGGAATGCCGTGCGCAGATTATGGCGTTGCTTTCAGCATCAGCATCAGCATCGGCATCGGCATCGGCGACCATGTCTTGTTCTTCCTCCGCTACTGGTTCTTATTCGAGATGCTCGGGTGGAAATATCTCAAGCCCAGCGCCATGCTCCTGTCCCTCTGCGTCTCCCTGCTCTGCACTTGGACCAGATACCGCAGGCAACGGATTCGGGTTGGGTAGCTGTTCCAGTCCCGTCGCTGGCTCGGCCACGCCAATGAGCCTTTTCAGTCTGCTGCAGTTACTCCGAGAGACCGGGGTGTTGGCTGCGACGCGAGAGTTTTTACGCGACATGGAGGAGCAGATTGAGCGGGAGGTGGGGTGTTTGGAGGCTGGGGTGTATGGGGGAGAGACGAATTCGATGCTGAGGGCTGTTGTGAGCCGGTTGAGCAAGAGGGGGGCTGTTTGAGGATGCTTGTGAGTAGTACCTCATGTGTACATTTAATGTCCTGTGGCTACGAGGACTATTGGGGATTTGATCAATAAATTTGCTGAGGGCCACATTCTTAGTAGTCTCTGTTGAGTCATGGATACTGCATTGTATCGTGCACGTTGTTTACTTTAGCTGCGGCGACAACACCATGGTTTCCTGCTAATGATCGCATTTGGCTGCTACCGTGGCTCTTCTCAAAAGTTATTTCTCCTAATTTTGCCAGATGATGTTGAACTTGTTCGTAGCGACTTTACATCGAGATCCTGATCCTTTTGTACTCTGAGCTCCCCCGGCTCTTCCCTTCGCCACTCATATCCCTGTCTAGTACTATTGCTTAACCCAAGCCACAACCTGGCAGTGCTTAAAATCAGCTAAGATGCATAGTCCAATACGAGCACCAAACCAACTTGGCGATCGAAGCAACTGGGGGTTTCTCTGAGAGGGGACAATCTCGTGTATAGATCAAAGGAATCCGCTTCGTAAGGTTCGTATAGAACTCACCAATCATATGGGAGTTAACATGAGGATGATCTTGTGGTTTACATCTTCTGCATGGTTCTTCAATGCTTGTGTGGTATGTACGAATCTTGACGATGATACAGAGCTGATTGTTGGTTGGTCAAGGAGTCGTATTTTCTTTCTTGTGCACACGAGGTGTTGAGCCCTAAACCATGCTCTGGAGAAGCATGAGGGTAAAATAGTAAAATATTAACATCCCCCCCCCCCCTTCCCCAAGAACAACAGAACCCCCCACCAGCAGCCAGCGCAGCCGTCTCATCAAACTTGAAAACCCACTCAGCAACTTAACTTCGAAATGCACACCAGATTCGAATCTGCCCTCCTCCTCCCCCTCCTCCTCCTCCTCCTCCTCCTCCTAACCACACCCCTCACCATAACCGTCCTTGCGTCCACTTCCACCTCACCATCGATCTCCCCCCGCGGTGGCCCCCTCCAGCACGGCGAACCCGGCGATTACACCTGCTTCCAGAGCGAATGCAGCGATCTCGCCTGCGCGCCTACGGGGGAAAAGTTGCAGTGCGTGAAGGCGATGATGCAGGGGTTTGGTATGAATCACCTGTTACCCAGTAAACCCTGCACCCAGGAATAGCATAGCCTGAGAGCAATACCATGACCATCACGTAGCTCCCTTCCACTTTCCGATGATTTACTGACCGTAGCGGGACTTACCCTCTAGATATGGAATTCAACGGCGTGGTGATGAAGTGCGACGGCGATACGCAGGGTTTTCCTTATCGCTCGTGCACTTGTACTCCCGATCCGGTGAATTGTGATAGTACGACTAGTACTAGTGGTGGCAGTAGTAGTGATAGTGGTGGTAGTGATGGTAACAGTGGGACGATCACGACCACTGGACCTATTGTTTCAAGTCCTACGCCACCACCGTCGTCGTCGTCATCGTCGTCGTCGACTGCAATCTCAAACAATCAGGATTCTGGGGCTGGCGGTGGGTTGGGGATGGCTGCACCGAGTGCCTGGGCGGTTGGGGTGTTGGTTGTTCTTTGGGGGTGGGTTGGGTTTGGGGGGGTTTGATTTTTCTGATTTGTACGATCATGTAGTTGGCAGTCTGCTTGACCCGAGCAACATATCCCACACGCCAGGGGTAAGCTTTTACTACTAGATAGTTTGTACTATCGCTTGCAGCTTCAATTGTTATTTTGCCATTATATTGGCAAAGAATTTGCATTTTTCACACAACATCCGATGTGGTGTAATGGCTAACATCGCTGTCTCTCACACAGCAGCTCGGGGTTCGATTCCCCGCATCGGAGTGATTCTTTTGTCTGGTTGCCAGCTGGGCCGGCTGTGGATTTTTTGTCACAAATTGTGGGCCGATTTTGATATTTGCTCGGCTCGGGATCAACCGGACCGCATGCGCGGGTTGCCGAGCTCCGGTACGGGTTTGGCAGCAGCGGGAGAGCAGCCGCTCCTAAGTTATGGGCATGCGGCAAGCAGGCAGATAAGCATTCCGCCATAGTTAGTTAACTTATAGGTATTGCTTATGTGAAAGGCTACGTCAAAGCTGCGATCACTAGATACACTTCGCTCGGAGATTTAGAAGTTTAGTATGTACTGAGATCGGAGTAGATCGTCTTTGTCTCAATTTCGCTGAGTATGAATTGGTGATAGAATAGACCCTTTTCATACTAGTTCTTATACTTAAATCTATGGGATGAAACTTAACTTGGATGGAAGAAAGCAAATTACAATAATCCAAGGCGGATTAGAAAGAGTTGGGGATAAATAGAGTCAAAAGTAGATTTTACCACTGCATATTCTAGTGATGGAATACCACCATACGGTATATACTCGTGTATGTTAGGACAAATATACAAGTGAGTAAGCCAACATATATTCCTCAACGAGAAAACTATATCTAAGCCTACTCCACTCATAACATTTAAGATATCACAAATTAACCCAAACACCCAAGCCCACACACAATCCCATCCAATTTTAGAAAGAGTTTTCCAGAAGCGTTTTCAACAGAGATACAAAAAGACCGCAACACGACTCTAGCGTAGAACAAGAACCCGGAGTCTTCCCTACACTCTCCCCAACCCTTTCAATTCAAAAGGCAAAAGGCTCATCTCAGCGTAACCATCCAAGAAACACACGCACGCGTAGTATTATATCATATCTCGAACAAGAAACTCACGGCGGAGGTAGAAGGAGCAAGGAAAAAAAGAAGGAATGGAATTCGAATAGAATTGCTTATTGACGTTCTTCAGAGGGAGATTTGCTTCACCCTTCCTCTTATTCTTGCATCTGTGAAGAGATGAAGAGATGAGGGGCGGAGTGGGAACAAACCATCACCGAGGAAATCAACTTCGGCTCGCTTTCGAAAGTCTTCACCTCTGGCGCAACTCCACTGGGAGACATGGCGGTTGGTCTTGGTCTTTTTCAAGGGCGATCGGCTTTAGGCGGGGAGGCACAAAGTAGCGCGAGCTGGGTAGTTTGGTTTGGTTTGTTTTTATATGAATCGAATTTATATGCGTTTATTGTGTGTGAGATAAGTCATGTTGCGGGTTCGGCAAGGCATAAGTTTCTTATTCGAGACGGATGGCAAGCTGAGAAAAGATTTTGTGAATATTGATTTTGGAACGAAAGGATCGATCTGGTGCTGCGTTCACACGGTGGAAAGTGAGAGGAAGCTCCAGGCTATCTCAGGGAAGTCATTTACATGACAGTGCAGCCGCCGCCGGGGGAGGCGCCTATTCTTGATATTAGCTTTTTGCGTGCGGACCTTTTGGTGGAAAGATGTCTCATGGGGGGCAATCGAAGAAGGGGATTGGGGTTGTCGTAGACAACATAAGAGGCATACCGCGGGTGGTGGATTCCTTGACAATCTCGACGGGGGCCATTTTGAATAATAGAAGTGATTAATCGAAAAAGATCGAAATGTTTTTGTTTTGCTTGTAATAGAACTTGCGGATGGAGAGAAAAAGAAGCAATCCTTGGGAGGATTCGACGAGGTTTATAAAGATTTTCCTGGCCTATATCATACCCCAGGTATATCCCCTTCAAGAATACGCAAACATCACGGACAATCGAGAAGAATAGGGAGACTAGCTCGCCAAAGACAGGAACAAATGAAAGATACCCGGGGGGCAAGAGAGTTTGACTCGTTCGTGTGCTTTTTCTTTCTTGGTAAACTTAGCATGGCGTTCTAGAATGCCTCGACTGGGTGGTTCACGCGGGAGAGAAGAGAAAGAACAAGTTTTGAACCGATCGATGTCTTTGGTTATGGTCGTCCGAAATGTCTGGGAGGACAGGAATCAGGGCGTCATATTGTTCCTGCTGACGAGCCAATGACCGAGTCAGCAATGGTTTGCAGAATCGAATAAGAGAAATGCTGACCGTAAGATTTGCCATTGAGGCTGGATCTCCTTCTTTCTTTCGTTCGTGGATGTCTTGCTCAAGGAGCTGTGAAGTATTCGTGGCGAACGTGGCCAGTAGAGGCTGTGGTCAATCTTGATACGGTAGTGGTCGTGCGCGGAAAGACTGGAACGATCGATGGTAGGTGCCAACTTCAGTTTTGGCATACCCCATAACCATCATTCACACATCACTGAGCTGAATCTACCACTTTAGAATGGAAGATCGTGGATGGCCACCTCGTGGGATGGTGGAGGCTGGGTCTGCCACGCATGGAGGGAAGTCCGGGTGGCGGCGAATCAGCATCCGCCGCTACCTATTGTTCTTCAACAACAATAATAAGTGAGTACCCCTCTCGCTTACACATTGATAACTAACATCAACAAAGATAATAAAGAAATATCCAATTTCAATACAGCTAGTCCAAGATGTCACAGACTCCAACTAGATAACTCCTCAAGTGTAGATAGGTTCCGTCAATTCGTTCAATGTCAGCCCCTCCTTCGCAATGTCCTCCTCGATCAAGAACATCAAGGGCATCTCGACCAACGTGCCCTTGACCTGGCTCAAAAGTTCTTTCACCTGCTTCACACCCTCAGGACCCGGAGGGAAGTCGTCCCGCACCACATGTCCGTATTCGTACCGCGCAGGCTGGGAGTCATCCTTCCCATATGCTTGCTTGTCCGCGTTGTGGAAGTAGTAGCCATAGAATTCCTTGTAAGTGGCCCAGTTCCGGACTTGGTCATCAGGAACCGAATGGAAGACCTTCCGGAAGACCTCAGTGTTGGTTCTAGCCCGCGTGTTCCACATGCTGTGCATGGTATCCGCCAATGGATCGGCCACGATCTGGCTTTCAGGCGACTCGGCGTCGAATGTGTTTGGCACACCCACCGGCTCAAAGTTGGCGTCGGGGCGTTCTGGGTCCTGGGGTGGCAATAGTCCAAGATGCTTGCGGAACAGGTATCTGCGCAGGGAAGCGGCAAATCGACTCGCAATCCACTGCTGACCGTTCATGCGGGATTGGATAGGGGTGTGGTCTTCAATCACGATGGCAATCTCGGAGTCATGGTCGCCCAGCTGGGAGCGGTCGTTCAGATTGGCGGATCCGACGATAGCCACCCGGTCATCGGCAATCATTACCTGTAACTTCGTTAACACATGCCGTCGCTTATTCATGTCTAAGACTTACCTTGGAATGCACATAGAGTTCCTCAGTGACAAAGGCGTCAATCTCAGCTTCCGCAGGGCCATCCCAGGGCACGTTGCGGATATCAGGACCATTCAACATGTAGCATTCACTTACACTGTCCCAGCGGCCAGGAGCGGACTTGGTGCTGGACACCTGTTGAGCAGCCTGCTGGTACTGCTGGTAAGGGGCGGTGGTGTCAAATGCCGCCCGCGGCGCACCCGGTCCGTAACCCCCAGGGCCAGCAGTGGTCAAGTCGTGCTCCTTGCGGGCTTCTTCATAGTTCACACCGCTTCTATTCTCTGCCTGAAGCAGTGGCCCGCTGACATTGATACGGTCATAGTTGCGCAGGTTGTAGAACCGAATGTAGTCCATCGGGTTGTATCCCTCCTTGGCGATCAGCTCCATGATACTGCTGCCTCCCCGGTTGATGCAGTTGTACTGGAACTCCATGATGGCACGAGTACCCAGCGTGGAGTCATCGCTCAGGTCTCCAGCAAAGCAGGGGACTGATGGGATAACAACGACGATCTTGTATTTCTCACCGGCGCGTGCAGCACGAAGAATACGTTCGACAATCGCAGCTCCGATCTTGTTCTCAACTGGCTTCTGCGCATCGCCGGTTGCAGTAATGAAGAACTGGTTTTCGATGTACACGAAGTGCTGACTGTTGCGGATGATGGCTGCGTACGCATCCTGGATGGAATGCTCGGTCGGCGTTCCGTTGCTCCACTTGGAAGCACTGCGCACGATCTGGCAGATCATGTTGCCGCGTGGCTGGCCACCCTGACGGTAGTTCATACGATCCTGGTAATGGTGGATTTGGCCTGCCAACTCACCACGAAGAACATTGCCGTAATCTGTGATGTTCTCCTTGATACCACGGAAGTTAAAGCCTCTATCGGAGTCTCCGTACCCATGTCCTCCGCTGTGGTAATCGTGAAGACCGCGGGTTTGCGAATGCTGCCCTTCTTGAGCAGGGGGCGGCGGGTAATACTGACTCTGACTCTGGCTTGGGGAGTAGGACTGACCCTGACCCTGAGATTGAGTGTGGGTCTGCTGCTGGGGATACGGTTGGGCCTGAGACTGCGTAGACGTCTGTTGCTGAGGGTATGATTGGCCTTGAGGTTGGGTGTAATTCTGTTGCTGGGAGTATGCTTGACCTTGATGCTGTCCGTATTCCTGTTGCTGGTTTGATGAGGTGCCCTGGCTGGGGGGAGGGCCAGGGGGAGGGGGAGGGAACGAGTCACCGGTGTAGGTGTAGTTGTGCTTCTCGTCGTGACTCGGTGTATACGCCTGGTTAGGTGTGTATGCGGGGGGAGCTTGCTGTTGCAAGCTAGAAGTCGCCTGGTTGTCAGGTGTGGCAGAAGTGGCCTGATAGCCGCCTTGTTGCGGCTCGTGCTGTTGCTGCCAGCTTTGAGTGTGTTGGATATTGCCGGAATAGGCACCGGTCTGAGGAGACGGAGTCTGCTGCTGCTGCTGCCAGCCAGGAGTGCTTGGAGTGGGAGGCTGGGCGCTACTGCCGTAGGAGCTAGTTTGCTGAGAAGCCGGCTGCTGCGGCTGCTGATAAGCCTGTTGCTGCCAGCTAGGTGTTGCTTGGGTGCTGGCGCTAGATGCCTGGGCATTGCCGGAATGAACGGCGGGCTGAGGAGATGCTGCCTGTTGTTGCCAGCTTGGTGTGGAAGGGTTTGGGCTGGTTGGGAGAGCTCCCGGCTGGGCTGTGAATTCCTGCTGCCAGCTAGGAGTAGAATGTCCCTGGTTTGATGTTGCAGGTTGCTGAGCTGGTTGACCCTGCTGCTGACCCTGCTGCTGGCCCGGCTGCTGGCCCTGTTGCAGACCTTGTTGGGCGCCCATCGAAGAGGGAAGCCGACCGTACAAGTTCAGCTTTGAGTATCTGGGATTGTTGCGAGAGTAGTACTTGAGGTCATAGATGAAGTTCCAGCGCTCAATGAAGTGGCGTCTCAGATCTTCGACCACCTGTCCATGCAAGCTGACCGAGATGTCCGACCAACCCATACGAGAGGTCTTCTTCCGATCCAGCTGATTCTTTTCCCAGTTCGCTACATCCTGGAAATCAAGCACTCTGGCGTTGTTGTAATCCTGACCAGGGAAGACGATCTCGTTGAGGTCCTGGCCATGAACGTCGGCGAGGGCGTGCTGATTGGTGTCCCAACGGCCGAAGCACATATCCAAGCCACCCATAAAGGCAACACGCCCGTCAATGATGCAAAGCTTCTCGTGGTGGGCCCAGTAGAGGATCACATCTTCATGCATACCGTAAAGCCCCTTGATGGTATCCTCAGACATCTTAGCCAGATTACCTGCATCCAGCGATAGATTCTGAAGGGAAGAAGCGATAGAAGCCTCCAACTCTTGACGATCGGGAAGATGATCTGGGTGACGGAATACCGCAATGTTCTGATGAAGGTCCTCCAGATGATGCTTCGTGTGATGCGATGAGACTGATACCGCAGGTCAGCTTTTATTCAACAGACGGTGCTTCGTTGAACATACGCGTCAAGGCCTGGGTAACCTCCTTATAGACAATAATATTGACACGAACGCCACGCTGCGCAGCAGCCAGCAGCATCCGATCCAGTCGGTACTGCTCATTCTTGGCGGGAGGACGTCGCAGGTAAAGTTCTGGCGACAACCACCCTTATTTTAGTCAAGTTAGCACTCATCAATACCTAATGAACATATTGAGAACTCACAGTCCAAGATCCAGATATAGTCTCTTGCACTTTCCAAGGCCTTGGAGACAGCATAGAAGTAAGCACATCCATCGACATGCCACTTGACTTCGTTGCCCTGGCGCTCCGGCGCAAAGCTACCAAAGCGATTCTGCGTCTGCGGCTTGGTCGATCCATATTCGGCATAAGCCTGGGGATCCAAGGCAGTTCCGATCTTCTGGGCAAATTCATTTCCAAGAGTTTCCAACTTCCCGAACAATCCAGATAGCTTGTCCTGCTTCTGGGGTTTCGGGGACTGCTGGTGATAGGTTGACTGCTGGTGTTGGTGGTGTTGCGGGCTGTTGTTTCCGTACGACGGCGGGTATTGGTGGGCGGAACCTTGGGTTTGAGAATGCGTTTGCTGGTACTGGCTCTGGGGATGAAAATCACTGGTCAGTGTTTTGAGCATGATGCTGTACCTGAATCCTACAATCTCACCTGCTGCGCATTGCTGCTGCCCTGCTGCTGATGAGTCTTGTAGGTTTCCTTCAGCTTCTGGAAAGTGTCGCCGACAAAACCTCTTTCGGTGTCACCGGATGCGCCCCGCGCTGAGTCGCCGTAGTAGTGGCCATAGGCCAGGTCTTCCTCACGGTGGGACATGGAGAGGACAGGTACAATAAACAATCAAGAATTGGTCCCTGGGTCTGAAAGTCTTAAGAGTAGGGTGTCACAAGTAAAGATGGAGGAAACAGATGATTGCCACGAGGGGGAAAGGAATAGTTGTTATTATTATGTAGTGGCAGTGAGGGTGGGGGGAAGGGTGATCATCTGAGGAAGGAGGAATACGGTTTTAGGGAAGTAGTTACGGGGCTGTATGTAAGACCAGCCCCGCCAGTCCAGCTAAGTTCTCCACTTTCTAGGCTACCCGACCGCTCCGATTGTTTGTGTTTCTTTCCACTGCGACTACGGAGTATGCCGTGGGGATATTCACTGGTGCAAGAATCTTCCGTGCATCAGAGCGGCTAATCGCAGTACTATGACTATAGTCGTCGATTTTTCTTTTCTTAATCTCTAATTTGAGTGTTGGCTTGCAGGGCGGGGGCGATGCATCACCATTTCTCTAGATCGCTGCAGTGTGGCTGTGCCGGCAAGTTTGGCGGGGAATGTAGCTTGAGACAATACCCGTACAGACCTTACCTGACGTCCCCGATGACGCACAATACTGTACGCTGGCACTAGCCCCTCCCGGGACTGTGGCTTATGTGGCCAGAGCCACACCGCATCGTTTCTCCGCTTAGCTGAGCTGAGTCTTGGCATACGGGAATAACGCTGTCCCAATGCTGCCGTTGAACCTGAACTGTGGTCACGATTAAGATAGCTGTTGAAACGAACTCCTAGGATGGTAGTCCAATGCCTCAAGCTTCCAAAGCAGCCATGGCGATGGTCAACAACTCAGTGGACATTGTTAAGGGCCGCAGTTATCCGACGCACCCGCTGACAAGACATGCAGCTTTCCGTGGGTCGGACCCACTTTATCGCTACTACCTTTCGCAACACCTTTCGTTCTAGAACGCATCCCGCATATTAATAGTGGTGGTATGTACGATAGTGTACTTGATAGGCCTACGTACAAACTGTGATGCAGAAATGGATTGCAGTCAGTGTCGTAGCGAAATCTTGCTGTAATTGGGGATCTCATGCAACGCCGGATCGAGAAGCGAAAACTGCGGAGGTGCCGGCCCCAGCATGGGCATTGCTGCTATTGAAGCACTGGGTAGGCAACCACATTGAGAGAACGAGACGAACAATTGACTACAGTAGTATTGCTGCCTTGTTGCCCGCATTGGAACGCGTGAGAACTGAAGGACTATTTGCGGTCGCTCCGATGGGGGATGTAGTATGCAGGAAGGCGAGATATCAGAATTTCCCCAGTAACTTATCTCAGATTGTTCCGCAGCAATGCATGGACTTAGGTAGAAGTCATGCAAGTAAATATGCAAGCAATTGATCCCCCGAAGTACAGACAGTCATACGGGCACATGCGCGGTTCGAACGATTCTCGACATGTCAATTCGATGGCGCCTCGTGTCCGCGGGTGAATAAGAACCAGGAACATTGATTCGAAATACTCTTGGCATAGAATCGTCAGCTGGTAACTATAATGTATCATGAGAGCATGTTAGTTGTCCTTACGCCGGATCGATAGAGTATTATGTTGAGCTTTACTCCTGCTAAGCCGCACCACAGACTGAAACTTCCATGATTACCACTTTTCAAGACCGACACGGTCGCCTTTTCCCGAACGTCGCATGAAATATATTTTGTACTGCCGGCAGTGGCCAGCAGATAATGACACTTGTACAAAGAGGTAACGTCGTGGGCTCTGCGGAATAGTCTCAAGAATAGCTTCGAACGGTTGGTCCATTGCACATGGCGTCATTTTACTTAAGGGGAGAAACCCCGCACCGTTGGGCAGGAAGCAAAGCATCATGATCAGCTTTTTGTCATGGATGTCCGGTCAAACACCTCTGGAGAGGAACGCCAATCACACACCAAAGAAGCTTGACTAGCTGCCGATGCAGGGACGAGTAGACAGACACCCAGAAATCTAAGATCGTCGGGCTGTCATGTCCAAACTACCTATATTGTACATAGTTCACCCTTGGTTGCAGGATTTCACCAACGGTTGCCCCTCACCGACCGGCCCCGCAGTTAATGGACCCCGCACCGCAGTTGGAGAAGCCAGACCGGCTTCAATTATTTAAGAATGACATCGGCCCGTATTCTACAGCTTGGAGCTTCTTCTCATCGTACTGGCAATTACTCTTGACGAACCATCCCAAAAACACTTTTTTAAGTCATTGAAAACTTCCCACCAAACTCACAATGTCTCTCGCAACCCTCGACGTAAGTACTATCACTCCGGACAGACCGATGATACCGAGGCCGTCCCCTCAAGTCATTTACGCACGTATCGAGTAACCCCGCGTCACCAGGTCTCTCAACACCCATACCTCCCCTCTGCATCGGAGACGCTCTTCAAGGCCAAGGCCTCGAAGAAGCTGAGCTTCGAGCAAATCGCCCAGCACATTGGTCGCAATGAAGTAGCTGCCGCTGCCCTCTTCTACGGCCAGGCCAAGGCCTCACCCGAAGACATTGAGAAATTGTCTTCCCTTCTCGACATCTCTCGTGACCACCTCGAGGAGCAGCTCAGCGGTTTTCCGGATCGTGGCCGCACGGTCGAGATGCCGCCCAGGGAGCCGCTGATCTACCGACTGTATGAGATCGTGCAGAACTATGGTTATGCGTACAAGGCTGTTCTAAATGAGAAGTTCGGTGACGGAATCATGAGCGCCATCTCGTTCTCGACCAAGGTGGAGAAAGAGACGGACGAGGCTGGCAACAACTGGGCTGTAATCACACTGAGAGGGAAATGGTTCGTCGAGAAGAGTCTTACATTGAGGTGAGAACTTGCTAACTTTGATAGGCTGCCTTTCTCCCGATTTTAGGTCGAGGTATCATGGGAATGAAAAAGCTGGTAGGATGACGGCTGTAGGGCATATAAGCAGTACCGGAAAGGAAAATCATTATTGTTCAGTCTTCTTCTCATATCTCTCATTTCTACCAAAAGATGCAAAGCGCAATTGTGACATCCCCATCGTGTGTCGGAAAGCACCTGACATGACCCGCCGGATTGGGCATGTTTCGTAGTGAAGTGAGGACGGTATGAATAAATCCTCAGTCTTGTATTCCACCTTCTTGGTTGAACCACCCACGAACCCCTTCAGCTTTTATCTACATTCCCATTAATCACTTCTCCCTGCCCGCCCATTTTACCCTCCTACATTTTTCTTACTTCGTCTGACGAACACATCCATTCTCCCCAGTTGAAATCTTGACTCCTTGTGGTCCTTGAGGCCTACGCAAGGCCTCTTTGTTGCACTGTGTTGAACTAGTCGCTTCTGTCAAAAATGTTTGCTCTTCCAAGCCGGCCTGCGAATTTCGCTCATGGAAATGGCTCTAACACAAGCTTCGATGGCTCCGCTCGCTCTAGTGTAGGCCCTGCCGATGCTGGACGCGAGGGTACACTACCTCTTCGCATAAGACCACCTCAATCCGGCGGCGTTAACGCTGTGCCTTCTGGTGTTATAAAGCCCGGCGAGAAGCCCACTGGCCCGGGTGTCTTGAAACAGGCTGCATCGCGCGCAGGACCGTCTGGCGCAGTCCGTCCAGCTGCAGCCCCTTCCATCGGAGGCCTTGAGTTCGTTACTCGCCCTGTCGCCCCATCCACGTCTATTCAGCCTCTCAGAGAGCCAGCTCTTGCTAAATCCAATGCTTCCGCGACGCCCTTGAATGCAAGACCTACAGGACTAAACAGGCTCCCCTGCACCTACGCTCCCTGCGGCAGACATTTCCCCACCCAGAGAGAGATGAATATTCACAAGATACAGGAGCACGATTACTGCCAGCGCTGTGACGAAGACTTCCCCGACGAGGAACGTCTGCTGCTCCACAAAATTACCAGTGTAAGACACATCGTCTGTCCTGTCTGTGGCGTGGAATTTCGCAGCACGGGCGGTCGCGACGTGCACATTCGTCAAGTGAGTAGACCATGAAACGGTTTCCCGAGAGCGGAAATACATAGAGAAAGTAGTCCAGAGCTAACACAACACTTGTTGATGGCCTAGAATCACCGCGCAGATCAGAGCATCAAGTGCCGCGGCTGCCCGCTGACCTTCAAGACCGCCAGCGGCCTGATGCAGCACGTCGAAAGCAACGGGTGTCGCAGGATTTCGCAGAGCCGTCTCATCCAGCAGCAGCAAACGCGTCTTATGATCGCCGAAGTCCTGGACGGGGATCGGCACATCCACTTGGAGGATCTTGACGACAATGATGGCGGTGTCATGCTGGACGGTACCCCCTTGAAGAGTCCTGTCAGTCCCAAGATTCCTGAAACGAACAAAGAGAACGCAAGACTTGCCACCAGTCCCAGCCCCAGCCCCAAAGCGCAAATGGCGATTGTGACCTCTCCCTTGCGACAGCAGCAGAACCAGGAGTTCCCTTCACCCCCCTCCAACGCGACAGAGAAGAGCATGGTGACGGCGCTCTCGCGACCCTCAACCCGCAACGAAGCAGAGGCCGCCACCGCTGCCGGTGTCGACCCTGCGATCGTCCCTGATCCGATAGCGATTACGCTGGAACACGACAAGACGTGGGAACTCTTCGGCAGTCTGCATGCCACGGCCGGCGAGATCCTCCGCAAGGTCACTCCAGGCTGGGATCCGAGCGAGTTCTTGAATATGACGCGCACACGCTACGTCTGCCAATGCCGGGTGAGCTACCGACGAGTGGAGGATTTTGAGGAGCACGTCATTGAGGAGATGCGTAATAAGAAACCTCTGAGGTGAGTTATCTCAGCATGAAATATCATCCCTCCGCTTCCAAGCGGGACTGACCCCCTCCCCAACAGATGCCCCTCGTGCTTCCGCAACTTCAAATGCTCAGCAGATCTAGTCGCGCACATGGAAGCCGGAAGCAGCGGTTGCAGCGTCGCTGCTGGGTCCGCGTACGGCCAGGTCCTGGATCAATTGACGGGCGGGGTGGTCCGCGTCGCGGGACAGCTCCACGACGGTTCGATCAAGTACGAAGCGGGCAACGTGGAGCCGCTGTACGAGGCGGATACTGAACCGACGCTGATGGGGGTAGACGTGAGCTACGCCAACATTATGTGGTGATTTACTACTGCAGTACAGTATGACTGCTGACAAAAGCGCTTGTTTTCGGAAGAATATCCGTTCAATGGTGTGCCGTGCTGTAACTTTTGATACTGATTCTCTTTACGTCTCCTTTCGTCTGCATAACATTTGACAGATCCATATTCATATTTAGCACCAGATTGTGTTATTCAACCTATCATCGGAGATTGTTCCATCATCGAGTTCATGTCCTTGCTAAAGCAAAATCGGACCTACTTTTCAGCGCATCGCAATGCCTAACATACCGAGCAAAACAAGAAGCTATCCCCCGTAAAACTGGACAAATCCGCATTCAATTCATAGACATATAACATTGTAAAAAGATGGGGTATAAACATCAACATAACAGCATGTATCCAACACGACCGAGAGAAACGCTCCGGCCCCCCCCACCTCAGCAGCCGCACTAGCACTCATTCCCGAAGGTCCATGCTCATCCACCCCAGAAAACTGTGACAGTCACGGGAATAGACTCTCTCTCGCGTCGATCATCTCTCATAGACATCACTTCCAGCCACTCCACCGTCATCCTCACCGCTCACTTTCCCCATAGCAAGAAAGAATGGAATCGTCTAGCAACACTCCTCACAGCACTCGAAGCACATCAACCCAGCGCAACTGCATGATCATCATTAGCTTTACGCTCCGCCTGCTTCATTGTGTCTGGTCTGGTCTGACCCAGTCTATTGGGGGAGGGGGAACACATACACGCCACAGCAAACACCACCCGCACCACCACCGCGAAGGTTCATGTGCATCTGTTCTTGAGAAGTCTAAACCGACAAATTAGCGACTGAATTGAGTCTTAGGGGTCTAACTTCGATCCGAAACGGAAGGAAAAAGGAAACTCGTACAGGCTGCTCCGTGACAACGCGCTCAGTCGAAGGCGCCTGCGGGCTCGTGGGCTGCTGCATCTGCATGTTCATGGTAGCGGTCGTGGGGTTCCAGGTTGCGGCCTCGGGGGCGGCGGAGTCCTTGTTGGAGGATTTGAAGAGGTTGAACATGTTGATTGTTTTTGGTGGAGTTGATTGAGGTTTGTGTTTGGGTTTAGTTTTCTGTTTTTGGAGTCTGTGTCTGAGTTATTTGTGTGTGTAGAGAGACTGAAGTGAGAGAGTAAGTAGGATAATGTCCTGGTGACAGGCGGACAAAGAGCAGTATTTATGTTCGAGGACAGGCAGCCCAGCCTTCAATAGCGCGGGATGGATCCAAGACTTGGTACCCAGTAAATTTGGGTCAGGGGGACTCCGCGCGGCGGGTAAGGTATGGTTACGGTCACAGCACAGCCAGTCACAGCCAGTCACAGCCACGAGATGCTCCACGTCAGCGGCTCAGCCCTGCCGCGCTTGCTTCTTATGGGTAAATATTCACTGAAATGAGGACATTCTCGAGGACCGCGCCTCTAAACTTAGAATTCGCTACAATACACATACTCAATACGGACCATACTCAGTCGTACAGTACTGGGATGCATGCACCAGACCAGGATAGTTTAAACCTCGCAGATGACCATATCTGCAAATCTGCAAGTCTGCACTTGACCACCATTCTCAGTCAGTTAGTCCAAGCACTGTATTTCGTACTCCGTCCGTACTGGACGATCAAATCCAACTGCCAAGACTCACCAACCCCCACAAGGCAATCAACGGAACCGCCAAAATCAGGCAGCCTCAAAAATTCGGACTCCTCGTTCCCGAATTTCCCGCCGGGCTAAGATGCCAAGACCCTCCCATCTCCGGTCTCATTCCCGTCAAGCTTTTTTCTTTGGCAGGCCAGCAAAACAGGGCAGTACATACAGACAATTCCACATTGGCATGAAGTGGTTCTGCTGTGTGTAGTACTGTGTCGTGCTAATCTTAGTAGCTCAGACTGCACTGTAGTATGCTCCATAATTGGATAGCATGAGGGATGCCTAGGGCTTACACTTATAGTTAGTAATTATCCTGTGTTGAAGGATTTCCTCGGTTCAATCAGTCGGTGGGAAAGAATTCTCGAAGAAGCCAAACCAGAACCAGAACCAGAGACCACTTGGACCCCCGGATCAGCAACCCGATTTGAGGGTCAACTACGGAGTAGTATTCTGTGGGTAAATGGTTAATGCTATTGCCTACTCCCAGGGCCAGGCTATGGTCCCTTGCATCCTTCACTGCCAGGATCCCAGAAGGCAGACACATTTCCCCCTTCCCCTCTCCGAAGCGGTCATTGGCTGGGAACATAACAGAATTGGCCCCCAAATCGTACTCTGTACGGAGTAGAGCGCAGTACCCTGAGGGAGGGTTGTGCTTTGATCGTACGGATACTCCGTTATCGGTTGATCTAATTCTAGGGACCTGCCTCATATAGTGCCCCGTTCGAGGCGATCGGGTCCTTCGTCGGCTATTATGTTTCCATTTCGGGAGGGGATGTGCCTTGCTCTTGGATGTGTGGCTGTGCGCCTACGTACTGTACTCGTACTCTTACTCGCAACTCTCGTACTCGCACCTAAGTTACGGGACAAATTCGGACAAAGCCACATGTGTACGCGCACACACCGCCTCCGCGGTACACCGGCTACTACTGAATACTTTCGCCTGGTGGTTCTTTGCGCTTGGCGCTCTCGTTTCTGGTTGCAGGCACTAGGAATTGATTCGAGTTGAAGTATCATACATCACCAGAGTTCATGAGATGGCTTCGTGCTGAGAACGGACGTTACGCGCCTTAGGGGCGGAAGCCGCGCATCACACGCTTCAATACGCGTATTTTTTGAATGAAACACTAGACCACTCTTACTCTAGATGGGTCTGGATCCCCCGGGCTTATCTTTCAACGAGGGGAATCATCTGACATCGCCTGTCGATCATGATTCCCGCTGCGGGGGTGACGCATTTTTCGTCTCAGATATCCGCCTAGTGGTACAATAGTGGCCAGGTTTAGACCACCAGCTTGCTCTGAGACACGGCGCTAAAGGGCGCAAGTCATCTACATTCAATATCAAGCTCATTCATGTCCGAAAAGTGTCCTTACAGCACGCGACCTAGACAACCAGCTCAAACTTCAAGCTCAGGAAGCCATCTCTCTTTCCACTGTCGCAGCCAGACCTTGAATAATTCAGCATCGACTGGCTGGATCTTACCCAGGACCGTACTATCGGCAACGGCGTTCCTCGTTTCTAAAGGCACGGAAGTGGTATCCTGCTGATCAAGTAGCGACTTGAAGAATCCGAACAACGGAAGCGCCGGCAGAGCTTCTACACGTTCGCGACTTGAACCTTCTGAGTCCTGTTGTTGCAAATCATCAATCCATTCTTTAAGCGGAACCACCTTCGCCCCACAAGCTCTGGCCACCAAGGGAGCAAAAGACCCCCAATCTCGAGCTTTTGGATTCACAATATGGTATACTTTGAGTCCGGAAGAATCCTGCCGCTCCTGGCGGCATTGAACAATCTGCACAATAGCTTCGGCGGCCAGGTCCTACATATTACCACCAATGTTAGCAAAGGGGCTGACTCTCGGATATCAAAATTGACAATATGCATCAGCCGCCAAACTTACTATAGGAACCCAATTGACATTGATAGTCCCCAAAGTGTCTGGAACCTTGCTCATACTCATGGACGAGCGGACCATGGCCGGGAACCAGTCCCGGGGGTTCCACATCCCTCCTGTTGGCGATGAGGGACCGCCTACTTGACCAACTCGGTGGACGCTGATCGCAAGGTTGCTGCGCTGCGCTGCAATGCCACAAAGCGATTCAGCCACGAACTTCGATTCCGCATATCCTATCCCTTGCACCACAGAAGCATCGTGCAAGGTTTCGAGAATCGTAGGGCCATGAGTCTTTTCCCACCCCCCAACTGTCGAGATAGATGATACATAGTGTAAATGAGCCCTGCGTGGGGACTCCTCCACCAGTTGCAGAAGGCGCCGCAAACCCGGGAGCATGTCTTTCTCAAAAGCCTTCAAAGGTTGATTGAAATTGACGGGCCAGGCGTTGTGAATATAGACGTCCGTTGTGTTACGCAGATAATCATACTGAGCAGGGGATAGCCCCAGCAGTTCATCGCCGAGGCCGATCTGCCAAAAGTGGACCCGCGAAGTATCTCTCAACCACCCGTCCGATAGGCCCCTTTCTCGGAAGTTGGTCACCTGGCGGTCGACTGCGTCGCTGCCACGGTTGAGGCAGTATATCTCTGCGACTGTAGGAACTTGCAGTAATTGATGGAGAAGGTGACTCCCAAGGTCTCCCGTCGAACCAGTCAACACTACTGTGATCCCACCTTGACCAAGATGCCGAGCGTGATTCCATACAGAATGAATGAGCCGATCGGCTCGCGTCCACTTGGCACCTGATTTGTTATCTTGGATAGATTCATTGCCGCTCAAATGTCGACTGAGTCTGTCAGCGAGAGCCTGTACGGAGCCGGCTTGGTAAACCTCATCCCCTGACCAAGTCAAGGGTTTGCCAGCGGGGTGCATTCTTTTCGATGCCTGCTGCAAGACTCTGGACAACTCCTTCACTTGCAGAGAGTCTATTCCTGCATCAACCAGATCATCATTCTCGCCAAACCCTCTCAGGCCGAGTCGCTGGGCGAATACCTGTTGGAGCCAGCTTCTGATCGCCTCTCGGTCGGAGCTCTCGGGACATGCGCCGACAGAGCTACCTTGCGCCTTCGAGGTATCAGAGTCCGTGGAATCATATAGGGAGTTTAGGACGCCCTGATAATCTTTGGCAGTCTCGCGACGGCGCAATGATCCCTTCGGGGCTTGGGCAAAGGGTTTATCACGAGACGTCAGAGCGATGTGAGTATCATATATGCGTGCATAGGCGGGAAGTGCTTCATTGGCCTCGTCTAGGATTGATTCGAGCTGCTTTCGAAGCCACTCCTCGGTCCAGTCCTGTGGAAGCTTATTCCACTGGGGCTCCAAGAGCAATGCAGCTTGGTAGCGATCCTGCCCGAAGATCGCCGCCCGACTAATTAATTCATGTCTCTCAATGATCTTCTCTGCTGCAACAGGGTTGAACTTCTCTCCATTCTTCATGACGTTTATGTCATCACCCTTGCCACTGAAACGCCAGAGACCAGATTTGGTCGGATGGGGCGTGAAAAGATCGCCCGTACGGTATTCAGAGAGATCCGGGTAGGAATGGAAGACTGCGTGATACTTGCGTGACTCGGGTCTTGGGATGACCAACTCGAAAAGTCCTTTTTCGACTTCCTCCATCCTTACTCCACAGGCCGGGACCCATTCCAGATAACACCAGTCGGCTGGATCCTCGCAGAGGAGAGTTGGCGTCCACCCAGTTTCCGTACTGGCAAGGACTGTTTGCAAATGTGCAAGTGACGATAACTTGTCCCCAGTCGACTGCGACATGGGAGCGCCGCCAAAGACCACTTCTTCGAATTGCGAAAATGCTTTCCTGCCGCTCTCCTGTTTCCCCAGGTCTTCGAGCACCGGCGTAAGCGCCAATGTCCACTTGGGATGATGGGTAGACATAATTTGCGCGAACAGATCAGAGTCCAAAGGACGATCTGGAGCAAGTACGAACGGCGTTTTAAAATATATGCACTCTACGATGCTCACCAGGCCGCCGAAGTGATACATAGGAGCATAATGAAACCTGAGCTTTCCTTTCTCTCGCACATGCCCTTGAGCGAGCTTTCTCCCCTTGGGAATGGGCATGGTTTGGATGTTCTCGAGGGTAGCGAGATAGCCGTGTGTTATGTTGATAGGCTTTGGATTCCCCGTTGTGCCAGAGCTGTGCAGGATAATAGTGGGCATATCCTCAGCGGCCGCGAAATTGTGCTCATACTTGTACGGGTACTCATCACTGGGTTTATTCGAGAAGATTCCCCACAGAGGAGGCATGTTCCATCTTTGGAGCTTTTGCAATCGATTGTCCTCAAGCTTGTCCAACATCTGTCGTAGCTGCTGTTTATTGCTGGCATCGACCATGACTGAGCATTTTGTGGCGTCGAGCAAATGCTGAAATGCAGTGTGCGAGTTCCGCGTAGATAAAAGCAATGCCTTGCTTGGATGAGTATCTCAACTGCCAGAGGGACTTAAGTCTTACGCACCGTGTTCCCCGTCTTCATGCAGGCCAGCACAAATGCTGCGTATCGCAAGTCATTAGTCCCTATGTATGCAAGGACGTGTCGCTTTTTCTTCGCGCTATCACCCAGCTGCTCGTCAATCCAGAAAGCAACGCGGTTAACAGCATGAGCCAGGTCCCGATAGGAGATTTCCCGCCAGCCATCGTCTAAGTTCATGGAAACCGGATGGATGCAGTAAAGCTGATCCGGTTCCTTCTCTGCTATCTCGTCCAGGACTTGGTGTAAGAGCCGGCCTGGAGAAGCTTCTGAGCCCATTTTGTGAAGATGGCGATGATAATCTCAAAGTTTAGTGTAGAGTGCTAGAAAATTGAATCTGATGGTAAACCTCGCAGCATGGAGACACAGGCTTTTTAAAGAAAGCCAAGTTCATTACGGAGCAGTGACGGCACCAAGCCCTGCAGCATCCGACACATTCCTCGCAGCGCATGAGCGCTATGCAAGGGATGAGTCTCTGCTGAAGAATCAGGCCAGATTAGGAGATGCGTGAGGTCCACTGTGTTGCTGTTTTCTCGCAGCTGCATCCTGTTGTGGCATCCGCAAACGTCATTGAAGCTTAGAATCAGGTCTGCCAGTCTGGCCTACTCTGCAGGTCTGACGAGGCTTGTGTGGCGAGTCCGGGAATGTCCTGTTATCCTCTAACCTGGGAATGGACTGGTATATTGACCATTGGGACACTCCCTGTGCCTTGTCCGTGTCAGTCTCCTTGCAAGCTTTCGGCACGACCGCTGTCGTGACTTCGACTCGGACGTTCAGGAAGACTAATGTAGTTGAATCCAAGAATGGAAAGGAGGATCGCGTTCCAGAGATGTTCCAGTGGCGAGCATGCCACCGACCAACGCCGACAAGCCAGCCGAGAAAACCCGGACAGCCCAGCCTGCGGTAGTATCCTTCTTCGTGTGGCATTCGTCATTATACGGGTTCCCCGATGTCACGAGACCGGCGACAATTGAAAGTATGATGATTATGAGAGGGGATGATTCCATGGTAGGCAAGCGAAGGGTCATTCTCGTTGGTATAAGCCTCGCTTGTTGCCCTTGTCGGTAATTCTGACCTACAGACTGTCTCTAAAGACAACCCAAATGCAGAATCGTGATCTTACTATGTCCGAGGACTGATTCCTACAATGTGTATGAGAAGGCTTTAGTACCATTAGTCGCTCACGACGAAGTAAGATAATTACAACACCTCACATGGCCGAGTCAAGGAACGCCTGTCAAAGGGGACCGCCGACAAGTCTCACCTTTCGCGGGATCTTGCAGTGACGAGGTTAGACTCGACAGCAGAAGTTGTGCATATACTGCTTCGCGTGTATGCTAAGCTGTATCACCCTCTGTTGTTTCTACTTTGATCTCGAGATAGGTCTATTATGTGGAGATGGTCATCAGGATTGCTTGAAGGACTAGTTGTACGTACGCTAACCACCTACCTCTTAATATGTAGTCAATCCAAGACAGATTTGGCCGAATCAGTCCAAGCGATACTATACCCACACCAAGAGCCTCTCATAAGGACCTATCCAGCCACACTACATAATTCATGACGATTCGAACCGAGCAAACCGCCCGTTCGATTCGTCCGGCGCTCACACGCGAGGAATCCCCCGTCGAGTCTCCATCTCGAACGATGCTTGAATTCAGCCGAGTCTGCGTGGGTAACCTAAAAGTGAGAAGCCACTCGTCAGTAGTCTCTCAATAATCCCCACTAGTAGCAAGAGATGGAATACGTACCTCAAAGTACCTTACCTACAGTGACAGATTCGTTCTAACCCGCCAAGCCCGAGCGACGGAGTATCGACCCGATTTAAGCACGCCTTTAAGTGAGTTAAAATTTAACCACGCAGTAAAGAAAGCCCCCCACTCTATTCTCCCGCTTAGTGGGCGGGGGCCCCTCCACAATCCGTCGCATTCCATAACTTCTTCTCCCCCGAAGTCCTTCATAAATATTTCCGCAACTTACTTAACCACCATTCCCCTCTAGCTCTCTCGCCCCTCCAACTTCGCTCTACCACACAGCCTGCCTCTCTACCACAGTAATTTCCAACCCGCCAAAAAAAAAAATGACAACACAAGTCCCCATCCTCATTCTCGATGGCGGTCTTGGCACCACCCTCCAAGACCACCACTCCATCACCTTCACCTCGACCAGCACGCCTCTCTGGTCCTCGCACCTCCTGATCTCCTCCCCCTCGACCCTCCTCGCTTGCCAACGCTCCTTCGTGACAGCCGGCAGCGACGTCCTCCTCACTGCGACCTACCAAGTCTCAACCGAAGGGTTTTCGCGCACCAAGACCCCCGAGTTCCCCACTGGCATCCCCCGCGCCGCCATCGCCCCCTACATCCGCACGGGTCTCTCCGTCGCCGCCGACGCAACGGCAAACACCGACTGCAAGGTCGCGCTGAGCCTCGGTCCCTACGGCGCGTGCATGATCCCCGGCCAGGAGTACAGCGGGGCCTACGACGCCGCCCACAACGACGAGGAGAGTCTGTTTCAATGGCATCTGGAGCGCCTGAGGTTGATTGTCGATGCCGTCCACGAAACCGGGCAGACGCTGCAGGAGAAGGTGCAGTATGTGGCGTTTGAGACGCTGCCGCGCTTGGATGAGGTGCGGGCGGTGCGGCGCGCGGCGCGCGCGGCGGGGCTGGACGGCATGGGGATTCCGTTTTGGGTGGTGTGTGTGTTTCCAATTGAGGGGCGAGATGAGTTGCCGGATGGGAGCTCGGTGGAGGAGGTGGTGGCGGCGGCGTTGGGTGGTGGCGATGGCGCTGGGGCGGTGCCGTGGGGGATTGGGCTCAATTGTACGAAGGTGCATCGGTTGGAGCGGTTGGTCAAGTTGTTTGAGGATGGCGTTCAGAAGGTGTTGACCCGACAAGATGCTGGGAGTAAGAAGCAGCCGGCCTTGGTGTTGTATCCGGATGGGACGCAGGGGGAGGTCTATAACACCACGACGCAAGTGTGGGAGAACAAAGCTGATGGGCCTGGGGCGGCTGACTCGGTAGGTGTCCCCCATTCTCGCATGTTTGAATTCTTGAGTTTCACGGCTGTGAACTCGATTAAGCAAGTCCTACTGGTGCTAACGATCACAGCGTCCGTGGGAAGTCCAACTTGCAGAGGTTGTCAATCATGCTCGAGCTAGTGGCCAGTTCAGCTCGATCCTCGTGGGCGGCTGCTGCAAAGCGTCCCATCATGACATCGCCAAGCTCCGACAACAGTTTTCATAATTCTATACATTCAAGTTATACGTCATCTGTACATTATTCTTTTCAAAAAGACAAGACTACTTAGTAATCCGAACAACCTGAACAGTACTGCATCTATGGGGCCTGCAAGTGTTGAAAAAAAAAAGTTTCATGGGTATAACGTCAAAGTAATATACAAGTCTATATACAAGAACATATGTACTCAGAAGATCCAATCGACGAAGCGCTTCAATGGCGTCTTCGGTCCGTGGTCCTTGATAATGATCTCTCCCTCCATTAGGCGACCAGACCAGAGATCCAAGGTGGATGCGCGGACGAACTGAGGCAACACGTTAACGAACAGAACAAGAATGCAGGCATGCGGAGATGATACTAACCTTGCTGCGTTTGAAAATCTTCCAAAGGATAATTGGCACAACAAAGATTGGGATACCGACGTACGAGGCGAAGAAGTCCGAGGTGGACCAGTTGCCCTTAAGGAACACGGGGAAGCCAGCCACGAGCGTAATGATAGTGGATCCGATGAATCCCACCCACGCAGTGTAGGGCTGGAAAGGACCCTGCCAAGGCAGAGTATCGCGACTCTGACCTTGAACCTTCATCGCCCGATGGAAGCGAATGTAACAAAAGCAGAGGGTCGCCCAAGCAATCAAGCCGGCAACCGTGCTGAGGTTGAGGAGCCAAGTGAAGGCTTGAGAAGGACCGCCACTTCCGAGACCTGAACGGACTGATTAAAACGTGAACTTGTACTCAAGGTCATAGGGGAAACTTACTCAGATACGCCAAAGGCCCGAAGAGCCAGGAGACGACCACCGCCACGTACGGAACACCCTTCTTGGTGACCTTGCCGAAGAACTGGGGAAGCTGTCGGTCGGTCGTCATGGCCACGATCATGCGAGAGCCGACCCAGCAGTAGGAGTTACCGGCGGACCAGGCAGAAACCAAAATACAGGCGTTGACAACCGAAGGCAGACCACTGATGCCAGCTTGCTTGATGGCAATGACCCATGGGGAGCTGTCGGCATTGCCAGAGCCCGAGGTGAGGCCAGAAGTCCGGGGATCAACGATCATTCCAATCAGCAGGGCACCGAGAATGTAGAAAAAGGCGATGCGGTAGGTGACGCGACGCGCTGCCTTGGGAATGGCGCGGTGCGGGTCGATGGCTTCGGCGGCGGCGATAACGACGGTCTCGACACCAACAAAGCTGAAGGAGGCGTTGACAAAGGCCGAAAGGAACCCAAGGAAGTGACCTGTAGGTCCTGTAATGCCATTATAGTTGGTCCAGGGACCAGGGTTGTGCCAGTAGCGAAAGCCGATGGTCTCGTGGTTCGGGCCGCCGCCTGCGGTGATCACGATGGCGGCGACCACCAAGCCCAGAAAACACAAGACCTTAACGGCACCTGACACGACTTCACTCTCACCATAGAAACGGACACTCATCAGGTTGATAATTAATATCAGTCCTAACCCGACTGTTATTACCACGGCCGGAGTTATATCCGACCAGTAGCTCACCACTACCGCAGCCGCGGAGACCTCCGAAGCAATGGCAATAGTGTAACAGTATCCGTAAGTGATGGCGAGAGAGAAACCGACGGCGGGATCGATGAACCGAGTAGCCCAGTGGGGGAAGGAGCCTGCAGTAGGAAAGACGGTCGCCAATTCGGCGATACTTTGCATGACACACCACAGCACAAACCCCACGACAATATATGCCAACAACAATCCGGCAGGCCCTGCTTTCGCATAGGCCGAGCCGGTTCCAACGAAGAGACCAGTTCCAATACCACCGCAGAATCCAATCATGCTAATGTGGTAGTTCTTGAGACGACGCTGAGTGGCACCACGGCCACCAACATTGAGCTCCAGCTCCCCTTTTACCGGGGCACCATCTTCTTCGCCATAATAGTTGGGCACCTTCGGATCACCGCTTCCATGATGCTCAATCTTATTCTCCGCGGCGGAGACTGAAGAGTCGTACATCGTTTGCGCCGAAGGTGTGGCAGGTGCTCACAGTGCAGGAAAAGTCCGGGGGGGGAAGCTGAAATGTGGGATGAGGGGGAAAATGTCTTGGAAGGAGGAAGACTGGAGACAATTATATCAATCGATGACAAGCAGACGAACCGCGCAGCTTGCCACCGAACGTCGGCCTCGCTCGGAGAGCCACTTTTTTTTTTTCTTCCACCGTCGCCGCAGTGTGCAATCGCCATCACGACATCGGGAACCGGATTGGCACCATTCCATATTGATACTAAGCGGGCGACTTTTCCCCACCGAAAGCGTGCCGTTGTATGGTGAGTTGCCGTATGCGGCCTCCACTTGGCCCGCGGGACGGTGACTGCGATTGAACATGCGAATTAGTCATTCATTCGTGAAGATACAAGCTCAAGATGACAGGGGAACAAGATTATTGGATGGAGAACCTCTACTGCATGGAGACTCGGACTGGAATTGGAGGAGCCATGGCGAACTTGGTGTGGCGAAGGGGATTTACAGTTTTTCGAGAAGACGAAGCGTGAAAGTTTTCCCAGTTCAGGATCTGCCCTTGGTTTGTGCGAGGCACGTGCTTTGGTGTGGTTACTAGTCCTTATATAGCCTAGTGTGGGTTGAAACGGTTCCTGCAGCCGGGCACTGCTTAAACGGCTAGCTCGAGCCAAGCCGGAATTGCCTCATATCCTGCAAGAATTTTGCGATCGTTGCGCTGGCAGCCCATTGCCATACAGCAAACGCTGCAGCACTTGTTGAACAAGTATGAGGGCAAAAGAACTACCTCGACACTGGCTCTAACCTTCTCTTATCATCAGATCCCTCACAATTCCGCGCACCCTCCGATTCGGAGAAAGCTACTCCGCTCTTCGCATAGCTCTTACGTAAAATCGGCCACAGCTCCGCGATCAGAGCGTAATTAGCTCGGTTTCGATACGCTATTGATGAGTGCAATCAATCAGTCGAGTTGGCCAGACACGAGATTAGAGACGGCCGATGCCATCCTGCCGGGCTGCAGGCAATTTCGGCCGAGCAGAGTTGCCTGCTATTGTATGCTCAATAGGACCAGTATGTCTAGTTCTAGGCTCACAGGGTGTACTCCATATTGTTCTTCGTTCACTTGATGTCATGTTTGCCACTGTCAGAGGCGGATGGACCCCACGGTGGCTCTTGTGAGCGCATCTTCGGGTAGAATCGCGTCATCAGAATTGACTGATTGATTGTAACTATGGGCAGTCAATGTGGAAGCTGCCGGAAAGTATGATATAGTGTCGATGGAAAAGTTGACGCACAAATTCTGCTTGAGTAGTACGGCGTACTTGGGGGCACAATTGTTCGTCAAGAAGGATCGGGTGAGCGAATAATAATACTTGTGGAAGAGTTACTGCCAGCCTAGAAACTGTCAAGCCGGAGATACATATTTGCTTCGTGCTAGAGTCACCATACTCGAATTGATCGGGTCTAGAGAGTATGGCTGACCTCAGCAACTAAGTTGAAAGGTTGCTGTGATGAACACTGCTTGCTCGAAGACATGACTCATAATTAGGTCCCAATTCTGAGCGTACCCAAAACTACAGTATATGTCAAAACACCAGGATTCAAACCAAGCGAAAGAAGAACGAAGATGATGCTCATTCTGTAGTCTCATCTCACCTCAGCATACTATCTATCATACACCACCTCGAAACCCAAATCTTTTAGAGACCCCAACGCCAAACAAACATCCATACATATACACAATCATCACCACCATCCCCCCCAACCCCCAAGAAGTAGAGAATATCATAGACACCACCCCATGCATCATCTACCGACTCCCAACTCACCTTACCCCATCGCCCCTCACTTCTTCCCCTCCTCATCTCCCTTCCCCCAAGTCCAAACATCCCAAATATGCTCCCGAATCAAGTCCCCATACCCTTTCCCCTCGTCGAGCGCCTTCTGCTCCTCTCTTAACCTCCGCTCCTTCCACCCCTCCGTCTCCCCACCCATCCACACTCTCTCCAAAACAGGCTTCTCGAATTCCTCGCGAGCCTTCAACTTGGCCAACTCCTCCCCCTTCGCCTCCTCAATCTGCCGCTCCCGATCCGCGCGCAACCGGGCCTGGATCTCCAGCGCCCGCTCACTCGGCAACCCACTTCCAAGTGAAGTAAGCGCATTCGGGCCGTGGCCGTGGCGGTTGGACGAGATCTTATCCTCGAGGCGATCGACGATGCTGCGGCCGGTGCGTTCGCGGGTGAGGTGGTTGGCCGAGATGGAGAAGGCGCTGAGTTGGAGGACGGTGAGATTGTCGAGTTTGCGGGGTGGGAGGGCCATGAGGATGGGAGATGCGATCAAAAAGGTCCAGGCGGCGTAGGTCTTAAAGCGTTGGTAGTCGGCTTCGCGTTGGGATTGGAGAGTGGTTTGTTGTTGTTGTTGTTGCTGCTGCTGTTGTGGTGGTAGTTGTTGTTGGTGCTCCTCGGAGGTAGTGGTGGGGGGTTGTTCGGGGGCCATGGTTGGGAGATTTTGCGTTGGTGGAGGTCTTTCGCTCGACTCGCGTGTCAGGTCACGGACTTGATTTCTTGAGTTGAGATGGTATGATTCAACTATTATAATGGATGGATAGATTTCGTTGCTGGTGATGGTCTTCTTATCAGCGGCGACTTGCTTTGCAATGATCGACGGGGAGGGTGGAAATTCACGGCGGGCGATTGTGCCACATGCCGCAGATCAGTCATGTGACTTGCCTACCATTTTGTACTGTATCAGCTGCGGCCCTTGAGTTCGTGCTTCATGGTCTATAATTGCAGTAGTTAGATGATTCATGCGGTGATACTTGCTTCGAACCTGTAGATTTGCGAATGTGATTTACGCTGTAGTTCCTCTAGTACAGCCTCGGGCTTGATCTGCCAGGGAACACATGCATTCGATCATCTCCAGAAGCATGAAATGCAAAGAGCACGGTGTAAAGACACTATTCTCAAGTCAAAAAGGGTGTGGTCTGTGCGAGGATTTGATTTAGAGAGACTCCACATCTTAGTTGGGGCGCATAATACACATGTATGGGGTATTGGTTCACTTGTTAATAGCTAATAAGGTCATCTTAACTAATACAATGTCCTCAACAAGAAGAAAGCTTCTCAGGCCCCATCAACAGACATGTATACATTAGACTTGCATACTCAAGTCAACGAAGATCCTGGCGACGATGGCGGCGACCGGATCGCCTTCCCCCGCGCAGGGAACGGCGGGCAACCGTTCAGTGTTGCCCCCAGGTCATAGCATTTCATCAAATGGCCCTTTCACCCAGACACTGCAGAACACGTCCCAGAAAACCATCAGGAAACGTACTTCTCCACAGAGCGTGCATGTATAGACCGGATTGAGAACTGGACTAACCATCTCCTCAACCCTAGCCAGCGGCGTCTCCGGACGCTCTCTTCCGTCTTCTGTTAGCCAGAGACACTAGAGTGACTGCCTCTCGTGCCTTCTTCAGCGCCTTGTGGGCTTGTTCCGGACCCTTGTCGAACAGCTTGCGGAGAACCCCGTGGACCTTTTGAATGGCGCGAGCGCTCCTGTCGCTTTTAAAAGCCACAATTGGAACTGAGGCACGCCTTTTCGGGGAGCAAAGGGAACAGGGTCCAGCACAATGGTGTCTATCATCAGATAACCTAGAAGAAACTCAGCAGCACATTGTTGTAGAAACATGAGTGATCGACGGACAGGAATCGAGGCTTGAAGTTTGTACAGCCTCGTTTCATAGAAAAACTATGCACTCACACCATTGAAGACAGGGACAACAGGGAACGGAGGCGATTTGGTTGGAAGTCCAGGTAATATAGAACTTTTCAAAGTCCCATAACGGGGAAATTCGGATTCAAGTATAGGTGTCAAAAGCAACGCAATTGCAAGCAAAGCAAGAACGTAATAGCAAGTGAGACTTGTGGAAATATTTTGTTCGTGTCCCACAGAAAATGAGGTTATTCGGGTTTCTTGAGTATCGGTGTTTTAAAGCAACGCAGATTTAGAGCAAAACAATCTGAGACTCCATCATTCATCAATGCATTGTTCAGCAGAAGTACAATGAGGGGATTTTGTGGGCCGGTGGCGGAAATAACGTCCTTCACCACCATGTCCTGTTATGTCTGGCCTTCGCCTTCGCCGTGGGGCGACGGCATGGAGAAATATTGGGCGAGTATTTTAGACGTAGAGCTTTGCCTCCGCGTTAGTCAAGAGTGTTAAGCGAAATCTAGAAGCGTATACCCTGCGTTGCGTAGCCATCGGTCTACTGCAGTCCCCGCTTTGCCATGGCCGACTTGTAAGAGCTGCGAACATGCTTTCAAGGTGGAGGATATCGATGGCATTGGCCACGATCAGGCATTGTTCGCATAATCGTTTGATTAGGTTGCAGTTGGAATACGGTCTGCTATCCGTTTGGCAAGTGGTGCAGTGATCTTCGTCTTCTCGAGAGCCGCGAACATGCTCTCCGGAACTTGGAGACTCCATGGCCTTGACCATGTTGTCAGGTTCGTTGAACCTTCGTAGACTGGTGTCAGCGAGCGTGTCTCAAACGCAGAAGGGAAAAGAGTGCGGACAAATCTGAGTTCAAACCTCATAAATGTTACTCTCAGAAATGACCCTCCATAGATGAGGACGGACGTGCCGAATCTGGATAAGGCGGAGGTCTAAAGCAGAAACGCTCTGAATTCGGGTCTAAGTTGAGCAATTCGGCGCGTTTAGAATCCGCTCTTGTTTGGGAGGCACAAGAAAAAAGACGTGTCAAGATAGTATGAGAGCAAGGAGATGAAGGGAGAAGAAGAAAGGGACAGGATGAGAGAGACAAGAGAACATGGGGCTTAGAAAGTGGGAAGTGGAAGTTTGGGGACAAAGAATCTGGGAAGTCAATTCACGAGGGAGCAAAATATGATTGTCTGTGAATGAAAGGAATGCTTCAAGAGATACTGTACTGTACCTTTGCCAACCCCCAGATCAAATGGCAAGTGCCAGTCCAAAGTTGTGCGGTGAATTCAGCTTGCTAAGGCAAGCACGCCAGTCGAGGCTACCAGTACTCAAGCCCTAACTTGGAAGTGAATCTCTCCTGTCCGACTGTCCGGGCTGACTACAATACATTTAATTGAATAGATTGGAGTCTTGAACTTCTTCATGGCTACTGAAGGACTGACTAGACATCTGGCGACTGATTTGAAGGTAACAAAAGCATTTGTGAATATGTTGGTCAGTCCATCTACTAACAAGACTCTCAGGATGACCCCTGATTCACAGTTCTGCACATGAAGCTATTGTGGACTTGCTTAGCTTCACCTTCCGGCTACTGGTCCTGGACACCACGTAGAGGTGCAAGTCTTGCCCAGGTGCTGTACACAGGTATCCCGTACAGCTGGGGTGCTGAGATTTTTGATATTTTCTTCGTGGGTGATTGATCTGTTTTTACAGATTTTGGGAGCTTTGACCTTTTTTTTGGTCCTCCAGGGGAAAGGAGATTGAAGACTTTTGATTTTTTTTCGGATATTTGCTTTATGGACGCTTTGGTCCACAGAGGCAGGGATTGATTGCTTTTGCTTTCTGGACGCTTTGGTCCACAGAGGCAGGAATTGATTGCATTTGCTTTATGGACTCTTTGGTCCACTGAGGCAGGCATTTGAATTTGCTTTATGGACTTTTTGGTCCACAGAGGCAGGCATTTGAATTTGCTTTATGGACTTTTTTTTGTCCACGAAGGCAGAAGGAAAGAAAAATACATGACGGGAGCTTTTTGCTCAGTCCATCGACAAACACGAACACCCCATGAGGGGGTCACAAACACATGCTTGAAAGAAGAGAGTGAAGTACATGAGGAGGATTTTGCTTTTTTGTCGGATTTGGATTTTTTGACTTTGTTCTGGTCCCTCAAGGAGAGAGGTTTCAGATTTTCACAAAGAAGAGATACAAAAAGCATGAAAGGAGGGAGCTGAAGTTATTCAAGCTGCACTCATTCCATCGACATCGTCGCCACCCACCAGAGAAGGTCCAAAGCTGGAGCGTCTTCCATCACCACATCCAACGACATTTCTTCTAAGCGACAACACAAATCTCCGTAGTCATTGGTACTCTTCACCATGGCCTCCTCCAATGGAGGGGCGTCCACCATCTCCACGTCCGGCGCTTCCAGAGGAGGTGCTTCGGCCACGGGGAGGTCACAGGTGACTTTTTCAGCTCGCCGGGGGGAGCGGCAGCGGCGAGGGCTTTTCAAGGGACGAGGAAAAGAAAGAGGATTGAGGGCAGCGTTCACAACCCCCTCTTCCAGAGGAGGTGCTTCGGCCATAGGAAGGTCCCAAGTGACCTTTTTTGGTCGTCGGGGGGAGCGGCAACGAGCAGAATTGGGGGAATAGCGAAGACAAGAAACAGGGCCCCGGTTGTCACCTGGAGAAGCCTGGCACTCCCCGCTGAGGCCCTGGCCGTTAATGAATTGGCCAGGATTTTTCGGCAGCCCCAGATTTTTCTGTAGGATGCGGCCTTTTTGTAGGATGGAGCTGCCATGGCCGACTTTTTTGAGATGACCGAAGCGCACCTCAAGGTCATGAATGCTCATAACCTTTGCCATAATGGCGATAGAACTTTTGTAGAGTCCTATTGAATGAAGGGAGTTCGGATTGTAGAATAGGTAGTAAAAAAGCAACGCAATTAAAATCAACGCAGAACAATAAAGCAAGTGAGACTTGTCCGTGTCCCACAGATTAGGAGGTTAACGGATATTGAGTATAGGGTTTCAAAATCAACGCAGTTTTAAAGCAAAAACAGTTTTTTTTGAGACTCCTTTTTTTTGTTTTAGGTAGTCTGGAGAGAGAAGGAGAAGAGAGAAAGAATCCAGAGAGGTCGGGGGGGAAGGGGTGGGGGTATACCCCCCCCTCCCCTCGATAGTGTCATGATGCTCTCAAGAAAAATTCTGCTGCGGCCGTCAAGATGTTGATATAATTGCCTCAGAGATGACGACCGGACACCACTTAGCAGCCATATTACCCTTGCGAAAAAGTTAGCACAAAGTATGGCACAGTCTGGAGGTAATGCAAGATCACCCCAGCTGCTGCTTGTCAGTTCGATTGACCCAATCATCGGGATTATTACTGCAGATAAACCACAAATAAGGTTTTCCAGCGAAGATTGATATTACATGCCTGGGAGCTCTCTTCTGTTCCGTGCCAATGAAGCCAAAAATAGAAGCGCTGTCTAATAGCATAGTTGCCCTGTCGTATGGCTTGACCCGACAATCGGATCCCATTGCAATTGGAAGAGTGGTTGTGGACCTGCGTTGACGACCTTCCTTACAATAGTGTCGAAGTTTCATGCGCTGTCCATCGCTCTCATTTTTTTTCTGGGATGTCTCGTAACAGCTCCGGGAGACGCTGCACTCCCGGTGGAGGTCATGCTGTCTCTCTTTCGCTTCTCGACTTTGGCGGTGCTCCGCTTTCTGCGCTGTTCTTCTCGAATAGCCAGTCGTCGTTGGACTTCCTCGGAGATGTCTTCCGTCTCAATTGACACCGGGGTGATGTTTCTAACGTCCACCTCATCCCCAGATTGCACCTTGATCAGGCGCTTGCGCTTGTGGTGACGGGGATGCTCAGGGAGGACAGCTTGAGCCGCGGCCAGCGGTATTGCACTCTCCCTCTCATTGCACTCTGTGCGAGCTCGTTTCGTCCGACCTTTCGCCCGCAGATCATTTCCAGACGAATCACCCTCCTGATGGGAAGATGTCATATCCAGATCAGCAGGACCTGCGCGCGAGATTTTCTCGGCGCCAAGGTTCTCTATCAGATCATCAGTCAGTCCGGTCGGTCAGTTTCCTGAAGCCGTGGATGCAGCAGGAAAGGCTTTTCCTGCAATCAATCTCTGAAGCCGGCGAAAAGACGTTTCGACTTACTGGAGCTCTATTCCGAGAAATCAGCACCATTTTGACGCCATAATCTGCCAGGGGAAAGCCCACGGGAGACTCACAAATTTTCCTTTGATGACCTTGAACTGCATCATCAACTTCTTCGTCCGCTCCAGCATGTTGGAAACCAACCGCGATGCGTCGCCATTGGACGGAACTTCGCCCTGGACCTGCTGCAGCAGCGCCAAGTGCGATGCCAGCAGCGATTCATGCTGCGAGCAAACCTAAAGCATCCCGCAAAAAGTTTTCACTCGTTAATACCAAAAAAAAATGCAAACGCTGGCCTCCCCATGAAGGGGACCAGCTCGTCGGAAGAAATTTTACACACCTCAGCCCATGACAATGGCTGCTGCGCGGTATCGGAATTACCGCTACCAGGACTAGGCTTACTCTCGTCCTCTACCTCCTCTACAGTGGGATTCATGGTGGGTGGGTGGCTCGATACCGGCATCTTAACAGGATTCGCGCAATGACTTGAAGTTGGATTAAAGGTCGCGCGGATCCCGTAGGGCAGGGCGATCTGGGTGTTTTGGTACGGGCCGAGAATGATGGCTCAACCTCTTGGCATTTCCATTCTGCTATTTTTAGAATTTCCCCCCTTCCCCTTCCACATGGGCATCGAGATCTGCCATGAAGGGACCCAGGGTCCTAAAATCTCCGTGTGTCTTTCTTTGCTACCGCCGTTAGAAGCGGAAGAGTAGCCTGGGTTGATTTTTCATGCGCTCTGAATTAGGCTTTACACCAAGGCTCTATGATCCAATCATAGTCTAACTGTACGGTTAATCCGGAATGCTCCTCCATCCGCTGAGCGTGTCGGGAGCGTCTTTGCTTTTCGCTCACTTGCCATCATCTGATCTCAAGTTTTAGGATAAAACGAAAAGCAGCTGATTATACTCCAAATGAGAGAAAAACCTCCGCAGTTCGTACTTGTTCAGTAGTAGTTCAGTACACTCAGTGCTCTACGGATAGCATCCACTTCCACTAATCAGACTAATATCTTCGATATCAAAGATTCCTTCTATTGCTTTCTGCTAAGGTGGCATAGACAAGGTTGCTAAAATGTGCTTTACATTTCGGAAGCTACTTCCGGGACATCCTCTCTGAACCAGCAACACGTTATCGCCTTGACAGCCATCTTCCGCAGCATAGTGTAATGATGACAGGGCAAGTGGACTGAAATACGCTATACGACTCACCTAGCTAGGAATTTAGCAAAGGATCTGCTTCAGTAGTCTCAGACATGATTCTCAGATTTGGGAGACCCTTTCTTGTTGCTTAACATGCTCCCGACCGGATTGCAGATCCCCTTCTCTCGTGATTTTCGTGCGCTTCTCCCACCTGAAAGCAAGATAAATAGCGACGAAAAGTATAGCCGCTAGAATTGAAAGAGCCAGATAGAGTTTGGCTCCAATGCGCCAATGAGGGGCTTCGTCGGCAGGGTAGGCGGCAATGGGGAGAAAGGCACTGAGGAGATACGAAAAGAGTGTGCCGGTCGCGAAAAGGACTGTTCGCACTTGAGGTTCGGTCTCTAGATGGGCAGTCGCCCATGCACATAGGAGCATGGTGGAGACACTGAATCATTTTTCCCAGTTGGCAGTCAGCTGAAGTTGATCTATAGGAAAATCGACTTGGCGATTGTCGTCTGATCGGTTCACTTACGCTCCAATATAGTTCATATACCAGCCAACCATGTAGGCAGTCTCGTTGCTTGGGCGAATGACCAGAATTATGAGGGATGTGATGTTAATCGCCTGTCTAAACATTAATATTCTGCAAGATGACGAGTTCGGAAGTCATTATGAGGGACAGGCTTACAGCATGCAAAAGTAGAAAGGGGAGTCTGGTGCCGAAGAAATCACTGAGACCACTGAAGAGGATCTCAGCGACGAGCTGTATAGCCTGGCCGATAATGGGCAGGTAATTCAACATGGCAACTGAGCTGGAATCCTAGGTTAGCACTTGAAGTTTTTTTGTGATATGCCTGTGTTAGATTACTATTTGTTTGTTCCGTCGGCATTCTTCAGGGATTTGAGCCAGAGGTTAAAATAGCTCGTTGGAGTTGTCCCCGTGCCGATACACCATGCAACTGAGGCCTGATCAGTACAATGTGAACAGAAGTGATCTTTCAACAAACATACTTGAGAACAACCAAAGATGCCAGAACTTCAAGGCGCGGAGGAAGGTTTTAGGCGTGATCCCGACCTGCGGGCTTCGGCCGACTCGTCGAGTACGCGCAAGAGCAGTTTCTTTGAGCAGGTCAGTTCAATGAATCGTGTTCCTCTGCCATGTAAACCAGCTCACCGATATGTCGAGTTTTGAGATAGATCCTAGAAAGCGGGTTCTGCCGCTCCGGCTGTTGACCATGTCAGTGCTTGGTCAGTCTTGAAAAAGCTATGGCTCGTACAAATCCTGGCACTGCTATGTAGGCGAGAAGCGCAACAGTGATCGTGCATATCCCCTGTTTGGATAAGCCGTGTTGGTAACCATAGAATGACATATGTGAAGATCCTCACTTACATTGATCAAAAACGCCCATTGCCATCCACTTCTCCCGAGCGTACCATTCAGATTCGTCGAAAGTGCCCCTTGAAGTGCCCCAGAAAGCATGGCACCAACTGGCTGAGCCATGTTATAAAGACTCATACGCAACGCCATCTCATGCGGAAGATACCATTGACTAGGAGTCTTTGTCTCAGTCGGTGTGTAAGCATTTTGTTAATGCAAGAGCATACCTGATAATAGTAAAGTATCCCGGCCAGGTAGCACCTTCACAAAAGCCTATGAGGAAGCGAAGACCATAGACCTTAGATTGTTAGCCATCGCATGAAAACTTGACAAGGCGGGGAGACTATGAGCTGTTACCTGCTTCGCAGATGTGGCAGTGGACAGGCAGCAGGTGAAAACTCCCCAAAGAACCTGGTCTTGATCAGTGTGCTGCGCAAAACTTTGTCGGAACAATGATTTCTCACTTCACATGTAGGCAGCCAGATCGCTGGACCAATGTGCGATATTATAATACATGAGGGATATAGCATTACCATATAACCAATGCTCCATCAGATCAGCATAATCTAAGCATTGGGAACGAAATACTCACTTAAAGAACGTGGTGAAGTAATTTAGCTCATTTCCATAGAGTTTCAAATCCGTTTGCATACCAGACACATATGCATTGCTCTATTGAAGAATAGACTCAGCTCTGACTCTCGATAGCAACCTCATAAAGACAACTCACGATGTTGGTCTGATCGAGGTACTTGAATGTGTATCCCAGAAATCCCACAACCAGGAATATCGCATCCAGTCGCCGCACCTGAACCTTGCTCAGCACCTAGGTTGACAATGATCAGGAAATCGCCCAAGAGCCTCACCAGAGCTTTCTCGTGACTAGGGTCAATTGAATCGACATCAGTCGGCTCTAGCTCTGTCACTTGATCTAGAACATCCTTGGTATGCTTCTTAGTCTGATTTCGAGAACCCATTTCAGATTATTCTTGGAAAAGCAGCTATCAATCGACACCAATCAACAGAGAGGCATTGAGCAATCGCTTTAATTTCGAATCGAGAGCATAGAGCTTTATAGCGATGACATTGTCGCGATAACCAAGCAAAATCGGCCGCTATCACAAAGATATAGCGGCAATGGCATCAGCGCGGGAAGCGAAGACGTGCTCTAGTGCAAACCCCGCTTGTAGGATCAAGCTTAAAGAGAGATCACTGTGTTGCATCCCATCAAGCCTTCTTGTAAAGGGTAGAACTTTTCTTATCAGTTCCATACTAACTTCTGCATGATCGAAAATCGGCTCGCGGTCATTCCACTCGGACTGCTTGTAACTGACTGCCGGAGACAATAGTCATTAAGAAGGATCCATGATACGACTTGAAACAGGTAGAATGCAAACCGGGTCTGTAAGAAGTGGAGCAATTGGCATCATAATAGTGTGGTAAGAGAGTTATTATGGAGCCAAGAACGTTGAAAAGCGTGGATCTATCCATTTCAAGTAGCTTATGCGACGAGTAAGTGTAGTGACCTTCGGTTATAGTATGATGGTTTCTTTCTAGTCATTCGGAACGGCCCACATCAAACCTTGATAGCATGAATGATTGGCATTGTAAAGAAGACAGAAAAAAAAGCGACATTGAGACTTTTAGAAAAACAGCAATGACTGTGGAAGGGAAATGCTGTGGAAGCATCAGGCGGGGATGAGGGGAAACAACCGCCAGCACGGAAAGAAACTGCTCGTTTGCGCTTCTGCCGCGCTCCCTCAACAACTTCTCTCCTTCCACCACCACTCTACAACCTTGCTGGTCAGCCAGCCCCAAACTATCGGAACTTAGTCTCAGTTTATCTCTCTCGCACTGCGCTGCTTTGCATACCAGGTGTGAATCACTTCGTCCAATTAGGCGCTCATTTCTTGCTTCTTTTCAGAGGGTGCGAATGAGTCTACCAAAGTGCTGATAACGAATTCCCAACTCCAGGAAGAGGCCTCATCCCGAGAGAAACTTCTCAAAAACCTTTCAGTCATGTGCTTTGGTGTTGATTCAGGCATGGTCAATTCGCTTCCGCGCCTCAATGACTCGACAACCTGTAGCACCGTCTGCACCATATGCCATCACAACCTGGCTTGCATGACATTTTCCATCTCGGTTCAAAGTCAACACAAATGACTGATCATCCTGACACTCAATATCGGTGACTTCATCATGGACGAAAGAAATGCTCAACCCCAAGTTCTGAGCCGCAATGAGTGCTTGTTGTGACATATCTTGAGGTATTGGCCATAGATGTCTCGAGACGGGAAGGGCCCACTGCTCAGCTCTTGTCTCCAGCGCGAGAAGTGCTTAGGGTCATTGAAGTATAACCCCATGGTATCGGCCTGCATGTTGATAATGGTGCCCGAACAAAAGGAAGAATAAGCTAACCCAGGGCCGAAACGTTTATCCTTCTCGATGATAGTGATAAGTGGCAAGACCTTACCATGTCTGGCTTTCTCGACCAAGTGCAGCAGCACTGAGATGCCACTCGCACCAGCCCCGACTATGACAATTTTGCCCATATTGGGTTCAGAATGAGTTGACTGCGTGATACCCATGTTGAGTATTGTGAAAGGTGGAGGTATGTTGCTGTGCAGGATTCTAAAAGAGCTCTGAGGAGAATTCTGATAGAAGTATTTATGCTGTCTCAGGTATGCGTATATTTCTCTCAATGCTCTTCGGTTTGCCCTTTCGTGAGCTCCACAGCATAGGACCACACGCTCTCATGATCATACTCAAAACCACCCAAGTTAGTTCGCCAAGCCTCCTCTTGCATCACGAACATTCTTTTCCATTTGCATTTGCCATGGTGGGCCTAATGGCTGCACATCCGTGAGCACTTCGAAGTTCGGAGGATGTATTGTCCTCCGCAACGACAAAAATTGCCAAGGAGATCATCGTGGCCAAGCACCAGATTTTGCAATATCGGGCAAGTGATCAATACTTTGACGGGGGAGAACATTATCAAAATCATGCATCAATCGCATAATGTCCAGTTCTCGAACTATTTTCGACCTCGTATGGTACATACAAAGGCGACACCGCTAAGGAGCAGGGAACACTAGCGCTTATGATAGAGCACGTTAAGATATGAGCAATGCGTTTTACGTTATGCTATTGCTCGTTTTGTCTCGCTATGGTCTCGTAACGTCTGGGCTCGGAAAATCCTGCCAGGAGCAAGATCCTTGTCATCATAACAAGGAACGTGGTCATGAGCGGAGCATTATTTGCCACAAATACGAGATTTAATCGTGACAAACGAGGTCAAACTCATCCGAGACTCATCCTTGAGGAGTGACAGCCTTCCTGATTGGCAAAGGACATATGCAGCAACGACCCATCACAGTCCGTCATGCAGCCTGAAGAGTCTTGACTGTAAGGCCTTGGAGGAGACATCTCTAGCAGGTCTTGTTCTAAGCGTTAAGGTGTCTATTCATCTCGTTCATGAGTACGATGCGCGCGACTATCCTTTCATTGTATCAAGAATCCCAGACGCTCAACAACTCTTGTTCTCAAATACCTCGGGGCAAGTACCCATGCGCGACCTCAACTCAACTTTACAGATGGAAATCCCAGTAACGCACGGATAACCAGCAGCTGCGCAACCGCAACGGTTAAATCTCAAGTTGGTAGATCACCCCGTAAGCGAGCTCTTTACCGAACTGAGCCGACCAAAATAACATCAATTGTGAATCATGAAGACGATCGTCAACGCCACAGGAATCTATCACTCTTTACAATAACATTTGAGAACCGTTCCTTGCACCTCCTGAGTAAGCGCTAGCGAAACTCAATGCAATCTATATTGTTATTCAAGGCAGCAGTATGCAACACGAGACGGCAGAGTTCATGCATTTTGCATCCCATCTCCTTGGCGGGCAGCAGGCGGCCTCTCGGCATGCAGGGTTCATCTGCCTCGGTGTACTATATTTTTAGCACCCAAATCTCGAAGATCTCTATTTTCGGAGTCTCAGCCTGGAGACTTTTGTCGGTCACACGTGCGAATTCAAACAAGTTTCAATGGCAGGTCAGTGCGCCAATTCGTTATCCTCTATGTTTTTGGATCTATGCCTAATATCTCCAAATGAAAATGCTAACTAAATGACCTCGAGCACATTCTGCACCGAGTTTTATAAAGCTCCGAATCCGAGCTTACTTCACCTCATAAAATCCCCCTTACCCGAACAAGACAATGATCTCAGATTTTGACCCCGAGGCGCCATCCAGTCTTCGAGATTCTCGCCCCCAGCAGTACCATTGCACCCAGTAGGATGACCACGCCTGCCCACACCTGGGCTCCGATGTAACCATGAGCCTTAGCAACGAGGGCGCCACCCAACGGAGGTCCGGTCAAACATGCAAAGCTCATAATCGTGAAGCCCATGCCGGTCCTGGTGCCAGCCTTATTGAGGTCAGTGATCAGGCTCGATAGCGTGGCCGGCCAGAGCCCCTGGACCGCATTGGCGCAGAATCCGTACAGCACAGCGAACGTATAAAGTCCCCCCGCGGAGTGCACGGCCGCCCAGCAGAGCATTAGCACGCTAGAGGCCACTGAGAGGGGAATTATGGTGTTCAGCGGGCCCAGATGGAACGAGGCAAAGTACGCGGGGATGAGGCGTCCAAGGCTGGCGGCCCCGTTGAGCACGATGATCAGGTTCGTTGAGTCGGAGTACGTGAGTCCAATCACGCTTCGGCCGAAAGCACCGACGTAGTAGACGGCAAAATACATCCCCCAAAAGTTGAGCCAAATTGCCAGAATGAAGAAGGTATAAATGGGGTCCCGAAAAGCAGCGAGCTCGACAAGGGGACCCGATCTCCGCGGAGGCAGGCGGGTGCGGAACAGCGCAACAGCGGGGAGGGTGGTGGCGAGCATGACCAATCCCAGGACACGCAGGGTCCAGCCGAACCCGAGCACGGGGAGAAGTCCCTTGACCAGTCCGGGGAAGACCATTCCCCCTGTTCCGCTGCCGGCGAGGCAGCAAGCCACTGCAAATACGCGATGTTTATCGAAATAGGTGGCTACTAGACCCATTGCGGGGCAGAACTGGAGGCCGCTGCCTAGTCCCGTGCACAATCCCTGGGCAAGAAAGAGCTGCCAGTATTGGGTGGAGAGAGAGGTCATGAAGACCCCTACGATTTGCAAAAATGCGCCGGCACAGAAGACATGACGGAAGTAGCCCGCGTCCAGCGCTCGTCCGGAAAAGGCGCCCACGAAGAAGACCAGAAACATCTGAATCGAGCCGACCCACGAGATTGCCGACTCGGACACCCCGAGGTGAGTTTGGTAGTAGGACTGAAAGACCCCGTAGCTGGCAAGGTAGCCCCAGGTGTTGAAGCAGACGAGGTGGCCCATGGCAGATTGAGTCCATGCCTTGGCTCCGCCATCTGGGGGTGGTTTCACGACTGAATCCGTCGTCGACGTCGAGATATTATCGTCAATAGTTTTGGCCATGGTGGATGACGGCTGGCGCAGGGCAATGAGGGATGAGAATAGAATATTCAGGTGAGAAAATAGCCCAGGAACTTCAATGCGCTATTCCTCTTCATATGTAGCAAGAATTAGCAAACCCCGATGGTCAAAGTTTGAAGTATAAGACTTATCGTACAGTAGTTCTGAGAAGATAGCGGTCTCGGCCGAGTCATTCATTTATTTGCCCTAGACACTTGTCGTAGGATTTAACTACGATAAGTGAATGGCACCCACTGATCATCCTTTAGATAAGTCGTATCTGAGTTTAACAGTAGTACTCTCCGATTTTCTTTTCTTTTCTTTTTTTTTTTTTTTTGCACATGCTTGGAGCGAGAACATGTTAGTCACTGCTGGCCAAGCATGCAGCTGACAGAAATGCAATGCGGCCGCGGGAAACACCTCATTGCCAGACCCTGTCTTGACTGACTTTGCCAGCGTGCATGCACCGGGACCTCCGTCGACTTCTTTATGCAAGTAAAGCCTTCTCATCTCGACGGAATGTGATGGTGCAATAATGTTACCCTTATTGGTAGCCTTCCTATTACGGTTATCAGAATTCGGAACAGCAAAGGGCTTGAGCAATTGGGAATTTCAACATTGACAGGGGTGTATTTGGGTTTTCTGCGCCGTAGGATGGACCAGGGTCTTTTCCTCGGAGTTACCCTGACTCAATCTCGGTCTGATGATCCCCTGGCAGTGGTGAGAGTTGACTCGCGAGCACAGTGCGAGTGCTTAGTCGCTTGTTGAGGAAGAGGTCTTTCATATTCTGGGTTTATTTAGTGTGCTAGTCTCTGGCGGCGTAGAGATAATCAGACGGAATATCTCTAGAGACGGAGTCGATGCGTACAGGACACAAAAGCTGGCAGGTAGAAATGGAAAAAAGGCAAGTACATGTCCACGTGATCTCTGGTTGAGTATCTCTCTCCCCAGTCCCATTGTGGATGCCCACAACTTTGCTTGTTCCAGCAATTTCATCGCATCGTCGATCTAGACTGACTTGAGATCCACTAGTACCTTCTTTCTTCTCTCCACAATCCCCAACTTGGTCCACATCACGCATCCCATCGCTTGACTACAACACCATGCTGACATCCGAATAGTAAGCTGTGTAGTGTTAGCAACCTTGTTGAAGCTTTTTCAGTATGGCAGCGCGACAGCATTAAGGGGCTCACATCTCGCGGCGGGCTCAGTCTTCTCAGCCTCTAGGAGCTCAAAATACTTTCGTCTGATGAGTCCTTCGAAGAACTCTCTTGCCAGATGTGGATGAAATTGTGGAATTATCGGGATGGTAAGTCAAGCACAACAGTCGGACCCAATTGCCTACAGGCATACTGATAATAATTTTCTTCTCAGTAGGCACGTCCCCGTGCTATAAAGACCCTTTTTCAGCAGCTCTACAGTCTGCCTCGATAATAGCCACAGTCGAAGTATTTCCGGCTGTCAAATGATCGTTGTGTGATAGGACTCATATCTGGCCTAAATGACAACGCATAAACCTGTCAGACCGCTTGTCACTGTTGCTTAGAGTGTCCGGTCAGTTCCAGTTGGTTATCTGGGAGAATCTATTATGTTTCTGGGGATATCTTAGCGACCCCCACGCCCTACAGAAAATGAGTCAAATGAGGGGTAAGCTAACCACGCTTTGCGAGCAACCATAGCTTAACTTTAATTCGAGGGCATACAGTGGAGATTTTCGGCCTACCCGCAGCATCCGCATCTTCCACCTCGTGGCTCTTCGGAGTGACTTCGCCGATAACTTCCCGACGGTACCCTTTATCCGAAGCCAAGAACCCTAGCTTTATATACCACGTCGTTCCACGTTACATGTCGGAGTTTTGCAATCATCACTTCCAAAAACTTCGAATATGTCTCGCAAGGTCACAGTCGCTGTCGCTCAGGCGAGCACGCAGTCAACACTAGCTGCTACTTTGGATGCTTTGCACCGAGTGACTCGCCACGCAGCGGCCCGCGGCGTCCACTTGATTCTGTTTCCGGAAGCTTACTTGGGTGGTTACCCGCGGACATGCGATTTTCGCACAGCAGTCGGTTTCCGCTTGCCTCACGGTCGCGATCAATTCCTAGAGTATTTCAACTCTGCCGTTGACCTCGGTGATACCCCGGCTGGCGCAGGCGATGACTGGGTCAATCGGAAACTACCTCTGCCGCGGAATAAGGATTACCGCGGTGATGGTACTCGTGAGACCCTGGAGAGAATTTCCAGGGAAACGGGTGTCTTCATTGCATGCGGTGTGATTGAGAAAGCGGGTGGCAGTCTGTATTGCTCCGCAGTCTACGTTGATCCCCGCGATGGCATGCTCGGGAAAAGAAGAAAGGTCATGCCGGTGAGTACCTATCACAGCCAGGCTACTCATAGGGAAATAGAGGCTGATTTGCTCCAGACGGCTTCTGAGCGTCTCATCTGGGCTCAGGGCTCGCCTTCCACCCTCAAGGCCGTCACGACTGAGCTCAACGGCGTTAAGCTGACCATTGGTGCCGCTATTTGCTGGGAGAGCTTCATGCCCATGCTTCGTCAGAGTCTCTATGCCCAGGGCGTCAACATTTACTTGGCTCCTACAGCTGACAGCCGTGATACCTGGCTTCCTCTGGTCCGGACCATTGCTGGTGAAGGCCGCACATTTGTTCTCACGGCTAATCAATGCGTGCGGCGACGTGAACTCCCCGGCTGGATCACTAAAGCCGGTTCCAAGGATGCAGTAGAGAATGGTGATGAATATATCTCGCGCGGTGGCTCGTGTATTATCGGTCCACTGGGAGAGGTTGTGCGCGAGCCGATCTGGGAGGTGTGCACTGACGATGCCGCAAGCTCTGAAGACTTGAATGATCCTGCTTTGGAGGCCGCAGTGTCTATCTCGGAGATTGACTTGGATGATTGTGACCGAGGAAAGTTGGATCTTGATGTGACGGGGCACTATTCGCGAAACGACGCCTTCAAGTTGACTGTGGAGGGCTTGGACTTGAACCCACCTCCTTTGTGATTGACTATTCCCTGCCCAACACAAATGGAGTGCTGGAGGAGTGAAAATGTTATGTACATATATATATATCCATCATATTGCTCGTTTCATTGTTACTATTTCATTGGGTTTTCCGACATCGGGATACCCCGCAGCCCCGCGATAGCGGAAGATATGCCTGAGGCACAAGGGTTGGCGTGAGTCAGTGCTTCCCGCAAGAGGTTTAGCGCAGGGCAAGACTCTAGGATCCGGCCGCCGATGGAACGCCGAATAACATCGCATCGAATGCCCTATCGAAAATCATGGAATGAGATCTGCAGATTGAATCCCACAATGAATTCGGACAATGAATGTATCAGATAGTGCTGATGATCACACCGAGGAGGGCAGGGGAGGAATTACGAAGCCAAGGCCGGCACTCCTAGCGTGCAGACGCTGTCGTGCTCGCAAGCAGAAAGTATGCATCTCGACTTAGTGCTAGACGGCCCAGCTACTAACACAGACTAGTGCAGTCATCCGCGACCATGCAGTAATTGTGTCCAAGCACATGCCGGTCAGACCGCTCGAAACCCGAGTAAATCCTCTAGCTCTAATCAATGAGATCCAATAGCATGTGTTGCGAGCCAAAAACCGTCTAGGGAAAGTCGAGTCAATCCGGAGTAAGCAAAGGTCCAGGCTCTTACCAAACGATCGACCGACTGAGTCATCCAGATATGCGCGAGCTCTCGAAGAGCGCATACTCGAGCTTGAAGCCGAGCGAGAAGCCGGACGCGGCGCTAGCACTTCCGGGGGAGCTCCTCCATTCCAATCATCTGCAAATGTTGTAGGAAGAGCTGCTATCTTTGATAGACTTCGACTCCATTTGCAGAAAGATACGCCTGCAGAACACTCACCAGCTGCGGTTAACATACTACAGGCTGAAAGCATCCGATCACCAAACACCTCGTCACTACCTATCCCCACGCCACCTACACAGGCCTCTCCCCCGGAGCAACCAGCAACGCGAGCAGAGTACGATGAGACTGGGATCTCGTCAGACAAGCAAAATGACCTTATCCGGATCTTCTTGGAGCGTGTCAATCCTCGATACCCGTTCCTTCATGAGGAGACGTTCGTCAACTGGTATGCGGCATGGCGATGCTCGAAACAATCGAACCAGTCACTACCGGCTGAAGAAAGATGGAAAGAGTTCTTTGTGAAAATGGTTGGTCGGCTGGCACTTATGTACTAGACTATAGATTGACCCCGTCCAATAGGCCTTTGCGGTCAGCCTGTTGATAGCTCCGCAAGTATCACCAGAGGACATGAAAACCTCGCAGGTATGTCAGCATTATGCCACCGAAATTCATTGCTAAACCAAAGTAGGTCCTATATACATTAGCGATGCCATTGCTCGGGACTGTTTTTTTGTGCCTTGATCCAGTTCTGCATGTGCAAGCCTACCTTCTTTGCACGTTGCATGCTCTTCATTCTCCTTCATCGCAGACGGTCCTTACAATGATATCCGCTGCAATGCGATGTTGCGTAATCGCCCAGTTGCACCTGGCTGCGCCGACGAGCAGTATTCAGGATGCGTCAGCGTTGCTCGATTTACAAATACGGCGTCGGGTCTTTTGGTCTGCCTACGCTATTGATCGTCTGCTTAGCTGGATATACCATGTCCCATGCAGCCTGGTTGACGAGAATATTCAAGTCGAGGTACGTTGTTTCCTTTCCTTCTGTCCCACAATGAGACTGACGACAGTAAGCCTTTCGCGAACCTGAATGACGACGAAATAAAAGCATTGGCATCAAGAAGCAACCAACCGAATGAGGCCGAGTCGACTCCCCGTATAACGCAAGTCTCCTCTGCATTGCATCTGCTTCGAGGCAGAAGGATTCAATCACGTATTCTCAGTACCATGATGCGCACGGATTACGAACACCGCTTTGCAGCAGACCACAATTGGCGTCTTCACATGCTGGAGGCGTTGGATCAATGGAAGATGCAGCTGCAACCTCACAGCGACCCGGCTTCCGAGGGATACACGAGCGAAGGCTGGGTGGGGATGCTTTATAATTACACCATTCTTATCGTCTACCGACCCACAAAGGAGAATCTGAGTCGGTTCGTTGGTGAGCGCTGCATCAGGGCGTGCTCCAACATCTTGCACACATTTTGGATGTACCTTAAGAGACGCCAAACAGCGCAACTTTGGCCCGGTGTGAGTCTCCCTGGGCCATGTTGAAGTACTTGAAGTCTGACCATTCATGTCGCAGCTCTTGAGTCAATTCGGAACCGGCATTATTTTGTTGTATTGCCTCTGGGCAACACCACCCGCAGAAAGGTCCGCATTGTACCAGTCTCCGGAGGTCGCCAAAGCGATCAGAACTTGCACCATCATCCTAGCAGTTCTCTCCGAACGTTGGGCACAAGCCGAGATACTACGAGACGTGTTCGACCTTCTAGCAGACTCAGTCCCCGCACACGGTTCTTGCGTAGATGGAGATGGACTATCGGCGCAGGCAAAGGAGACTATTCAGGCTCAGTTGCCGATGCTGCATGCTATCGTCGTGAACAAAGACATACTACGAATGATGACGGAGATGGTCACTGAGGACCGCCCTTGGACAGGTCATGGTGAGGTAACGAACGTCTACCGATGGTCCGATGAAGACAAGCACGATGCCAATGGCTGTACGGTGTGCTGGGAGGGCAGATCTATGGGAGAGTTGGAAAGCTATCCTCAAGAGGATCTGCTGTTGGGTTTGTGGCCTTTGTACGATGATACTGGTGAGGTGGCTTCACCTGGGGAGTACCCATACTTTCCTGGACTATTAGGATCTATGTAGTTAGTCTAAGCGTGATTCATATGCTGGGTCAAATGAATTTTGCAAGGAAGTTTGAATGTGGTGTGCATAGCCTGAAGCTGTAGCTAGCCTCCTATAACAGAGTACCAGAGCTCTTTCATACCTGCTGCTTTGTGCTTGAGCGAGTATGGTTATATCTTGATGACCTCATAGTCAGGAATGATCGTGAGTGAGTGTTACAAAGCTCCCTCGAGAACCGTGTTCCTACCTATGCACACCAGGCAGTGCATCGATGGTATCCTAGGCGCCAGCACCATCTATCTCTCCACAAATCTTTTCGTCATGTTCATCGATGCACCCATCATCATACACACAACCACCCTGATCGTTCATCCAATAACCATACACAAACACAACCACAACCAAATATCCTCCTCATCAAGAAAATATTTCCAAATTAATCAACCAACCCTCGACCCTCTGGGAGGGCAACCCCCAAAGAAAAAAAAAATGGCCTTCCTAGCCCCCGCCCCCGAAATCCACCACCACCTCCTCACCACCTCCCGCGACCCCAAACGCATCATAATCCGCATCAACGCCAAGCGCCTCGACCGCCACAACCTTCTCTCGTCCGCCGGCGCGATTGTCAAGGAGCTCTTCCCGGACTGCGACACCAACCCGCGCATCTGGTTCTTCCACGTGGAGCTGCGCCTGGGCCGCGCCTTCCTGGTGGTGGATTTCAATCACCGCCGCGGCTACGACCCGCTGACTCACACCCTGGATGAGACGCCCATCCCCGTGTATATGCTGACGATGTATCGACGGCAGTGGGCGTTGGTGCGCTGGCGACAGCTGGATGAGTGTGTGGCGGGCCATTTGCTGCGGATGCATCTGGGAGGGGGGAGTTCGAGTGCCTCTGCCGGGGTGTTTCCGGTGCTGGTGGATTTGAGGGTTGTGAGAAGTTTGTTTGGGTAGGGATGTATGAGTTTGATGCTGGGTCTTTGTGTGAGTGGTGCTTATTACCCGATAAGCATGTCATTTTGATGTCTTTTTCTGTCCGGGTTTATCTCTAGACCCTGGCTGTGCCGTGTTGTCTTCAGGCGTGGCGTTGCATACTGGGAGTTTGGGGTGGGGAATTGATGGGGGATCTCTACTGGGTTGCAATGCCTGGGGAGGAGATGACTTTGCGTTTGCTACTACGTTTTGTTCCTTCCCTTGGCGGGATGGGTGTTTTTGCTAATTAAACTACTGGTCATCTAAGAATAGATGTCACTAGGCTAACTTGTGGGAAATGATAAGTTAGTGCTATTGCCGTTCAGTTCGCCTGATCTCTGGCTGGTTTTGTGAATTTACTTATGATTTAAACCTCGAAACTAAAACAACCTCCTCCTTGTTGTGGACCTGAAGCTATTTGCGCGGAAAAGCACCATGGCGGATTCTATGTGCACTCTTACAGCAAAGAACGAATACACATCAGATTTGATGACTTGCTTGGACATGTGCTCGTGGAGGATACTACCGGGGTGACATAGTTATGGCTAGTCATGCCTAATTGTTATGTGAGGTTGTTTTCCCTCTGTCTGCATAAACATATACACGTTTGCTAGCAGTTCAAGTGGTATCAGCCAGTCCCATCACTCTAGATATACCCCTATCTTCAAGTCCTCTTCGAATAAGCAGTCAAAACTGGATTCATATCATTCGCATGCTCCATGATCTTCCGAGTTCTGATGCTCGCTCCTGCCTCCGACTCCCGGCCGACAGACCCACTCAAAACCCCCTAAGCCAAATCCGGCAATGTAGGCGATTCCACCAATCATACCCCCCCATCCGCATCTCAACCGATCCCCGACGATGAACTCGACGGTTCCATACGAAGAAACTCTTTCTCTGCAGAAACTGATATAAACTAGTTGCTCACCCTCTTGCATTCAACTCATCAGACATTTCTCAACGCACTCTCCACTCGATCAAGAAAACACATTCACATTCAATTCAGTAGCCATGGTGAAAATCGCCGAATTCAGCGTCGAGAATGTCCGTCTCCCCTTCTCATACACCACAGGAGTCTGTAACTAACGACATAACGACATAGTGGATGGACGCCTACGAGAACGACGCGCAGCACAACCTCGCAGAGACCTGTTGCGCCTCGATCTCGTTGGACGATCTCGCTCGGCTGTCCGGCTCGTCCCAGCCCCTCATCAATCTCTCCCGCAAGCAGACGTACGGTGCCATCCGTGGCTCGACCGGGCTGCGCGAGAACATAACCAAGCTTTACCGGACCCAGGCGAAGCAGCAGCTGGCCCTCACGGCAGACCAAGTCCTCGTGACGAACGGGGCCATCCACGCCAACTTCTTGGCCCTGTACACGACCGTCGGCCCCGGGGATCATGTCGTCTGTCACTATCCGACCTACCAGCAGTTGTACTCTGTGCCGGAGTCACTGGGCGCTGAGGTGAGTCTGTGGCGATCGTCTGCGGAAAAGGGGTGGGCGTTGGATTTGCAGGAGCTGAGGGGGTTGATTCGGGCGAATACGAAGGTGATTATTCTTAAGTGAGTTAGCCCCGCTCGGCAAATCCCTTGGACTGATATGAGGGAGCTGCTGACGGCAATCAAGCAACCCTCAAAATCCCACAGGCGCCGTCCTTCACCGCGAGTTCCTTGGCGGTGTTGTCGAGATTGCCCGAGAACATAATCTCATCGTTCACTGCGATGAGGTCTATCGCCCGCTATTCCACTCCTTAGCCGAGGAGGAGAGACCGCCCTCAATTCTAGAGTTCGATTATGAGAATGTGGTCTCCACGGGGTCGATGAGCAAGGCTTTCAGTCTCGCGGGCTTGCGTGTCGGGTGGATTGCGTCCCGAAGCCAGCAAATCATCGAGGCGTGTGCCTCGTCTCGTCATTATACGCTTATCTCCGTGAGTTCCGTTGACGATGAGCTTGCGACGCGGGCGTTGAGTTCTCCATGTGTGGAAAACCTCCTGGCAAGGAATTTGAAACTTGCGAGGACGAACCTGGATGTGCTTGGGGCGTTTCTGGAGGAGCTCAGCTGGGCGGTGCAGTGGGTGAGGCCGCAGGCGGGCACGACGGCGTTTGTCAGGTTTGTGAATCGCGAGGGAAGACCGGTTGACGACGTCTTGCTTTGCCAGCGGTTGATGGAGAAGACGGGCGTTATGTTGGTTCCGGGGGGTAGATGTTTTGGGGACAGCGTCGATTTCAAGGGGTTTGTACGTGTCGGATATGTACCTGAGCGAGAAGTGTTGGACCGTGGGCTGGAGGCTTTCAGGGGATTCATGCGGGAGGAGTATGAGCTGTTGCCTGTTGTCTGAGCTCCTTGTCCAGCATCAAATGGACAGATGTGTCTTGGTGTATGTAAAGATTATAATGTTCATGACTCAAAGACGTCCTCCTACCGGAACCTATGATGTCTAGATTTGAGCATCTTCATGTGGCCATATCGTTCGGACAATCGAGTTTGCCGTCAAGCCCAGGGGATGAGACAGCAACATCCCACAAATCCCGGTCTTGAATGCCTGTCAATGGACAAACAATCCACTAGAAAAGGACTAGCTCCAACCCAAGCTGTGCAAAAAATGCATCCCATGGCAGACTAGTTCCCGATGCCCAGAAGACGTTCAACAACTCGCGAGCTCTAGTGAAGTTGCCCATCCCCAGACTCTGCATGTTAACCATTCTGGCTTGAATGATGCCACGCTCACTGGGAAGTGCAGTCTCACAGCCCGCACTAAAGATAGGCCAGAGAATGAGTATATTTGCCGCCGAGAATGGCCGAATGCGCTGCACGGCATGTATAATGCCTGCGACAGCAGCTCTAACCTTGGGGTGACCCAACGAGAGCTTATGGACACGACGGTGGAGGTGCAGTAGAGCGGAGTAAACAAAGGCGCGATGTGTATGTTGTAACTCGGAGGCAAGTTCTGCTTTGCTCTTTCTGGTCATGTCGGAGACCGCGCTGTCAAGCAGTCGGACAAGTTCGTTCTCGAGGGGGTGCGATTGGTGCAAGATCATTGCATCCTGCGAGACTTCGTCTGTGGAACATGACTCCACCACACATGCAGTCATACCTTGTTGGTGAATGAGGTGGGATAAATGCCTGAGGCAAGGGACTAGTTCCAACGAATAACCGCAGACATCGTCGATGTAGGCAGGGCTTTGACTGAAGAACTCCTTGAGTGGCTCGTTTACGGCCTCGAAGATAAACTCTGTATGGCTCTGCCCCGATAAGCTCGCTATGAGATCAAGGGTAGTGAACCATTTAATTAAGGACTGAATGTACGGATCCTGGAACCAGCAGGGCTTGTCCTGCGCCAAGAAAGCATTTAAGAGCTGTCTGACTCCGCTAAGGTGAGTCCTCCAGATGTGCATATTGCCATTGCACACGTCGTTCGTGCATAATGCCAGTGCTGTAGCCACTGTCTCAGGAGGCAGTCTCCGCGCCGAGCCATTGATCGTCGAGCGCAGGTTAGACATTGCAAGATTGGTGAATTTGAGACACGCTAGCTGGGACGACGAGCCCGCATCCTGCACAAGCCGACCGTGATGGCTGCATGCTGCTGCTAGTAGCGAGTACAAAAGATGGGGTGTTTCCAGGGATGCACTGATCATTCGCTGTAGGAACCAGTCGGGCGCTGCAGGGAAAAGCCTGGGTGCTGTCTCGGTAGCGAAGACGTGCAGGAAGAGTCTAGATTCTTCGGTTGACAGCACTGGCGAGAGATTCAGTAGAGGCTGGTTGGCTATCGCCTCCAAGCTCTTGATGACAATCGATCGGTTCTGCATCACAATCGCGACTTCTGAGGGAGATGCATGGCGCTGCTGTCTGCTTGGACGAGATCTTGAAATCTGGTCCACAACACTCAGATTGTATACGCAGCCCTTGGGGTATCTTTGACACCGAGTGCAGGTAGGCTTTAGCAAATCGCACTACAGATGTACATTAGTTGAGAGGCGTGAATTCGAACCGATAGATGTGATTACTTTAACTTTTTTCCGCCTGCACTCTGTGCACCCGTCTCGCCGCCGTTGAGATGCTTGCATGCTGGCATGATGCGGGAGCGGCTCACATCATAGTCATATGGTCATAGTCTGCTTCATGAGGCAGCGCAGATCAGAGATGTCTCTAACGTCGCGATGGTCATTAGATCAACCTAGTACTAGCTCATCTTTGCCGTCGTGAACAAGAGCAAAGGAGCAAGGGATGACAAATCACGGCGGATGAAAAGACCCTCAGACCTGCTGCTCTAACCATTTCTGGACACTTAACCGATTGCCAATTCTTTAATAACTGCAACTTGATCGAAGCTGGCACAAATCAAGGTATTAGAGCTCTAGCAGTACGTAGAGAGTAAGAGGTATCATTCTTTATATTATTGACCATACAAGACCGTATGCTATCTAAAACCATGACTCCGATGATTTTCCAATACGCCGATGCTCCCTGGTCCAAACAAGTGATGAGATACATATACAATCATAATAGATACCAACTATTGCCATCAACAATCACCATGCACCAGCATCAAAATCAAATCGAGCCAGCTCTTTCTGAGAGTCCTCAACGTCCTTCTTCGCCTTCATACGCATATAGAAAATGGGACAATCGCGAGACGAGCAGATAACCTCACAGTGCAAACTGCCTTGGCATCGCTGACACTGCGTCCACAGACGCCCAAACCGGACCTCCAAGTCCGAGACCTTGTTCAGAGATCTGGTGTAGAGTTCACCAAGGCGAGGCCGACAGTACTCACACACAGCGCCTGCCATCTCTTCTTTCCCTGAAAGGGGCTTCTTGCAGCCCAAGCAGGTTTGCGTCTTCTTTGCAAACTTCATCAGCCCTCCCATTGTCGGTGCTGCGACAGAGATAGACCGAGTGTGCTCGCCAGTCAGAAGCTGGCTAGCCTTCTTCTCGCCAAGAATCGGTTCGAAGATACGTCCGAGGGGATTGGCAAGCTGGTTGTCCAGGTAGTACTTGGTGTCAATGGGAATGTTGTTCTCCAAAACATAGATAGGATCCTCAGAACGCTCATAGTTCTTCGAGCCACCGGCACCCTTCACAATGACGTAGGCGACACGATCTCCAAGAGTGGGCGCTGAACCTGCATCACGCTTCCTCATCCGCTCGGCAAGCTCCACGTGCGCCTGCTTTGCTGTATATGCATCTTTGGAAAGGGCTTTCGTAATCACTAGCTTGGACATATCGATCTTGTTTTGCAGGAGATCCGAAATAGTGTCCTTGACATAACTGCAGATAAATTAGTTAAAAGTTCGCTTAAAGCAGCAATAGGATTCTTACTCCTGGGCACCATCGATATCCCGATCAATGAGGATCTTATGCAAAACCGTCTCGATGACATTCTGCACCAACAAGCAATTGTCACGGCGAACTGTCTCGATACCTTTGGTGTCCATTTTGTCATACTTCTTAGGGTTCGTCCAGTACAAACCGGCATATCTCTTCTTATTGATGAGGAGATACGGGAAGTAGACCTTCTCGAACTCAAGCTTGATGGGCTTAAGGAATTTCGAAGAGACATACTCAGATGCCTCTTGTCCAAGCTTCATTGCCTCCTCTAGCGAGTCCACGCCAAACTTGACCATAACAGAGTCAGTGTCTCCGTAAATGACCTTGGCGTCATGCGAATATCCATTGGCGATGGTATATCTAGCTTCGACCTCCTGTTTCGTTTTTTCGATCATTTGACGACCATAACTGGTTGTACTACTAGCGATAGGCAAGCATGGCAGCTTTCCGACAGTGGCACCTGTGAGACCGTAGACACTGTTGGCACTGATCTTCAGAGCAAGCTGTCTTCCGTTCAAGACGGCCTTCTTGAACGGGTCGGTTTCCACGGCAAGTTCTTTCTTTGCCCGCTTTCTGGCTGTCAATAATTCCTCAAGAATCTGTGACAGAAGACCCTTGCGGACGTTGGCTGTACAAAACATATCGCCGTTTGGTGTCACGATGTAGTCCTCATCCTTCTTGAGCTTGAGTCGCTCTACACTGCTCTTGTTCAGCAGTGTCGTGTAGCACAGGTTATGTGCTTGAATGATAGAAGGATACAGCGATGCGAAATCGAGCGTTGCAATGGGCACGCCATAATAGCCCCTGACGGGCTCGATGACAGTGGCACCTTCATAATCCTGCTCATCCGTGGACTTCATATTGGGAATAACAAGTTGTTGTTCCAGTGCTTTTCGGAACAGTTGGCTGATGAACTTGACCTGTTGACCTCTGGACAACAAGAAATTGAAAGGAACACCCGTGACTCTTGCCATCTCAGTATAGTTAACCAAGCACATAAGCTTGTCCATCAGTCTCTGCGGCAAATATGCATCCTTCAAACAGTAGACAGCCAATCTTCGCCTGGAGTCTGGCGTGCCGTTATAGAGCTCAGTGATCATCGTGTGATGCACGTCTTCCTTCTGTTCTCCCAAGAATTCGTAGGACACGGAGTTAAGCGTGTAACTCCGCAGATGATGATCTCTTTGTACCAACTGAAGCAAATCCAATTGAATCCGGCCATTGGTGTTGGTAGACTTGGTGTCACGGTTGCCCATCTGCTTGCTGGAAAAGTTCGTGTCCTTGGCCTGGGACATTACCCCATTCAGTCGTGTCCAGTAAGGGAATCCGGTGCACTTCAAATGCTTGGCGCGATCCAAAAGATACGGGAAATCGAAGTTGGCAATATTGTATCCAATAATGACGTCCGGGTCTACCTTCTCCACAAAATCGCGCCAGGCCATGAGCATTTTGGATTCATCCTGGAACTCTAGAACCTGGGTGTTAACAATGAGGCTGCAGGTGTCCAGGACGAAGACATTGCGAATGAAAGGCTTCGACTCTCCGTAACGCGTAACGACATTGGCAATCTGGATGACGGGGTCGTGATTCGGTTCTGGAAAGATTCCCTTGCGACCAGCGCATTCGATATCGAAGGAAAGGATGCGAAGCGGTGCCATCTTAGCCCATTCTCCGGTGGGGTGATGCGATATTAGATCTCGATAATCTATGCTCGCTTCAATCTGGCAATTCGATATCTTCTCACGAGGACCGAATAGTCGGTACTTGCCGGCCGTTGCCTCAACCCACGACATGCCCGAGATGTCTACATCAATCATGAATCGCAGAAGGTATTGAATGTTGTCGAATGTGAGAAATCCACCCTCTGCGTTGTTCCAAAGCCCCTTGTAGTTGAGACTCTGCGCACCTCCGCTCTCCAAGGCACTCCGCAATCTGCTGATGTGCTTCGGTTCCGTCACTGTGATCTTGAGATAGTAACTCTTTTGATTGCCCTGAAAGCCATAGATATTCTCTCTCATCGTTATCTGTACCGACTGAATTGTAGGTTGAAATTGTCCGATCCGACTTTCAAGGAATGCTCGGTAGGGCTCGCAATCGTCTTTCGTGAAGTTCACAGGGGCGGCGATGTAAAGGTAGTGTTGGAATCCGGTGACATGAAGCAGAACGGACTGGCCAGCCTATTGATCGCTATGAGCAAGTGGTGAAGGGACAATACAGCTGCGCGACTTACTTCGGTGACACCAAATAGTCGAACCGCGGTCTTCCCGCCATGAACTGCGCCCTCCTCCGCATCAATCTGTTGGAAACAAATGTTGTCCTTTGAAGCATCAAACTCGCCGAGCGGCGGACGCTCCCATTGTTGATCTTTTTCTGAATTATTCTGCTTCAACCCATTCATGTCCTGGGTCAACTTCTCGAGAACCTCCTCCTCGAACTGGCTTTTTTGCGGCTGACTCGACCCAGGGACCTTCCGTTGACCCTGCGTGCCCTGCATGTTCTTGAAAGTAGACCCATTCTCGATTTTGCGTTTCTTCAGCGCAGTCGGCGACTTCGGACCGCTGCTGCGAGGGTTGTTCGTTGCCTCGCCCAGAACCCGCTTCTGGGGCATGGTAACGGCTTCAGGCATTTTGTCTGCTCATATATAACAAGAGCTGCAAATCTCTATTAAAAGCCGTGACAGCCGTGAGAAGCGCGAGGTAGGACTGTGATGTGGTTGTTTGGGAGATGTGGGCCGGCAGTGCTGGTGTCGCGGGAAACTGCTCTCCAATTAATGCGCACGTTCGTGTCCCGTTCGCGCCGTGACGTGACGCCCACTACGCGTTGAGTGAATGTGTCACGTGATAATATAGCTACCCGGCAAAGGACGATCAGCTTCGCATCACCTCCGGCTCCGCGGCGCTTCTGGTGCTACCCATGCCGCACTACGCTATACGACAGTCATTTGATACGTGGCTGCTAAGACTCAGCTTCTCCAGACTTCGACCACCAAAAAAAGTATCATATGAGACTCTGTCGTAACTGCTGATTACTTTACGAATGGCGTCATTAACTCATTTTGTGCGGTCAATGGCAGATCGAGTTGAACCCCCCATGGATTGATACTAGCCCCAGTGGGAAGACAGCCATTTCTACCTCTCACTATGAAACTGAATCACTGGTCTCTCCCTCAAGCTGGACAGTCTATAGCTTCGAGTAGATTGACGGAAAGGATCGTTCAAGGAAAACCTTCATGCACATTTCATCCAAAATGGTTGCGAGGATCCTCCCTCTCCAATACAGCACTTCCTTTGATCCCCATGCCTCCGTCATCCTCACTGCGCGTTTCCCGGCTGGTATACACTCAATTCGAGGCCATTGTTAAATGGGAGCGTTAGACTCCTAAAACCACTCTCCGGAGCACGCATATAATCAAGGAGCTCCTTACAGTGTTCCGCAGCACTAATCGTGTTGTCGGTAATGATCACAGCCCCAGGTCTCAGTGCCGGCTGCACCAGTTTCAAGACCGGGAGCAGCAGTGGGCCCCAGACTGTCATTGTCAGCATACGACGCTCTGTATCTGAGATCAACCTCTCACCACTTACTATCCAGCAAGAGCATGTCCACCGTTCCAAGTTCATGCTTCAAAGTCGCCTTGACATCTCCCTCACGCAGCTCGATGAGGTTGTGTACCGAGCTTCCACAAGCATTCCAATGCTCTCGGGCCTTTCTTGCTTTCGCGGGCTCATGCTCCGTCGCAATGACTTTGCCAGGGCCACCCGTGGCCTCCACATTGGCTGCAACGGCCAGGGCAAGGTAGATGGTGCTCACGCCGTAGGATGTGCCGGTCTCGACAATGGTTTTGGCGCCGGTTGCAAGGCCCATTTGGTAGAGAAAATAGGCTTTGTCTTGTTCGATGGCAATGAACTTGTCTCGCATCTTCTCGTCGACCGTCCCGGGCTCGAAGTCATCCCAAGTCAGGTGGGCTTCCTGTGCTGCTGATTGATTGTGCAGCTTGGACAGCAGCGACAGGATGTGCGGGCAGACATGCTTGAGTGGGTGGTTGCTTGCTTGGGAGGCCATGGTTTGTACTGGAAGTGTCTAATGCCCCTCACATCGAGGGTGACGAGAATCTATTTATGCCTGCCTGATGCTCGTAGCCCTTTTTTTTATACGGATAGTCTGTTGCGTTTACTGACCTTCCGCAAGCACGACACAACATCTGCAACAACCCGAACTTATGAGTCATAGTGTTGGCCAATTGTTGCCAAACAATCGATCTGTGTTATATACAAGCTGCTGCATCAACGAAAAAGGTAACTCCGATGTGAACTTACCCGAAGAGTAGTGTATACTGAGGGTAAGGGCGGAGGCACGCCTTGTCAGTCTTCATCCGCCGGTTACAAACCGCTCTAGGAGACTCATTCCTTCAAGACGGGCCGCGGGCTAATTGTTCTGATCCCAGAATGGGTTAAACTGGTGTAATTGATGTATAGCCAAGAAGTGGGATACAGGCTGCCGAACAGCTATTGGACGCCCTTTGGGATTTTCACGCCATCGCGCGGTTGGCGGATTCAAGCGGAGCGGCCTGGTATTCCCAGCCTGTACCAACTTACATGTACTTGCTCGTCGGGTAGTAAAACCATAAGGATATGATGCTAGACATATTTGTTTATTTAACATCATGGATGCACCATGTTTTTGCCGGATGAGAAAGCATACCTTGCTCCAAATCGCGCTATCGAAGTACAAATCTAATAACCAATGTTGGCAATGCAAACAGGGCACCTGCGAATCTCGAAGTCAATTAGCACCTCCTGCTGCCAGGCTACAACCTGGCAGACCAATATTGACCGACCTTCCAAGATATCTTTTGAACTTCGTGACATATTATGCCTTCATGTAATAGGTACCTTAAGTCATTCTGAGGAGAGATCAACGAGTTAGGGAACAGCGATAAGTATGACCATTGCAACCAAGGATACTATTGTTCCCCGCTCGTCCTTCGGTACAGTACATATCAACTCAATCGCGCCTTTCAACCACCCGGTGCGTTTAGGTGCGGGGTGCTCTGTACCCGGACCGTGTGGGTGCTGCGTGGGGTTACGCGGAAGTGTATGCTGGAGATTGCGCAGAGGGCGAGCGTGGAGGTGCGGTTGGATCCTGTACCAATGGATCTGGCTTATGTATCAGGCGGATGAGATCTCATGTGTACGACTGCGGGCGGGATTATGTCTAGTACGGAGTTGGATGGGTGGCCGGTGGGGGATGGCAAGGTCGGGCCAGTTACGAGGATGGTCTGGGATAAGTATTGGGATATGCATTATGATCCAGCTTATAGCTTAGCTGTGCAGTATGATGGGTTTCCAGCGCGAGGTCATGCGAAGCTTTGAAGAGGTACTGTGGAGTTGGAAGTGTACTAGAAGGTGCGATTTTTCGTAAGCTGGGATGAAGATCATACATTGGAACCCTTCATTCCGAAGATGCAACTGTTTTATAGATGTGGTTGTATCCGTCCAGTGACTCCTGTGTCAGCTCCTTCATCTCCCGTCCCTTAAATCTGTTGGGATCCAAAGCCTTCTTCAGAGTCTCGTCGAGCGCCTCTCCCTGGATCATTTGAGCCAGGAACTTGGCCGATCCAGCTGCATGGGTCACCCAGACAGCGGCCGCCATGTACAGCCCAGCAACCTCAGCCACAGCTCCCACCAGTGGCATATTGTCTGGCGTCATCGAGAAGATACCGTTGAATTTCTCCCGGATCTCCAAGTTGGTCGAATCCGGAATGAACTTCATCGCCGTGTCCAGAGTCGCACCGAAATCCTCAATCCAGTCCCCAATGGCGGTCTCATTCGGCTGCTGCGCAAACGGTGGATGATCGTAGGAGCCCAGTCCGTAAAAGGTACCGTGGTCCCTGGCATAGACGTGGTGCTCAGGCCATCTGACCCAAGGCGCTCTATGTTCGCTCAACTCGTGGTACTTGCCGTACATGTAGGGATGCGCGACAGGGATAATGGGAATGGGTGTTTGGAAGTCACTGAGCTCCGGAGCCCAGATGCCAGTCGCGATAATGACCTTCTTTGCTTGAACGAACCCGGCCGTGGTCATCACACCCTCTACCTGGCCATTGGCTTGCTGGATCTTCGTGGCATCCGCCTGCAGAAGCTGCACGCCTCTCGCCCGTGCCTCGTCCTGGAAGAAGGTGGTGATTCTGATGGCGTTGGCAGCACCATCTCCGGCAAAGTGCAGCGCAGCGGTGTATTCTCCCTTGATCAGAGCAGGGGCCATGCGAATTGCTTGTTCGGTCGTGATGAGCTCGGCTTCGAGACCAGCCCGTTTCGCCGAGTCATGGCGCTGTTTCAGGCGCTCCGCCCCCGCAGGGCTTGTCGCCAGCTCAAGACCCCCGACCACGTCGAACCCGGCGGGGATCCGCCTATACTCATGAACGGTCTCCTTAGCTAGACGGGTCAGGACTTCGGATTCGTTGTACTGGCCAACAAATCCAGGGGCATGGCCGGTTGAGCCCTTCAAAGGTGCAAAAGAGCGATCAATCAAGACGATTTTCTTGCTGTTATCTCCAGACGAAGACAAGAAGTATCCCAGGGCTGAGCCCACAATGCCGGCGCCGATGATGGCGAGGTCTGCGGAGTATGAGGCTTCCATTCTGTCAAAGTCAAGTTGTGCCGGTTGCGTCAACACCCATTCTTGGGGCCGTAGTTGGTAGGCTATATATGATGACTCGGGAGGGTTGAAGCAGCCAAGACTGCCGCGCGTGTGTCTCGGCGGATCTGCCCAAGATAGTCATCTCGTATACTTGTCTTGCCCCCCCACTGGACTATAACAACCAGTGTTAGCAGGCTGCTTCTCTCAGTTCAACCCCACATTTATCCGTCTTCAGAAGCCGCTTCATGCCGGTGAGGCGTGGCACCATGTCATTTTCGGGAAATACTCGGAATGCTCAGGTGTTAGCCTAGGCTTGATGACCCGCGATCTTGTGTGTGTTGTGAATGACAACGGGTGGTTGTTGATGTGGCCGAGGTCGGCCATTGATGAGTGGGCGATTGGGACGCCATCTGACTGCCTCAGGCAGAGAGAACGCGGGATGCCGGTGGGTGGAAGTTAACAAATTGGTGGGTGACTCAATTCTCCAACCCTCCCCCACTTTGCGCCAGCAGCAGTCTGGACCATGCATACAATCGCAATTCACACCTCACTATAATCATTGCCGTTTATGCTTGTATTTTCTTGTGTCACCGGTACATTTCACTCATTTGTATATTGCACGCCTGATACTTAATACGGCCCCCCTTGGTTTGCGCATCCCTAAATGGCATCTCCCGTTAGAATCTGATGGAAGACTTCATTGAACAAAAGGCAAAGCGGAGCTATTCATTTAAATTACGCAAACGTGATTCTCTCCAGTTAATTCAGGATCATTATCTGAAGATCTTCACAAATACACACTATCACCTAGAGAGCAACTTGTATACTTAATCTATTACCAGCAAGTCTATATAAACCAGTTTCATCGTGAGGAACCTCCGTCTCGATATGATGGCATTCGTGCTAACCACCCATGGAAATAGTCAAAGGCATTTCAAGTCCATGCTTGTCGAAAGTATCATTCAGTCAAGTGCCGCTGTTTGGTTCAATCATTTCCATTCGCCTGTCTTTAGCGTGACTCTGTATCGACTATCCCTGGCTTTTATTTGATTTCTGCCATCATGTCAATGTTCAGGAGACCTTCGGAGATGTCATCCTCTTCAAGCTCGGATGGAAGCGATCCCGAAGATGCTCTCAACTCTCCTCCTGAGCCCCGCTCTCAGCAGCAACAGCAGCAGCAGCAGAAGCCGAGGAAGAAGAAGGGCCGCCAGTCGCCTCCTCCGACACCAGGAGACAACAATGACGCCCCCAGCGAGGGCCATGCAAAGATGGTGACCGCCTCACTGCTCGAGTTCTATTGTCACAGTCGAGCCGCGGACTTGCTCAACTCGCAGCCTGGCTCGAATGGGCAGTACACGCGAGACTCCCCTGAAGCCCTTGAACTGGGCAGGGAATTGTACACCAAGCAGGCACAACTCCTCTCCCAGCATGGTGTGTTGAGTGAAGGTGCCGAATCGGATGAACTTCGGTCTATGCGTCAATTGTATCGCGATACACTGGACATTATTGGTCGCAAGGCCCTAGCGGGATTTAGGTTGGATACTCAACGATCGAATGCTCCTGGCACTCTGTCACGGTCTAGTAGCGAATTGACCCTTCATAAAGGTGGTACGGCCTTCGCGCAGCCGCTGCGAAACGCCCAACCTCTTGAGTCACTGCAGATTGACATGAATAAGCTGCTCAGTCGACAGTTGCCTCGCTCACTGGGAGATCCACTCAAAGCAACTCTTTTTGAAGGCATGACTGACAATCCCGGTGTAGAGCCATCGCGCTATACATCGCAATTTAGAGAGATTAAGGTTCTTGGTCGGGGCTCGTTCGGCGAGGTTTACCACGTGAGGAACGTTGTCGATGGGCAAGACTACGCGATCAAGAAGATACCTCTCAGTCAGCGCCGATTCGAGCAACTGCAGGGTGGTAACAAGAACCATCTGGAGACAATTCTGAAGGAAATCCGGACACTTGCCAAACTGGATCATACAAATATCGTGAGGTATTATAGTGCCTGGGCAGAAAAGGTAAACCCCGATGACTATTTCTCATCACCGGAAAGTTCGACACATGCTGACTCGGATGATGATTTACAGATGAGCGAGTCGATGCTTTTACAGCGGTCCATGGCGGAGGGTCCCAACAGGAAACTCGCAATCGTCTTCGAGGAGACGGAACCTTCGAGGACCGGGCCAACCCTGGACACATCGAGGTTCACCTCAGTAGAAAGCACAGGCGACGATGATGACGACTTCTCGGCCGCCCCCGCGATTTCCCAAGAACCCTCTCACGATCAGCTCTCTTCCATGGGCGGCGCAGACGAGGACATCTTCACGGATGGCCTTAGTCACGACGCTTCAAGTATGCAAATCCAGCGCCGCAATAGAGATGGCCTTGAGATCCCTGCAGTGATTCTACATATCCAGATGTCGTTGCACCCGATATCTCTCCACGCGTACCTTAACCCAGGTCCCAGCAGGCTTGGTGAGCATATGGACAAGCCACCACGTCGGCACTGCTTCCATTTGGTGCCATCCTTGCAGATCATGCTGGACATTCTTTCAGGGGTGCACTACCTGCATTCGAAAGACATCATCCATCGTGATCTGAAGCCCGCCAATATCTTCCTGTCGTGGCCGGAGAAACACCATACCCACAGCTGTCCACCATGCCAAGCAGACGGTGGCCCGGGTCTTCACTACTGCCAGCCTCGGATAGGGGACTTTGGTCTCGTGGCTGATATCTCGCATCTGAACGACCCTCCCTCCGAGGAGAAGCACAAGTCACCCGCATCATCCAAGCACGGCTCAGCGATCCAGCACGTTGTTGGTACTGAGTTCTACCGCCCGCCTCTCAACTCCAGCGGACTTATCTCCAGCGGGTTCGTTCGTGAATTCCAGAGAAAGGTCGCAATGGAGCGCCCGGTGCAATATGTCTGTGACTGGTCGCTTGACGTCTATTCTCTTGGAATCATTCTGTTCGAGCTGCTCTACCCCCTGAACACGAGAATGGAGCGCCATGTCGTGCTGGATGATCTGACCCGGGGACCGTACAAGGTGCCTCCTACTGCGTCCTGCCAGGGAGCATGCCTTCCGAAAGACTTCGTTGAAAAAGTTCACCTGGGTGACGTGAAATTGAGCAGTGGGGAGACGGTGGCGGACGCCTTGGCCAGCTGTATTGGCGGCATGCTGCATCTCGATCCTCATCAGCGCTGGAAATGTCAGGTCATCCAAAAACGCCTTCAGGATATCCTTGCTACTGTGTATCCAGACTCGCCTTGACTGATCATTTTAGATGGTCCGCCTCTATACGCGGTGGGATTGATGGATTAGGAGAAGTCGGAGTACGATCTTGCTTTTAGCGCCTAGTGATACATTCCATTTCAATGGCATTCAACGCTGTATAATAAATATTGTCTTGTTCACAAACACCTTAATATGTAATCATTCTAACTACTGTGAAGTAAATAAAGGAGCAGTAATTCTATCATGTCGTTGCTTATAATGCTAAGATATAACTATATAGCCTTGCTCATCATGCTTAGTTATAGTTCGTAATTGAAATAGTCATTGAAGTTTGGGGAGTACACAACTTTAAGGTGCTCACATGATTCAAGTTGCCACTTGCATTAACCAAGGTATCAACTTCTCATTGAAGTAATTTGGTGCTTGCGTTTGTGTATGCAGTAGGGAACAAAGTCGCGCACGCTGGCCTTGGGAGCAGCAAGACAGAGCAGGCTGAATGCTTCTTAGAGAGAAGGTACACACCTTATGGATGATCTGATTCATGGAATAGAGCCCCCCCGCTGAGTTCCCAACACGTTTCGCAGTGGCAGAGGATGTGCTCGGGCTCGGTGATCTCTGCCGTCCAGGAGCGATCACCGCAGTGGCAGCTGCCGTGGAATGTGCCGGCCTCGACGGTGGTGGTGGGCTTCTTTGCGGGCGGGCCGAAGAGAATGCCGTCTCGAATGTGTGATGCATTCTTTTAGATACGGGATATGAGTAATACATGAGATGAGCGACAGCTTACCGATCATAACTGAGTCCTCGCTACAGAACATAGTTAGTACTCATATACGTGGCAAACGCACCTGCTTTCATGCTCTTCATATATGGCCGACCGGTCTCCGGCCGCTTGCATTTATCCTTCAGCACCAGAAAGACAGCGAAGTGCTCGCCCATGTGATGAAGGGTTTATATCCGAAGAGGATGATGTGCGTAATTATCGCTGTCATCGGGGTGGATCTGTATGGCGGTAGATGGGGAAGCTGCTATGGCAAAGGAGATTGAGAACCCTGGGGATTGCAGCTTCACCGCTGGAAGGCTTATTTATGGTGTTATTGGATTTCATTGCGCTTACTGCGTCTGAAGGTGACTTTGCGTGCTCTTAGGTGGTGGTGGTCGTGCGCTGTGGATAGAAGCTTGTTGTTTAAGGATAGAGGGTAGGGCGGGGAAAATTACTTTATCTGGTTGCGGGGAGTTGCTTTCCCCGCGCGGAGTGCCAATTTGGGAAATTCGGGGTAAAATCCGCGGTGTCGGATACGGAGAGCCCCTTGCATGGATTTATTGCTATGGACAGTTACTAGTCATATTTAAATTGGCTAAGCTGTGAACAGAATGTCAATGGACATGGTGTCATAAGATTGTATTCCCCCTGCATCTTTTGAACAAATTTCTTGGCTTCAAGAGAGATATTATAAGTTCACCAATCCTCAGTAGCAAAAAAATCTTTTGAGAGCATTTCGATTCGGCGAACCACGACAGAAACCACAACCAAAAGCAACTGGATAGTAGATCATGTTGACAGGAGCTTCAACCTGCCGCGACTGGAATATAATGACACACCCCGTCTGAGAGCTTAAGGACCTCGCTCACATACGCAGTGAGGAATCTGGCCTATCACTACTCTCAAAGAGGACTCAAATCTGTGCCAGCCAGAAATCCCGTGAGAGCCATAGTCAAACACTTCACATCGAACCACTACACATTCTTCATCCACCAAGTAAATGTACCCGAAAGCCGCACTGTGATGGGTGACGGGGAAGTGAACTGGTCTAGTCAACTTGCTAATCCGTCTTGTACGAACTAGGCAGTCGATGTTGTTTTCTGACTCAATCCGCAGAGGCTCTGATTGGAGTATTATCATAGAAGGATAACTCATGTCTCGTTACTCAACTTTGCATTGCTTTGGTGCTTTGAAGTATCATGAAGATATCTCAGCAACGGTGAAGGAAAACAATACACCTTTCCATGTCAAGTTTTAGGCCCGACCTTACCAATAGCCGTCATGAGAGCCTGATAAAGAGTACAGATGGTATGAAATCTTGCTTGGTTGCTTCTTGGAATATGGACAAGGTGCCAGCCACACAGGGCGGGCGTAGATTGATATCGTTTATGACAAATGCAACATATGACAGACTGGAGGGAGAGATGTATATGATAGAGCTAGCCAGAATTAGGAAGGCTCTTTGTAGAAAATTCTCCTTGCCAGATATACCTAGTACCTTCTTTGGCGCCTTAGATATTTCCTTTTGGATGTGAGGTGCAAACCTGAACAGAGCGGACAGGCAACTCTCCACGTTTCCCCGTTCACTCTAAAAAGTAACACAGATCTATCGCTTGTGTGAAATCTCATCCCACTTCCCCTGGTGTTATGGGGACCAAGTGATAATTTGCTTCAGACTGAATCTCTTCCTACACCACCCATTCTCAGTATCATGTGCTGTTGTATGGCATCACGTGCCTCAAGCAGAAGCGTTAGTGACGTCACCACAGCCAGCCATGGGTAATGCCAATACCAAAGTTACCGGTATGTTGCCCCGAACACAAGACATGATCTAAAAACCATCTCGACCGCCAGAACACAAAACCTCTAGAAGGTTGCTGTTGAGAGAATTGTCATGGCCGGCTGAGCTTGCACGTCTTTGACCTTCTGGGAGACGGGTTTCCTCGAACTTAAGCTATCACCATGGACAGTCTTGATGGGCTTCCCATCCCCCGCGATGCTGCAGACGATCGCAGTCTTGGTGCTCTAGACGGCAACCGCTCTTCCAGAGCATCTCAGGATGGCAGCAGTTCACCAGACTCTCCGACTGACTTCAATTTTCCCTATGCAGACACCTCCTTTACCAGTGGCTCCAGCAGCAAGCTGCCCACAAGCCAGCCCGAATCAGCCCTGCAAAGCCTTCTCGACTTGGAAGACGATCGGAAGTCTCCCCGCGCAGCCTCACCGTTTCCCCCGCTACCTTACAGTGCCCCATCGGTCCCCGCAGTTCCTATGAGCGAGGAAGGCGACGAAGCTGAAGATGAAGAGCCGCAGGTTGCAACCTCCTTCGAGCGGGACTCGACCCCTACCTCAGCGCAAAAGCAACGATCTGCGTTCTTCGACGCGGGCGGCGAAGAAGGGATTCACCGCATGCATAAGTTCTCGCTGTATGAGACCGCCACCCGCTTCTACATGGTCGGCATGGATCTGTCAGATACGCGATTCCGGATCTTGAAGATTGATCGGACCTCCGAGTCGGGTGAGCTGAACATAGCTGAGGACGACATTGTCTACAGCAAGCGGGAGATGAGCCAGTTGTTGGATACCATCGACGACGGCAACAAGAGCTCAGGTGGGCTCAAGCTCAAGTGCAGTGCCTGGGCTCTGCTGGGATTCATTCGCTTCACGGACGCCTACTACATGCTTCTGGTGACGAAAAGAAGCCAGGTTGCCATGCTCGGCGGTCATTATGTCTACCAGATTGACGGAACGGAGTTGATCTCGTTGACCACGTCCAGCTCGTCCCGCCTGCGACCGGAGAAGAACCCGGAGGAGGCACGGTACATTGCGATCTTGAACAACCTGGACTTAACTCGATCGTTCTACTTCAGTTACTCCTACGACATTACCCACACCCTTCAGCGCAACATCTGTCGTGAACGCAAAGCTCACCATGAGGGGCAGCCCAAAACACTCCAGCAGGACTACAACCCCATGTTCATCTGGAATCATCATCTGTTGACCCCGGCCCACACTAAGTTGCGTAATCCTTGGGAGTGGTGTCTTCCGATCATTCACGGTTACGTGGAACAGGCGAAGCTGTCTATCTACGGAAGGATTGTGTACATAACAATTATTGCACGTCGTTCCCGGTTCTTTGCTGGAGCGCGGTTCCTGAAGAGAGGAGCAAACGACCTGGGATATGTGGCCAATGATGTCGAGACTGAACAGATTGTTTCCGACATGTCAGCTACATCGTTCCATGCGCCAGGTCCGCTGCTCTACGCTAACCCGCTTTATACCTCATACGTGCAGCATCGCGGCAGTATTCCGCTATATTGGACTCAGGAGAACTCCGGTGTTTCGCCTAAGCCCGACATCGAGCTGAACCTTGTTGACCCGTTCTACTCTGCTGCTGCTCTGCATTTTGACAACCTGTTCGAGCGGTACGGTGCGCCGGTGTATGCGTTGAACTTAATCAAAGCCAGAGAGCGGACGCCGCGCGAGTCAAAGCTCCTCAAGGAATACACTAATGCAATTCAATATCTTAATCAATTCCTGCCTGAGGACAAAAAGATCATCTACCAGCCTTGGGATATGAGTCGAGCTGCGAAAAGTCGCGACCAGGATGTTATTGGGACCCTCGAAGATATCGCGGGCGACATCATTCCAAAGACTGGTTTCTTCCAGAACGGTGTCGATGCGGAGTCCGGGCTTCAGTTGCAGAATGGCATAGCGAGGACAAACTGTATTGACTGTCTCGATCGTACTAATGCAGCTCAGTTCGTGATTGGAAAACGCGCTCTTGGCTATCAGCTTCACGCTCTGGGAATCATCGACGGCACCACAGTGGAATATGACTCGGATGCTGTCAATCTCTTCACTGATATGTGGCATGATCACGGTGACACGATTGCCATACAATATGGAGGCTCTCATCTGGTTAACACCATGGCCACGTACCGCAAGATCAATCAGTGGAGCAGCCACTCGCGTGACATGGTTGAGAGCTTTAAGCGGTACTACAATAACTCCTTCCTTGATGCCCAACGTCAGGAAGCATACAACCTCTTCCTTGGAAACTACATCTTCTCTCAGGGACAGCCAATGTTGTGGGATTTGTCCACTGATTACTACTTGCATCATGCCGATCCCAGATCATGGTCGAACAAGAAACGCCCTCACTACATCAATTGGTACAATCCAGACAACCTGAAGAAGTTCGAATTGCCGCCTCGTCCCAAGCTGCTCAAGGAACCGCTGTCACATTACGATGATTACTGGCTTGAATATTATCGGCCTCTGGCAGTATCGTCCTTTTCGAAGGTGTTCTCGTACAAGATGAACTCGACCCTCCGGTACCTACCATTTCGTCCTGCCGGCGCTCCCTACGATATAAGTCCATTCGTGGCCCGTCAGCAACACGAACAAGTGAATCGCGAACGTCAGGCCCCCCGCACTGTCAAGATCCAGGAACCTGACAAGACTGCCATCGGCCGGTCCAACTCCACAACCTCCCATTCCAACCGGCGCTGGCTGAGCCAACCACTCTCCGCCGACAAACAGCTTCCAGCCGCAGGGATCATGAAACAATCCACGTACACATCCTTTGGGGCCACTACCCAGACCACCACTTCCCTCCAATCCCAATCCTCCCTGGAACCCGGCACCACACCCAGCAAAGCGCAAATCGCCCAGTGGACCCTGGGCCAGCTCGTGCACGACTCCCTCAACCCCACCGTCACCGCCGCGGAAGCCGAAGAGTACGAGCGCTACATCAACCATCCCCTGAAAGTGCCCCTCGTTGTCACCTCAGAGAACGAACTGACCGCTACCTCGATCCGCGAGAACGAAGCCAACCTCGATTACATCGAGTACGCCAACAAATGCAACGTCGAGGAAGCTACATTGGAAGCCAACGCGATGGAAAACCTGGCTGATTATGTTGAATACCTGAACGTCCCTGAAACCGGGCTGACGGTCGTCGCGGAGGATTACGACAAGAAGCGGTACAAGCGCTACCGGCAGTGGCTGCGTGGCAAGAGTCTGTTCAAGCAACGCGTTGATATTTAAATGTAGACGCTTTCGGTAAAATAGTTGCATGTTCTGAACAAACTTTTTTTTCTGATTGATTTTATGTCGTTGATTTTCGTTCACATTCCTGTCCAAGCTTATGTTCTACGAAATGCCGCCCTTTTGTCATGACATGATACCCCCCCGTTTTGTCGCGAGCGTTGTCTATTCATTGTTGACTACTTTTCTGTTTGCCATATCTTGTGCATTTGTCATTGATTTGAGCTTTGAGTTTACACAGCTGCGGCTGTCATATTACGATGCGATGGTCGGCGCGGACGACCAGCCTGAAATTGACGCTTTTACTTCGGTAGCTCCCATGTTGTATCTCTTGTGTTGACGGTAAATCTTGGTATAACCCAGGGATAGAAATCCAGATTGTATAGCAGCTGGCAAACCTGCCACTTGTAGACATAGACCACAATCTTCAGAGTACTAACTGTACCTATTCATCTACCCCAAAGTACCGCCCATCCGACCTATCCACCTCTCCCAACAGCAACCCCCGCAACTGCTCATCCGCAGCAGCCAGCTCCTCCAGTTCCCTGCCAAAGCCCCCGCCACCAGCAGCAGAAAGAGCCTCCTGCTCCGGTGTATCTGACTGCAGGGGATTCTCGATCGCCAACCGCAGCAAACAGACAACGCCTTGCAGCTCTCTCTTCAGCCTGCGCAGGGCTACCAACCGTTCTTCATCGGTAGTCACATTGTTCTTACGGCGGCGGTGTCCTGTAGTCGTTGTGCTCTGGAGCTCCTCTTCCTCTTCCTCTTCCTCCTCCCTCTCCTCCTCAACAACAGTCAACCAACACGCACAAACCGCCCCAAGGATTTCCGTCCTCCATCGCCAGACACGCGGATGCGCGTTCAGGATCACCGCGCGAGCGACCCCCAGCGCCGCGAGGAGGAGGGGCGGGTGCGCGGTGCCGAAGGGGTTAGTCAATGTGCTGTAGACCAGCGGGACGAGGTCCTGAAGATACTTGGTTGCTTCAATGCGGAGGGCCGTGACGGTACGCTGGATTTCCGAGAGGAGGAGGGTAGACAGCCGCGGGTGGGGGAAGGAGGTCAGCGCGGGGTATGAGACTGATGACTGCGCAGTGATCGGGGAGGTGGAGCTGATGTGGTGGAAGGAGGAGATGAGGTTGTCGCGGAGGGTTTGGGTAAGGGCGTGGGTGAGGGCTTCGCTCTGCTGAGGGTGGCGTTGGCGGTCTCCCCCGTAGCTGGTTTCCAGGAGGGCGTGCAGGGCTGGGTAGGCGGTGGTTAGAAGTTCCAGGGATTCATTTTCCGGGGTGATGGTGGGCAGGGAGAGGAGGCAGGGGCGGATGGCGGATTCGAAGACGGAACTGAGGTTCGTGCGTCGGAGGATGTCGGATTGGGATGCGCGGATGGGTTGCAGGAGGGAGGTGAGGAGGGTGCAGCCCCGGATGCGGTGCGGGGTGAGTTCGTCGTCGATGAGGGCGAGGATTGGGGGGATGAGTTGCGAGAATTGGTTTTCTAGGTGGGTGATTGCTGTGGACTGGCAATTTTTTAGTCTGGGCTAGATATGCGTTGCTTGGAGGAAGGAAAGGGGGGCCAACGAACGTCGTATTGTGAGAGTATCCAGGCGAAAACTGTGGTTGAGTAGACGGCAAAGGCCTTCCATGGCTTGGCTTCCGGGTCAAGCGTGGTGAGGTCGAAGCGCGCCAGGGGGACGGGGTGGAAGTTCTTGCGACCCTCCGCGGTGATGGCTGGATTGCGGGTCTTGGTGAAGAGCGGCCGGATCTTCTTCTTCAGGGTCGTCTCGAGGATGGTCCAGAGAGAACCATCGGAGCGTGCTGTCGCGCTGAACTCACGCAGGACTTCAATTGATATACTGTGCGCTTCTCCGGTTGTCCATGGATCTGAGGTCGAGGAGAAACTCGCAAGAGCAACAAGGATATCAGATATGTTGGCTGCTTTCTGAATGGGATGCACCTTTTTCAATGTGGAAATGACAGTGATAGCTTGCGCCAGTTTCTGTTTCTCCGCATCGACGGCGGCAAGTTGACTTTCTAGAGACAGTTTAGCAGCGTCTCAATCAGAAGCTCGGACATCTCTTACGGCTGGCCTCTTCGATCGTCTCGGCGAAGATTGGCGAAGGGAGAGCGGCCTCGCTTGCCCAGTCATAAAGAGAATTCGCTGCGTCTATATCGGCATCGAGCAGAGTCCCAGGGGTCCAATTTTTTAGGACTGCTTGAGCCACCAGCAGGTTCTTACATATCTAGAATATTCTTGTCAGTGAGAATAACGCGCGCAATATGCTAGGTCTCTTACTTGTGCTGCACTTGAATCACCTTCAGAGGAAATATCCTGCCATAAGTGCTCCAATCCTCCTGGGAGGGTATATCGGGCAATGGCAGCCTCTGGGGGTTGAAGATCGCCTCCGGGGAGGGATGCGCGTGCTGCTGCGCGGAGTTCTTCCATCTACCTGTGCAGTCGGCTGGCCTTCGCTTTCACTCGGCCAGAGGAAAGATGATTATTTGTGGCTTGAGACGTAAGGACTGAGCTAATTAAAGCGAGAGGTTGAGGGGGAGTTGTAGCAGTTACACCAGTTTGTATGCCGGCAATTTGCCCAGCGAGCGGTCAGTTGGCGGATCTCGCCCAAACCGTCCCTTCACAATAACAACTACCAGGTTTACAACTACTTCAGACCACAACACAATTGAGTCAGTCATAAGCAAAATTTCATTTCGAGACTATGCTGCTTAAATTCCCAGCTCGTCTCTTCTATCAGCGATGACTTTCAAGACCTCCTCCTGGTCTGTTGAATCCGGATGTAGGAGTTGCCATTCGACCACGATCTGCAACGCCGTCGCCAGCCATCGTCCTTTCTTGCCTCCCATGGCTTTCATAATCTGGTCGCCATTAACGAGTGGCTTCATTTCGTAGACATCTTGTAAATTTTCCTCCTCGATATACGCGATGAACCTGGCGTACTCTTCCACCACTAACACCGGAAACATATCAGCTGTCTGGCTCGACACATGTAGAATGCCAGGGGTGTGAGGGTACTCACCTAGGGCATATTCGCGCCCGTCCATGACTTCCTGAAGGATAGCTTGAAGGATGCACAGTCTCCAGTCTTTTTTCCAAGAACGAATGTGCAATCCAACATACTTGCGGACTTCCGCCGCCGTTCCACCGACTGTCCCTTCCAAGATGGAGTTCTTGACCTCGAGGATTGTCTGCCAGCTTGCTGCCGCATCTCCAACAACAGAGATAACTTTGTTGTCGGCTCGTAGACTGTCCCTGGCGACCTCTGCAGCCCGAGGCGGTGGTGGTCGGCCCTTGCCAGTTGCGGGGCGCGTTGGAATCTTGGACCACGGAGCCATTGCTGAGAGCATCCAGGCGTAGTACTCCTCTTGCTTATCACGGATCAGGAAGTTTCGTATCTTCTCCACCGTTTGCTGAGGATCTTTGTCGGTAGGACGGATGAGTCGCTCCACCGTGTTGTAAGCATTAGGCCAGGACGATGTCTCAACAGTAGCATCGTCCTGGAAATTAGCAAAGATAGTCGGATAAAGACCTAGGCGGTCGATGAAATGTAGGGCACCCCGAGGGTCAGGACCTAGAAACCAGTGAGCCTAGCTACAGCGCGGATTATTTATGATTACTAACCATGGAGCATCTTCTCGAGTTCCTTCAGAACACGCTCACGACTAATCTTAAGCCGGAGAGCCTCGCCTATGTGAGTATTCTGCATTGCCTCCTCGGTTTCAGGGTGTATCCGATATCCCAGGCGGCTAGCGAAGCGGATAAGTCGTAGGACTCGCAATGGATCATCCTGGAATGTTTGGTATGGTTCTAACGGGGTGCGGATTATCTGTTCATGCATATCTTGAAGACCGCGCCGAGTTAGATCTTCGACTGTGGTCTCATTCAGATTATAGAAAAGTGCGTTGATGGTGGCATCTCGGCGCAAGGCGTCTTCCTCGGCTGTTCCGAATTCCATCTGGGGGTTTCGACTGTCGGCGGTGTATGTCTCCTTCCTCAGGTTGACCAAGTCCACATCTAAGCCGAAGATATTTGTTGTGACCGTTTCCAAGTGCTTTGATTTCTCTGGGTTTGCCTCGATTTTGTGCAGACTGACAAAGTCTTTTCCTAGATCGCCGCTGGCGTGGTCCTTCCGGTATTTGTCCAGATTACCAGGAATATCCAAATACTCTTTCAGGAGGAGTCCAAATTGGTACCCAGTCATGTTGTTGATGCCGACGTCAATGTCCTGGCTGTTCACCCCAAGCAGCTTGTCGCGCACCCATCCTCCGGTGAATCGCAGAACAGTGTTGGAGAGGTTCGCATCATTCGAGCCTTCTGTGCTTGCGCGTTCATGGATATACTGCGCAACATCTAGCAATAGGTTTTTGAGGGTGTTTTCGAGTGGTGTCAGCTGGATTTCAGGGACAGCACCAGTAGTGACGCTCATGGTGTTCTCGCGCGGGGCAGCCCCGGACAGGCGCCGTCGTCTTTTTTCCGGTCGTTGAGGAGGACTGCAGGATTCGGGACGTCTCATGGACGAGCTAAGAGGAGCAGCTTTGTCCGTCTGCAGATGAACCTGTAACCTTATGTTGGGAGTGAAGAACTGAGGACAAGGAATTGTCCGAGGGTCAGGGAAGGCAGCGCTATAAATTGAAGGAAGAATGACGGCGGGGCGGAATCGAGACAAGTTGGTCAGAGCACGGAAGATGGTTGTCACACGCATTGACATGGGCCATGACAGCCGTGACTCATTGACGACTCATGAGAGGTATATGACAGAACATTGACCGGGATGATCTTCAATAGACATCATGTTTGAATAATAATGGGGGTATGACTGGAATGATTATACAACCGGCAGATTCATGCGGATTGCTCCCACCGCCTGCCTGTTCAGATTTATACTGTAGTTATGAGTCGGGCCCAGTGAGGTCAGAGTTGAAGCTGTTTGTTGTCTGGCTAACTTCGAAGGGTGTTGAATCAATCCTGACTCCATATTTATCATTTAATTGATAACTTCTTGAGTTGGGACCTATTTTCTTGCCAAGCGAATCATTGCCCGTGGCTGAAAAGAAGCCTCACGTGCACAAGAGACAGTCCTATTGACTACTATTCTCCCACGTTTCGACCCGCGGTGAAGTGGCTTCATTCATTCTAGCACCGTCTTCTCGCCCTTTCTTTCCATCTTCTCCTCTTCCCTTTCACCCTCCAGGCTTACGGCTAGCTTCACGTCTCTGGCGCCTCTCACCTCAATACTAATTCATCTCTCACCTTACATTCGCCCTCACAGTCCATGGGCTCTAGAGACTTGTCAACCTGTTCTAGTGTCGCGTCGCAACATATTCGGAGTCCATGACATCGCCCGGAGATGCAGCTCCGGTCAAGCCTCCGCCGTCCTTCTCGCCCGGCGTTCCGCGTGTAGCTTCCAAGACGAGATACCCAAATCAGCGCCGCGATTCCTCTCCGTCTCTAGATGCAGATCTCACTGAGTCCAGGGTCGTCTCCCCACCCCCGCCTCTTCCCGCCACGACATCAGAACTACCCATCCGATCCGCATCACCACGGACTCCGTCCTTCCGATCGTCAACGCCTCAATTAGCCAGGTCCTCCCTTGGCTCTCCGGTGGACGGTCGGTTTGAAGGATCGGAGGAAATACGTTCGCTTATCATCCGCTCGTTCTCACCTGTCGTCGGCGTGTATGCGTCCGCAGACACCGATGAATTAGCACGGCAAAAGGGGTTTGCGGGGGGGTTCTGGCAATTGATCCGACCATTCGGCGAAAATATTCCCGGGAAGCTTGTGATACGGGATAGCGTTGGCGCGAGTCGGAGCTGGGAGGATTATGGAGTCCGCTTTGTCGATTTAGGGAACAATAATCAAGGTCTCCCTGAGTCGGGTGGGCGGAACTCCCCTCTAGCACACCTGGAAGAGGTCTTGGAGAAGCAACTGGGATCATTGGACGATCCGCTGGGCGGGTCTTTATTCCCAAAGGACTTCCTTGGATTTCCCAGCACCTCACCCTTATACAAACTTTACCTTCGGCAGCTTTTGTCTATAGCATCGGCGGCCCCTCATGAGACTTTTCGACATCCTGTGGCCAGTGTTATCGCCATCAGTTCGCGCAATACTGCCCCGCTGGAAACTCTCAGACGTCTCTACGCAGACACCAACAATGGTAACAAGAAGATGCCCGATTGGATCCATCCTGAGTATCTTAGGTACTATTTGTTAGTGCATGATGAGGATCGAGACGACATTACAGAATCCACAAAGCTATATGACCAAATGAAACGCCATTTTGGGCTTCATTGTCACCTGCTAAGGCTACGCAGTAATCAGTGTGTGGTTACAGACGACGATAGTGTCCAAGTACCTGAATGTGAATGGCTTTCGCCATCGGAGCGATTGTTTGGCCGGACAGGTGAGACACAGTCGTTATGTTGAATGTATGATCAGAGCTAACGATCAGCAGAGCCGTTGGTAGATCTTGACACGGGAGGTCTTCCACATGTGTTTGAGTCGGATGTGATGGCGATCAAGGCATTTGTCCGGGAATTAGTCGCGCAGTCCGTCGTACCATACATGGAGAATCGAGTGGCGGTTTGGAACGATCAAGTAGCCTCTCGCAGACGTGGTATCAGCGGAAGGTTTATGTCTATGTCGCGTCGGTGGGCTGGCTTTGGATCTGGCTCTCGGTCCAGCTTGACCTCTGGTGGAGCAAGTGGCAACTATGATATTGCGCATGGCTACTACAGATACGACACGCCCGAGGCTGTGCTACGCAAGATGGCTGACTTTGCATTCATGCTTCGTGACTGGAAGCTTTCCGCATCGACATATGAGCTTCTCCGGTCCGATTATGCCAACGACAAGGCCTGGAAGTATCATGCTGGCGCCTATGAGATGTCGGCGGTAAGCATGCTCTTGAGCCCATCTTCACTGGGCACCAAGGTCAAGATTGATGGCATTGATCAGATACTGGAGACGGCCACGTATTCGTATCTTACTCGATGCTCGGATGCGCCCAACGCCCTCCGTTGTTTGACTTTGGCCATGGAGTTACTTAAGTCGCGCGGTGGGTCGGCGGTGGAGAGTGCGGCTAGATGGGCCATGCGGGTCATGGACCAGGGTCTAGTTGGCTCGATCGGCCAGGGTCTCTTCAGTGAACGTATTTCAGCCTGTTTTGCGGCCCGAAATCCCGCGCCTGGGGTGAACTGGGGATCTCGCCGTCGCAAAGCCGGGATGTGGAGTGTTTTCGCTGCAGATCTGTGGCTTCGACTTGGAAAGCCGTCTCTGGCCTCGGCAGCCTTGGAGGAAGCGGAGCGCTTATATGCAGACGTCCTGCATGGTGACGGAGCTTTTACTATGCCGGAGATGCAGACTTTCGTCGACAATCTCAGACATGCCGTGAAAGTGGAGTATCTCGAAGCTAGGGGTCTAGACCTGAGAGATGAGACAGCCACCGCAGCGGCTTTGGGAACCGACGAGACGAGCGAGCAGCTTGATCGACGCAAGAACCGGAAGTCGCTGATCGTGAAGCCTCTGGACTCAGGGATTGGCCCGACACAGGGTATGAGGGATAATGACAATGCAGCCGATGACGACTTCGAACGAGCTTAGGGACGAAAGGGAGGCCGGATGGACGCATGACGGGGTATACATCATTATAGACACTCGTCGAATCTAATGTTACGTGTTTACGTGTTATCTTGGTCTGAGTAAATTCCCTAGATTGCTTTGCCTAATATAAAGCCCCCATATGCCACGCCCAAGCGGAGTCACTAGTACGGAGTACTCCGAAACTAGTGGTCATTCGGATATATGACGTCCTTACCAGAAGGGATCATCACCTGACCCCGATCTTATCGATAAGATCACCACCCGGACAACCAACCAGCGGGCCATTTATTGACTGACATCAGATCCCATCCGAAAGGACAAAGGAGCCAGAGCAACGAGAGCAGGCAAGTCCTCGGGCTGGGATTCAGACATACACTCACACGAACCGCCTAATTATACTCTCATTTCTAATTTCCACCTTCTCTATCCCTTTCAATCTCCAGATTTCCACGCCAACATGAACGACCTCCTCGAGTACATCCTCTCGCAGGATCAATTCAGAAAGTGTGTCTTCAACCTGCCCACACACAAAAGATAACACATTTATCTATGTAGACTTTCCAGATGATCGTATGGACTAACTCATTCCTCCTGTACTAGAAACCGCCTCCCATCCCTCTACTCCGACTTCCCCATCCACCGCAAAATCAACCCAGAGGGCTACACCACCAACATCGCCGCATGGCAACACGCCCTAACCAGCGCCGCGAAACACGGTTACATTCGCTCGCCGATACCCACGTCTAAGTCTCAGTCTACTGGTGGTGCGACTTCGAAGGCGAATCATTTGATCTTACGGGCGGATGAGAGTTTGTTGCGCGATTTGGAGATTCCGGAGTGGGGAAGGCCGGTAGCGCTTGGGGCGGTGTTTGTAAGTTCGACCCAGTTTTCCTTTTGGTGATCTTTTGAGGCTATGGTTGCTAACGGAGTTTGGGCTGCAGGATGAAGCCGTCAGGAATCGCACGATGGTGCCGCTGCAGATGTATAAGAACAGTGGGGCTTGTCTGCAAAAGCCCGGCTGGGGAATTGATACGTCCGCGTTAAGTCCCTGGGTGGTGATGAGTTGGGGGATGAAGCAGCTGAAAGGGGTGGTGCTGGGGTCGGAGGAGGCGACGCCGCGTCTGCAGGCACAGGAGTTGGTTTTGGTGGAGAATTTGAAGGTATGATTCAATCTAACTCAATCTCAATGGTGCCAAACGACCTGTTGTTGGGGGCCAGGCTGATTGTTTCTGTTGCGATATATATGTGCAGGAGACTGCAGAGAGAGTAGTCAAAAAGGTCATGGGCCATCATCCGTCCAAGACGGACTTGGTCTACTCCAGGGAAAAGTTTATGGAGGAGTTTGCTACGATCTTGGACGAACAGAGCCAGCTGTCGAATGCGGATATGGATGTTCTTTTGCTGTATCTGTCCCGCGATAGTGGTGCTATCGCTTATGATGGGAAGGTATGTTTCATTCATATCATGGTTATGGTTAAGGATGTCTATGGCTAATTTTAGAATAGACGATCAGGTTCAGACCGTCGAATGATTCGCCGAGGGAGATCACGGAGCAAGATACCGCTGTGGCCTCGATCAAGTCGCTGATGGCTACGATGACCAAGCAGGTTGAGAGTCTGGAGAAGAAGATCGACGAGCTGAACGTGACCGCAAAGACCGCGTTGCAAAGCAAGAACCGCGTCTCGGCGCTCTCGGCGGTGCGCTCTAAGAAACTTGCTGAGCACAATCTGAAGCAGAGACTAGATACCTTGATGCAACTTGAGGAGGTTTATTCTAAGATAGAACAGGCGGCGGATCAGGTCGAATTCGTCAGGGTCATGGAATCGAGCGCTGGAGCGCTACGTGGCTTGCATGCACAAATTGGAGGTGCGGCCCGTGTTGAGGATGTGGTGGAGGAGTTACGTGACGAGATGACCAAGGTGGACGAGGTCGGTAATATACTAAACGAGGCGGCGCCGCACATTGACGAGATGGAGATCGACGAGGAGCTGGAGGAGCTGGAAAACAGGGAGCGGGAGGCGAGAGAGGAGAAGGAGGCGGAAGAGATCCGCAAGAAGCTTGCCGAACTCGACAATCTCGAACAGCGTGCGCAAGAAGCCGCACGCAGTGCAGCAGCCGAGAAGGACCTGGATTCTGAGCTAGAGGAGAGATTGTCCCGCATGTCGGTCGAAGAGGGCCCCAGTGCTACAGCCCAGTGAGCAACCGGTGGTGATCACGGTGTCAAAAAGGACTATATACAAGCATAATGTCCGGCGAGCAGCGTTTCACGGAGCGTTAGTGATGCGTCTCAATCTCGGTTTATTGGCCATTGCTCGATTCTGGTGGCACTGGCGTCTCGGATGCAACAGCACCTGACACGATGGCATCTCCAGGCATCGTGTTGGGGGAAGTGGTGGACTCTGCTGATATCAGGTCTTGTGTCGGCTCTGGAACAGGTGTGTCTTGCATTGTTTGCGCAGCAGATATTTGCGGTGAAGTCGCACGCGCGGCGCTACTCTTTTGCCGAGCGTTAGCAATAAGCCTCTTGAAGTCGTCTTCATGGCTGTGTGACCAAGCAGCCTTGTCGAAATCCTTGCGCATGACCGATCCGGGAGCTTCAGACGACGAGGACGGCTGATTGCCTTGGGTCCGTTCCCAGACGTCGAGTTCGCGCAACAAGACTCCATGGGGCTTGGGCGATTTCGAGTCGCAATTGGCGTTCCAGAGATTCACCCATTCTGTATGACGCCTTTGCAGAAGTGCCCGTGGGCCTGTATTAGGGATGCCGAGATCTTTGAGCTTTTTCCGGAGCATGCTTTCTTTGTAGAGAGAATAATTCATGGTCGGGAGCCTTTCTGGTGTCTTGCTCTTGGAATTTCTATATGGGAAGGGCGCTGGCATCTGCATATGTAAAGAGCTATAGATTAAAGTCAGATATGTTCGTGTCAAATATATTAGCAAGATTGACCTTACCCATAACTAGCTTTGGGGGGCGATCTGGGCGCCGGCTCCCCAGTGCATTTATCAAGATGTGAGAACACCGCTTCGTTTTTCATCCTCCTTTGACATACTGGACATGCGACGAGTCCGTCCGCTGGTAGCAGTCAGCACAACGCGTCTGACCCTCATGAAGACAAGCATACCTGGAACAAATTCCTCATCTTGACTATCATCAATCACTTCAATCACTTCCGTCAGCCCCTGCTGCGTCGGACCCCCTCTCGCCTGCGATCGCGTCCTCACCCCCTCCGTCGACCTCACCGCGCCGGCATTCGCATCCAGTGAGGCAATTGATGCGCCATGCTCAGTCTTCCCAGAAGACTCGACCTTGCGTTTCTTTGAAGTCGGCTGTTGCTGCTCTAAATCCTCCCCATCATCCCGCGCCGTTGCCGCCGCCGCGGCCACGGCCTGGGTCGCCAGCTGCAACACGCTCGGCCGCGCATTCTGGAAAGTCTCCACAAGCTCCTGCACGGTCAAGTTCTGCCGCAACTTCAGCTCCTGGTCTGGCTTGCGACACGCGGGACACTTCCCCTCGTTACTCAGGCAGCGGCGAATACATAACGAGCAAAAGGTGTGGCTGCATGAGGTGATGACGGGATTCTCGAAGAAGTCCTTGCAGACTTGGCACCGAAGGGCGGACTCAAGCGGCGCGAGCAGCGACAGTGGCGTGGCGAGCCAGTCGGTCGAGTCCGGGAGGTCGAAGGTCTGGTTCATCGAGTTGGGTGGGTGGTTTTGTTATCGGCGGTGGACTATCGCGAGAGCATTGAGATTGGGGGAGGATGCGAGATTTAGTGGAGGGATTGACTGGTCCGGGGTACTCGACTTTAGATAGTCCAGCACTGTGAGCTGTAACTGAGGAGGTGGAGGTCAAGAATTCAGTGAATTGGAGACTTTTGGAAGCCTTTCTTTGTGCTCCGTAGGCAAATGATGGAGGATGCAATTCGGCGGCGAGTGGCGCCAAGAGGAGCTGCTGCTGCCGCGGACAGGACAGGCGTAGCTTAGCTTTTTTTTGTGCTGACTGATACGCGTAAAGTGGTTCGGGGGTGGAGAACGCGTCCGCCCGCCGATTTGTCCGCATCTCCTCCGTCTCTGGAATCGTGACAACCAAGGGAAAGCAGGGAAGCTTGCAACCACTTTATGGCAGATATCATGGCAGTCGCGGACTATAAGAGATATCTGGCGGAGAATGTTCTCAACGAGCAGCGCACGGTAAGTTTGAACAATCCAAGAGGTGGTGCAGCTGGAGCATTGGGAGTCTGATTCGGTTCGTTTGAATGTTTAGGTCACTTATCGCTCGCTGGGTCGAGCTCTCCGTGTGCATAGTACTCTAGCGAAGCAGTAAGTCTGCAGCGGCCCTCACGCTCGAGAAATGGAGAGAAAGGTAGCTGATTAAGCTTGATGTACAAGAATGCTGTACGACTTCCATCACAATGAGAACAACAAAAAACCCAACAGCGTCAATGCGACATATATCCTCACGGGAGTCCAGATGGCACCCGAGCCAGCGACGCCAGCGAACGGCCTCCAGTCTAGCGCCGGTACCGCAGACACTATTCCCCCGAGCAGTCCCTACATAAGTAGCTCCATGCCAAACCAAGATGGGCCTGCCGATGAGGTCGCGGTTTCCTCGGTACTGCTTGTTCGCGAGGAGGATCTGGACGGTTAGTCGCCCGCCTGCAGGACACATGCGGCTGATTCTCGGGCTGATAACAGAGGCAGATGCGAAAGCAATGTTCCAGTCGATCGCTTCCATATATGTCTACAGTTTACAGCCCACGGTGCTGCAAGATCTCAACGTCTTGACGGATGTGGCGAGGGAGACACTGGCCAACCATGCGCAGGAAGATCCGTTAGAGTACGGGCCGTCTTGGGGTATGATCCAAAACAAGAACGTTAAGGTGTGTCTTATGGTTGATTTTGCTTGGCTCTCTTCTTCTAACATGATGTTTGCGCTGCAGAGGAGAACCGGCGTTCGACCACCGGTACCTGTACCGGCGCCCGCTAAAACGGCTGCACCCGTCAGGAAGCCTACCACAAGCGAAGCGCCGAAGCAGCCTACAGCAGAAACCAAGGACGAGGAACCTAAATCGCAGCCGACGCTAAAGAGGGAAGACACTCCCTCATCGACCAAATCCGCGGAGAAGACCGCGCCTGTCAAGAAAGAAAAGAGTAGCATATTCAGTTCGTTTGCGAAGGCCAAGCCAAAGGCCAAGCAGGAGGACCAGGCGACTCCTACACCTTCTGGTGCTGACTCTGTGAGTACATTTCACGATCATCCGGACCGTCCTGGGTGCATGCTAACAGACCTAAAAGGCGGAGCCCAGCGCCTCTGAAGATGGTAAGTTTATGATACAATCCGGCGAGGCGACAGACAATAGCTGATCCTGAGCAGTCGTTCTGGACGACGCGTCTGAAGATGAGCCTGATGAGCTCTTCCCTGACTCTGGTAAAACTACTATTACGAGCACACGGGAGTCTCGGAAAGAGCGAGAGGAGAAGCTGCGGAAGATGATGGAAGATGACGGTGTGTTCTTTTGGCTCTGCTGCATTGACGCCTACTGATCGGTGCAGATGAGGATGAAGATGAAGCAATGCCGGATGCAGCGCCATCGCCTGAAGAGGAGTCTAATATCATCGATCAGCCGCCTGCTAAACCGGCTGAACCAAAGGAGGAGGTGATCGTCCGTGCAGGCCGTCGACGGGGCAGACGGCAAGTGATGAAGAAGAAGACGGTCAAGGACGAAGAGGGCTACCTGGGTAAGATCTGCCTTTACTTTTTGATTAAGATGTTCCATTAATTGTTGAGCCAGTGACCGTCGAAGAGCCGAGCTGGGAGTCGTTCTCGGAGGATGAGCCAGCACCGCCACCCAAGAAGAAGCCGGCAGTGAGTGCGCCCAGGGCGAAGGCCGGGCCCAAAGCTGGCCAGGGCAGCATCATGTCATTCTTTGCGAAGAAATAGAATATGAATGGTGGAGAGCGGAGAGAAAAGATCATGTACAGTACAAAGTAAAGACCCCATCAGACAAACAACTATCGAGTCATCGAATGCATGAAGAGTAACGATGCAATGCGACAATTGCATAATGTGCCAATCCTTGTGGATTTTCTCCGCATTTCTGGCCCGCATTCCAACTTCTCCTTCCCCGTGTCACTCTTCGTCACGCCAAGTGCTTTCCCACCATGTCTCTTCTCTTTTCCTCTTCTTCTTCTTTTTCTCTTCATCTTGTTGACCTTCATATTCGTTTTCATCCAAATTACTTTTGGCGGTGCTCTGAATATCTAGACCTGTCATGACGCGCTCTGCGGCCCTCATCGTCGCTCTAGCAGCCGTTCTGGGCGTTGCAAGTGCTTCACCCCGCGAGGAACAGTCGATTCTGCGTCGATCTTGTCCCGATTACCTCTCTTACTCCTCTGTCGGACAGTGAGTAGTGACCTGCTGTCATCACTGCGTTAATTGTAACTGATCGTCCCCAGTCCCCCGTACAGCGGCGGTGCGTTGAATCTGCCCTTCCAGCGACCTTCGGTTGAATGTCGGACCTTCACATCATCTGCCGTTGAAACCGTCATCGAAGATGTGACATCGCGGATGGTCGACAAAGATCTGGCGCAACTGTTCCGCAACGCTTTTCCCAACACCCTCGACACGACAGTTCGCTGGCATGTCAACGCCACCCAGACATCAACAACAACACCACCACCACCAACAGATGCCCAGAAGCGGAAACGCGACGACGACTCAAGCCCTCAATGGCAAGGCCCGCAATCCTTCATTGTCACCGGTGACATCAGCGCCGAATGGCTACGCGACTCAACCAACCAGCTAACTGGCTACCAAGCCCTCGCACCGAAGGACCCTGCCCTACACAACCTCATCCTCGGCGCCATCAACACGCAGGTCGAATACGTGATCCAGTCGCCCTACTGCAACGCCTTCCAGCCCCCGTCTGCCAGCGGCATCCAGCCATCCAGCAGCAGCCAGCAGGACACCGTCACCCCGCCGTACAACTCGTCCGTGGTCTTCGAATGCAAGTACGAGCTCGACTCCCTCGCCAACTTCCTAGCGCTGGGCACGCAGTTCCACGCCGCCACCAACTCCACGCAATTCCTGACGCCGCGCTGGTACCGCGCCCTCGACACCCTTTTGCGGGTGCTCGACGCCCAATCCCAGCCGACCTTCACCCCCGCCCACCAGTTCGTCACAAACGAGTACACCTTCCAGCGCCAGACCACCCTCGGCACCGAGACCCTCGTCCTCGCCGGCGTCGGCAACCCGCTCAACCGCGGCACGGGCCTCATCCGCAGCGCCTTCCGGCCCAGCGACGATGCCACCATCTTGGGGTTCTTCATCCCCCCGAACGCCATGATGGCCGTGCAGCTGCAAAGAACCGCTGACGTGTTGGTCACCGCAGGCGGAAACGCAACCCTCATCGCCGACCTGCGACGCCGCGGTGAGAACCTCGCGCAGGCCGTCCGCGACCACGGCATCGTCTCCCACCCGGTCTACGGCAATGTCTACGCCTTCGAGGTCGACGGGTACGGCTCGCGCATTCTCATGGATGACGCCAATGTGCCTTCATTGCTCTCGCTGCCGCTGCTGGGGTTCGTCGAGCAGAATGATACCGTGTATCAAAACACCCGCCGCATGATTCTGTCCTCGGATGGGAATCCGTATTTTCTGACTGGGTCGGCGTTTCATGGGATTGGTGGGCCGCATAGTATGACCTTCTCCCCACCCCCGGCCTACGCTTCGCCATAACCTTTTCTTGAAAGAAACCCCACCTCCAGAATGATCACCTACAGCGCGCTAACCTTTTTTTTTTTTCTTGTTCGGTTACAGTTGGCCTGCAAAACGCATGGCCCATGTCCCTCCTCGTCCAGGCCATGACAACAGACAACGAGACGGAAATCCTCGAGTGCGTGAACCTCGTGCGCAACTCCAGCCTGCTGGGCCTGGTGCACGAGTCCATCAACGTGAACAATATCTCGACGTACACGCGGCCATGGTTCGCGTGGGCGAATTCCGTGTTTGCGCAGACGATCCTCAAGCTCGCGGCGGAGAGGCCGGCGCTGGTTTTTGGGGAGGGGGCGGAGGCGTATGTTCCTTGAGCGGTTGGGAACTTGCTTGATTGATTGGGGGGGTATGGGGTGTGGGATAGTAGGTTGGGACTGTGTGGTGCTGACAGTCTTGGTTCTTGGAGGATATGCTTTGCGAGTTATGTACATAAGTATTACATCCACTGTTTTACTCATTCAGGATGGCGAGTGTCTCCCCCATGAGCTCTTAAGGAACCAAATCAGTTTAAGTTACACCACAGCTGAGCTCTACAACCGCTCTCAGGCAAGCAGAACAACCAGCCCTATACCGTAACACTCAATCTACACAACCTCATCATACAATACCGATACTTACAGAACAGAAAAGTCTATCTATACCAGAACCCTCCTCAACCCCTCCGTACCCCCCAACACCCTCCGTCCCGTAACCGGACACCTCCCCCGTCCACTCTCCCACTTGCCCCTGCGACTTCTTTTCCCCTGCTTGCCGTTCCCGTCATCCTCTTCCTCCCTTCCAGCCTCTCTATCCCCTCGCTTCGTCTCCTCCGAAGCACCCAACGCCATGTCCTCCTCCTCCCATGCCGCACCCGCCGCAGCTTCCCCATCCATGAAATCAATTTGCCGCTGGTGCTCCCCGTTCAACCAATGGAACACACACACGTAGCAGAACACATACCCCGTCTGGCACGCGGTCGGGTTGGTCAATGGGTTCAGACAGATGGGACACGCCTGAGTGAGGTCCGAGTCCGCGGGTGGTAGGGGGACGGTGAAGATGGGGAGGTACGAGGATGCGGAGATGGGGGGTTGGCGGGGAGAGTCCGAGTTTGCTGAATGTTGTTGTTGTTTGTGCGGGGGTACTGAAGCTGCTGTGGGGCTGGTGGGGGATTTCAAGGCTGGTTTGAGGGGCGGGGATGATGTCGGTTTGATTTCGTCTGACTGGGTAGGTTTTTTCTTCATTGATTTCCGCTGCGACGGCGGGAGCATCCCGTTGGTGACCGGGGCAGGAAGGTCGAGGACCTCGGTAGCCTTACGGGCGAGCTGTCGCGAGAAGTCGCTAGCGTGGTACCATTCCAGAAACTTGAGGGCGAAGATGGAGGCAGGTAAAAAGTAGCGGAGGGAGGTCAGGAATTGGGAGTGGAGGTTCTGTGGACTGAGAAGGCCGAGGAGGCTGGAGCCCGGGCGGCGGGAGGGCGATGATGATGATGCGGGAGGGTCGAGCACGGCGGCGATGGCGCGGTGGTCGGCGGAGCTGAGGCGGCGGATGCGCGTGCCGATCAGCCACAGGAACGGGGAGGAGTATTTGGTGTTGTCGAAGAGGTAGGCGAGGTTAAAGGCCAGGATCGACAGGTAGTACCCGGCGTTGAGGGAGGGGTAGATGTTCCGCAGGAACCACTTGTAGCAGTGGAAGAGGCGTTGGCGCAGGGTTGGCCGCGGGGGCAGCTCGTCGCCGGGGTGGTAGCGTGGGCCGCCGCCGCCGCTCATGATCAGCGAGGCGTGCGGTGACGCGTGGATGTCGTACCCTTCGTCGAGTTTGCGCTTGAGGTAGGGGATGCCCACCATGATGAGGAGATTCTTCCAGACATCCCTGGTGCGAAGCTTGAGGGCCTCGCGGACGGGCCCCGGGGCGCCGATCTGGGCGCGCGGGATCTCGCCATTCTTCGTTAGCAGGACCCGTTCGCGCTTGAGCGAGTAGAAGTTCTCTGTGAAGGAGCCGCCGAAGGTGCGGAGGTAATATCGCTCGACAAGCAGCGAGAGGAGGGCATAGATCTCATCGTAGGAATTGAGGATCCGGAGGAGGTACCGTGGGTGACGGTGGGTGGCGACTGCGAGGATGTAGCGGATGGATGGCGGTAGCAAGTCAGAGAGCTGCTGCTCAGCGAGGAGCTCTGAGATGTGCGGGTTCAGTTGGTGTGCGGTGGAGATAAGCGGTGTTCGGGCTACACTCACCAAAGAGAGACGGCTTCAGATCATCGAACTCTTGCTGCAGACTCGGTAAGTACTCCATTGTGTGATGGACAGCGTCGTCATCATCCCTAGAAGCGCGACTGGAGAAGGCTGGGGAGAGATAGAGGAGAATTGGGTGGTGGTGGTCGGGGAAGATTGAAGATGCGGAGGAGAAGCGCTGGGGCTGAGCCGAGGCTTATCGGCGGCCGCCTTCAAGTCCGCTTCGGTTCTGCTGCTGCTGATCCGGCAGATTGTCTGCCTTGGATTACTAAAGGTCCACAACTCGCAAAGACATCTGATATCTCGTCAGTTGTCGCGCATGGCTAAGATTGATCGTTCTCTTTACAATCTCGGTGCTCAGTGCTACTGCGACAACAACTGACGTCATCCCACCAAACGAGTGCGCTTTCAAAGATGCATGAATGGACATCTGTGCACGATCTATTGACACCCAAAGCCCACAGGCCCTGCAGGAGCCCTGGAGTCCCGACTAGCTGATATTTTCCGCAGTCTACGCGTCAGATATCAGCTCCAACCACCACACAGATGGATTCGAGATTCGGGCGCTTCCTTTCAGTACTCAGACGACAAACCCATCCACTCAACTGCCACAGGCAAACCACACATCACACCTGATGAATCCCAACTCAGCCTCCGACGCAACCCACCCACTCCACCAAGCTCATCTAACACTCCGCCACCTTCCCCCCAACAACTCCGGCTTAACCAGATCAACAACAAAATCCCAAATCTTCCCCAACAAACCCATCGTTTCCCCCCCAGCTCTTTTCTGCCACATATAAGGCTCCACAACCAGAATACACCGCGCGACCGCCCGCGCGATCTCCCCGTCCAAAGCCTCGAACGAGACGTCCTCGCGCTCCATCATCGGGAACCAGGTCAGCACGCACTCCTCGACGCGACGCTGGTCGCTTAGCTTCGCATGCAAGTTGAACAGCATGAGGTAGTCCTCCGCAATGCGCGGCTCCCCGCGGAGCGGGATGCGGCGCCACAGCTTCCAGAAGGATTCGTAGTCCTCGTTCTGGAACAACATGGTCATCAAAGTTCGGGCGTCGTCAGGGTGGTACGGGAGGTGGAGGGCGTTGATTATCCGCGAGATGCGGAGGGTGGCGTTGTTTCTGAGATCATCTTTTGAGCTGTTTGTTGCGGTGGTGGTGGTGGTATCGCTAGTGCCAGTGCTAGGCTGCGGCGGGGAAAAAGCAGCCGCCTGGTAGAGCATGGCGAAGACGCCCATTGTCAATACCGGGGTGCCCTGCAGCGAGAGGAAGTCTAGCACGCGAAGAGCCAGCTCTTTGTCCGCGTCTGGTACCTGGTCGGGGAACTCCGCATCGCCGGGGAATCGGGGGGTTAGCAGTACGGAGACTATGTAGTAGCCGAGATGATCGGGGACAGCCCCTCCATCTGCGGTGTGTTGAGCAAAGGTATCATAGATCTTTTGTTTGTTTGGTCCCGAGAGCTGCTCATACTGGTTGCCGGAGAGCAGGGCGTCCAGCTGGTCTGTTAGTGGCGATTCCGGCGGGTGTTCAGCAGATGTAGGACCCTTTGCGGATGAAGTGTAGGAGTGTATTCGGCATGGATAGGGAGGTCTGTGGCGATTTAACGTTGTGGGCGTGACTGGACGCCGTGTATACAGGGCCGCTGGTCTACACCAGACTCTTCTGAAAAGAAAGCTGCTCATGTTATGGTCGATTGAGTGCTGAACGAGACACCACAGTCACAGTTAGTTACTCCTCAGTCTCAAATGCGGGGAAGGACAACACGACTAAGACAAAACCGGCATGGCGCCCGACAGGAGCCAGGAACCATGCGACTGACAGCTGCCCCACACCGCCTCTATCACCGCCTGGCTCGGCAGAACGCCAGCGACCTCGCAACCAAATCAGCGATTTTTGGAGGTGAACAGGCCCCCAAAAACCGGCCGGGGAAAGTGGTAGGTTTAGGCGGTGGCAGAAAACGACACTCAATCAAGTATAGCTTCAGCTGAACTGACTAAGTGAGGTACTGTAGGTATTAAGAGGAAATCGACCTAACAGCAAAGCCTCTCTCAACCATACGCAAGCTACAATTCCAATGCTAGTAGTCACGGGATGAGAAAGCGCTCATTTTATAACATAGGGATATCCATAATCAAAGCAAAGAGCAGATGCCCTATACACTATACATAGGAACATGATACACATCCATCTAAAAGATCTTCCCCAGGACCCTCTTAGTATCAGCCCCGAGATCCTGAAACTCCTCCGTACTCTTATCTCTGCCCATCTTGACCTCATTCTGTCTGAACACCCGGCGAATCTTGAGATCATCATGTTTCTTGGTCTGCTCAGCAGCAGCCCCCTCCACCTTTGCCCCATCATCACTCTTGACCAACTTCCTCCTCTCCTTCTCCTCATTCTTCTTCCGAATCCCATCGAGAACCTTGCCCCTCTCCACCCCCTCCAGAAACACCTTATCCTCCTTCCTCGCTTTCGAATCCTCCGCCCGCTGCCTGGCCTCCCTCTCCGACCGCTCACGCGAAATCTGCTCCTGCAAGTCATTCCATTTGAACCCTTTGAGGTATTTCAAGTTCAAGATATCATCGTGGTAGAATCCCCCCTTCTTCCCCCCGATGATATTCCCATTCAGCGTCTCCGCGCAGATCTTCGCCGTCTTCTTGCTCGCAAACTCCAGCCACCCGTCCGCGTACGCCTTGCGGCGCTTGTTCGTCGCATGCCGCTTTTTGGTTTCTGGCGTCAAAAACACCCGCGTGATCGGGCCAAAACCGCGCGATTCGATGATATTTTTCAGAGCGAAGGGTTTGAGGTGTGGTGGAAGAGAGGAGAGGTAGATTACCCCGGTTTTGTTTTTCTTGTCTTTTTTGAGGATGGGTTTCGTGGTGGTTTGCTTCTTGGTGGGTGCGGAGGTTGCTGCTGCTGTGGCTGAGGCTGTTCTTGTTGTTGATGCTGCTGCTGCCGAGGCTGTCGCATGTTCTTCTTCTTCCTCCTCCTCGTCGTCGGAGGTGGTAGGTTGCGCGCGACGACGACTACCCGCTGCGGAGGAGGTCTTGCCCTTGCCCTTCACTCCCTCTCCCTCACTATCAGACCCAGATTCATAGTCTTCGTCCTCGGACTCCAGTCCGTGCAGATCATTCACCACACGGCGCCGCTTCGCCGAGCGAGGGCCTTTGCCCTTCTCCTCGTCCGCGGCCGAGTCGTAGCCCTTGTCTTCATCGGAATCGTCGCTGACGCCGAGGTCAAAGGGGTCGTTGCGTTTGCGGGAGGTCATCTCTTCGTGGTCTTTGGGGTCTGAGCTCTCGTACTGGATTGGGAAGAGGGGTGTGGTGGGTGCCTCGAGATTGTCTCAGGCTTAGAATAATTGCAACTTTTCTGCCGGGCGGTGATTACATGGTCTGTGCGCTGGGGCGGCGGAGGGGGTTGAAGCTGGCCAATCGGGGAGGAGATCATCTTCCATGATGATCATACCGTAGGCGGCCAGGCGTCCGTTTGCAGGGCGCAAGTGCAGAATCAACGTGGTTGATCTGTATACTAACATTCTATTCATGCTTCTCCTTTTGACTTTTGTGCGTGACTACTGTGGAGTAAGAATGCAAGGATTGGCTTCAGTGGCAGACAGCTGGCAGACAACGTCATGATATGCACAATTGTACTAATATGCTTGCTCTATGTACAAGACTGTACTGGACTCCGCTGTCACTGGAAGGCATCTCGCCTCATGCAAAGATGGGTATGAAACAATGGTATATAGACACGACTCAGCTCTCGCCAACCCCAGACGCCCAAAAGTCTTTCACAGCAACCGAGAAAACAAAAACACAGCCAATCAAAGTCCCTATATACCCAAGGACCATTTCAGTCGTTCGTACACAAAAAATCCGGTGGCCGTCATGGGAATGATCTTCATGTATCCAATTGTCAACCCCACCCAGAAGCCTCGGAACCCGCGCTCTAACATGATGGTGCGCGCCGTCTCGACAATCCCTAAGCGATGGCCGTCGCCGACCACGCCTCCGACTTGCATGCGTCGCCGGATGACCTCCAAGGGGTACGAGGATGTCTGGGAGACGAGACCCGCGAGAGCACCAGAGGTGAGCTCCGCCGCGGCGGTCAGCTGGAGTCGTCGGGAACCCTTTCTCGTGGATTCGGATTCGGGGAGGGTGGTGTATGGGGCGAGGGCAGGAGAGCGTAGCCAGTCACCGACGGTGTCGTGGGTGAGGAAGGACATGCCCGCGTAGGGAAGCATACCCAAAAGAGTCGGTGCGAAGCCCCGGTAGAAGTTGGCCAGACCCGAGTGGGGGACGGCCTTGTTCACAGCAGCAGAGACGGTCTCCGCCGTAGCCGTGACGGGGGCTTGCGTCGCAGACACCCCAGTCGACGTCGAAGGAGGCGTGACCCGTTCATTGTAGATCTGGCGAAAGATATCGGTGAAGGAGGAGCGAGCGGTCCGTTTCGTTTCGAACGCTAATCGGACGCGAATCAACTCTAACGGGTAGGTGAAGAACACTGAGGTGATACCCGCCAGACTGCCCGAGACCAGTCGGCGGAAGGGCGTCTCTTGCTCATGCGAGGGAATGATCACCGCCCGGAACTGCTCGTAGGCAAGGAACTTGATCGCAGCGTAAGGGAAGATACGGAGAAGGGTCGCGGAGTGTCCTTTGTAAAGGCCTTGGAGGCCTTCGCGGTGTTTAATGTCTCGGATGGCCGCAACGAGGCCATACCAGCTGCCTGTGTATTTGGCAAATTGCGGATTCGAAGCCTGAAAGAGGATCTTGACCCGGTCGAGCGGCGCAACAACGGTTTTGGCCTACAGGGTTCCGCCGTCAGTCTGGGGGGGGTCATTTGCAAAAGCGACCAGTTGATGGAGTTAGAAACTTACCGCACACCCCGCCAGACCCCCCGCAACGCCGCTGCGTACGATATAATCGACGCTGCGCTTGTTCACTTCTTTCGTTCCTCGACGGCCGTTTTGTGCTTGGTGAGGCGATGACGCATCGTCCACCGCGGTCGCCTGTGTCGTGCTCACAGCTAGCCGCTCCTTTGCGTCACCTGGTGCTGGGCCTCGGGTCGGCCTTGACTGGGCGACCTGCTCCATTTGAGATCAATGTGTTCGACGGAGTAGATCGATTTGAGTATTAACAAGAAACTGCTCAGCGGCGCATAACCTTGTACAGCCGCGGATTCGAACGCAGTCCTGGCGCAGGGCCGAATGTGAAGGTAGTATCGAGCAGGTCACGGACTAACGGATATTTGCGGCCATGGATATGTCGTCAAAGAGAGTAGAAGGGATGGAGATGCTGATACGGATGGAAGGTAGAAGAATGTGCGGGGGGGGGGGAAGGGAATGTGAAGAGGACAGGGAATACCGCAGCAAGCCGAGGGCAGATAAGACTCGGTGATCAGCTGGCGTCCGTTTGATTATGGATTTGGGATTTGTCTCCAACGGTCGGAAGGCATTTGAAGTCACTGAGGTTCCACTTTAACTCCGGCGGCGGCCAAGAAAGATTCGAACGGGGATGACGTTACAGCCCTGACGTGCCGATACCACCCGCTTCCACCCACCAGCCCTGCAGTTACCGTCACATAACACCTCGGCATCCGACTGGGTGGCGGAAGTCTTCAGGTTGGCCAACCGCAGCCGAACAATTAATCAGGCTCCCCGTTGACACCTGAGCCACACATCTATTTACATCTCAGCCTCAAGCTGTTGAAGGATCACATTCTACACAAATGCAGTAAAGAAACAGCATCCCTATTATGCACACCCCTAGGGGCGCAATGTCTGTATATTCTAAACACTATGTACTCCTTGATTGCTCTCTCAAGAGCCATGCCTCCCACTCTCCACACAGATCTTCTCCCAACACATGCATATACAAAAGTCAGAAGCTGAATCAAACGGATAAATCATGGTCACATCGCTCATGCAAGTTCTATCAAAAACTCCTTTTCTTGATGGTTTGCCACCCAACTGTATAGCCTCAACCATGCACAAGTTCAGTAATCCTAAACACCCCTAACCCCAAAAGGAAAATAAAGAAAGCGAACTGGCGGCACTCTTAGAAGTTGTAGCGTGTGCCTTGTCTTGTCAAGGGTTTGCCTTGGCGGTTAATGGCTTTGACTTCTTTAGGCTCGTCAATAGCTCGTTTGGCCCGCTTGGTCGGCCGCGAGGCATCCACATGGAGGTGTCCATTGTCATTCATGCTTGTATTGTTTCTCCAGCGCATACAACGATGCTTGTTGTCGTCCACATAAGTCTTGTGGCGCGTCATGACTCGCTTGCTGGGGATTTCCTCCGATTCCGCCCGTTCTGCAGTCTGCTCCAAGTACTCCTTGCGGTGCTTCATGTACTCGGCGATCTTGTCGCGCTGCATCTGCAACTCCTTGCGTAGTCTTAGCTCCCTGTTACCGCGCGGGTCGAGCCAGTCGATCAGCTGTTCAATGGCCTCCGGTTCATCATAATATCCCCACTCGGTGGCATTCGTTAGTCGTGTTGGGCCTTCCTCTTGCTTCTTGCGCTCTGCTGGAGTGGTGTGGAACTCCTTTTGGTATTGCTTCTTGTACTCGTCGGAAACATCAATGAAGCCGACACGCTCCAGCTCATCAGGGCCTTGAACCCATAAGCGGCCATTTGCATACTGTGCTTCTGCCGTGGAGCTGTTGGGCATGCCTCCGTATGGCATGCCGTTTCGTTCGAACCACCAGTAGCGGTTGCAGAACCGGTCCTTTCCGAGACATCTCGTTCGTGGACAGTCGGCTTCTCTCAAATCATTATCGATCACATCGATCTTATCTTCGAGCTTCTTGACCGCGGCCTTCTGGTCTTCGATCTTCTTTAGTACTCTCTGATACTGCTTAGTTCCTTTGGGCTGTTTGGCCAGCTGTTCCTTCCGCTCGCGCTCTTCTTCTTGCTTGCGTTTGCGCTCAAGTTGTCTGTCCAAGCCACCTCGAAGACTCCGCTGAGGAGCTTCTTCCTGATCTGAGTTGTCGAATTCGCCATCAATACCAGTCATCTTCGAGTCCTCCAATGCGTCCAGTTCCGGCGCTGGTGAGGGAGACTTCTCTGGCTCCGGCTGGAGAGCCTTGCGCTCTTGGTGCAACCGACGGAGTTCTTCGAGACTGTAATGACATACATCAGTAAGCGACACCCTCAGACAACTATACATAGGCAGCAGGAACGGTCTCGGTCAAGGCGAAGGCACGAGACATTTGGTTGTACTTACACTACCTTGCGTGCTTTTTGGTACTCGATCTTCTCTTTGCGGAACTCTGTCATCTGGTTGCTGCACTCTTCGAGGTAATTTCGAATAGCCTTTGTTTCGAGACTGAGCATGCAAATGATTTGCAGTGCATGAATGCGAAGGTTAATATCCATAGTGGCGTATTGGTACTGGGCAGTCTCTTGAGTCGGTTCGGCATCCAGTGGGGCAAGATGGCTGAGGATCTTGTTGCATACTTCCTTCATGCCCGGGCGGCCTGAAAGTCGATTGAGAAGTCCAACAATAACCAGCTCCCATCCGCCATTCCGGAAATCACGTTTCCGCAGACGCTCAATCCAACCATACTCCTCAAACATTTCTGCAGCTCGATGAACTGGAACCTCCTCCGAGCTAGAGCCCTCACGTTCTGCTTGAGCTTTGAGGCTTTCTGCTTCAGCCTTGGCCAGACTACTCCGGGTCGTCATTCTAGTTACTACTGGCTCCGGTTCGGGCGTAGGTTCTGCCTCTTCTTCCTCTTCCTCCTCCGCCTCCGAGTCGTCAGAATCTTCTTCGGGAAGGTCTGGAAGAGATATCTGTACAGCTCCATCTTCATCCTTCTCCGAATTGACAAGCTTCTTCAACACGGCGCAATGCACTTCAACAAACAACTCACAGTCCACGTCTTCCGAGGAGAAACGCATGGCCTGGAAGAAGTCATCGAAAGTGAAAGAGTCCAGTTGGAAAACCTCACAGTAGACATTGAGTGTGTTCCATGTTTCCAAGAGGCGCGCCACAGACTCCATTTCGAGATGACTGTGCAGAAGCTCCTCATCGTCGGGATCATCAATCTCATCGGTAGTCATATATCTGAGAGCCGGACGCTGCTTCTTCTTCTCGTGGTCGGGAGCGATGTCCAGATCCTCAATAGGGTACTTGATGGGTGGAGGTGTTGGCTCCTTCGGAGGTTCAACTTTGACAACCACAGCGGGAGGGGTTTGCGCTTGGACTTGCGATTTCTTCTCCGTTTCTTGGGACTTGGAAAGACGAGCGACTCCATTAGTAGACTTATTGGCAGGAAGGAACGATGGATTGCCGTTGAGAGACCGCTGATACTCCAGGAATTGAGCTTCCTTCGAGCGATTTAAATCATTTTGTGATGGCTTTAGCTTTTGCCCTTTGACTGCCGGCTTTAATTCCGGCAGTTGCTGTGAAGCAAAAAAACCAAAAAACCCATCCTGGTCGGCCTTTTTCAGAGCCTTTTTCTCGGCGACCTTGGCGCCATATTGCAGGTGCTTTGGTACTTCGGTGGGGATCCTGTATTCTTCGGCGATTGTCGATTTCACCAACCAAGGAGCGCCGTTCCAGGACTCCCTCGTCACGTTGTTCTTGATGAAAGCGCGCAGCATTTGCTTGGTGAAGGTCTTCCGATCGCGAGTGATATGGTCCTGATCCAGCAACGCTTCCTCATTTGGACGGTCCAAAACCTTCACCAGATAGGTGCTGTGGGCAGGTAGCTTGACGGTTCCATCCGGGTAGAGCTGTTCGGCAAAATTGGCCTTGTCCCTTATCATACCATGCAGGCGAGTATTATCGTCGAGAAGAATGAGGACGGGTTCTCCTGGGTAGAAGTCTTGCTTGAATTCCTGCGGCCTCGATTAGCATGTTGCCTGATGATACAATTGGGGCCTTCTCTTTCAAAATACCTCGAAGATTTCATCCACTATAATCTGTTGTTAGTCTCCAGCCATAACAGCTCACAAGAATAATATAGACGCACCGAGATTGTCGACCCGCGACACGGTGGAGAATTGAATTCTGCGGAGAATGGGCTCCTTCAGAGCATCGGGAAAAGCACTGTTGACTTCACGCGACTCCTCCATCTATTATAGTTTCTCAGCAAAAGTACCATAAGTCGACTGCCTTTCGTCATACCTCGCTTTTCAAAGCTTCGAAGAATGTTAATCCCGAGTGACCTGTGATCTCACAGATGAACCGTTTCTGCTTGTAGAAATCCATCCGCTGAAGATAGGGTTCATAGTGAACGAAAACCTCGTTTGTCTCCGGGATCACCCAGACCTGCCAGTCCGGTGAGCTACCATACGCCTGCGGCATCCATATTTGTGGCTGATGGTTGTACCTACCTCGGAGCTGTCATCTTCAATGACGGGCCGTGGGAGGTATTGGACTGGTTTCCGCTTGAACAAGACCTATAGAACGGCGTAAGTTCCATATCCGAAGGCTTATAAGTGATCACCTCCGAAGCTCCCATTATCCCCCAAGCTTCGCACTATGAGACTGCCGACGTACCATTGTCGCTTAGGTTGCTGGAAACACGAGTCAATCGATCATAAATTGGTTGATGCGGCGTAGGTCAGGAACATGCCTAACATTTGAAAAGCGCGGTTAGTATAAAGGCGCTATACTGGAAGACAAAGATGAAGAACAAAAACAATGAACACAAAGCGAAGTGCTATTTGTGGCGAAAGAAAGGAAGGATGCTGTATCGGAACAGTGCGCGCGCGAAAAGAAGTCGGCCTTGCTTGCGGGGGACTTGCATGGGACATATTCAGGCATGCGGCAATGCTGGCTGGACAAGAAAGGTAAACTGCAGGAGGATATGAAAGACTTACCCAAGCGACGCGTGCTGAATCGCGCAACCCACGACTCCGCGGACTTGGTGGGTGGAGCACGACACGAGAATTGCACCCGGGAGAGACGTGGAGTCGCGCGAATGTCCGGGAGTAAATTGATGATCTCTAAGCGGAAGATATATCCCAGAAAAGACCCTCTGGTGGTGCGGGGCGGGGAGGAGGATGCAACGGCGAAGGTGGGTGGGTGAGTGGCGGGGAGGTGGGAGGGTAGTCGAGTTACGAGGGTATAGAATGTGAAGGATTTAAGAGGAAGAGAAGAAGAGTGGGAAGAAAGAAGAGGAAGAGGAGGAGGAGAAGTCAAGGCAGAAAGGAGAAGCGGTCGCCGCAGAAGAACGAGCGGCAGAACTGGAGCGGGCCCCATTTCTGCAGTTGAGTGGAGGATCACTTGCGGCAGTACAGTATGTGCTGTGGACAATTGAGGAAGTGGGCACTGGAGACGGTGCAGTGGGTGGAAAGGCCGCCGAGGAACGGAAGGCGGTGATTGGACGTGAGGAGGAGGAAAGACGTTCGGGTCGGGCGGACTTTAGACTGAAGTAGGGGTTAATCCTGTTTGGGAGATGCTCTACCTTCCCGGCCCTCTTCCTCTCCCCCTTCTAACCCTCTCTGCTGTTGCCCGTCGTCATCGGCCTCCCTCCAGCACCACAACCCCACATGTATCTATACTCGTTCGACTCGCCGTTCTTACGCGAACATGCTGGACAGTTGTGTCTAATCTATTTTCTTCTCTATATGCTATCTACAAGCACAAACAATAGACCCATCTGGAGGCAACTGCGGGGACCATACATCGGGGTCAATGTCCGACAGCAGCAACTGCTCCAGTGGCAGCGCACATAGATGGAATAGATTCTAAACCCCCTTTTACTATTCAATTCTGGTGACTGCAGCTATCCTGATACATTTCTTCACAAGGTCTTCCAACAGCACCATTATCTCGTGCATTTTCATCTCACAAGCGGTTGTATAGATCGCTTTGGATATCAGCACTGGCCTTGCGGTCCACTGGCCAATCTACTGCTGCAACACTGACGCCAACCACGCAACAAATATGCCACATGGTGTCGACATAATGCCTGCCCGGAGACGACACCCTGCTTATTGATGCGTAGGATCATGTTGTACTCCGCGTTCTCGACATGGATTGATGACGATATTCAGCCAACCACCACAGGGATACTTATGCCAGCGACCTTGCTAATTCTTGCGATCACTGCAAAACTGCCTGTCTCTCCAATGCTTACAGCCTGGTTATCTTCATATCCCCTGCCATAGTCTGAAGCGCATCAACCGTGACGCACCACGGGCTACTCAAATGGCTCGCGTTCGACACCTGAAGCAAGCACATGAAGCTTGACTATCGCTCAAGGATGGCTCGATAATGTAAAGATGGAGGCCAACATCTCCTCGGCTTTGGCTTGAAAGTACCTAGCGGGAGGGTGAAGAGAATCGATGCTTGTATGACGATGGAACTATCACCGTTCATCGACCATCTTGCTCGAAAAGTCCACACCCCAAAGTTCAAGAGCTTCCTGCTCCGTTTCTATCTGAAACGAAGATTTTTTTTTTGGGGATCCCAGACTATTCCATCTGAACTGGTGAAAGGGAAAGGGGAAGAAAGCATAAGTTATGTGCAACCACAGACGATAGTCATCGCAGCCATTGAAGCCTACGCGAACAATCAAGAGTCGAACAACAGACTCATCTATGATGCCATAGGTAGCTCTCCAATATTTTGCATCTTTTTTGTTTTCAACCCGCATACTTCTTCGCACCAATGGCTTGTAACCCGACAATCCAGATTCAGTGGCAACAAACAGGCAGACCTCCCACATCTCAAAACAAACACCATACCAAATCCCGCAAGGAAAAAGTCAAAATCATCATCATTATATTTAAGCAACTTGAGCATTCTTCAGAGCCTAGAAAATCCACTAATCATCCGCCGCTGCGCGTTGTGCTGCATCACATCGCCGAAAAATGTCCATCTGATTCCTCGCCGAACGGCAGCAGATATCCCGAAGTATAAATCGGACACCAAACCAAGTCACATTATATACTGTAAACCTAGCCAAGTTATTCCTTAAAACGGAAAGAAGCAGCTAGGTCCAGCTGAGGCAGTACAGTGAGAATCCGTCCACCTAATCAGCCTCCTTTTACATTCCCAGAGATAGACAGCTCCAAGAGTTCCTCCGAGCTCCCATCTGCAGTGTGACATACTGTGAACGCGATCCATGTTTAAGCCACTAGGCTAATCCCGATTGGGCTTGATAGCCGCTGATAAACTTTGCAAAATTGACTGATCGGAGGGTGGGGTGGGGCGCTGACACACATAAGCACGTGGATACGCGCAAACAGTGCAAACCTGTCTTCCTTCGTCGTTCCCCAGTGGTGAACCTGTCTCATATTTATCGCGACAGTCTTCGGTTACGAGGTGCAATTGTGCTTGTGATAGGGAGTGAGTCTCCCCAGGACGTTCTTGAGCTCCATTTAATGTAGTTACTGATATTTGATCTTATTGTGTGGAAGCTTTTATGGTAAATGCTCCCCAACCCCGCAGGATTGAAAGTATAGATTCTGATGCTTTCTCGTTCTCGAGACTATGCTGTGAAATAAACCACCATAAATCCAATCCAGCTCCCGACAACCCCAAGAGCGGAATAACTGCTCATAAACATCAACGGGAGGAACTCATAGCGTCCCAGACCGAAAATAAGCTGGTGTCCCACGGAACAATAGATGATGAGTGGGATGGCCACAGTCAGATAGAGCAACGAGAAGCGATCGGCGAAGAAGACGCGACGCCGCTCGGGGACCGGCGCCACCTGGTCGAAGGCAAAGAGGAACAGTACAAGCCAGAAAACGGTGTAGACAGTCTTGATCGGGAATTCCGCGGCCGTGAAAAGCAGCGGGAACAGAGAAACATGTCCCGCTACAGCCAGCGGTCGGAACGCGCTGAAATACCGCCGGTCTTTGAGGGCGATGAGGCTGAAAGGGATGATGATCAGGAGAACGGCCTTTTCGTGAACGTGCCAGCCGAACAGGAAGGATGCGTAACCGCACAGAGTAACGGCCCCCACGAAGGTTTCCCAGTCTGGCCGGCGCCAGAGCTTGGTCAATGGCAGCTGTGTCGCAGTTAGTATTACCGACCTCAGAGAGCTGGGGCGAGAGAATTTACCAATTGGAAGAGGAATGTGAGTGCGAAAGTGTGCTCCTTGGTCACCTCTGGGAGTACCGCGAACGAAGTGTCGCCTACGAGACCGCGCGTAACACTGGACAAGGCATCACGATTGACTGGTAGTCCCAAGCGCGGGGCAACTATACAGCAAAGTCAGTTATCATGCGACAATGCTCTGGGATCGAGTACGAACGTGGAATCAAGGCGCGATCTGCGAATGAGTACATGGCCCAGACATTTGGCGCCCAATATGCATGACACAGACCTCTCGAGAACGGAAAGAGCCTGTCTTTCAGCTGAAGGAGCTGGCCCCAAGAGGCGAACGGACCGAATGCCAGAGCAAAGATACCCACGACGCCAACCCCCAGCTTGATCGTGTTAAAGATCTGGGGCCGGAAGACCGATTTAGGGTCCAAGCAGTAGGCTCGCAGCAGGTAGACGAAATAGGCGAGCGCAAGATACAGGTAAATGTGCTTAAAGCACAGCAGAGCTGCAAAAGTGATGCCACTGTAGAGCAACGTCGACTGCTTCCGGGCCAGAACAATGGACAGGATGAGGAGGCCGTAGAGAAATCCGTTATATTGGAAATGAATGTGATCAATAATGAGCAAGCCGGGAGACAAGAGGATGGACAGGCTGGCGATATGAGCGAGATGTCTGTTCTGCTGCGGCACGGACTTGACGAATCTACGAGACAAACCGGCAAGTTTAGCTGGAATCCAACTTCAGATCAGCATATGAGAGAGATGGCATACCTGCTAAGAGCAAATAGAAGAACCAGTTCCGTAACAATTACAGTAGCCCTTTGATAATATACCGTCTGCCACGAATCATAGTTGAGATTCTTCACCAATAGCATGGCAGGATCCACATAGGAAGCTGCTTGTGAAAGAAGCCATTCGAAGGCGGCGAAGAAGGGAGGGTAATCAAGCGTCCATTCCGATGTTTTCTAGCCGTCAATTGAGTGCTGTTAGCTCGCCGCATCCGTCTCACGAAACAATGTTGTCGCCGTACCTCGTAGTACCATTCCTGAACGGGTAATGAATGAGTGATCGCAAGCCAGTTCCGATGCACCTCGAAGTCCGTGGATTTGCTGGCAAAGGATCCGGCAGTCAGTATAAAGTGAAGAGGATGATCGGGGATTTGTTTGCCGACCACGTACTATGCGGGGAAAAGAAGAATCTTGAAGGCCGTTGCGACGATGGCGCACTGGGCCAATGAAGGATAGAGCTCAGCCATTGGAGGAACTGCGCATGACGCGCTCTCACGGAGCAGGAGGAACAGCAAAAGAGAAAAAGTGAAGCAAAAGAGTGTAAGGTGAACAGAAGCAGATGGATAATAAGTGGTCCTCCACCAGGTACAGTTCGATGCCAATCTGGGGGAGGGAAGGGGCACGTGATGATGGCGGTCAGGGGCGGAGCGTCGATGAAAGGCCAGTTTGTCCCATAAACTCCGTTCTTATATTAACAGCCTAGTGTTGATCCCCATAGAATGGACTTGACCACCGCATCGGACTTTGGAGTCCGTCATTCCCACGTCCTTTCCTCCGTCGAAGTCCGTCACTTCCTCGACATCTCTCCTGCTGCCGCTTCAGTCGCCAAGGAACTTCGTGTTTGTGTGATCGCCATTGTGGTTGGGTGGACCACTTCGCGCATTGTCTCCGCGCTGTTGAACCGCAGAGCTTCTTCTGACCAGTGACGATCGTCCCGCTGATACATCCAGCAAAGCTCCAACTCCAGCTCCAACTCCTTTCGCGAGATTCCCTTCTGAGGTGTCTTATTGGAGACCCCTTATTCTTAGTCTTCGTTTTTGTTTTGCCCTTGATATTTCCTGCGATCTCTTTTTCTATTGTTCCGTTAGCCCAGTGCCAGCGTCACCGAGCAACCACGAATCTCCAATTGAACCGACGTCATGAAGACCCCCGCTTCTTTTTTCTCCTTCCTCGCCGTCGCGACTGCTCAATCTGTGATTGAGAGCTCTAGCTTCGGTTATGGCCCTGCGTACAGTTCCCCCTTTTTGCTGCAGTGCTGCGTCCTGCCCCCGGACTCAACGCTGACTTTGCCGTAGGCTATCACGAACACCGAGTTCGGGCTTCATTCCGGGCTGGGAAGTGAAAGGCGAGGCGCATACCCCTGATATTGTACGGACCTGTTCCATTGTCGATTGCGGCAATTCTGTGCGGTTTCACAACTGACTGCGTTTTAGCTGTCCAATAAAGTCATCCTGACGCCCCCTTACCCTGGAAATACCAGGGGATATGCTTGGGCGGAGTCGCCGTAAGTTCTCGATGGTTGCAGGATGTGTGAGATGTGTGCTTATATATCCTAGTATAAGCCAAACAGAGTGGACTGCGGAGTTCGAGTTCCGAGCGACAGGCCCTGAGCGAGGCGGCGGTAATCTCCAGGTGTGGTATGCGAAAGACGGAAAGGACAAAATCGGGACATCTAGTATCTACACTGTCAACCAATTCGACGGCTTTGCCCTCGTTATCGACAGCCATGGTGGAAGGGTATGTCGGGAATCTGTGTTTCCGAGTGTGAGCACAGCTAATTGGTCATACAGGGAGGTAGTGTCAGAGGATTTCTCAATGATGGCACGACGGACTACAAAAGCCATCGAAGTGTGGACAGCCTAGCTTTCGGGCACTGTGACTACCCATACCGCAACCTTGGCCGTCCCTCGAGCGTCCGTATCAGACACACCAATGCAGTTTTGGAGGTTACTGTTGACGACAAGCTGTGCTTTTCGACTGATAAGGTATTCCTCTTCCCCAGCTCCAATCATGAAGTTCGATGCTGATCCCGGATCAGGTCACTCTCCCGTCTGGCAACTATTTCGGCGTCACCGCTGCAACTCCCGAGAACCCCGATTCGTTCGAAGTCTTCAAATTTGTCGTCAAGTCCGCCGAATCCGGATCCGGCAGCACTATCCCTGATCAACAACAGAATGTCGCTCAGAATCAGCAACCAGTTGCGGCCCAGGATCAAGCATCCCAGCAACAGCAGCAACAGCAGGAAACTCGGTCCGGTGACTCTCGCTCGGTGACTGAGCAGTTTGTCGACCTGACCGGTCGTATCCAACTGATCAACCATGCCACGAACAACATCGTCCGCGAGATTGGTAACCAGGCAACCAAGAGCGAAAACCGTCATGTGGAACTGCTCCAGAAGTCGGCCACCAAGGACCAAGTGGCCAATCTTGAGGCGAGACTTCAGAAGATGGAAGACATCCTGCTGGCCATCCAACGGGACCTGGAGGGCAAGGACTACCACGGCCGTTTCTCCCAGTTGCAAGAGACTCTGCGCTCCTCGCACCTGAGCTTGACCCAGGAAGTCCTAAACGGTACGCATAGACCCTTTTCCTCTCCGAGGCAACCACGAGAGCATTTCCTCCGTCTCTTTTCCCCAAAGAGAATCAGACTAATCGCAAACTCCCTCATCCAGGCATCACCTCTTCCGCTCCTCGCATGGGCTTCTTCATCTTCTGCATTATCGCCTTCCAGGGTCTCCTTGCTGGTGCTTATATCCTCTACAAGCGCCGCCGTAACAACATGCCCAAGAAGTTCCTGTGAGAGCCTCCTCTTCTCAACCACAGTGGACCTAAAGGGAAACAGGACACAGACACACACCATGGGGATCCGCAGGCTGGCTCCATCTCTCCTTTGCCCTGACCCGCATTTTCAAACACCCCGCTATGGGCTCCACTCCTCCTCCACACAAGCAATCAATCACCCTTACTACAATCCCACAAAACCCCCCATAGACAACAAGCACTTCACGCCAACCGTCGCACGCCATAAGGGGAGTGACACTGACTATAGTCCAACCACAAACAAAAATCATTGGAAAGTCCGCCTAAACAATATTGTATACCACCCACACGAACCCAATCCCAAGCTCACTGAACGAGGAACATCTTCGGAATCTCATTCTGAGCGTTTTGTATCAGTCCCTGCTTTTCTCGTCTCAGTCATAGTAGTTGCGTAGCTGTGTTTTGTTTTATGAGCGCCTCCTGCTTGTCTTGCGCGGTTCATAGTGGTCGGTACCGTACTGTACTCGTGCCATGTTTGTTGTGAGGGGCTGCACCCTGTACTTGTGCTATTCTTGGTTTAGGCAATGAGCGAAACACGGTAGCTGGGATTGAGTCTGCAATAGAACTTCTTTGCTTGAATATGAAAAGTCTGTCTGGGATAGTGTCACCAGTACCCCTAACCTCTATCTATAGCCGATGTGGCCTGCCAAATCCTATGTAGTCGAGCCGATCGACAGGGCAAGGAGGGAAAGAGAGAGCAAGGAAGGTGGAGCTGTAAAACTAGTGCAGAAGACCTTCCTACCTCGATAAACATCTACGGAGACGAGCTCTTGGCCCAAGTGGACCCGCAGAAATGAGTTCGATGCCAAGGTGACCTTTCATTTCTTCATGCACACTGCTAATAGAAACAGGTCCCATGCGATGAGATGCGACCAGACATGTCAAAATCTGCGAGAAGGCAGACAGCATGGTGCAACAATGCTCAAGAGAAGAACACAAGAATGCCACAAATTGAACAAACATGCTCCTTCAGACGATAAGGAAAACACCTTTCTAGATGATTGATGAACAAAACCCGCCGTGTATGAAAAGCCCTTAACGCCACAGTCCCATGGAATACACATGAGAAAACAAACAAGAGTACCCAAGTGCGAAAACGAGAAATAAAACCGTCGTCAAAGACAAGTATTTCCTCAAGCTAGCCTATGCGGGAATAATGATAATGCACCAATTGATAAGTGTTCTGAAGCTTTGAAATGGATTGGAATAATTCGTCGCCTTGCTTGCAGCCACAGAACAGACTGGGCCGAATGGTCAGCTGGACGATCTATCATGGGATCACGAGAGACTGGAGAATTGAACCTACCGGTTAATGATATAACAGCAAATAGTCAAATTATCGTATCAAATCGTCGTCATAAGAATATACGCGTATATTGTGCGCAGATTTAATAATAATAAAAAGGTGAAGGCCGCTCGTTGAACGAGCCTCATTTGTATTGTTGAGAGGTTTTTTCTAAAACCTCGAAACTGTGCGACGCGCGCCGGGATCTGGCGGCTCAAGGCGTTTTGGTGTTTATGATTGTCGTGATTGCTGAGCCGCCAGATCCCGGACACGTCGGTCGATGAGGTCCTTCAAGGCTTGTAGGGAGGCTATCTCAGTCTCAGCTGAGGGCCGGATCTCTGGAGCATTAGCTCGGAGTTGGTCAATAAGCAAGCTCATCCTATCACCGGCGTCTGGAGAGGCGAGATGCTCCTGCTGAGCGAATTCAAGAAGGTTGGCTGCCGCCTGGCGTTCAGCAACGGTGCGAGAATTTGAGATGGTCGTGCTTGCATCCTCATCGGCCAGCAAGGGTTGTGGTGGTGGTAAGGCAGCGCGGGCGTCCGCAATTAGCTTGTCATACTCGGCAGTTGCGTGCTCAAGGAATTTGTTCGCGTTTGCTTTCAGCAATTGATACTCCACGTTTTCTCTGTCGCGAGAGTCAATATGGGTAGTCGAATGAGGATTCATGGGGATTACTGGCCTTTTGACCTGGCTAATGAAGGTGTGTTTGATTCCTTGCTCTGACACGCGGTACCTGACGCTGCCTTCTTCTTGGTCTTCCATCTGGGTGATCTCGTCATCGGAGAGAAGAACGTCTATATCGACCATCCGGGGATGCTTTGGCCGGCGGATACGCTTGTAAACATCATAACCTTCTTCATCCTTGATGGCATAAACGTAATCATGCCAGGCATGATTCGGGCAAATCCAATTGTGATGCGCAAGATCACTTCCTGGGACTTGAGCTGGTGGGGCGGCCATGGGCGGATCGAGACAGTCCAAATGCCACGAGAGAGGACACACATCGCACTGAATGATAGGCCGACCGCTGGCAGCATTTCCTGCACATGCGAAGCAGAAGATAGGGGCCCCTAGGGCGTCCACTGTCCTAAATAGATGAGGATCATCGTAGGTACCGTTGCGGTAACCACGGCGCCCTTTCGGCTTGGGCATTGGTACTATGGCCTCATATGACTGGCTATCTTTCTTGTTCACCCTCACACCCGTGAAATGATCACGGATCCGAGGGGGAAGTTGGAAATCCTTAACTTCTTTCTTGCCGCCATAACGTTGATCAAACTTGCTAGTTATGGAACGGAAGGATCGTCGCATGGCACACTTGGGACAATACCAGTCTCCCTCTGGAGGGTTGTTCGGGTCCAGGGGGGGTTTCAAGCATGAAAAGTGGTAGGAATTAGTACAGCCATCGCAACAAAGGAGATTGCCGCTGTTGTTGCATTCATGACAGATCTCATCGTTGTCGGGTCTTTCGTCTTCAGTATCGCTATCGCTGCAAAACTATGTCAGCATATAGGACGCCCGCATCGAACAGTAGACATAAGGGCAGGAAAAGAGTGGGGCGTACACCATAGTTGGCGTGAGTCGACGGTTGTCACCAGCTTCGCTGCTAGCTCGACTATCAGGCAGGTTATCCGCCGTTTCTCCCAAAGAAGCTGACGTTACCAGATCAGCTTGAGGGGCGGGGCGATCTGAGAGAAATGGAGGAGGGGTTGGTGCAGAAGGATGAGCAAAAGGTGGAGTGGGTGAGCGACCTGGGGTTGGAATATCAGTCGGTTGCAGAGGCCGGACTTGGCTCTCAGTAGGAATGATGGTGGGCAGGGGGGTCTGCAGTTTGATGCGCTTGATCCTGTCTATCCTATCCAACTCTTCAGACTGTACTTCGTCCTCTTCCAAAGCATGCTTCACTTGAGTGCTGACCGTGGTTGGTGGCATCGAGTGACGAGCTGTGAGATCTGTTGCACCTTTGCTAAGCCCGGCGGAACGGGTGTGTTTGGCCTTTGCGCGGGGAACCTTTGATCCAGGGGCTAAGCCAGGAACCTGTGCTGCGGCCGCGCCTGCATCGACATCTTCGAACGTATTCACTGAAGACAATGATGAAACACTACTTGCCGATCGAGCGCGAGGCACAATTGGCACTGAATCAGTTTCTGTTCCTTCTTGGATGGCTTCTGCCTGTGCTCGAGCCTCTTCTGCTTTCACTTCGTCCCAGGCGGCCCGCATGATAGTTTGAAACGCAGATTTCTCGCGCGAGCCAGGATTCCCTTGGCATACGCCCTCCAACACAGATAGGGCAAAAGGGTCATCGAGGCAGGACTCCCACAGGCGGAGGAGGCCGCGGCTGACCGGGCGATTTTCGGTCTCTGTCGCCAGCCGTAGAGCCTCCCTGACGGCCACTTTGATCTTCTCCACGTCGACGTGCGCGGAGGTAGGTATGGGAAGCGTCGCAAACGCGGAAATATCAACAAGTGGGCTAGCCTTCTGTGGCGCGGGCTCGTTAGACTCGACACCAGACCTTCTCTTGGCAGGTATTATCGGTGGGATTGTCTTAGGCATTAAGCCGACCTTCCGCAAGTCGGCCGGCGAAGGGCGAGTCCCCAAAGGGCGCATTGTGTTTAAGACGGGGTTCCGACTATCACAGTGATTTGACCAGGGACTATCCGCATAGCTAGGGGCCGGCGCTCTGGCCAGAGGTTCGGCCCACTCTTTGCTTCCATTATCTTGTTGCTCCGGCGCGTTCTGTGGCGGAGCGGTGGCGGAGCGCGAATTGATGCCTGTGCGCCGTTGCTTGCTGGACCTCGTGGCCTCGGGAACTGAAGTATTTGTGCTGGCCATCATGGGCGCATCAAATGGAGTGGTAGGTGGGGAGTGAACACGGGAGGAAGAGGAGCGGAGGGTTGGAGCCATTGCTGTAGACAGGGCTCGAGAGGTGTAGCGACTGTACGTGCATGGTTAGCGAGGAAAGACGATAGTCATTTCGAAACATGAGTCATAAAAGGCTGAGACCTACTGCTTTAGAAGATTCCAAGCGAACACTGAGCGTGCCCAGCGTGGCTGGTTGGAATCGAGGCCAGCCCGCGCGCTGTCTGCGGGTTGAAGAAAGGAAGAACCGCGGAGTTGGCCCGGAAGTTTTCGAGGAACCCCAAGCAGGCTCCTAAGGGGGTTTCTGCGGAAGCTGCCACAACCACGACAGATGCCGCGTCTTCCGCATAGAAAGATAGCATTAGCAGTTGAATGTCTCAAATATTGCTCTTCAAGTTGGAATATCTTACCTTCGTCAAGGGTTATCTCGTTTTGATGGCTTCTCAGCTACGGATCGTTGCACGCGCGCGCAGAATAGCCGTGTAGGGCACAGCCTCTGACTTCAGGTCACCTGAATCAATGTAGTTTATGTTCTGTCACGCTGCCAACTAGAGTACCAACGTCGAGACTAGCAATTTATCTGCAATCCTTGTGGCACTAGATTGAGAAATGCTCAGTGAAACGGTTATTGCTGTGATCTGGTTAGCCACTATTTGATCCCCAACGCTCTTCACCAACACTGATGCCCAACCAACACAATTGGCCTGGACTGGAGCCCCCAAAGTTCAACCGAAAGCTTTTGAATTGGCAGGAGAAGGTCCATATGCATCGAAGCAGAGGTAAACATTGTGCAATTCCAAAACAAAAGCATATTCGGTGAAGCACGAGAGAAGAAACGACAATGGGGCCACGTGTGTTTGAGATTGGACAAGATCATCTGCTACTCGGGAGGTCAGCTTACCAAGAGGACAGTAGGGCTCAAGAAGCGTCGTGTCTGGACTACCTGTCACTGCAGGTGCAAATCAAGCTTCCTTGTCGATCACGATTTGAAAGCAGAAATGGAAGAAGCAAGACAAAGCTTAACCCTTCGAAAGCAGCAGTACAGGACAAACGACAAGTCATAAGAGACAGGAAAACTGGTCGAGAGAATGATTGGGAACGTGAATGAATAGGAGCGAAAAGACCGTGGGGAAATAGGTCAAGCAGCTGCACGAAATAAAAACAGATGAACGTAAAACTTCAGGATTCGTGAGAAAGTTCTCGCTTTAGCCTCAGAACGCAGTCAGAAATATGCTGATTCAGGCTAGGTAGAAGAGAGAAAGCAAGTCGGTGTAACGGTAGAATGGTAATGACGCTGATGCACGTCCTTGGACACAAATTTAAAGCTATGAGGCTCTGGTCACCGGTAGAGAGTTGAGACTGCGCTTCTGATGCGACAGATTCTCCAAGATTAACAAGGATATGTCAGATGAGGGGGATTCGGAGAGGAAGATGGTGAAGACGTCAAAAGTCCTAATATGACAAAGTGACAGGATGGAATGTCCCTATGCAAGGTAGCAGATGGCCTTCCCAGTAACTGGAGGCTCTGCAGAAATCCGAATAGTCAATTAAGCTGCTCTAGCAGCCAAGGACGAGTGAGGACGAGGGGTAAAATAAGAGAGGAGTACAGTCACGTAGAAAGTGTGAGGCAGCGAAAAGCGCGTAGTGGCAACAACACCAGAAGATTCAACAGAGATAGCAGCACTACAAGCTGGATATGAAGCAGTAGTCCGAGAACAGATTCAACTTGTAGTTGACGATTGCAGAAGCTTCAGATTTGGGAGAAGATGAGGGTTGAGAGTGTGGTGATAGTTAAGTCTGCTGAGCAATGAACGAGCAAAATTCGTGGGTATTTGGTGAAACGAAGTCGTAGGCAGGAAGAGAAGAGAAGAAGTAAAGTGTGCTTTTGAGAGAAATGAATATAATGGTGTTACGGCTGGTTTGTTGAGGAAGGTTGTTAGGGGGAAGGATGGGATTTGTTGGAAAGTGAAGGGGAGGATGAGGGAACTTGGGGAAGAATGGAAGGAGGGGGACCTGCCATCAATCGGTGTTGCGTTTCGTCAGCAACAGCAGTGACAGCAACCCTCCAGAGTGAATAATGATTCTGTAACACACAGGTTGTGGGAGGGGGACCCAGAGAGTTCGAGGGAGAAGGAAGACAGGTGAATAATGTGTGAGCAGGAGAAGATGGGGGCCCATATGGTGCTGGGCAGATGAGACGGAGAGGCTCGGGAATTCTTTCAGTCTGGCCCACTGCCTCCTCCGTCCCTGCCTTTCTCTGGAAAAACCACTTCTGTTCATGTAAATGCTACCACTTGAGTTTACCAACAGGGCTCTAACATATTACAGGATTCCCCGAGGATGGCGAATTCGTCTCCATATGATTTCCCTGTCAGTCGGCGGGCCCGGCCGGCCGGCAAATCCAAGTAGACCAGATGAAGCTATTTATGATCTGTTACCTCCCACAGTAATTTGAACATAGAACAGTTCCTCTGCTACTCCAGCCCTGCTGGCGAAACCGGGTCTTGTTCTGGTTTGGCGGTTGGCCAGGATAAGCACTTTCAGATGGCTTGTTCAGATTGCTGGAATGTGTAGTTATAAACTATCACTGCACATTTCTCACCGGATCAATCATCGTACCCATAGTAGCGATAGACAAACCAAGATGCACTTCAACCAACAAGATGTTGACTACAACGTATGAAACGAGTAGGATGGTAGGTAAAACGTCAAGTCCGAGGTGTGTGCTCAGCACTATCGTATCCCACCTGGAGATGATACTGGCCTATCTGAGGTGAAGCAGAAGAGATAAGCTCTCGACTTCTCAGGGTCAGATAGGAGAGCCACCTACCTGGATTGACATGAAGTGGTAAGAATCAAATAGAGATCGAAGATGTAGAGTTAAGAAGCTTAATGGTACTTAGCGGGTCCGGCGGGCACCAGCTTTCATGATATTCATTGGGGTACTGTATCCGGCCTAATTTCACTGGACATATACAACTCTTCCTCTTTTTGGACTATTTTATGTGACAACTTGTTTTGAACAGGGACTGCGAGGGAGAGGGACGTCCTCCCACCAGATTTGTCTCTGGCGTACAGCAGTCCGACAACCCCCTCCGATCTTTGAGAAGGCCCAAAGGGCTCCGACTCTCAAAACAAAGCCCCATTACAGCGGACAACGCCAGGGCTTTGGAGCCACCAAAACTCACCTCGAATAATTGTCGTGTGCGTTGATTTGAGCCAAAACATAGTCCCGGAATTGCGTCAAGTGAGGGCCACTGCAACGAGGCGTTTACTCATCGTCGTTAGAGTCGTCCTTCTTGGCAGTCTTCTTCTTCTTGTTCTTGTTCTTCTTGGAGCCAGTGGATTTGGACAAGGGCTGCTCAAGGATCTTAAGAATCTCCTCATCCTCGATCTTCTTGTCCGTCTTGAACTTGGTAAGATCGGGAGTGGTGGGAGCAGTGAGACGGGTGAGACCGTTCTTGGTGATGGCTATTTAAGAGTGTCAGTTTGAATCTCAGCAAATATTACCCCAGGTCTTACGACACCGATGTTGGAGGAAAGGGGAGGGTCCATACCAACGGTGGACAGAACACGGGACACGGCAGCGTTGTCAGCATCACCGGCGGGCTCGTACTGTCTCAGGACACCACCACGGACACACTCGACGACACCAACCTTAGCGGCCTTCTCGTCATCCAGCTGGCGCAAGCTGAAGGGGAAAGTGCCGAACTTCTTGACGACCTCAGACAGGGTCTGTCTGGAGCTAGGACGCTTGAGGCCATAGGTGGTGGTGGTACGGCGGTGCAGAGTAGCACGGTGGGGCAGAGTCTTGACCTTGCCAGATCCAAGGGAGAGTCCGAGCTCAACACCCCAGACCTCACCAACATCGGGAACACCCTCACCCTTGACACCAGTACCGGGAGAGAGAATGATCTTCTTCTCGCCCTCGATCTCGTTGCGGGCGAACAGCCAGCTGGTGGTGTTCTCAACGACGTTGCAGTCGTAGGCCTTGGCGACCTTCTCAATGAGCTGGGTGATCTGAGCCTGAGTAGGGGCCTTCTGAGCGGCGGCCTTCTGCTTCTCCTCCTCAGTTCCGCTGGCCAACAGACCAGGGGGAACCATGAGTCTCAGGAGAAGCTCGTTGGCGTAGTGAGTAGCGTGGATGAGATCAGCCTCGCGGCCAGTGACCTCGTCGGAAGAGGAGTTGCTGTCGGCAACAATGACCATGTCGCAAACGATGGTTCCGAAGCCATCGATCTGAGCACCAAGCTGAATCTTAACAACCTCACCGGCCTTCAAGGTGGTCTCGGCCTCGGCGGCATCGGATACCAAGGGGGTGTAGGGAGTCACGTAGGAGTTGGGGGAGACGGTGGTGGGGTGAGCGATACCTTTTGCGACAAGTCGCGTTAACCATGATGGCCCCGCAAGCTTTGCTGGAGACGGTAACATACCCTTGGAAATCTTCTTGCCCTTGTAGACCTTGGCAACCTCCTCCTCAAGGAGCTGGTCACCCTTCTGGCAGAGCTCAACGATCTTGCTTCCCTCAACACATAGTCCTGACAAGAGGGTTAGCATTGCAGGTGGAGGGTGGGGGGGAAATGCGACGAGCCGCATGAGGCAGTCAGCCTAACTATGGGAACACACCTGAAACAGCCTCCAAGACCTTCTGGGAGATCTGAGCCGCAGTCTTGTACTTGGTCAAGGTGTCGGGGTTGTTGAGGGTGTAGTCTAGGAATGATCGAGTTAGCAGCTAGTCGCAGCGGACCGCAAGCAGTGATAAGTAGCAATCAGCGAATTTGCGGAATTACAAAAAGGAAAAATGAGGCAGTCAGGGAAGAGGTTGCGATTGAGCGTTGTTCGAGGTGGTTGCGCAGCCCGACAGACGCAGCCTGAACCATGACGATGAAAACCAAGCGGGAACCCACAAACGCCGGAGGAGCTTTTTTAAATTGGTAGACAGACGGAGGAGGGGTAGAGGAAACAGACTGCAGTGAATACATACCAACCTCGGGAGCCTGAGTCTCAGCCATTGTGTACTATTTAGATGATCCTCGTACTGGGGACGAGGAAACGATCAGGATGAAGGGACTCTGAGAACAATAGGTCTTGCGGAATAGTAGAGAGAAGAGGGAAAATGGAGATGGAGCAGGAGCTGGAGAACCTTCAATTAGTTTAGTCGCTCTCGATGGAGTCGTGCGCACCTGGCTGGTATTACGCTGTACGAAACAACCAGGGCGGGGGCTTTTGCCCTCATCAGGGTGGGGGTCTTCCATCCAGACAAACCAGTAGGGCTCGGTCACAACTGGTTTTGCCAATACCTTCCGGCTTCATTCACCGCCCGCCGTCATCACTTGTTTCCAGGCCCCAATATGGCATCCATTCATGGAACAAAACGAAGCTGGGAATAGTGGTAACTACTACTAGCTAATGGAGTTGGGAGCTTTTTCAGTACTGCTCAACTAAATTGAGTGTCATTTACTGTTGAATCCAGCCAGCTATTGCTTTGCTCATTTCTGGCCTCTAGCATCAGAACTGTGTCTTCGAGGGTGATGAGCTCAAGAGTCAGTCAACTCGACCTTGTATATGACATCACCTGTGTGTCGCCACAAATCGGCCCTGACAATTGCTACGGTAGACAGTAATGATTCAGTGAGACATCTGCTCTCTTATCACTATGGTAAGGTATAAGATTTCAAGCCATGCGAATCAGACTCAGTTGTCATTCGAAAGGCTGTGGCTTGAAGATCGACTAGTAGTCAGTCGTTCCGTCAACCTGCGTTCGATTGTGCATCCTTGAGGCCACGAGCAGCCGTTGTAAAAGTATCCACCACCTCAAACCATACTAGTAGCCTGTTTGGACTGTTTACAGGGAGTATCCGTACTCACACCTTATAAAGGACCCTTCTGCTTAGCGTTCTCGTGACCTTGGGGGCGGCGGGGTTTCGGAGTTTAGTACTAGTAGTAGGTCATCTCTCTGGCTCCGATGCTTTCTTCTCTCAGACTTATATATCCGAGCCCAGGCATATTGTGACGATAACCTCAATGAGTGGATGATGATCATACCACTTCTCTACTACTAGTAATGAAAGGTCTTTCCAGGGCTGCTATTGAGACTCCTTTCAGGACTGACCTTTCGTACTTTACTCGTGCTTACTACTCATTCTGTGCAACTCAGCGCGTGATTTTGGCAAGGATCCTCTCCTTCGGAGACCCGGTAGGGTGCAAGTGTGCAAGTGTGCGTGTGTGTGGTGTGACAGGAATCCGAAGCGGGCTTAGTTAGCAGACTTTAGTCAACCAGGTAACTTTGTTGCTAGATCTTCTCAAAGAAATGGACAAAAATCCAATTTGATTAACTTATGTCGCCTGTCAGCAGTAAAAATGCTAGCAGTCCACTTAACATGCAGGCAAGGAATCACCGCCTGGCCTCGTGGCTCAGCATCGGCCCCCTTCTCTCCTCCCGCGTATGTGTGACCGCTGCAAGGTGATCCGCCACTCTGCAGCTCTTCATTTGCCCTACTCAGCGATAAAGCCCGATTTCTGAAAAAGAGCTTGGGGGCTAAATCCTCGATCGACAAGGTTAGAGACTTTAATATGGACATGGGTTCCAGCAACCTTTCTTTATTCTTCCTTTCCATCCCCCCCAAATGCCCCTTGCCGGGCGATTCTTCTGGAGCTCAGGAGCCAATAACTCGCCCTAAGTCCTCAATGTCTCGTTTATCTGCAAGCCTGGACGAGAAATCCCCTTCAATCCGTGGCCACGCATCATGTTTACTCTCCGAGATGCTGTCGACAAGTGCACGGGGCTTTCTGGAGATGGGAAAGTTATTGCCATTACCTTGGCTTTCTGCCTCTTCTTAGTGACCATGACCATGGGCCTTCGATTCTACGCATTGGTCATGCGAAGGCAGAGCTTCCAAGTGCCAGACTACTTGGCACTTGTTTCTCTGGTAGGATGCAACATACTACTTTGCTTAGGTTTCTCATGGGCTGACCATGCTATATCAGATTCTTTACTACTCCAGTGCAATCACGGTGTTCTTGGGTATGCCATCTGCGCAGTCTCTTGTGCAACTACTCTAATGTTCATTCGTTTCTGCTCAGCTTTGACTATCGGCCATATTGGGTACCAGACATCCGAAACTCCTGCCTGGCGGCTCGCCGTGGCATCCAAGGTAGATGGTCCTGCCAATTGCGTTCAACGAACACCGCAAGGTATACTGACCGTACTCGTAGTGCGTTTATTATATCCGGCTTGCGTATCTTATAGGACTGGGCCTGGTGAAATGTAGTCTCCTGCAAACACTTCGAAGAGCCTTCGTCACCCGGCCAAGCTGCTTTCACTTTGCTGTCTGGACGGCCATGGTGATATGTGTCTGCTGGAGTCTGTCAGGGTTTCTCCTCGCATTTCTGGCCTGCCGTCCATTCGAATACAACTGGACCCTGCAACCTGGCGAAGGAAATTGCGTGAATCAGAACCATGTCCTAATGGGTCTGGGCGTTGTTGATACTGCGACCAGCTTCCTTATCATGGTCCTACCATTACCATTACTCCTGATTATGAGACCGACGCGGTCTCAGAAACTGGCAACCGCTGGCGTCTATCTGATCGGAGCTTTGTACGTGCATCCTGCGCTCCGGAAACCGAAAGGGGGATTGGAAGGGGTTTTACTAATCGATGATGGGAAACAGCGCCCTTGTTATCGCTGCCTTACTTACAGTGTCTCTCGCTCAAACCGATCTCCGCAATTTTAACGAAGTAGGCAAAATGGTTGTGGTTTGGTTTACTGTTGAGTGGACCGCGGTGATCATCGTGGCCAATGCATCCGTCCTGGCACCGTTATGCGCCTGTTTGGGTCTCAATCAGCCTCTACATACCAGCGCAACGTCTTCGCTGAACCACCCCAAGGATGGCACTTTTCTGCTGGGATCTTTGCGCACTTTGACGACCCGCGGCAGTAGCGCACCGCTGAAGACGAAAGGCACGGCGGAAACAGGCTCAATCCAGTCATCGCGATCGATGATGCGCGGGCTGGGATTTTGCTGGACGGAGGCCACGGGACAAGCACAGCAGCCAGGCTCTGTTCTAGCCTTAGAGCCGGGGGAAGTGCGCGTGCAGACAGGCTGGTCTATTGAGCGAACACCGGCGAAGACAGCAACTACCGCCACCGTGATAGGGACATAGCCTCATAAGGGCCCATTATAATAGAGATATGTTCCCTGGACTCAAAGAATGCCGACCCTGATGCTGTGAACGTGTAGTATGTAAGGCCAAGGAAGGTTAGCGCCACTGCGGCTGGCATCGATTGGTACATCATGGTCAGATCAATGTCCGTAGTCCAATCTCTTTTTAGCCTGAGGCAATGGGGCCATGTCAGACCAGCTTATCAAGAAGATACTTCAGGTGGCTTGAATAACTCCCTGCGATGCTGCAGTCAGCACATGTCCGATTCTCATCTGGTTTTGGTTCCCTCGGATTCCAGCCAAGGATCATCCTTGGCCTAAAATCTGACTTGCAGCCAAGTTCTACGGTGTCAGAAATCCGAAGAGACAATCGGGCTGCCACGCGCTGTCCATGTCAACTTTTCCTCTTGTGCTTGGGGCTCCTCTTCTGTCCGATCTCATCTCATTCTCTTTCTTTTTACACAGACGGCAACGCGCCCCGCTGCCCATCCACACTTACAGTACCAGGAGCTCAGGAGACAGTCACTGCTGCCTACAATCGCAGAAACGGACTCCCACAGAAATCCCTCACCAGAGTTAGTTGACCGCTTGAAAAAGAAATCCGTGTTGAACACGCTCGCTCGCTCGAGCCATTCCTCAGGATCATAGGTGCAGCTGCACCACCATTTTTCCATGCAAGCTCGTGGATTACCAGCAAGCCAGACATACGTGTCCGAATATTCGCTTGGCCATCTACGCCTTCGACCCACGCGAGGGAGCACTGGTTGTCGCGTGCCTGCAAGGGCTCGCTTCGGAACTTTGCTTCTCGTCGGCTGTTTCACCCTGATCTTAAAACCCAGTTCTCGATTCCTTCGTCTGTGGTGGTGGCACAGCAATGCCAAGTGCACTATGCGCGTCGCTGACACGAATCAAGCGGTCTCTCTCTCTCTTTGTTCGCATTGCTCATTCACGATGTAGATGACTATACGAATAACCTTTGTTCTCACTGATCATTTTTCGAGAAGCTAGGAAAGCCACCCTCCCCCGGCCTCCCGAGCATCGTGTTGCGGAACCCGAGTCTACGGAGCTGCTACTCTGAGGCGTAGGACAGGTATCGAGAGCGAACAAAGCATGGACACAGCGCATCGCATCGGTGAGTCGAACAGATAGTCGTGGCTATGCGGGGCTTCTTGGTCCCATGCACGGCAAGGCTACTTAAAAGCATCGAAGCCGTATCGCATGGCGTTGGAGAATCCGATGGGGGTTCATGACAGCAGCCTGGCACTTTTGTGGGGCACTCGTCTGGCACATATCCTAGTCCGACAACCCAACAGATAGATCCCTGGAAGCTCAACTAATCCTTTCATTGTGGCATTCATGTGTCGCAAATAGAAGCACCCCTCACTCCTGCAGGATTGCATTGTTGATACCACGAGAATAGCATACTATGCAGGTTGTTACATCGACATGACACACGTGGTTCCAGATCTTTCCTGGCCTGGGAAGGGCCAGGCGACTTTGAGCATTGACCGGTAGTCTACGGTCGTTGTGAATGTCTTATTTGACGCTTCAAATCGAAGTCTTCGGCTGGAGTAATTGTCTGTGCTTGCCAGTCGGTGCAGAGGATGAGAGGTGGTGGAACACTGCTTGCGTCACAGCCACACGGGAATGAGGACAAGGCTTAACCATATGAATTTCGTCCACCTCAGAGGTACACAGTAGAGGCTTGCAATCTGCATATTAGTCAGTTGGTGCTGAGAGCTTAAGACCGATTGTCGACTTGCATACTCCGAACAAGTATTTAGAACCACTAGTCGACGGCCTTGTGGATTGAGCCATGCACATCTCCGTGCAGCAGGACCTCGACTGATTTACCTACCGGACAATGCCTCGATGTCTATATGACCACAGACTGGCAGTGAGGAAGAATTGAGGTACCATGACTGCCTCAAGAGTGTGGATGTAACGTACAGACAATGAAAAGAGCAGCAGGCCCAATCACCGGATCCTCGGCAGTTGACCTCAGCTTTCTCCGCATTCTCCGCTTTGGAGTCTTCCCCTCTCCACATACTCAGGACTTCATTCAACGCCTAGACGCCAATTCTAACCCCAGTAAAACTGAAAATATTCTACAAACTTTGAGTACTCATCTGCACCCACGATGAAAGTAGCCGCAGAGCTCCCCCTACGTATTCTGACCCACAATATCCGGTATGCAACCTCGTCGCCCTTCGAGGGCGAGCGACCCTGGGCCGAGCGCAAGCAACTACTCCTCAACGAGCTACACTACAATACACGCCATCAGGACGCGTTCATCTGCCTACAAGAGGTTCTACACAACCAGCTGGTGGATATCCACACAGGACTAAACTCCTCTCCGCATCCCTCCTCCGCCAACCCGACCTGGGAGTACATCGGGGTCGGCAGAGACGATGGTCGCGAAGCAGGCGAGTATTCCCCGATCTTCTACCAACCCTCCGTCTGGCAGCTCCAGCACTGGGAGACCGTCTGGCTGTCCGAGACCCCGGACGTGCCCTCTAAGAGCTGGGACGCCGCCTCAATACGCATCGTCACCGTGGCTGTTTTCACCCATCGTGCGAGCAGCCGGATGGTGCTGGCACTAAACACCCATCTCGACGACCAGGGTTCCCGCTCCCGCTTCGAGGCCGCCCATATCATTCTGGCTAAGATTGAGGAGTATCGGACGAAAATATTGTCTGGGAGTAGCACCATCTCGGGTGTGTTTCTCGCAGGCGACTTCAACAGCCAGGAGCACCAGGAGGCCTATGCGGTGCTGACTGCGCCGGAGTCGCCGCTGGCCGATGCCGCCAAGTTGGTGACACCCACGGAACATTACGGCCACTCTTTCACGTGGACCGGGTTCGGCCATGAAGGCCAGGATCCCACGCGCATTGATTACATCCTGCTGGAGTCCGCGGCGGACAAGGTATTCAGCCATGGTCGCCAACCGTGGTTCATCGAGGGGTATGCCGTTCTGGACAACCGGTTCGAAGATGGGGTGTTCAACTCGGATCATCGGGCGGTGGTGGTTGATGTGCTCTTGGGAGAATAGTTAGGCAATAAACTTACTGTGGTACTTTGAAATTCACCACCGAGGAGTAAAGCGCTGTCCACGCCATACGGTAATACTCGGTATGGAATCGCAACAGCGGATCCACCGTTGAAGATCAATGACGCGCTAGCGGAAGACCGGCTTGCCGCTTTGGGGATAGACCTGTGTCACATGATAAGTTTCTTTAGGAATAGCGCGCGGAAGTGCATCGGTTACCGTACAGAACAGATGACGGTATTACTGCATCAATACAATAACAAGTGTAAGAAAGGTTGGGATCGGACCAGAAGACGAAGAAGCATGAAGAAGAGTTTGAATAGCTTCATAGAGGCCCTGTATGGATTTCTGAAGCCCTCAAGAGGTGTTTAAGCCCCTCTTGCGCTGACTGACTCTCACCCCTTGGCTCCCTGGACGACTTCTACTTACCCCCCGGGAGCCCGGCCAGAGGGTAGAGACTTGTAACGGCGGTTTCTTTGCTGGTTTTCCGCAGCCATTTGCCCTTCTGTGCTCTTCGCCGCTGTCTTTCTCTCACTCACTCTCTCTCTCTCTCTCTCTCTGTGTGTGCCTCTTCTTCTCTTCCTCTCTTTTTCTTTCTTCCTTTCCTCTTCCCGCCTTCAAATCGCGTCTTTATCTCTGATGGACTCGGCCATTTGCCGACATCCCCACCCTTCTACTTGGACAAATTACCATCAATTTATTGAGAGCTTGAATAGAAGCTATTATTCAGTGAATCATAAAGATAACTCGAAGCTTCGCGCCGCAGAACCGAAGCTACTGACACCAGCGGGAGCGGCGTCAGCTGATTAGCCTCCCTCCCTTCTCGCTCGCTCTCACTCACTGCTGCTCAAAGACCCAGACCCGGCACCGCAAGACCCATCATCCACTCTTGCTTGCCTTTCCAGCTCTGCCTATTGGAACCAGCTTCCCCTCCCAATTCCCGTCTCATCTGCTGCTGGTGGCACTGGCTTGGTATCACCGACCCTCATTCAATCCCATTCTCTTACCTGTGACTTGCTTGGTTAGTTGTATCTTTATCTTGATTCTCCGCGTGCCAACCCGTACCACCACCACCCTCCTCCACCTACCTACCTGTCTACCTACCTACCTACCTACCTACATTTTCTCCACCTTCTTCTTCTTCTCCTCCTCCTCCTCCTCCTCCTCCTCCTCCTCCTCTCTACCTTTCTTCTTCCCTTACCCTTCTGCTGGCAGGTATGTCAGCTCCTCCCCGCTTGTCGTTTACCTTTGCCGCTTCGCTCCGTCAGCTTCGCGCAGCCCTTCCTCCATAAGTTTGCGTGATGCTGCACGGCACCGGACCATAATAAGGAAGGCGACTCACGGGTGTTGGTCTTGCGACATGCTCTGCGAAGGGTCTTCACCCGCAATCTCTGGTGCGCCGTCGCGTCTTCATCGCGATGGCCTGCGATCTCATGGACCATTTGACTGACTTGGTTCACTTGCCAAATCCTAGTCCTTCCAAGGATGCTTTCGTAGTAGATCCGTGTCCCCTTCGCCTTTCATCGAATCGAACGTCTCGCTTGCAATTCCGTCGAGCCCTGCGCGAGCGATAGCGTGCCTTCCATTTCGATTCCATACTATTGTCACCAATGATGCCATCTCCCAATATATCACACACAGGACAATTGCCTTCCGATTCGCAATTTGACGATAGCTTCGGCGTGTCCAACATCAGCGGCGATTACCACAATATGGCTGCCTCAGATCCCTCAGGGCAAGGTATGGGAATTGATACTATCGCGGAGGGCAAACAGAATGCGAAAGCCGTCCTTGCAGCGTCGGGCGTTTCCCTTGCATCCAACGAATCAGGCCACGATGCGTCCAATGGCGACTCCTCGTTTAATTCCCAGCCAAACACTGCCAATGGTCGAAAACGATCGCGAGACGGTTCCGTCATACAGCCCCCACTATCCACAGAAAGCTTGCCTGTGCGCGTTCGCGAGACTCCGGCGGATAAAATCCTTCTTGAGGACTACGTCAACCGCGAATTCCACCATTCCGCATTGACCGCTTGGCAGAATCCCAGTCATGAACTTCTACAGCAGAAGCGCGCTGAGCGGGATTATTTCTTGGCAGTCCGGCGCGAAACCCATTTAAATCCCGCAGCGTTGTATGGCGTAGGCTATGAAGGTTTTGGAAATGCCCGTACAGATTTGCGCAATCAACATCCCCAATTGCTGTACCCAGCAAACCGTCGTCGTCCCGGAAATAGACGGACAAGAGAGCTCCGGGTCTCTCGGAAAGATTTGAAGGCACAGAACGAGCAAGTGGAGGACCTGGTGCCAATTCGTCTGGATATTGATTGGGAGAAGATCAAGATTCGAGACACTTTCACGTGGAATCTTCATGATCGTGTAGTCTCGCCGGAGCTTTTCGCCGAGAAACTCGTGGAAGACCTAGGTCTTCCTCTCGAAACCTCCGGTCCGCTGGTGCGCATGGTCACGCAGAGTATTCAGGAGCAGCTCTGCGATTATTACCCGCATATTTTCATGGAAGAAGATCCTCTTGACCCCCACTTGCCGTATAGTGCCTACAAGAACGATGAGATGCGCATCCTCGTGAAACTCAATATCACAATCGGCCAGCACACGTTAATCGATCAGTTCGAATGGGACATCAACGATCCCTCCAACTCTCCGGAAGTCTTTGCTGCACGCATGACGGACGACCTCTCTCTTTCCGGCGAATTCACTACTGCGATTGCGCATTCGATTCGCGAACAATCACAGCTCTTTGTCAAATCACTTTACATCCTCTCTCACCCGTTTGATGGCCGTCCTATTGACGACCCGGACCTCAAAACGGCCTTCCTTCCATCCCCTCTTCCTTCTTCATTCAGACCATTCCAGGCCGCAAAGGAGTTTACACCATATCTGTACGAGCTGAATGAGGCTGAGCTGGAACGAACGGAGGTTTCGATCTCGCGAGACCAGCGCCGACAGAAACGGTCCGTCAACCGTCGTGGTGGACCGGCCTTACCAGATCTGAAGGATCGCCAACGAACTATTCGCACCATGATTGTTTCGACCGTCATTCCAAACTGCGCGGCCTCCATGGATGAAAGTAATGTGTTCAAACGATCCGGCTCGAGTCGGACTCGGCGTGCTGCTGTTGGCATGCGCGACGGAGCGGAGGAGTCCGAAGAGTCCGACAGTGACGAGTCCTCAATCGCAGCATCACCAGCGATCGGACCTCACTTAGCGCAGGGTACAGCGCGCACACGAGGCATGAGAGGAGCCGCCACTGCAGCACATGCCGCGCTCCGGGCGAGCCTGGGTCAATCCGCCACACCTGAGCCTCACAACGAGGCTAGAGCCGCATCACGCAGGCGTGAATATCGGGAAGAGAGTGTGGACGAACCGGAGAAGTTGATTGTGAAGCTGAGAATCTCAAAAGAGAAATTTAAGCAGTACCTTGTGCACGGCATCCAATCGAATGCAGGCCTCACGCCCACGGCACAACCGCCATCCCAGCAAGGTACTCCTCAAGTCCAGACTCCTACCCCGAATCCTATGGCTCCTCCTGTGCCTTCTCAACCTGAAGTTCGGATGCCCAGCGCTCCACCGCCGGCGACACGGCCAGTTCCTTCTCCGCAGGGTCGAGCAGGAGACACTCCCCATACCCCCCAGCAGGGAGCCACCGGGGTGAGTAGCCAACGATTTACATAATCCTCCTTACAGGCCTCGGCCGCAGTACCTTGCAGTCAGTTTAGGAGGAACCCCCTCAGGGCAACCACAGACTAACATGGTTTGACTTAGCCTCCGGCTCCCCAATGGCTTGTAACGGAACTGGTGCAGTTGAACCGCTTGCACGCCAATGACTCCTTCGAGGCTACGATGCGTTACACGGCGGTTGACACGGAAACCGGGCAGCCAGTCAGCAACGCCAGCGCCCAAGTCGGTGTAGGTCAGCGGGTGAAGTACCAATACCTCCCCCGCATCCGGTGCCACGACTGTCCCGGAAAGCTCTACAACCCCGGTCCCGGGATGACGGTCGACAACTTCAAAGTCCATCTCTCGAACGGCACGCACATCAAGAACGTGAACGAACGAGTGGCGCGGACGGCGGCGGAAGCAGCTGGGACGGCCGGTGGAGACACGTCTCTGTGACATGCCTTTGTGACATGCCTCTGTGAATAATGATGTGAATGATGGAAGGGAGCCGCACTCGGCTGCGATGGCCCCTTTGTGTATCTGTATAGTTATTCTACTCATCACCTACAATGAATGCATCGCGCATACTATACACGCTACTACTACTACCGCTACCTCTCTAGTTGATGTACATGACTTGCAGCGATAATTCGGGTGTTGAAAAAGGGTGTTTTATCATTCCATGTGCTCTCTAGACTCTACCATTGACTTGATGAGTACTGTGCTAATGACCATTAACTCCATAAACCGGTTCCCACTGTCTACTCCCATGAATTTAGTTACCATCGAATACTCCACAACTAAGCTACCACTATAAACCTACTATAGTCATCCACCTACTATAGTCATCCCTTCTATCATCTTGATATTTGTTGAACAGAATTTAAGCATGACATGAGGTCAATCAGATACAGCAGCTCGACTGTAATCAGTCAACTAAATGACTTTCTAGTGTTTCTGTAGTAAGTATTATCGCATGGGTGGGGTCTGGTTGTGAGTGCATTTCTTGAGCTGGCAGATGGTACCATGTATTCTTCGTCCGGCGGCTTCTTTGTCCGACTTGTCAGTATTAAGACCAGCTAGGTAAGAGAAGGGACAGCAGTGTTTGGTGTTTCCACTTCAATTTGCCTGTAGTTGAAGAGCAGAGGAAGGCAGGGAGGGAGGGAGGGAGGGAGGAAGAGGAAAGGGGGGATAGATACTGTGGGTGTCTTCGATGGGGCTTGTTTGGGGCTGGCTGCTTTGCTCATGCCCCGTTAAGTCAAGCAGGGCGCGGGAAGGATAAGCGCTGCTAGCACGTGTGCATGGATTTCTACACACTGGTTATGAAACTGTGCTGTGCTTGTCTTGCGGTGGAAAGCGGAGAGGAGAGATACAATAGATGTAATGTAACTGACTACTGTAGAAGGCCATGTGGATGGAAAGTGGACTACTCGTGTAGCAGTAGTAGAGCCAGCTACGTGCAGCGAGTATCGTGGTTGTCTCTTCTGTTTCTCAAGTTGGATCTACTAGAGTATACATATATCCAAAAAGACGATCAGCTTGATGGCACTGCGCATTACTACTAACCTGATCACGCCTACATGAAAAGTAAGAAAAATCGTGGGAGGAGTGCACCGAACAGCCACCCACACCACATCAGCAGAACATCAGCTACTACACCATACTATACTCCACTCCAGTCAACAGTACTAGGCAAAACCGTGACTTCCATCAGACGGAACGGAAAAATTGGTATAGTATGGAGGACAAATAAACAACGCTGGTCACTATACATGGGATTCTGATAGGAGTAGACATCAATCGCCGCACTCACATACACACCCTGCCCCCCTGACCCTGATTCCCTTCCCCAGGATTCACTGCCCGCCGCCGAGAGATATGAATAGATAGAGCAGGATAAAATAGACACATGAATAAAACATGAGATCGGGCTCGTCCCCTGCGAGAAGAAGTGTCCGTCCGAGCTTGCTCTCTCACTCTTCAACCCTTGAGATGGATAGTCCATGTCTGGCAACTAAATTGGCAACGTCTAGCTACTCAGCACAAATATGTTCTCATTATCATCGTCCCTTGATCATCGTCATCTCCGGGATGACCGCCGTGTGGCCAGAGTGGCGCTTCCCTTTCCCCGTGCCGCGCCTCGACCGCCCGTGGCTTTCTTCGGCGGCGAGATCGGGGGTGGCGATGATAATGGCGAGCTGAGGCTCGAGTCGGAAATCTCATCAAGGTCGTCTGTTGTTGGCCGTTTGTCTGACGCTTGGGGTTTCTGGTTTTCTTGGGCGGTCTCGTCCGCGTCGTCGACGTCGGCGGCCTCAGATAGCTCCTCGTTCTCCGACTCCTTCTCCTCCTCCTCTTCTTCTTCTTCTGCCTCTTCCTGGTCTTCCTCTTGAGCCTCTCCCTGATCCCAGTCATCCATCTCCAGATCATCCTCATCACTGTCTCGATCGGCGTAGCTGATCCTCCTCGAGGCTCCTCGGCTGCTACGTCTACGAGCAGCTGCAGCTGCAGCAGAACTGGCCTCGGCCGCACCCCCACCATCAGACGTCCACCCGTCCTCATCCTTTTTCTTCCGCCTCGGCGCCTTGGACGTCCCAGCCGAGCCCGAGGACTTGCGGGGAGGCCGCGCCGGCTTCTCTTTGCTCTCCTTCTTCGGCTTCTTGGCGGAGCCGGTATCGCCGCCCGCCTCGTTCGAGTCGGTCTTTCTCTTCTTCGCGGCGCCGTGAGAACCGCTCTTCGTCTTCATGACGGATCGGACGACACGGTCCAGCAGATCTTCGCCATCTTCGGGGAAGAAGTTCATATCTGCGACCTCTTGCGCTTCGCGATGGCTGCCCATTGGAGCGAAGATTGAGCTTGGCACGCCCATCTTGCCCGGGTAGGTCTGCAGGATGCTGGCGCCGCCGCCGCCTGCACCGCCGAACCGGCGCTGTTGAGCGTAGATATCGGCGAACCGACGGATGGTCGCTTGGGCGAGGTCCGAGAGCGTGTGAAGGCGCGTGCTGATTTCATCGGACTTAGTGATGCCGTCCCGTGTCTGCTTGACCCGCTGCGCGATGTGGAAGATCAGCGACAGGTTGTGTTCGTTGCCCACGGCTTGAAGGTAGAACAAGATGTAGCGTGCAAAGTCGGTCAACTCCTCAATCCGGGTGGAGTCGTCCATATCGGCAGGAGGATAATCGGGGTGGTAAGCAAGAAGAGAGAGAAGGCGCGAGAATAGAGACTCCATGACTGGTTGCTGGTCGCTTCGCTTGCCATTCATTTGCTGAGAGAAGAACGCTGCCCGCGAGCGAAGCCAGGTGAGAGTGCTCTCCTTCAGGCTAGCATGTGGCTCAAACGCCAGCAAGAAAGGTACTGTGTACCAACGGTAGCTCAGATGTGATTGTTGTACGAGCTTCTTTTTGAGCTGACTAATGAATCCACTCCGGACCTCGAGGACAGGGTCCTGTGCGACGAGCGCAATTGCATTGAAGTCTTTGGGCGTCAGCATTTGGTCGCAAAGCCCGTGGCTGGCACACAGTTTCAGCAGCGACCTGGCTGCGAGAAGACGCAGTCTAGGCTTCTGAGTGGCTGGGGTGTCTTTCTTGGTGGAAAGTTCCCCATCATTCATCACGAGTTTGTTCAAGGTGTCATACACAGGCTCGGCATGAGCACGGAAGTCGTCCGCATCATCCGAAGCATCCTTAGCGCGTAGACGATTGACAATGATCTTGAGAGCCCATTCTTTGGCAGCCGTCTCGTCATCTACAGAGTCCGACCACGAGTATCCAGCATTCGGTTGTGGTGACCGATTCGAGAGCAGCACCTGGTTGACTGAGATCGAGATGATGGCTTCACGCTCATCGTCCGCCTCCTTCGATGCCAACAGGTTGAGCTGGGACAAGGTGGCGAGCTTGGTAAGGAAGCGATCAGACCCGTAAGTCCAGTCTGAAACACACTTGTCAATTAGGTCCTTGGCGTACATCTCCTTCTTGTCGGCCACGGCCATCAGGATGGAAACAGCATGTTTGGCGGCCCTGGGCGAAGGGCTGTGGAGCGCATAGTTGACGAGGGCCTGGAAGAATTTCCGCTCCTTGGGCAGCTTAGAAGGCAACTTCTTCGCAAAGCCGGCGCATGCTTTGAGAATCTCCTCTGTCCCCGCGCTATCCTTCGTAGTGGCGCCCGGCGCCTGGGATTCAAGGTCTTTGCACATCTCCTGAACCTGCGCTTCCAGCACCTCGGGATTGCGAGAGGAGATTTCTCGCAACATCTCGTGAGCAGGGTTTGCCAATCCATTCTCGTCAGTCCTTGAAAGACTCATGACTGCCGGAATGTGGCTCCGGTTGAACACGAGTGAACTACTGCGATACAGTAAAGGGGTAAGGGTCTCGAGGAGTGGGGTATTGTTGGCACTCTGTATCCTCCTTGCGAGCTCTTTGATGGCCTTGATCACCGTCCGATAATCGCTGACCGCGGCCATGGCGAAGCGGATCAGCTGGTAGCCTCGTCGGTCATGCACTTTAGCAAACTTCCACAGATCCGCGGACGTCCTGGATGGATCAGGGAACGTCTTGGAAATTGTCTCAATGACTTTGCTTAACTGCGCTTGAATCCGGTCTTGATCCTTCTCCATCACCCCACCCTGGATTGAGAGCATCAGCATGCTATGCTAGATCTGCGACGTCAGGTGCCACTTACGTTGTAATCCTCACAGGCCTGCAAGTAGATGGTCATCGCTGTCCTCATGGAAATCTGACGGGCCTGCATCGCGAAGAAGACCTTCTTTGCCTTGTCGTCCATGCCCCTCAGGAGGGTCAGGATACGACGGGTGCGGACCTTGTCCACATCGACCTCAGCATCGGCGTCCTGTGCCTGGGATCCCTTCTGCTTCTGTGATTGCGTTGAGCTGCTGCGGGTTCCCTTTTGCTTCACAGGAGGATAATTGAGCGGCAGCAAGATTTCGAACAGAACACGGTCAATCAAGACGTGAATGTCCTGGTCATTGGTATAAAATGCGTCGAATATCTTGGACGGTCCATCCTTGAGCAGAGGGGCGACCACTTCATCGTCCCGCTCAATCTCGCCCGCTGCGACAGCCCAGATTCGGGCGAGGGTCTTCATTGCATGCTCCCGCACCTGCGGTTTGCGGTCTTTGACTCGCTCAGCAAGGACATACAACACTGAATCCGGAGTCGAAAAGCCCCCACTGACACCAAGCTTATTCACCACATACGGCAGGCCAAAGCTGCCGATCACATCCACGGCAGCTACACGGACTTTGTCATCGGCATCGCGAAGCATGGTCGCGACATTCTTGATGAGGCTCTGCTCCTCATTCTCGCTCAGCCCCGAACCACCAGCAGACGTAAGCAGAATCCGACCCACGACAGTGACCCAAGCCGCGCGGACCGAAGCCGACTTATCAAGCCGCCGGCTGAGAAAGCTTTCGTAGGTGGAGCTGTGCATCTGGGAGAATGGCTTTAAGGAGAATGGCGTCAGAAGAACGCTGGGCTGAGGAACGGTCTGAGCATACTCAGCCAGGGTCACAGGTGGATAGGCTGCAGGATCCATTGGCGGAGGCGGGGGTGGACCAGCAACCCCGATTCCCGCCGTCAGATCACCGATCGTCTGGGTGGCGAGCAAGCGCAAGGATAGAGACTCTGCAGATAATTCGGCCTCCAATTGGGGGATGACATTTTGCAAGACCTCCGGGCATGCTTTCCACAGCTCGCGGATCAGGCGATGTGCTTTGCTCAGCTCTTTGATATCCTCCCCTTCCTCATCCGAGTCATCGAGGTTTGGCCTTCGGTGGCCAGCCTTCGAGGACCCGTTTGTGCCGGGTGCAGTCGCCGAAGCGTCGATGATGACATTATTGAAATACTGGCTGATGTGGCTCGTCATCCTCTCCGGGCAAGCTTGGCAGATTGCCTTGGCCATGTTGTATGCGGGAGGGTAGTCCTTGAGTAGTAGCGTGCCCTGTTTGGCGTCGACCGGGGTATCGTCTTTTCTTCCTCTCTTGTTCGGCAACTCCATGGCGCGGGGATCGATGCGCAAAAATTGCGCGACGATGACATCCACAACATCGGGCGCCAGAACGGGCGTTTCGTCAATCACCGTTACGAGGAGGCGGGTCATATCGAATTCAACGTTCTTGGCGACTTCCTCCCCGGTGGAGTTCTTAGCGGATCCCGAGACGATGTCGAAGCAACTCGTGAACAACGGGATGATCAGGGTGTCTGGATGATCTATGTCGGTCATGAGCACAATGCTCTTGACTTCAGCGAGAGAATTCAGGACGTAAACATGCTGGGCATTGTAAGGATTGGACGGGTCCCCTAATGCGGGGATGATAGAGGTGACTATTGAAGTAAAGATGTCCTAAACGCATCCCAATGGGTAAGTTAGCATGCCGTCGTTGAGGACTCCGCATTCTCCATCCACACAAAGCCTCCAGAGTCTGCAATCGCATCCAAGCCGAGACCAATTTCAGAGTCGTAACAAGATCAGCGCACCTTCAGTTGGTTGGCGGTGAAAGGCGCGTCAGGAGCACATAGGCGCAAAACGTCGACGATGCAACAGGCGGTCCATGCCCTTACACCCTTGTCCTTGTGTCCCAGAAGATGCGCGGTGGCGAGCTCCTGCGACACCTTCTTGAGTGAATCAGTGTCAATTTCCTCCTGCTCGAGTTTGCGAAGCTCCTGCGCGAGAGTCTGCAATCGTTGAAGTAGGTCGGCCACGGGAATGGCGGATCGTCCCACGCGCCAGGAGAGCGGCTCATTGAACTTGAGACGGCGCAGACCACCGGAGATCTCTTCGTGGTCCACGACCTCCGTCGCGACGGAGGGACCTTGACGAGTGCGCGCGGGCATCGTGGACGAAGCGCGGG